CATATTTCTATATGACTTTTTCTCGTTCACAATAAATATGCTAAAATTTAGATTAACTTTTTAATTGATTTACCATTTCAGTACAAATAAATCTGTCTTTGTGCCAAATTGTAAATTTTATTTTATTTATGCGTCATTAGAGCAACGCAATCTGGGTCCTTAATTGGAATGTAGCAGCAGCTCGTTTCGGGAAAGCGACGATTGGAAAAAAGTGCACGGTGGCAATCAGTCAATGATGCATGAAGCAGCTTTGACTGCTGCGGGACTAATTTGCTGGCGGGACCGCTTCTCTTATATCAGAGCCGATGGAGCGGTGCGCGCCACTAATTGGCTGTTTTGATAATTCGCTCCACTGAATCAAAGCACGGCTGCTGCTTCTTAATTGATGAGCCATTGGGCCGTGATAAATGCCCCGTTTACACAGAGCGAGGTGTCTGCGCGCCGCGTTGAGGAGGGGCAGATAAGATAAAGAGCGGCGGCTGGACCACGAGGGTGCGATCTCTCTGAGAAAAGCGTGTGGCTCTATAACATATAATCCCAGTTTCTTGTTAAATGTCACGCCAAAATAAACTGAGTCTTTGGAGGCGTGTGGAAATTCCGTTTTGTTGAGGCAAAAACTATTGTCAATCTTTAAAGAGCAGATTCGTCACGATCGACGTGATTTTGATTGAAATTTTAAATTTTCACAAATTATTTGTTGCTGTGAAATAGGATTTTTGATTGTGTTATTCGTGCAACGTTTGGAGCAGCGTTGTGTTTTTCAAACGGGCCTTGAGTCAAAAAATCAATATTAAATATGACAGTTGATTATTAATTCCATGCATGCGGGCATGTGATATGATGATGACTTCGTCAGAGGGGAGTCCCTCAAAAGCGGCTGACACGCCAACTCTTGCCGCCATCATTGCAGCTTCAAAGAGCGCGACTATCAATGCGTGCGCATATCAAAGCAAAGCAACATGATAGCATGAATCTATAATTTTTATGATTTAGTTAATTTAAAATTGCGTTAAAATTAATTTTTTATATTATTCATTTAATATTATAATATTTATGTTTCTGCAATTACTGTTTAATTAATTTTAAAATGAGATTAAAACTTATAGAGTTAGCTCTAGGTTTTTTTTGCTACGTTATATTGATCTCACATTCAGATGTATTTTTGTGTTAAATTAAATACATTTACTTGTAGGTTTAAAACAAAAATAACAAATTACATTTCAAATTTCTAGATTGTATAGAGTGAATTAAAAAATATTGTTATAACACATTAAGTTGCTCACATAGATAATTAACATAAAATATTATTATTTTAATAATAATTTCACATTTCTAAATTGCTTTGATGATAAAGGGAGCTGCATTAATTATTTTTTTTAAAGTTTGTTAAGATAAGATCCTGTTAATCTCAAGAAAAACGTATAGAGTTCATTTCAGAACTTTTGAAGTAAAAATATCTCGATATTTTTATTTTTTATCATTAGTTTCATTTTCTCGTTATGCTCATGGCTTTCTACGACACAAGTTATAAGGTGGCGATCGGCGGTGATGCACTTGGCAGCAGCACCTCAAGTGAATGGCCGCTGAACACACACCACCATCTCATCATCGCCGCGCGGCTGTTTGTTTACTCCTCTTTATAATGTGATAGCAAAATTAATTGCAATTAAGTCTAAGTGCTTCTAAGAGCGCAGCACCTCCTTTGCATGTGCATTAAAAGCGTCGGCCAACGCTGCGTGCGAGATGCTGAATGAAATCATTTGTGCACACGGCGTGATTAGAAAATTGTGCACTCTCTTGAGATATATCATGCAGTGATGCTTATGTATCGGCGCTAGAAATGCGCACGCATGACACTCTATTATTTATTTTCATGCTTATAAAAGTATAAACATACAGAGATCTGCGCCTCTCATTATCAGCGAATGAAATTGCATGTCATATATTTAAATTGTTATTGTCGCCAACACGCCATTAAGTGGAGCACCAACCTCCTTAAGATGCACACACGTGCTATAAATAATTGATTGAAAAAGTATCTTGGAAATAATCACCACTTGCACCATACTTATTAATTCAATGATATAAAATCAATTTTTCAATAGCAGAACCTGTATACAACAGTCTATTTATATAATTTAAATGTAATGAAAATTATACATATTTTTTATAAAATCATTTACACAAAATATTATCAAGTACTTCTTATACAGTAAAAAAATCTAAATGAATTTTTAGATATTCAATAATCTTAAATTGCAAGCGACTCATCATATCAGATAAAGTTAGTTTTGATTTAAATTTTAAAAATGCAATTAGGACGCCGGTTCTAAACCATTTGGCCGGCCGTCAACAGTTTTCTCTGTAACAGCGAAGTTAGCAGTGGCGGCGCTACATCCCGTTATCTTATCAATTGTGACACCACGCCAAGAGAGAGAGAGATGATAAATGCAAACTGAAAGGCACCAATAGTCTCGCGGCAGCTAAAAAAATCACCGCCCTGGCTGTCCCAAAGCTGCGAAATGCGCGTTAAAAATGACACTTTCACGCTTTCCACCGCTGCGTGCAAGGTGAAAGCAGAGGCGTACGTTTTTCATTTGAAAAGTGCAAAAAGTAGGTTCTAATATTCATAAAATAGAAAAGGTGCTAAAAATATAATAACTCTCTTATTAATGAAGTTTGCCATTAATTAACAAAATAAACCATTTTTTAATATTGTAATACATATACAAGCCATCTTTCATCACAATTATTGATGCAGACAAATTGGTTAGTTCAATATTTTAATTTACACTCTTTAATCTCCTTACATTAAATAAATAATAATTTTTTTACAGACCGAGTGAACTATCTATTAATCTAAAGTCTTATGCCACTACGTACTCAAAAAATTTTATTTAATTATTGACTTTGTTGTATTCGTTCTGAAAATCCAATAACTTAAAGTTATTTTGCTGTTTATTTGTCAATACAACACATTGCTTAGATTCAATTGTTGAAATCACTAATTCCTTAAATTGAGAAAAAAATTGTTGATCAAAACGGCACCAACACTAGCAAGAATTTTGCTAAAACTTCGGAGATCAAACAGGCCCCATCCGCCGCAGTGAGCCTCGGTTGACTAAACTGTCATTCTTTTATTTAATATTTAATAATATTATCAGTTCATCATATGGCATAGAGGCATGAATTAAATGCGTGGAGATGATGACGTTTTATTTTAGGAAAGATACTCTGGGGGTGACATCAGCTTACCTCAGCATAGCACTGGCACCAAGGACACTGCAGAAAAACAAATGGCGTAGAAAATGAGGCCGCGCTGTTATAGCTCATCAGGCACGTTGCAAAACTAGCGAACAAACATTGCTAATATTATATTATTAAACCTTTTTCAGACCTTTGTGATTTAATAAAAAAAAATAGAAATTATAATTTATTATGCTTTGAATCATTTACACTACATAATAAGTTTCAACTCAATTGACTGCCTTTTTGTTTTGATCCAAAGCGCACACATCAGGGGCAACAACGATTTCAAAAGAGCGGCAGCGTTTTTATATCTCTCGTGGAGCTTGAGATGTGGCTTGTGCGCCTTCGAAGAATGTACCAGCAGCGTGTTTGTCACCATGGCAATTATCAGGTAGACGCGTCACTCCTTGACTGACTGCGATGGCTGTACCCAGAACTGTGACTCTCTTGCCTCTGATAATACGGTCAAATTTATGGCACCGCACCATTTCTATTCTCCGCAACCAGGAAAAAGCATTTTTGAAAACCTTGGGATTTACCGCAGGAAATAAATCAATCTAATTTGAATTATTGAGTATAGGAGGCTAGTTCCAAAAATATTTACCTCTTTATCTTAGAGCTTCTATTAATAATAGTTAAAATTTAATTATTAATTTCATATTTTTATAAATAATTTTCAGTCTTTCACTTTTTCTTTCAAATATTTAATTACTTTCCAATTTTTCTATTGAAAAATTAAGTTCTATATTTGTATAGGTTGTTTATTTGTTTGTGAAATTAAAATTTGGAAAATTTCAGTTTCAAACATATACATTTATTTCTCTTTTTCTGGTGATAAAGAAATTCGTCAGTTTTTCGTCAGCAGCAGACTATTTAATATATATTAGAGAATTCTCATTTCCTCTGTATATCGTACACATTTACAAATTTTGCATCAATAAATTCAAAAACATTTTATATACCAATAATGTCACATTTTGTATTAGGAAAACCATAACAAGAATAAGTAATATTGGATCAATTCAAGAGATGCGGAAGTATCTGTGTTGCATGATGCGATTGTGTGTATGTTCTGTATTTTTATTTTTTAAATGCGTGTGAATAACGCGTGCAGAGAAACAGCAAAGTTAGCAAACACCAAAAATTGGAGCACAGTCAAGATCTTGCAGTGAGGATTTCGTTTTCAAAAAGTACAACAGAGTCTCGCAGCTTAAACACGGAAAATTATTTAATTTTATCGAATACTTCAGCAGATTCTAAAAAGTTGAGCTCTATCTCGCACAATATAATAAACAACATATAGGTCTTTGAGTATGCTGCAAAATTAACCAGTTAAAAGCGATACCTGAAATGAGCTTTCCGGAACAGACAAAAAAAGAAATAAAATTTTTCGGAGAAATTTTTCCATCGTTCGGCTTTTAAACAAACAAAAAATTATAGCGCGGCGCAACACCTTCCATATGCACAATCATGAATGAGATTTCAAAGAGCAAAATGTTTTGGGAAAACTATATATTTGATAAATGGGATACAGCGAAAACTATATTCTATTGTTATTGTGGACTAGTTTCATTCAGCAAATATTTTTGGGGAAATTAATTTATAATCCTCTCGTGAACACATCATTTATATGCAGCGATGAAATTATATAAGAAAAACTCTTAAAACATAAGAAATTAATAAATCAATGAACCGGGCAAGGAGATTATAATAATAATTGTGCGTGTACTCGGCGCCAAACGAAATTGTTATTGTTTTTTTTTCGAGAGTGGATGAGAGAGATAGTAAGTGACTCACCAATAAGACAAACAAAACGCGCGCTCTCAATTATCTAATCAAGAAAAAAAGAATCACCACCATTCACGAATGATCGAGTCGGCCGCCGATTTCGCGCGCGCTCCCAATTAACAATTACGAATCAGCAGCGGCTGCAGTCTGGCACATAAAAATATGTATTAATTTTACAATAATATATTATCGTATGCACATGGTACAAATACAAAATGAGATTTGCCACTTTCCGAGTCCACGATTAAAAGAGAACGAAAGCGTCCACAAAGGCGCGCAAGAGATTTTCATTTGGGAGAGACGATTTTTTTTTTTAAATTTTAGCACACTATAAACTTGATTTCACTGAAAGGCTGCAGTGTTTCTGCTCACTTTGCTCGACCTGTACTTGCACGCGGCGGCCGCGGCCGCGTAGGGGCCGTTGGGCTGCTGGTGCTGCCTAGGGTGCTGCTCCACCTGCTCCTAGGCAAGGGGGTACTGTCACAAGGTGGTGGTGCTGGCCGGCGGGTGGTACAGCGAACTCTGGTAGTAGCTGCTCTCCTGGCCGTTCGGAATGGGACTCAGGGTGTTGTAGCCGGAAGCGGCCGCGTACTGCGCGGCCATGTCGTAGGTCATCTTGATGTCCGACTTGCTCTCGGTGGGCAGCAGCCGCGTGATGGAGAACGGGTGCGTGGCCACGGCGTACGGCGACGCCTCCTGCTTCAGGTGGGCCGCGGCGGCGGCCGCCTGCAGCATGTGGTGGTGCTCGGCCGTCAGGTGCGGGTGGCACCGGTTGACCATGGCGGCCAGTTCGGCCGACTCGTGGCCGGGGTGGTGGTGGTGGTGCGCCACCGGCGACTGCAGGCAGTTCTGCATGTCCTGCTGGTGCATCAGGCTGGCCATCGCGTCCGACGCCTCGATCTTGGGCTGGTGCAGACTCATCAGGTGGTGGTGCTCCTTGTCCAGGGCCTTGAGCTCCTCCGGGTGGTGGTGGGGCGTTTTCTTGCCCGAGTCCGAGGACGACGCCGAGCCGGTGGACTTGTGCACCTGCCGCACGGCCTCCTTCTTCTCGTCCTTGAAGCGTTTCTGGCGGCGCAGGTAGCAGCCGTTCTCGAACATGTTGCCCGAGTCGGGGTGGAGCGTCCAGAAGGAGCCTTTGCCGGGCTTGTCCGGCGTCCGAGGGACCTTGACGAAGCAGTCGTTGAAGCTGAGCGAGTGGCGGATCGAGTTTTGCCAGCGCTGCTGGTTCTGCCGGTAGAATGGGAACAGGTCCATGATGAACTGGTAGATCTCGCTCAGGGTCAGCATTTTGGTCGGCGAGTTCTGGATGGCCATCGTGATGAGCGAGATGTACGAGTAGGGCGGCTTGGCGTGCGTGTAGCTGCGGCGGTACGTCTTGTCGGCGCGCGCCCTTTGCAGGGCGGCCGCCGAGTTGGGCGACGTCGCTCCCTGCGGCACCGTGTCGGCGGCCATGGACGCCGAGGCCGAGTTGATGGCGCTCTGGTAGCCGCCCATGGAGGCCATGCAGGCGCCGTTCATGGCCGCGGGGCTGCCCATCGAGGTGTTGTAGGCGGCCGACATGGACGAGGTCATGCAGCTGCCGTTCATGCCCATCGGGCCCATCCCGGCGGCCGAGCCGAGGCCCATGCTGGACGCGAAGCCTCCGGAGGCCGTCTGCGGCGAGCACGAACTGTTCATGGGCACGCACGACATGCTGGACGAGTTCATCGAACTGTAGGTGGGCGTCATGGACGAGTTGGTCATGCTGGAGGAGGGCGCCGTCGCGTCCGGATACAACTTCTGCGAGGACAGCATGCTAGCCGCTGATCATTCTGCCAACAAATTCAACAGGTTTTGGTGCGGAAAATGTTAAGAGAGCGCGCGCCCGGACTGATTGGAAAAACAAACAGTCCTCAGTACACACACCGCACACACTGGGTCCAGCTATAGTCACTCTCGGTCTGTCCGTGTGTACACCGAAGAAAGAACGTTGGGAAAGTTTACCGCTCTGCTATTAAGCACACATTGCACTTCACTCCTCGCTAATGGTCATCGTCGGCGGCGGCGGCGGTCGGTACACACAAAAACGTACTGGATCACGTGGTGCGCCCTGCTATGTTGACCAAAGGGGGCCTGGCTGGGCTGCAGCTGCCGGTGCGCTCTTCGGCTATTTAGCTAAGAGGAGATGAGCAAACTGAGCGTGTATCTGCGGAAAAGGACTTGAATTAAACCGAGGGAGGCTCCACCACACCATTCCCACTCACCAGCACGCCTGCGTCCATGTCCGTCGAGCCGTCGACTCCGCCTCCGGTCGCTATGGCGACGCCAATCGTTCCTCGCGCTCGCTCCGCCCTCGGCACGCACGGCAGCCGCGACGTCTGCACCCCTTGCCTTCCTTGCAGTAGACGGATGCTGCTTTCCACCCTGGCTGTGCGAACGAATGTTGTCAATGCACCGCGGCCGATGCTCTCTCTGCTTCTGCTACCCCCGTCGACGCTCGCGCCGCGTCGTGGCCGACCTCTCCAACTAGCCGCACTGGCACCCTTGAGCAAGGTGAGTCATTCATTCTCGCTCTATGCTCAGGGATGACTTCCTTGCACGTGATTCAGGCGCCGCGGCATAATCGCCTTTAAATTGCATTCTTGCCACTGGCGACCGTTTCGATCCGCACGAGTTTTCTGTGGATTGCTCGAGAAGTGAAATTTTTATCAATGGAATGAAATTATAACATTCAACAAATTTAAAATAATTTATTAAAAAAATCTTCGCCGGTTATGACAATTTGATTTTTCAAATTAATGCAATTTCATGTAAATTTGATTAACGAGAAATTCTTCAAACCGGGAGATTAAATTCAGAGCGGAAAAAATTAAGTTAAACCCAAAATAAAAATATTATTCACATAGAAAACGTTTATCAATTTGAAGTTCCTGGCAATTAGCGGCAGGCAGCGCTTCCAAATTTTCTAACTTGAGAGGCGCCGCCGGGGTTGAGCTCTCCCGAAAAACTATTCGACTCTTTGAAAAAATTTAATTTTAATTTACAAAAACCTAATTAAATTAACCTCTCAATGCATTGATAATAAATAACAACTCAAGACTGTTTAAACTGTTGACAACAATGTAAAATAATAAAGGGTTTGCATGGTTCTATTTTTCTCATAAAATATAAAATGAAATAAATATAAACTTATTGTATGTGATTTTGTAGAGAAAAGCATGAACTTTCGTTACGCAATTGTAGTTTAAGTATAGTTAAATAAATTTTTGATATAATATAGCAAACGCTAAAATGTAAAATTTTATGCTTAAGATATACATTTTTTGAGATTTTATTTGAAATAGGCGCATTGAATTCATAGCGTGTGGAATTTTGTAAAGTGTCAAGTTTGAAATAAAAATTCCAAGTGGTTCAAAACTTTAGGCGCATCAACGAAACACACTTCTCTCCGAGAAAGGGTGAACCGCTTGGAATTGTTATTTCAAAATTTGACAATGTACCAAATCGCCAGACCTGCAGGTGCTTCAAATTGATAAAAACATTTTGTCGGTATATATAATTATATTATATAAAAAAAATTCTTCACTTTTCATCGGTTTCTTAAAAAAAGTTATTTTCTCAAAAATTTTATTTAATTTAATATGCGCTTCACACAAAAATTTCAATTGGGGAACTTAATCATCATCTAAGTATACTATCATTTTTTATTTTCTTAAAACAATTTATTAATTTATATTTTAATATTTCACTTTGCTTTTTTAATTACCAAATTATCATCCTGATAATTATATATTTATTTATTTATTATATTAACGAAAAATGAAATATTAAAAATTTTGTATGATTTTTGAGCCATTCAACCGTGCAGATTACAGACACTCTCTTTTCAACTGATCAGAGAAATAAAATTGTCCATTTGAAGGCGCGCACCTGAAGTGCTCATCCATCGCGGCAATAAAATCCAGCAGCTTGTTTTCTTGCTTTAATAAGCTTGAAAACATTTATAGTGCGCGATCTTTTTTATTAATTGAGAGTCAATATTGACTCAGCCGCGCGTATTATGTGTTTATTCGTGGCAATGATAGCAAAGCTGACGCCAGAGAGAAACATCAACACACAAAAACACCTTTGCGGGCGCGCGAGAATTTGTTGTGTGATGCTGGGTGGCCCAAATGAGCCGTTGTTGGCCGCGCGCGGAATAGAGCCGTCATTAAGAAACCCCCTGCCTGAGAGCATCAATGTCCTTATTAACTGTCGTTTATCCGCCCATCATCAAACTGTGACTTGCACATTCTCTGTGCCGACCGACCCTCTGGTGTCTGCTGTGTGATGACGAGATGAGGTGCCTCTTGAGAGGCTGCGGCGGCTCGAGTTCTCCGTACGTGAACACGCTCAAGGATGACACGCAGCGTTGCTCTCCAGCGCGCACTTTTCTTTTCTTAATATTTTAACATACAGCCGAGGATGAGACAATCCTCTCATTCTGTAATATGTACCTATAATTTTGTTTTCATTGAATAATGCATTATTAACTCTAGCAATAAGAGAGAAAATAATAATGAAGAAAATTTCAATTACTTAATTTGTTAAAGGTAAAAGATGACATATGACAAGTTTAATTTTCTTTGCAGCAACAACAATATTTGTCTTGTTTTTTAGTTTTTTTTTTTTTTATATTCTCATCATGAGGATAATTTTAAAGTTATAAAATAATTGAATATTTATATTAGCTCTTGTTGAAGTAAACAGTTGAAGGCAAAAATTTCTCAGGAAGTACTGAATGTAACCGAAATAATATTTTAATTTCTTCTTATTTCAAGCCTTAAAAATTAAAATATTTTTTGCAACTTAGCAAAATGCCTTGAAGTACAGCAATTTTAATGTGAATGAATCAGGAATGATTTTTTTAGTTACATTCATGATAAAAAAATGTTTTCATTACATTTTTGTTTCCAAAACACAGCAAAATTTTACATATAATTTAGAAAAATTGCCATTATACGTCTAAAACAACAATGTTAAAAAATAATTTAGATATAATTTTATTCAAATGTTAACAATCTTTAAAAATATAAATGTGAAGTCCTGTTTTAATTTGATTTCAAATTTGAAATGCAAATAAGATGTCTAAAATTGTATTATTCTTTTAATATTACCATGGAAACAGAGTGGACTACATCATGCTCTTTATTTTTAATTCAATATAATTTCAAAAATAAACAAAATACATGAAATAAACTGACAATCAGTTTATTCATTGCAATAGATTGAAATAATAATTATCACTTTAATCGAATCGCTTTTTATATTAATTATATTTTTATCTTTATATACACTGGTTTTAAAGTAAATCCACTTGTAAGATAAAATGCAAAATATTTTACGTTAATTAATTTAATTTTAACTTGTGCCCACGTCTCTCCACTCCATGTCCTGTTCTGCGCTTCAGTCTGCTGTCTGCTTGTGCAGAACAGGGGGAAGGATAAGTTCAACGCGCATATCGCAATTCGCACCTTTTCAGATATAATTGATGGTGCTAATTACCGTCCTCGACAGAATAATTAGCACTTCGCATCTCATCCTGCAACAAAGCAGTTGCTTGCCCTGTGGACCAAGCATAATTTACCGTGCTTTTAATAAAATGTCAAAACTTTCGCTTGAAAAAAATTATATTGCCCCATGACGCAATGTACTCAAATTTCCGCAATTTCACTTTTGAGAAAAAAAAAATTATGCGAGTAGAACATATTTTCACATATACCAGGAAAAATGAATTAACTGCTCTCTTTTTCTAAATTAGCAGGCCACATGCTGCACTTCGGCACTTTTTTCCATTTATCGCAGGCAAACGAGCGTGATCAATTTGTCATAACAAACCATAACAGATTTCAACTCCTGCGGCGGCGAAATAATCCCCAAGCGTGCCTCCCTGTATGGCTGCACGTCTGCTGATTTCCACCCCCAAGGCAGCATCAGTCACATAGCAGCCTTTTACACGCTTCGCCGATATAAACGCTGCTGACAGGGGTGAAATAAATTCATGGGCCGCGTGGTTAGCAGATAAGCCCGGCTGTAATGAGGGGATCTATGTGGGAATAACAATCAGCAGCGGCGGTGGGCGCTGTCCCAACCCAGCGTCCACCCCCTCGGCATCAATCTCGGCTCAGCCAGCGCGCGTAACAAAAATAACACAATTGTATCATCACCCCTCGCAGCCTCTCACGCACACACTTTCCACCACGTGCGAAGCCGAGCAGTGCATAATTAGTTTTTAATCAAGTCGATCCGTTCCGCTCTTTCGCACCACATTATACCGGTGCGTGAATAAAAACAGCTCAATCAAATAACAAACTGTATCAAAAACAAACAGCACCACAATTGTGTTCTCTCGATCAGCAGTTCCCACCATTCATCCTAAAACTCTCATTCTCTTTTTCTGCAGCTAAGGAATGCGTTATTGCAATTATAGCTATAGGCAATATTATAAACTTTTTTAAATAAATTTTGACGGTGCCATCAACAGTATCCGTCTTAAAATGTTTGTAACCAATGCTATAATTTCACAGACAATTCAAATTCATAAACAAACACGATTTTTTTTTCATTTCTGGTATATAATTATTGTTATGCGGTAAGTGCATAATGAAACTTTTTAAATTAACTATTACCGCAGCATGTCATATATACAAAACTATTGTGGCATGGAACTATTAATTAAAATCACTCTCTCAATTGATTTGCGATGCGAAACAAGACGGGCCAGAATTATAGAATCTCTTTTGTTGTCCGCTTTTTGTTTGGGGGATTCACATTTTGTCGCGTCATCGCTCTTATACACGCGCTGAATGCATTATAATGGTGCTGTGTGTTAATTTTCTAAAAGCAGCCAGTGCTCGCGGTCGCGTCATGCCCGTGCACAGTCAGTCGCGCGTGGTTCAAAGTTCGGCACTCCATTAGAAATAATAAAATCGGAGAGAGGAACAAGAATGAGACATCGTCATGTCACTGCAGACTCAATGGGGCTGTTGGGCTCTATTATTTTCAAGGAGGAGGAAGAGAGAAATATAAAATATTATAATATATAGAGAGAGAGAAAGACTCGCTCAGCGGGAAACATCTCACCTGCAATCGCGTTTGTAATAAAAAAGGATTAATTATTAAAATAATAAATATCATATTTATATAAAAAGTTATATTGAATTGCGAGATGAGTAATGGATTTTTTTAAGATGCAAAGATGTGAATGAAGAATTATGGAAATAATTTATGAAATTTATCTCTAAATATAATTTTTGAATTCATACTTGATGCATAAATTTATGGCCAGCAATAATTGCCTTTTGTGATTCATCAATGAACGCAATTTGCAATTAATGAAGGACAAAAATACCCATTTCAATTTTCAATTACTAACTTTGAATATCAAACCAACTATTCAATTGTTTTTTTGTATTGTTTTTTTAACAGAACTAAAACCATGGTTCCAAAATAATAAAAGAGATTTTAAATTCAATTAATTTTTTATATGACTGTATACAGCTTAAAGTTAACATTGAATAATTTTTTTCTCAAAGGATGACGTAAAGAAGAAATAAATTGTAAAGGCGAATGCGAAAATTTTATCAAAATAATCTTTTTGCCTTCTTGCCAAATCGCATGAGTGCCTTTTTCTTTTTTACAAAGTCGCGACAATCAAAGTTAATGAGGCTCTAATTACGCAAGTTGGAGCAAATATTTGAGCGCTCGAATGCGTGCATCCCTCTCTGCTCTCGCGTCAACTGATGGCGGCGGGAAAACGCCTGCTTTTATTTTATTTGCTTGCACTTTGCTCAAATAAACGCGCTTTGGTGCTGTTTCTTTTTTCGCTTGCAGCGTTATTTGTTTTATCTCTGTCGCGGTCGCCATCTCATCTGCGCTGTTTCTTAATCTCTGTTTTGTTTAAGCAGGCTCTCTCTCTCTCTTCTCCTTTTCTCTTAATACAAGAGCACACACACACCCCGCCTGCGAGCATTGCGGTTTGTGCCAAGATCGTTTGCTCAGCGATGATATTGCAAATACACCTGCTCTTCCGTGAAATATTTATTAGAAAAGCAGCGCGCGCGCATCCAGCAGCACCTTGCGTATAATATATACCTGCTGCGCCAACCCGCCCAAGAAAGGGGTGCAGAATGTGCTGTTTGCAGTGAGATAAGGAGTGGATCGCCTTTGCAATTCTGTTTGCCCAGCCAACGTAGTTTAGCATTTAAATGACTTGGCTCGACAAACTTGGCCACCGCAGACGCAACTACAGGGGATGACCAGGAGGGGATAAAGTTTATACACTAATTATTGCCCCTCCTAAGATGGCCATTAATTATTATTGCTTAAAGCCCAGCTTTCGTGGCCCTTCAGAAATTCAAATTTACTTCCAAAAATATACCAGTACCAAACTGCAAATTCAAATTTTAAACCCGATTAAAATAATCAATTATGTTTTTTATAAAATTGAAGAGTTTAAATTTATTTATAGGCGCATTTAAATTAGTTAATTTCAAGTATTTTTCTGACTGAATAATAAAACTGAGTAAAAACTGTGCAAATATTTTGTTTCAGGCGTCTTCCCAATGATAATAATTGTCAGCGGTTGATTAACGCAACGCATTCAACTTTGGTCACAATGACGACAATACATAAAACAACGCACTGCAAGAGACTGGAAGAGACCGCTAATGCATCTCATAGGGAAAGACTTGAAGACGCGCATTACGCGCAATAAATAACACTTCAGGTCATCTGGAAACTATCCCATGTGATATTTTCTTTGCTGAGAAACCCCCCGACTTCTCCCCTACTTTTCCTATAAATCCTATAAAAGTGAATGTGTGCAATGTGTATGTGTTAAAGAGGGAATTAATCAATGTTATATTTAGTAATGTTAAATATATTTAATAACATTTTGTATTGTAATTATCGAAAATGTATATGTATGAAATATAATAATTACGCACCGAAACACCAAAAGGCAATTTTTTTTGCAAAACTAGCACTTTTATTATCAGTAATTTTTGAAGTAAATTTTTTTTTAATTTCCATATTTTGTTTTTAATCTTTATTTTGTTTAAAATTTTGTCAAAATTGTGAGCAAACTAATAGCGATTCACCAATGATTTTTCATATTAATTTAGATAAACCTATTTTTGTTCATCATTCCCATAAAATAAAACTGAAGTTAAAATCTATTTGCTTCTGCTTGATTGGCTTACTTGAGTCACTTCACAACCACTTTTTGCACCATCAGAAACATTTGAGTGTGCATTAAAACTGATTGTAAATCTTAATTCTATTATAAAGACAAAATGCTTAGCCCTTAGCCAATAATATTTTTTTTTTTAATAATTCTTAAGGTACATGACTGTAGTACATGGCACAGTAAAAATATATCATACAAAAAATTTCTGAATCCAATTTACAAACACCAAGCATCCCATCTCACAATCGAACAATCAGTGCTGTTTATAAATGATATGGATGGGAAAATGTATGTTTGCAAACATCCCATTGCAACCATTCAAGCAATGAAATGCTTGAATTAAAAGCACTCGTCTGAACGTGTGTTGAATGAGAAAAATGCTAATGGAAAATAATTAAAAATAAAAGGGATCACTTTTTCAATATTGACGAGTGGAAATGGAAAAGAGCCGCCGCGTTGTCCACTTGAGCGCCGGATGCGGAGAGGGTGGTTGAGTCGGGGCACGTGCCGCCCCGCGGCCCATGCGAGAAGCACCCCCGACACGTGAGTACGACAATGAGCGCATTGCGTGGCCCGAGACTGTTGTTTGTCCAATGCAAAGTGCATTATTTATTTTCTCACACGGGTCTTCTTTATTATTGAGGATTTCGCGTGTCCTATATTAAATTTTAACCCCCTATCAGTGTAAGACTTGGGATTAAGGGGCCGTGTGTTTACATAAAGGCAAAGGTTGCCATTCAGGATTAAAATTTGCTCGAGTTTACAATAATATTTCATCGCGTGTGTCTTGGATCTATTTTTTTTTTTTTTAGGGTCAGGCCAAGACAAAGTCTTGTCAGCCTGTGCCCTTTATTGGTGGTACAGAAGGCACCACCCAATTAATCTATAATCAAGTTGATCTGTTTTAAAGAATAAAGTAAAATATTTGTTTGAAGGTTGCGAATCTTTTTTTATTGAACATATTGATGCTAATAATAATGACCAATGCAATTATGCTGATTATAGCGGATTATATAATGTATACATACATATTGAGTTTGAAATAATTACTTTAGGTTTCAGACAACTTTTGCTCACAATTTGTTCATATTGAGTTAAAAGTGACAAGGAAAGAGGCAAATAAAAATAAAATATTAATCCAAATTAAAGTAGTGCTCACAGCTCATTATAACATAATAGTTGGCTTTTGTATTAATTTAAATTACCAAAGTACAAATAGTTATTTTAAAAAGCAACACCATATTTGCTGTTAAATAATGAGATTAATGAGTAACAACATAAAACATATTGCTTGAGTATGAATACAACTTGTGAGGTTAAATGAACCTTCACAAATGACTACATTGCTCATGAAAATTAAAATTCGTTGAAGTATCAAAATACTGTTTGTTGAAAATAAAGTTTGACAAGTGTAAAATTATCATGTTTGCTCCTTGGAGCGCTCAAAGCTAGCTAAAGGGAATATTTTTGATGCGATTCCCAATAAAAATTAAATAGATTGCGCCAAAACTGGGATATCAATAAGAAGCATATAAAATAAATAAAAATTTGAGAAGTACGTGTGAAAAAGGATCAAACTGCCCTTTTAAGCTGCAAAATAATTACGTTCTACAATTTTACACAGTCCTACTTTAAATGAGTAACAGGTACAGGGAACAATGATTACTTATATTTTAAATTTTAATGATTAAAAAAAAAACAATTTACATTGTCAAAAATCTTTTTCATCAAGGTTTAAATTTACCCAGCAGGACGGTCAACTTTAGCTCCAGTCTACGTTTCAAGACGGTATTTAAGGGACGAATTTGATTTATTTTGGTTCCTACAATGACCATGGACAAATTCAGATTATTTTTTGCCTTTAGTCTCTTTAGAAAGGGTTGTCTACAGGTTATACTTTAAAGGGCAAAGTCAAAAGGAGGAATTAAAAATTTTAGAAAACCACGCCTGAAGTTATTTGGGTCATTTTTGTTTCTGGGCATTGGAACACATTTTGTTGGATTTTGGATACATTTTTTTTTAGTATTACAACGAGATCTTAATCATTTGGAAATGTGTGTTTCCAAACAAGGTCATGGTGATATGCATATTCGTTGAGTGGGGCCCAGAATCTCAAATGTCATTTTTCCCTTTGGTTTGTCTCCAAAAAGTTTTGTACTTGATTGATATTGAAATACAGAAAAAAAAGAGCTGCCTTACAATAAATTTACAAATTGCTACCAACACACAACAAACATTGAAGTTTTTATAATAATTAGCATTTATAAGACTTGTTACAAACTTAAGATATATTCCTTGTAATAATAGTATGGAAGCAACATGCATTTTGACAATTTAAATATTAGAATTGAGAATAAGCTGGCTATGATGAATGCACACAATTTACAATCTAAAATATTTTCAAGGAGGTTGATACAATGTGAATTAATGTTCAAAAACACTTCGAAGTGCTATTCATCGTAAAATGACAAATTTATCAACCAACAATCCAAGAGAAAATTAACAAATTGTGTAATAATGAAGTATATTCACAATCCCTTAGTTTATTGATGTACATTATTATTTCCAGAGTCAAAATAGAGGCACACACATCTAAGTTGAGAGACTAATTGCGTAAAATGCTTAGAACAAAATATTTGCCCTTTGATATAGTGTAAAAAAGAAAATTCAAGTTTCAGATTCTTGCATTCATGTTATGTAATGGTTGGCTTTGAAAAATATAAGGCCTCAACAATTTTGAACGATGGACAAGCAACAATCAAATTACTTTTGGTATTCAGGCAGCGGTTTCACTATTTCCTCTTGGTAGGCTCGATGCACACTTTCGCAAACAAATCGGTACTGCACCTGGAGATAAATTTTTATTAAATTGATGTTAATTAATTAAGTGGAATAGAAAACTTACAGGTGTCTGGATCATCATTGCTCTTTGGTCTCTCATCGTGCGGACAATGTCCAAGGGGTAAACGGGCTCATTTGCTTCAATGAGACACATGGCTGTCTCCATAAGTACCAATACTCCAGTTCGGCCAATACCAGCAGAGCAATGCACAATGACTGGTTCCGAGGTGCCTGCTCGAGCTTGCCTGACCTTCTTGCAAAAGTCAATAAACTCGGAGCATTCGTCCGGTACACCGTGATCAGGCCAAGCGAGATACTGCATGTGAGAAATTTGTCTCTCCTCTCCAGTCTGCAAAAAAGTTGATTTAAAAAAAAGTTACTTAAATTTTATTAGTCAATTACCTTAGTATTCTTAAGGGTGAATTCCCTAAAAGAAAAGCTCTCATCTTCAGATTCTTGACTGCAAGACACTTGCAGCGATTCCATTTCAAGAGGGGCCTTGTCTGACGAGGGCCAGTACTTGTGGCATTTAACCCTGCCTCGTTCCACCACAGTTGTCAGCATCACAACCAGCGTGCTCTGAGATTCGTGGACCATGTGCCAGAAGTCGCCAACAGTACTTGGCAAAGGTCCTTGTGTTGCAATGTATCGATTGATGATTCCTGAGCCCGGTATCTCCATGTTTACTGTGTTAGCATTGATGTAGTCCCCACTTTCGCATTCTGTTAATATCACCCTGGTTGCATCATCTAAAATAATTGATTTCATTATAAATTTGATTTACTCAAGATATCAAAATTACAAAACTTACATGGCGAAATATCCCTGTATCGATTCTTGCAAATGTTTTCTGCCTTTTTGGACTCTTCTGCACTTAGCCCAGGCTTCTTCCTGTATAGCTGCTCGAACTGCTGCATTGCGGAACCACTTTCAAGTGTTTCTGCCAGAAGTAAAATTGACTCGGCAAGTGCATCAGCTTTTGGAACAGCTGAAGGAACATGCTGCACATCAAGGACATACTGAAACGCTGGCTCCTCTGCTTCTCTTGTTTCATAAACTGAGAAAAAAAACAAAGTTTATTTTTTTCCCCTCCATATGAAAAAATTTCTCACCATTAGGCCGCACTGTGAGGACTAGTTCACCACTCTGAGAATCGCGTGATGTTCTTATTAGATTCACAACTTGGTCGTGAGTCAAGCCAGACGTTTCCCTTCCATTTATCAGTAAAACCTAAAATTATTTCTAATTAAAAACCCCACAATATCTTCCAAAAATCCCTGACCTGATCTCCTTCGTTCAGCCGAGGGTAGCAGCAGTCCGCTGGGGTGTTTGGTGCAACTCTTGATACCAAAATAGGTAACCCTAAATCAGAGCCACCCTTCACATTGAACCCAAATCTGCCATCCACATCAGGACTGATGCGAATTTTGACAAGCGCGTCTTCATGAGCTTCGATGTACGGCGGAATATCGAAGGCAGGTCGTTCCGTCTCTTTGATGTCAATGTAGTCGATTGTTCGGGGCAGCTTAAGCGTCTCCAAAAATCCTCCCTCGCTGTTAGCAATTAATCATCATATGTTTTTAAAATAATTTAATCACACATACTCATCGGACGGAGCCGAGTCTTCCCATGCCTTTTTAGGCTCTCTGCCGAGTGACTGCACTTTATTGTCATAAACTCGAGGTGCTCTTGAAGAGGTTGTGACTGTCTTCTGTTTCTCGTCGCAAATAGGAACAGTGTGCCTGACAATTTTCTTACTAGGAGACCTGCCAGAAATTAATATCATGATTTCAAAGCAACTTTTTAAAGGACAAATCATACCGAATAAATGTTCTCTCCAATCTAGCACGTCTTTTGCATTCTTCCACAGTCTGAAATTCGGTTCGACCAGAGTAGCGGAATTTAGAGCCCAAGGTGAAAACAAATCTCCTTGCCCTGGCTCGAGGAGTGTGCAGACGGAAGAAAGTATGGTGCTCGACACAAGATTTCCAAAGGTTTTTGGAAGACCTGTAGCTCTGCATGTTAAATCCTAAAACTGTATCGTATTCCTCGCACTGCTAAAGCAAGGTTAATTAATTAATTTTATGAAATACAACTTTGACATGATGAGCTTACAGGTTCTCGTCGAAGGTTGATGAAAAATTGCTTCCGCTTAAAGGAAATCTTGATTATTTTGGCCCATGAAAATAGATTGATCCTAATGCCATTGTGAAACACAACTAATCCTAAAGATGTAACACCTAATTGAATTTCTTTCCCTGCGTCATCCTGCACAAACACAAAAAAAAAAATTATAAATCATTTGAATCTTCTTGACCATTGACTTACCATAGCCTTGTGGAGGTCAACACCATACATTTCTAGCCTCTTTGCATGGTCTAAGAAGTTAAACTCAGCATCAGCTGGAGTCTGACCCCTAAAAATGGCATAAATTTAAAAATAAAATACAAATAAGTTTACAATATTCTGCATACTTGTGAAGTTTATGCAGTTCAGCGACTTTCTTCTCCATCTCCTCATTCTGGCCCGGAATCAAAGGCAGCTGACTCAAATAGCCAGGCGCATGATCGTCGGAGTGATAGTCCCCCAACTCAGCTGTAAAAGAATGCCCTTTTTGATAAATATCTCTGGCGTCCAAGACTGGACCACTTACACTGAACTATGTAACTAGCCAGCAAACAAGCTGTGCTGGCAGGAACTATCAATTTGCCGTCCAAAATGTCTCTCCTCAGCTGCAGGAAAAAGTGGTACCGAGTGTACTCCTCGTGGAGTTTACTAGGATCAGTCACATAGAACTTGACTCGAAAGAATAGTTGCCCATCTGGGAATAAGAAATTAGAAAAAAATCCAGAAAATGAAATATTCTCACGTCTCAGCTGCTTCTTCACTAATTTCAAAGGGTCAAGCCACCTCTGAAAAGTATTTTGTAGCAAATAAGTAAATTTTTCCTCACAGCATAGACAAGTTACCATCAGATCATTGTTGGAAGAACAGGGTGGGTTTCCGTTTTCTGAAAACTGCAATCCGAAGTAATCCTTTTCCACAAGCTCCAAGTGCTGGAATACTTTGTCCAGCAGCTCCTGACCTTTTGCCTTTTTCTATATATAAAAATAAATAATATCAGGTGAAAAAAACCTTACTCAAGATAAGTGAAATCTTACATCAAGTTGGAACGTATGTTGCGAGTCATCCAAGAAGGTGACAGTAGCACTGAGAAACTTAAGATTTCTCTCCCTCTCTCGCTCGGAGGCCCTGACGTGGTAGGTGCCACTGGAGCCGCCAAAGGCCCTTCTTGAGATGTTCTCGATCATGCTGCGGCCTCTTTGTGTCAACTGCTCCAGTTTGAATGCGGTAGGCAGCTGCTTGTGTCGGTCAATAATCTATTCCATTCACCGCTGCCTGCAAAAAATAATGTAGACAAGTAAGTTATCGGCTGAACTAATACATAGAGCTAAGGCATGTAGTTTGTGGTGTGCTTGGCACTTGGTGGGCTTTTCATGACTACATATAAATTGTGTGTAATTCAATTGATCTTCCAAAAAGTACTCGTACCTGCTGATTGAAAATGACGGCCAGTTTTCATCATTCAGTGCTTCGCTGCCAAGGCACACTAAAATGTTATAAAAAAGTATTAATTCAATCCAATTTAAATTATTTTTAAATATTTCTTGAGAGCTTAAATTGGTAAAAATGGCTGCAATTTAGAAATAAACTTACCTTGCTTGTTACAGAAAATTCTGCATGATGCAAAACTCCGTTAAAAGTCTGCATATTTTTATTGTCTTGACGTGAAGTGAGAGAGTAGAAATTAGAATTCGCTACTTTGCGATTAGTCTTGTTTGGACGAAAGGGCTGAGCGGAGTGGCTTAATTTAAATTATTACATTAGTTTAGTCCTGTTTTGTGAGGTGAAGGCGCCAAAGGCACCCGAAGCATTTTAGAAGGTGGTCCAACTAAAGACAAATTCGCATCTTCGCTCAAAGTTTGGTTCTCCGTCAGCCATTCTGCGCAGAGTTAATTTTTTAATTAGCCGACAAAGAGAGACAGATTTTCGATATTAGCAAATTAACTAATTACAAGGATACTCACCAATTGTTATTGGCGGCGTCGGAGTAACTGAGCGTGCCAATTTTAATTAATAAACTCGCAAATTACGCCTCCTTTCAAAGAAAAAGGCTTCAATTTCGGTTCGGACAATTCCCCTAACTTCAGGCCCGGGAAGCCAGGTTCAGAGCTTCTGAGGTTCAGAGATCGTAACAACAACCGGTTATCGGCCGATCGTCAATTGTTTTTTTTTTTAACAAAATTACCGCAGGCCGCAGGCAGTAGAGTCCGCTGTCCGCTGGCTGCAAGGATGAGATCACTCGATCGCGTATATCATTAATATCATATTATATCATTCAATATATCAATAGATGATTTATTGTCAAATTATTTATTTATCGACCTTTTAAAAGGAGCAATTGCCCCATTTTGGCCTTTTTGCGACTGCATTATTCTTTTCAAGTGCATTATTAATTACGATTAATTATTCTCATAATTTAGTATTTAGTAATTTAAATTTTTCAAAATTCAAATATGAAAAAAAGCCCATTGCAATTGCGGAAAGCATAATGCAATCTTAATCTGAAATCATTTTTTTAATCCAATTAATCCTATAGCTCTGCACTCTGCGCGGTCGTTAAATTGCATAGTTGAAGCGAAAATCTTTATTCCCAAACAATATAAAGAAGCTAAAAATAGTAAAATAATTATTTATTTATGGGTGCCCGGTGCATCGTGGTTGGGGCAACTCGCGATCCGCGATGATAACACGCATAAGTTCAAGAAGCTAAAATTGTAAAAAAAATTCATAAATCTCAACTATATTTATTTTCCAATTGTAACTAATTTCATCAGCTTTTATCAATAATTATTTGTTAAAATTAAAATCATCAAGAGAGAATTAAAATTATATATATTTTATTCTCATATTTATTTCAAATAAATTTTGGAAAATTTAAACACGTTATAATTATTATAAATTCCTTATATTTACACTCACTTTTTTAATTATTAAAATATTTTTGTCACGATCGACCGCGACACAAGACGAGTGGCGAGAATCATACTTGTTTATCAGAGGATGGCCGCGGCCTCACTAAACAGATCGGTCGCTGCTGCCTGCTGGCTGCTTTGGAGATTTTTGTGGGGGTGGAAGAAGAGAAGGAAGCATGTCAGGTATAGGCAATCGTCAATAACAATAGAGAACACAAAAAACAGGTGATCCAAGGAGACTTAAAAATGTTGAAAATCTCACAAAGCGTATATACAAATAGCATGAGAATGCGCTCCTAACTTATTCTCCTAAATTATTTATTAATTTTACAAAATATAATTATGTGGGTGCAAAATTTTTGACACGGCCAATATTAGGTTCGTTGAAATCAGCATTAAAATTGTCAAATTTTGATGAAAGTTAATTTGAAATTAAAAACCAGAGGTCAAGAGGGCAGCGGGTGACCTAGGGCACTTAGAGCTTTAACAATACCTTCTTGCTCTGGAGCTTAAAATTTTGAATCAACCATCGTTAGAATTATGCGATTCGGACCAGTGGGAGCAAAGTATTTGCGCTCGGCAGTTTAGTATGAACATCACATTTTTAAGAAGGTTGAATTAAATTTAAATTATTCTATTGATGCCATTGACAAGAACGCTTCAAGTGTTTTGAGCCAAGTCTTTAAGCAACTAATCATAATTAATTTGTGTTTTTTACTTGAAATCTATGTGCTGCAGTCAAAGTTGAAGTGGAAAAAACACTGTAATAATTTTGCATAGATGTTTCAGAATCTGAATTCTCACAATAAAAAAACAATAGATGTATTTGAGCTTAGTTGTGAATTTTCTCAATTTTTACTTCATTAGCAGGCGAGATAATTAATAAAAACTCTGCGACCCGCCTCAAAAATTTTTGGACTAAAAAGCCGCGGTCGTCTCACACAAGAGAGACATCGGCGTCATTGCGCTGTTCAAGTTTCTGTACAAACGAAAACTCAAAAAATCGTAACTTTGGTCCTAATGATCCGAATAATTAAATTTTTGAAAAATATAAAAGATTTTTCAATCTCAAAAAATTGGTATCAACATTTGATTAAATATAAAAGATAACAAGCAAGCTATTAGGCAAATATCTCTTTTATGAATACACATAGCTTGTAAAATTTAAAAAAAAAATATATATAAATTTGTTCAGAACCGTGGAAAAAATTTGTATACTTTGATCTCATACAATGCACCACAGCCTAATGAAAATGAATGCCTGTAATATTCTTATTTTATTTGGGTTAAATTAACTTATTTTATTTTGACCATGTTCATAAAAATATTCTGCTGATAATTATATAATATTATGTATTTCTAAATTTAAGAAGGTGAAGAAATATGACATATATATTTTTAAATGTATTAAATATGCATGCATAAAAATATTAAAAATACTTGTTCCTGAGACGCGGAAAAGATAGTACGCAGTGAACTATAAATTCCAGCTTGAGTGTCATTTTTTGCGTGTGCTTTTGGATTCAAATTATAAAAATACGTCGCGCCACCCCGCTCCACAAACAACCGGTTACCGATATCCCCGCCCCCTGCCGGTATAACCGTTTGAACCTGTGAACCTGGCTTCACGCTCGCCTAACTTCCTCCTCCAGTTTTCGACAAATCTTCGTTCGCATTCCGATTCGCGCTTGTTTTCAATTTCCTGGCGGATGGCGCGAGTTTAATCTCGCATGGTAACAAACCACCCCCGTGCACGAGCGGACTTCAAACTTCTTAATTTTCCCTTGTATAGTTTGAAAATATTAGATATACTATGTATTTATTGCTCGGGCGCGCCGTTATAAACACTTCGCAATGCTACACTTCACTGCTTTTGTGTCAATCATGTTTTTTCCACAACTAGAAAATCCATCAAAAACTTTACACTCCTAAAAAATTTAGTCCCTAGTCAGTGAACTTAGAAAATAATATGAATAATATATTCCGCATTAAAAATTTCAACTGTATAAAATGATTTATTTTATCTTAAAATTTTTATTCCATGTCAATTTCGGAAAATAAAAATGAAAAGGCTGAAAATAATTAATTAATAATTTTTATTAATACACTTATAATGCTACTCCAAGTTGCAGATCTAGAATTTTGTAATTACTTGACTTCAATTGTTATTAGTAACTCCGAATTGCTTTTTTGCATTTCGTCAGAAAAATTTACTCTTGGAAGAGAAGTTGAAATAACTGTCTTCATATATCTTGTATATTTACTTGCAGCCTTTTATCTTTATATGCTTTATATATAAGACCAGACACGCAGCAGTAAAAACTGTCGCTTTTAAATTTTTTTGCCATCAAAAGCGCTCCTCTGTGGAATAATTGAAAGTGCTGCTGCTGCGCGACGCTCTGCCCGACGTCATTGTTCCCTCTTTGGCACGGAGTCTGGATAAGACGCGCGCTGCGCGCTCATTATGTTCATCACCCCAGCTCCTCATGCGAGTGCTCCGCCTCCTCTCCACTCTTTATATATGTTATGCAAAGAATAATTTTTTTTATCAACCTTATATACCTTTTTATTTCAAGTAAAAATATTTAGGAATAATTATGTTTGTGCGACTTTTTGGTCTTTGCAGACTTTTAAGTTTTAAACTGGAATTAAATAAATTACTAAAACACAAAAAAAAGTTTTTCACTCATATCAAATTTATATAATAATAAAAAAGAATAAAAAATAAATCATTAAAAATTATATTCTAGTTTAGTGCACAGGATCGGAGAAAGGAAAAAAACATTTTTAAAGTAAAAATAGGTCCATGATGTATTTGTTTGTGGCCCTGAGGCACTTTTACATTCATAAGAATTACATAAAACATTTAAGGATACTATACCTTACACGTATTTTAAATATTCATTTTCTGGTATGTATTGAATGCATTAACTCCAAATGAAAAATGTGTCCATGAAATATAATCAACTGACAAACATGCTATTCATAAAACTTATCAATGTACAGAAGAATATTACACTTAAAAACTGGAATTATTGCAAATTTTTGAACACATTTTGTTTCATTGAGCACCTCTTTCTTGGAATAAAAAAAATTTGAAATTTGTAAAAGATCTTATAAATTATGAGTGAGAATATATAGAAAGAAAGGATGAAATCTTGGTTTACCATTTTAAAACTGCGTCAGTTTTTTTAAAAATTCTGATTTACACAAGAGTATATCACAGCCCACCCAAGATTTCGGAAATACTTTATGTGGCCCACAGGTTATTCAGACTTGGAAGGAGACTCCGCACAAGAAGTTCCAATCTCACCATTGTACCCAGTTTCGCTCTTAGCCTTTGCCTTCCATTCGACCATGCAGAAGGTAATTGTGCCGATGATTCCTGTCACAACAAGGACTCCCAACTGAATGTACAGACCGGTGTGGCTGCTGTAGAAGAAACAAGCGGCGGCGGCAAGAGACTAATGAGAAGAAGAAAATTTAATATATATAAAATTAATAATAATTATTTTAAGTAACTACCTGAGTGAACTTGAACAAGGCAAAAGCTGGAGCACTATCCTCGGGGAAAATGCCGCCCAAAATAGAATAGATTTGGGTGTTATAGCAGCTGTCACCAAAGCCAAGCAGCAAGGAACACAGGATTGCAACCACGGCGCTGAAAGTAATGAATTTTTATTCAACTGAACTCATTTTTGTCTAACCCTTCTATTTACTTGCTGGTCATAAACGCCTCATCATTGGTTTCTCCAAGAGGTGCTGCATTAGGAATGTTCAAAAAGATGAGGAAGAAGGCAAGAATGTGAATCAAAAAACCGATGATCACAATAGGATCTCTGCCCCACCGGATTGTTTTCTTTCCAAGAATACCAAACAGAGCTCCACCTGAGAGTTTTTGTTATTAATTCTATAATTAATGAATAAATACAATGACGTACCAGCAACTTCTCCAACACCAATGAAGATTCCAGACATTCCAACAAGCTGCTTAGCATTTTCTCCAAGCTGTTGAGTGAAACCAATGCTTGAACTATACACACCACTGAAGAACGAAAGCTCCACGCCTAATAACAAAAAATAATTTTTTAAAAAACAATCAATATTTAAATATGCGTTGCAATAAAAATAAAATATTGTGAAATTTAAATTACCTGTGTAGAAGAAGGTGCATGAAAGAAGCATCATTTCCTTAGTGAGGAAAAGAGAAAATGCTCTTTTCAGGGCATATAAAGGACCAGATGCAGCAGGAAGTGGAGTCTGCGCTTCCTCTTCTGATCCACTCGACGACACCGTGGTGCGCAAAACCAGCAGGAACAAAATTCCAACCGCACTCACAACAAGCAGCACAATGAAAACTAGACTTCTTGTTTCCTTGTCAATGATGGTCTTTCCTTGGAACATGAAGAAAACAAATGTGTTGCCAAAGAACATGCTGAAAATAAATTTATTTTAGTTTCTGCGGCATTTAAAAATTGCGTTTTTACAAACCTGCATTGGAGCATAGCCCAAAATATTCCAGAATTTCTTGAGATGGTGGTCGAGTCAGAGTTGAGGATCAGATAACTGCCCTGACCTGTCCAGATGATTGCAGCACCAGCACCAACAACCGCAGAGGCAACGTACAAAAGCCAAGTTGAAGGCATCAAAAAGGTTCCAATAAAAAATCTAAATAATAAAAGCGTTATGAAATTTAATTTAAGGATTTTCACTTAAAAATTATTCTTAAAATTAAGAAAGAAAAAATACTCACGAATAAGTTATTGCTCCGAGAATCATGGCAAGTTTTGGTCCGGTAACAGATATGACGGACGGAGCAAGCCAGTTGCAAATTGCCAGGACGGCATAAATGATTGCCAGACTGGTGTACCCATCGCCTTCATAGGTAGGATCCTCATGTTTAATGCTGTCCAGGATGGTTTTCTGTGAACAAACGTAACAAAATTAATTAAAATAAGAGTTACGAAAAAACAAAAATTTATTTTTTGAAAAATTTATTCATGATTTCTTTTTTCAATGTGACATAAATATTATGACATATGTTAATGCACATAACTCCATAATTAAATTGTGTGGCAACATTAGCTCCCATTTGTTTTGAAACGCACCACGGACATTTTAGCACATCATATTGATATTAGAATCTATGAATATTAATGTTAATTCATTAGCCAATTTTAACCATACAAATTGTAACTTCCAAATACACAGGTTGCGTCAATTGCCATTGGATTTATTCAGCTTTTGCCCTACATTACAGAGTCCTCTGATAAGAAGAGTGCTTTTTAAATTGGTTTTTCTATTAAATAAAAACGGTTATCAATAGTTTATAGAGGCTAATCGTGTTAAGCAATGAAAGGTTATCAATTTTTATGTGCTGCATCATACATAGCTTTTTTTGTTCAAAATTTGTTTTTGATTTTGGTGGCTGGTTAATCAGCACAAGGGACAAAACTTAATTTAAATTTTTTATTTAAACTTAACATAGCCAGGACAGCTTTATTTATTTAAATTTCAACATTAAATTTCACAATGGGTTTTTTCATGACCTTTAATTACTAGGCTTTAGTAAAATATGTGGAAACAGAAGATTCACGCACCCAATCGCGTAAAACATCTTTTTTCATTGCTCAATTCAGCGGCATTTGCATAATGCAATACAAAATGAGTGCGTCGGCAGAACGTTTAATTATTATTATTACAAACGCTTATCATCATCACCACGCCCTTGATCGAGCGAGTGCATGAGCATATAATATATACTTTTTTTTAATCTGCGGCTGGTGCCTGAAATCCTGGCAATCGTATTTACCGGCGTTTCTCTTTTCTTCTGGCGTCATCAAACAGCCAACGAGAGATTGAACTGCGCGTATTTTGAAAGCATCCAAAATGAGAAAATGAGGACATACAGATGTTCTTATCACTTTTATTGTTCTCATAAGTCTTATTATTAGACTTAAATAAATATCAAGGAAAACATTTCACAAATTATTTTAAATTCCCTTTTTTTAAATAATGATCTGGCTTGAATTTAAACTAACGTTTCAAATTACTGACGAGACGGATTTACTCACCACTAATCTATTGCAAAGTAAATTTAAATGTTCTGTGTTACTTTTTGGTTCTAAATAATTAGATTTCCACCGTTCAAAACGTGAGACCTACTATTTTTGTTTTTAGATGTGACAATGGTCAATTTTTTTAAATTCTAGAAGCTTAAATTTAAACTACCTTGACATTTTTTTTTTTGCCAAAATGCGCAGTCCCTCAAATAAAAAAATATTCAGTTTGATTACAGGAAAGGAAATCATTATAAAATTTAAAAAAATAATTAATAAATGCAACTGATTTAATTTCTTAGCTATAAAATATGTCCTATTTTGCATATATACAAAACTAAACCAGTTTCATTGTAGAAAAGAAATCAGCAGAATGAAATTCAATAGCGCAATCTCGCTCTAATTTGCAAACATGCCTCTCAAAAACGGTCATTTTGCAATTAGAGCTGAAAACCAGGACTCGATTTCAGGTTGATTGATTGTGTCAAACAACGGGGCGAATTATTTATTATGTTAATCAGACGCGCTTATCGCTCCGCGTCTATGCAAAGCGCCAATTGACCCACCGTGCAGTACGAATGTCTAGTGTCAAAAAGTGGGTCACCAACAACACTCTTCACAATCGCTATTAATTTGCGTCCGAAAATGCTTCATGGTGGCGAGAACTACTGCAAAAGCTTTCTCTCCTCGCCTCACTATCCATATGATGGAACAAGGGCGCCGTGTCTGTCGAAGAACTCCAAAGCCAGGGCGAAGCAGTCAAGTGACAAAATTAGAAAAAGCAATCAGGGCGGCCTTGACATTTAGATCTGGTGATTTATTTGACAATTATCGTGGATTAACTGCACCTTCTGTAGTTAAATGAGCATATTAACTGTTCAATGATCAATGAAACCATTGAAGGGACTTAAAATAAATTTCAGTTGCTCAAGAAATGAAAATAAAAAACATTGTTGCACACTCTTGCAAAAATTGAAATATCAGGGCTGGAAAAGTGAATAGAATAATAGTGAATTTTATTTCACAAATTAAAAAAAAAAATGAATAGTTAACTTTTAATAATAAAAGGAATAAAAGTATAATACAGAGGACATTTAACTTGAGAGGGAAATGCGTAAAATTAAAAAAGTCTGTTAAAAAAATTGACTGTTGGTGTTCTGGTGTGTGAAGAATCAAAGGTGCCAAAATATCGGTATTAAAGGGGAAAAATGAAAATCTCAGACAAAAACGGGTCGCTTCAGGTTGATAAGCACAATCGAAATTTAACAATAATGTTAAACATTTGATTTTCAACCATCCGTCATCAAGCAACAGATTGAACAGCCCAGCTGCTGTCTCTGACAAAAATGATCCACATGTCCGCTTCTTAAAATGCGACAGCTGAGACCTCTAATACTAGCAAACTTCATATAATTATATTAATAGTACACTGAAGTATTGGAGAGGAAAATCAATTAGCAAGACTAGGCATTGGACATCATTTTGAATATTATTTGAAAATTCAAATTATTGGTTAAATTAAAAAATATTCCTTTAGATGAGTTTTTCTACTGTCATAGAATTTCACTAGGTTTGAATTATGGTGATTTGAATTTAAAGTCACCTTTTCCTTGATGTGCTTTATGAGTTGTTTATTAATTGTTTAAGAATAAGCAAGTTATTGTTTTTTTTTTTTAACAATAAGCAACCCACAAAACCCTATGAGGGAAAGCTGACTTTAAATTCTAATCACCATACTTTTTAAATTTGGATTTAATTTATAATTACATATTAAAGCAGATAAACAAGTTATTAAATTAAAAAAAAAACCAACTACAACACCTACCATCGTAGAAGAGAAGTTATTATTACAAAATATCGCGATTTCTATGAACAAATTATAATGTAGGCCGTTTTGCAGGCGCATGACATAATAAATCTGCAAAGATAAGACAAGTGCTGTTTGGAATCAATGCTGGCCACTGTGTCGGTGACATTGAGTAAAACGGATTTTCATCTCGTGCAAGTATTATCAATTGGGTGAATGTCATAGGGATCAACCAACGTGCGTCTCGCACTCTCCGATGTCGTCACAGACACTGCCCACAATTTGCAGCCGATCGACCTAATTCATTGTTGCCGAAATCGAATTGCAATGTTTGATACAACGTTATGAACAAAACACGCTTGACGTCATTAAGATTTAGATCAATATTTTGCGATTAAAATAAAAATTTAAAAAATGTCATCCAAATATATATTGAACTAAATTTGATTAGCAATATTTTACAACTGTTCAAAGTAAAATTTATTATTATTGTTTTTTTTTCTTTCAAATAATTTATATTGTTTCATTGAAAATAAAGTTGAAGAAATGAATAAATTATTTAAAAATGTATACACCATGCCAATTTTTTTTTTAACAAAACTTATTTACTTTTAAAGAAAACTGAACCTTATGATGAAGAACTGATTTTATCTGGTATACAATTCAGCATTATTTAATCTACAAATGCACCAAGACAAGCGGCGCAAATGACAGCAGACGGCAATCACGAGGGAAAGTATTAAAATGTAAAAACGTGTCACTTCGATTGCTAAGTGTGCGCGCATGCACTTAATCTCTACGCGCAATTACAATTATACACGCTTGCTTGACAGTCTTCAAGAATGATAATATCTCTATTTAATTGCACGCAAGGACATTTGGAACGTCCCCGTCTAACAGATGTACTGAGTTGATACTTTGAAAGTTAAAATAACTTCCAAAGGAATTAAGTGTCAACAAACAAAATAAAATTGTTGATTCCAGCAATTACATTTCATAACTCTAAATTAAAATTGCAAAATGTCTGAAGTTGGAAAATAGGAGTTTCAAAAATTTTCATGTGAAGTGTGAATAAATAAAAATCAATTTCACCCTTTGAAATATTGAAGAAACGTTGGCAAAAAAAGGCACACCTGTGAGTGAGCGCGACCGAAAGGCGTGGTTGCAATAAATTAAAATCAAACCATACAAATGAGAATGTGCCGGACACAAAACTTTCTCTGGCGGTGATATTGAGCCCCTCTCGAAGGAGGCGATTGACCTTTCCAGGAAAATGATTCAATGCGTTCAATAAAATATTTAATGCAACTTAAAAAGAGAAAGATTGTTCTGCTTCAATGAAGGTGATAATACAAAGTGCAGAGGGCATATTTGGTATTGATCAAATCAGATCAAATAATTTCAAAGAAGAATTAAGGAATTAGAGAGGGAAAATAAAAATAAAATGGAAAATTCTCTTGTCAATTATTTGAAATGTCAATTATTTGAAAATTATTTAGAGCATTTTTTTTTTTAAAAGTAAAATTGTAAAGTGGATTAAAGTATATTCGAGAAAAAATTTTAGAAAGTGTTCATTATTCATTTGAGCTTAACTTTTATAAAGATCACTTCTAGTGAGTCATGAAAGTAAAAAAAGCCAAAGTGCCTGCGCTGATCGCAGTCAAGCTGTTTCGCAAGTCATAACTTCATGTAAATTAACCAACAGTTTATATTATTTTATTAAGCAAGTGACGCGATAGGTTAATGGCACTTTTAATTAGACTGCTTGTGAGCAAGACAGGTTAAGGATAACATCAAAAAATTGTTAACAAACCTGGATTGATTTCAAAATTTACAAATCACGATCCAGAGTTTCAAGAATGCATTGAGACATTTCAGTCACAGAAAAGATATTATTAAAAATATTTTATGTATTTTGTTATTTTAAAGAAAAGAGAAACCAGTGTCAAGTTTAGAGAGTTATTCATCTCTAATGCCAAGGAAAGTTGCCTAGCAGGCATTTTCAGGCATTTGACATTTTTTGTTTTGTAGATTTGAATCGACCAAAATTATTTAAGAGTTGGAGGCGTGCAGCAGTTCAATTAACTTGTTGGTGATAATGGAAGTGATAATCAACGTCAACGCCAAACAAACACAAAGCAAGGTACTAAATAGTAGTGGATCAATATTAATAATTTGGCTGTGGTGAATGAACTTTTGCTTCAGTTCCTCGACAATTATTAACAAAAAATAATGTATTGAATTGCCAAAAAGTTCATTAAATAAATTGATAACCAACTTTTTACTGAAATTTTTTAGAAATTTGATAATAACGTTTATATAATTTTTTTCTTCTGAAAATTAGATTATTTTAAAAAGAATTGCACGTTTATAAAATTTAAAACTTTAAAAAAAGTATTCAAAATAATGAAGTTCATGATTATTGCCGGTTATTGCTATTATTGATTTTCTGATTCTTGAAATAAAATTTAGGAAAATTATTTTCCCACTAAACTAGTTTTTGTTCCAAAATTTGGATAAAAAATTAATATTTCAAATTCTTTCAGCTTTTTAAAGTACTAGTAAAAATATACAATTCAAACAAAAGTAATTTTAAGTTTTGAGCCTACCTCAATGTTGCCCATGGTCTGGAAGGCAGTGAAGACGAACATGAAGGCAAAGCCAAGCAAAATCACATTGGTGAATTTCCGGTCCATGGTGAATAATTAGGTTAATTATTTGATCCGTTCCAAGTTTGAGTTAAAAAATAATGCGACGCTTTGCTCTCTCTCTCTCTCCTGCGGTCAGTCTGGTCTCGTGTCCGGCGCTCTGAAGGTGCACCTCAGGAATGTTGTTTGGGTGGCTGTGCACCAGTTGATCAAGTCACGATGTGAGGAGACCCATCCGCTTTTTCTTTTTTAGTCTTCCACTTTGTTTTGCTAGGGGACACGGGGGCGTTGTCCAGCCACCACTCCTCTGCAGGTTCTTCCGCCCCTCACGTGCTCCAATGTTAAATTTAGTTTTGATTTCCACCAACAGATGGACAATAGTACGGTAAAATCTCGAAGTGAACGGGAGAATCGGCCAATCAGCATCCAGTATTCCAGTAAACACTAAAATTCGATCCGTCTTGTTCATCGTACTCTGTGACATTTCGAAAATTCGCAGTTAATTGATTTAATTTGATCTATTTCCCGATCTACACAGAGTTGAATCTAGCTTTTTAACCTAGGTATGAAATTCCTCAACTCTGAAGCTCCTTACGAAACTGAAAAACACGAATTTTCCATTTTTATTCTTGCTCTCCATTGTTGCATCAGAAACCGGATTTCTAGATAATTCTTTTGTTTGAACCTCCAAATATTCTAAAATATTTTTCTCGATTTTCAGCCGCAATGCTTTCGACGGCTCGCATGTTGTGCCGCGGGTTGAGCAGGCCCGTCAGCCTGAACGCCTCAAAACTCACCGTCGTCCACTTTGTGGCACCAACGAGGGCCATGGCGCAAGAAGCCAAAACAAACTTGGCCTCCAGGTTGACCAGGCGAGGACCATCTTTGAAGGAGAGAGCCATGGGACCGGCCACCGACTCTGGTAATATTTATGAAAGTTATGCGTAATTAAAGAAAATTTGGTCAGCGTTGCAAATTGTGAAATTGTTATGTAATTCTGCTTTTACATGATTTTTGACAATTTAAAAATTCCAGCATTCAATATGGGCCGAATTGCTGTGGCTGGAGGCAGCGTTTTGGGTGTCGGAGCCCTCTGCTTTTACGGACTTGGATTGTCCAATGAGCCAGGAGCCATTGATAGAGCAGCGTAATGATTTAAAATTACCAAGCAATTGGACAAAAATTGAATTATATTCATTCAGGTATTGGCCGGAATATGTGAAACAGAGAGTGCACCACACATACATGTATTTCGCTGGTAGCACAGCCATCGCAGTTGCTTCAGCAGCAGCGGTCATGAGATCTCCCAGAGCTATGTCTCTTGTGGCTAGAGGAACCATTCCCGTAAGAAAAATTAGAAAAAAATATGAACATAACATTTAATAAACTATAAACATTACACCAGGCCATGCTTTGCTCTGTTGCTGCCATGATCGGAACTCAAATTCTTGTGCGATCAATCCCTTATGAGCCTGGCGTCAACATGAAACACTTGGCCTGGGCGCTTCATGCAGGAGTGCTCGGAGCTGTTTTTGCTCCCTTGTCCTTCCTTGGTGGAGCCATCTTGACCAGAGCCGCATGGTAACCAAACAATTTTTTAATTCTCATGCAATAATAAAACTAAAATTGTCCAATTGCAGGTATACTGCTGGTGTTGTTGGAGGATTGTCCACCGTGGCCATGTGTGCCCCGAGTGACAAGTTTTTGTACATGGGTGGCCCCTTGGCTGCTGGCCTTGGTGTGGTCTTTGCTGCGTCTGTCGGCACCTGGTTCCTACCTCCCTCAACTGCTCTCGGCGCTGGTCTTTATTCCATCAGTGTCTATGGAGGTCTTCTGCTGATTTCCGCATTCCTTCTCTACGACACTCAGAAAATTGTTCGCAGAGCCGAAACCCACCCTGCTTATTCTCCTGTTCCATTTGATCCTATTAACCAGTATGTATTTAAACTGAATTGTTTGGAGCTTAGGCTAAAAAAATTTGTTCCAGGTCAATCCACATTTTTATTGATACTGCCAACATCTTTGTGAGGATTGCCATGATGCTTGCTGGAAACCCAAACCGAAGAAAATAATTTGACTGAACGAAAGAGGTACTTCTGCAAGACAAAAATTCTGCTTGTATATATTTCAGTTAAGCTTTTCTTCAGCGACTCTCCAATAACATTTAATATAAGTTCCATGTGATGATGATTTAACAATAGAAATAAAGTTTGGAATCAAAGACTAAATGAGAATGGTTGAAAACACCAAATAATTCATGTTTATATTTTATTATATAATACACACTTTAATTTTTCTAACTGGACACTAAGTAGCTGTAAAAAAATTTGAATCAATATAAAATACATGGTCGGAAAATAAAAATGCGGATTACATACAAAGATGGTAATTTCTTAAACAAAGCAGGACTAGGAATTATTAATTTAATCAATGATTAACAGTTTTGGCAACTTGAAATATGGCCATACGCAAGCAGCAAAACAAATCAAAGTCAACATAAAAAATGCAGCTGAATCATAATGTTAAATTTAAACAGATTGATACCTTACTTATTGCTCAAATATTAGCTTTGTACTGAAAATAAGAGGCTATGATTTTTCAACTGCACAAAACGCAATTTCATAATTTAGTAGGAACTAATTTCACGAATCTCTTCAATGAATCATTAAATGCAAAAATTAATACTATAGTGATCCAAAAACCAAATGCAGGGGTATACATGGCAGAGAGAGTGATACAATAATAAAGTTGCGGTGGTGTGACGGAATAAATGTGTATGAGTGTGTGAGATGTCAACGACTAGATCAACAGCAAAATGAGAGTACAAAAAGTGTGCATGCATTCACTCTTCTTCTTCCTCGTCCTCTTCCTTGAAATCAAAACTGCCAAAATTTGGCTCTGACCACTTGAACGCGTCCCCATTATTTTTCTTCCTGGGGCGTTCTGTCTCTGCAAAGAAATCGTCGTCGAACGGATCTCCATCACGTGAGAATATATTCACAGACTCGGACTTCTTGATATTGTTGGCGTCGTGCGGTGCCGCCATTCTTGTGGACGAACTCAGTCTATTTTTAATACCAGATAGTTGCCTGTCCTCTGACCAGCGCTGTTTCCTTTTCTGTTCGTGGGATTCAGGATCCTCAGGAAGGAAGACATCGTCCGACCTCACTAAGGCAGGGTCATGGGGCGAACGGCTGATATCGCTTGAAATACTTGATAACATTCGTCCAGAACCGCGTCGAGTCTCAGGCGGCGTGAAGTCGTCCTCAAAAGGCGATCGTCTACTTGAGCCGATAGAAGCCTTGGTGCTGGACAGTCGGGCAGTTTGCTCCTCGTCATCTACCTGCCTCCGCACAGTCTCAGCTGTGGGGCTTTCGATTGACGAAAATTCTGTGGCGTGGAATGAACGAGTGGAGAAATCGTCGTCAAATGGTGATTTTTGTGAATTGTAAAAGTCCTCTCGTCGCTTTTGTCGCCGTTTCGAGTGCATTGTGTAAGAGCGCTGCTCATAGTGTTGTTCTCTAGGAGCTTCGTGGTCAGAATTGAAATCGTCCTGCCAATGACGAGCTGGGTCTGCACTGGTTGTCCGGAAGCGACCGTCATTGAATGCAGCTGGCTCTGGATCTCCAATCTCATCCTCGTCGTCTTCAGGAGAGTGACGGCCCCTGCTGCGCCCACCTTTCCGAACATCTGTTGCACTTGAAGGTCTCTTAGGACCACCAGGGGTTTTCTTTGACTTGTATCGAGGATCCCGAGGATCGTAGGGTTCATCGTACTCTGGGGGACGGTAGTTGTAATAGTGACTGTCGTATTGCTTCCGCCGGGAGGCAGCTGAATCGCGTGGGTCTCGACTGCGCCGCTCCTGGGAGGATGTTTTGCGAGGAACTCTATCCGCCCAAGTTGCATACGCGTTTGCATATTTGCTGCGCTGCTCTTCCCATTCTCGGCGTCGTGATGTGTATTCACCTGCAAACAATATGTAAGTAAAATAACCTAAATTTGAGAAGTTTATTACCTCGACTGCCGCTCCGGTCTCTTTTCTCTTCATATCTAATAGGGCGTCTTCGTGGCTCGTCATATTCACCCTCTTCGTCATCCCACGATGGTGGCCTTCTATTTGCTGAACTTGCTCTTGGGGGACGTCTGGGTTTGTAGGCCACCTCCTCGCAACTTTCATCATCATCTTCCCATGGTGAAGCTCTTTTTGCTCTTGAACCCCAAGGAGATCGTTTTCTGGGTCGTCGGTAATGCTCATCTCTCCATCCATTTTCTCGGTCTTCCCAATCGTCATCATCGTCATCCTCATCATCCTGCCAAGGACTTTCCCTGCTGCTCCTGTTATATCTACAGATAATTTTGATTAGATCATAATTAACTTGATAATTGAAAGATTTTTGATCTACCTGTGCCGCCTGCTGCCACCAGTAGAATCTGGAGTGTAAGCTTTTTCAGGTGTAAATACTTTGCTGCCAAACTCCTTGCTTTCTACAGACCATGGTGAGGTAGCCGGCTCTTCAAGTTTTTTATCCTCCTCCTCCTCAAATTTAGCCCAGCCACCTCCTGGAGATCTTGACTCATCGTTTCTTCTGTCATCAGGCAAGGAAAGCTCTGTTGGAGGAGAAACCACTTTTTCAGGCGAAGGTTCAGCCGATTCAGGCTCCTCTTGGTTATATGTTTCTTCGTCCTGATCCTCTTTATTTAATGGCAACTCTGACTCGGGCTCCATTTCTTCCTCCTCTTCATCTTGTAAGGGTTGTTTTTCAACTGGGGTTTCCACAGGTTCTTCATATTGGCTTCCACCATCACTGGCCACCTCTTCTTCTAGGATTGTGCTCTCAATTATTGATTCCCTGACATTGGTTGCGTCCATAGTAACTGATTCTGGGCTATCACTGGGTTGCCTTGAAATTGACAATAAATTCAAGTCCTCCTCCACCTTCTTCGTCACACTTTCACTATCATCTTTATCAGATTCATCACCCTGCAAGAATGGTTTGTAGAGACAGAAATTAAATACAAAAAAATTTACCTCTCCTCGAACCCCAGGTTCCTCTGAGCAAATGTCTCTCAAAGCTGCATATTTATCCCCATCCTCAGTGTAGTCTTCCAACTCCTCATCTCGCAGGCCTTCCTCAGCCATGGCACTGTCACTTCTTGGTAACTCAGCTTCTTCCTTAATACTGTCTTGCACAGCATCTTCAAACTCTGCAGTTTCTGTATTATCTTCTACAGTATCAGCTGGTGCTTGGTCTTCTTGCTCAAGTTCACGAAACACTGCATATTTGTCGAAGGGCGCCTCTTGGAATACATCCTCTTTAGAGTTTTGAAAGTCTGAGCTCGAGAAGTCGGCAAAGTTGTTTTCAAAGTCCACCTTGAAAGCATCTTCGCCATCTAAAGATTCTCTTAGTGCCGTGTAGCTGAAAGATTGATTAATTTGCAAATTATTTGCTCAGTATTTAGGGGCACTTCAAAATTAAAACTCACCTTTCTATCTCTACTGGCTCGGACTCCTCAGCTTTTTGTGGCTCAACAGAAACTTCTTTGTTTGAAGATGGGCTGCCTTCAGCTGACACAGATGACAAAAATCCAGCTAATTCTTGCAAAGTCATTTTTGACAAATGTCCGGGCGACACATTGAGACTGGAGGCCAGCTCCGTGATATTCATTTTGGTCAGCTGCCGGAGAGTCAGATTAGCTGCTACCTTTGGTTTCTTCTCCTCCTTGGCAGGTGGGGGTGGCAGAGAGAAATTGACAGATTCTTGCTGTTGACTATGTTGGCGAGGCCGAGGAATTTCGGTGCCACTGCTGCTTGTCCTGGGGCGTCTGACAGGCATTGGCAAAGGAGGACTAGACACACTAACAGGCGCTTCAATGTTGTTTATGTAATCGTACTGCTCACACGGAGGTGGACGAGGTGGCTTGTATTGCTGACCAGTTTGCTGCTTTTTTGGGGGCAGTGGGGGTGGTTTTGACGAAGCAGGTCGTGGGGGCGGCTCTGGAGCAATGTCTGCAAGTTCTGCGCTTGAGTTTGAAATTCGCTCGTCGTCGGCCAAAGGGCTCTTTCTTATTGCTCCCGTTCTTCTTCTAGTGGATTTCGGACTTGGAATTCGGACCATTGGTGCTTCACTCACAGAGGGTTTCTGTTTGAGGGGTGATCTGGGTGATTTGGGGGATGATTTCATTATAGGAGACGCTCGTTTTGAGCTTGCTGGGGGCGGAGGTAAAAGAGAAGCTCCTCTTTTATCAGGCGGGAGACTGACTCTCAGAGGTCCGTGAAAAACGTCGGTGGCGTTACCACTTTTGTCTGATTTTTGGCTGCCAAACATTGTGAAGTCTGCAAAACAGGTGTCAAAGGGGTCAGCTGACTCTGGTTGAGGAAACGACTCCTCTACAAAATCAGGTTCTCCAAATGGGTCGCTGTCAGCAAATGGGTCGAGTGCCATTATTTCAGCCGAGTATTTGCTTTGAGAAGGGGTTTTCCTGCCCGAATGAACTGGAGGACTAGTGCCAAAACTTGTGGCAAACGTAGAGGCCTCGCTATCTCTTGGCTCCACTAACTCCTTGAGCACTTTTTTCGGAGGGTTCTTGAGTTCTTGGAAGAAATCTTTCTTGTCTACGTAAGGCTTCACACGTCCAGTTCCCAGAGGATCTAGTTCAGTAAAGACGTCATATTGACTGTTCGATGAATTGGGAGCCGAAGGCTGCTCAGCCTAGAAATAGAAAGAACGTGGTTGCTGTACATGGTGGAATCATACAGGGGCAGAAAATTTAATAACAATTAAATTATAAGCAAATGGCGGGATGGAATGTAATTTTTAATAATGGAAATGAGGTTGAGGAATCATTAGTGCAATCCTAAAACATATAAAAAGGCATTTTGCCAATTTGGGAAAAAGTAAAGAAAATTAAATTTACCAAGACGACTTTTACCCCCTTTTCCAATTAGCAGTTTGCTTGCATGCGATTTGCTGTCCTTGTCTTCTCAACAAAGCCAAATTAAAGTACATGCGAGTAACAAATTTAAATGGGTTTAATTGAATGATTATAAAAAAAAAAAAATAAAAAAAAAATGGGATTGCCAATAAGGAAAGTTCTTACAGTTTTCATAAGAAGCACACTACAAGAGCTTCAAGGTTGGCTGGGTGGGAACAAAAGCAAATAGATGGGGGAGAAAATAGCAATAAAAGAGGCCAAAATCATCTGCCAAACTAGCGAGTTCTGGTCTTGCTAATTGAGGCAACAAAGGGTGCATGCATGATTACCTGCTCCATAGTTGTGGGACCAACACCGGAGGTAGTAGAAGTTGTGTTATTGTCACCAAATAAGGGGTCAGAGGTGGTGTCAAACCACGTTTCAGTGGTTGCTAACGGGGCAATTGCTTTAGTAGTGATAGTTTGAGGCGTAGGGGTAGGGCTAGTTGTGGCAGAAGTGTTAGCAGGAGGAGGAGAAGAGGGTTCTAGACTGAGGTGGCGTTTAGAGGAGGCACGAGTCGAGGGCGGTGGGGGCGGCAGGACCACCGCCATAGGAGGAGGAGAAAACGAGTCCTCGAACGGGTCATAGAAGGAGGCGTCTTTGTTAGCATCGGGACCAAAAGGGTCCGAGGGAGTTATTTTCTCCATCTGGTGGATGCCCTGCTGTATGCTGTTTAACTCTATTTCAAGGTCCAACAGATCGGCAATCACCTCTGAGGTTTGCTGAGCTGATTTGCTCGCAGCACCCATACACCCGTTCTCGAGTTTTGAGTCATCCTTCAGGGCGCTGTATCTGCTGCCTGAGTCCAACAGGCTCTGGAATTTGTTATACTATTTATAAATAATGTATAATTGGGGGGTTCATTTAGAATGCATACTTTAGTGTAGGTGAGATTCTCTAGAGATTTGCCGACCGAGAATTTCATTTGCTGCTGCTCAATGTGCTGTTTGGCAAGCTCAATTTCCTTTTTCTTCAGTTCAAATACAACTTGGAATAAATCTCTCATTGCAACAACAACCTGCAGAATATTATTGATAAAATTAAATAACAAAAAGAAAATTAATAACCTGTCCAGCTGCTTTGTCAGTCTTAATACCAAAGAAACGATGGCCGGTGTCTGGAGAGCCGAAAATATAGCCAAATGCCCTTGAGTCAGTCATGTCTTGCGCTATGAAAGAAATTTTGTGCACTGGGTGATGGTACAAGCAGTCCTGCAATTTAAATAATTGGTCAGCAAATAAAACGCGCTCCCTTCCACCGCCTGTGCGTTACCATAGTTTTCTCGTCGCGGAGCCGCAAACCGTCGATGGCGATGTTGATGGTGATCCTTTGCTTGTGCTCGCCAGCAGCCCTTATTGCCATTTTCAAGTCGGCAAGGGCCTCCTGGCACATCCTGTCGCCCCTAGCCTCACCCACCTCAAGAATGCCGATGAGCTTGGCTTTGAAACTGACCCCATCGCCAAGGAATCTTGACGGTTCATTTTTATCTGAAACATAATAAAAAAAATGTCATAAATTTTAAAAATGGGAGGGTACAAAATGAAATTCCTATTCAAGCAGGGTACAATATAATGCATCAAAAACAACATTCCTTGATCGAAAACTCACATTTGAGAGGACTGTTCCTTTTCCGAAGCGTTTGCATTTTTACACCGATTTCGAAAACGCCTCACGCGCAAATCACTAACTGCATTGTAAGGGTTGCATTTTCTGAGGGTTTTTCAGCAAAGTGAACTCCGCTGGACAAAGGGGGTCCTACTCCCAACAGCAGGGACAGAAGGGCCATTAGGCCCGGCATGACTCGTCTCCTCGCACTAACACTAGGCTTGATTACGCGAAAATGGGCCGAAATTCGTCGTACGTCTGTAAAAGTCAGTCCATTGATCCAGCAGCTATAGCGGTGTACTAGAGGGAGATGGGGAGGTATGCCCGATCAATACCCTCAGACGACCATGCTACCACCACCAACCCCTAGCGCGCACGCTCCCTCTCTTGCAAGAAGTGTCTTTGATATCGCGGCTCAATCAAAAATAGACCCACATGGCTCCCGAGTAGTACCGCAACCCGCCCGGCACCCATACAAAGTGCGTGATTTCGAAAACTCGTTTAACAAAATTTTCACCGGTTTTATTGAACTAACAAAGTTTAAATGAGTGTCTGAATTAATCTCATATCAGAATAAATAACAATTCAATTTTGGACAATTTTAACCGACGAGTTTTTTCCTGAACTCAGGGAAGGATGATAATATCATAAAATTTTTAATTGATTAAATTTATAATTTCAGAAATTATTTAGTTCAATTTTATGGAAATTATAAGATAAAAAACCCAGTGTTCTATTCATACAAAAATTATGTAAAAAACTGATTTTGATTTGCAATAATGGAACATTCAACTTAGTATAATTATCAGATAAAAATAAATAAAAAATTGCAAATAATGTAGCAAAGTGCAAAGGTGCTGGTTAAAATTAGATCGAAAAAATTTAGTTTTTATTTTTTCTTAAAATTAATGTGTGTAATTTCTAATTTATTTATAATTTTTAGATCATGTCTTTGCTTCTTCAAAGTAACTGGGTTGCGGTTTCAGAAATGCGTCCTAGTAATCCGCAGTAATTAAAAGAGGGCACATCCCATGACTTGCCTGTAACCAAGAACGTAACAATAGAGAAATTCAATCCATCGCGAGGGGAGATTTTCGACTCTATTCAAACAAGATCCTTGATTCAGACCTAAGAAGCAAGCAGGGTGCTGTAAAGTTATTATTTTTATTCAACAAGAGCGCTCAAGTATTTACTATTCAGCACTGCTGAATTGAATGACAGAAAAAATATAAAAATTGGCCGCGTCAATTGCATAATTCGCATGGGGCGCCGAGTGCTGCTGTTTGCATTGAAAATTGCCTTTTCAATTGGTTGATTGCAGCTGAACTGACCGTCCGAGGAGACTTATTTGAATCAATAAATGGCGTGCTCCATGCGCGTGATTCTATTTTGCTGGCTTTTCACTCTGCCGGAATCACCAGATTTGGGTCGTCTAACACTGGTGTATGCGTTTCGGCAGGAAGTCGGCGCGGATTTGCATGGGTGGAGTTTGCGTCAGATCAAGTCAGTTGGGCAAAACAATTTACATTTACAATAAAAGCTTGGGTAAATTACACTTATAAATTTTTTAAAAAAAAATTTGATGTTTTTATAAGATTATAATCAAATATTTTAAATTTAAAATGTATGTACTTGAAAATTTGAAAATAAATATTTCTATATAACCTGAAACGAATTAAGAGAAAATATTGATTTTAATTAATTGAACTATTTTAACTATTAATCAAATTTTAAAATAAAATTTGATTTTTATTGAAAATATTAAAATATTTTAATAAGATTGAAAACAATTGAGAGTGCTGATCATTTTTATCATAGAAGTATATGTAAAGGTGCCTAAATAAGGACCAAAAAATTCGACGTACCCCTTGCGCTGGCGTTTTCCTGCTGGTGCTGCTCCTTGTCTCTGTTGTGCAACCGTTTGGGCGAAGCAAGTGTCAAAAAATTTGGCATCTTGGGCAAGGCCAATCTCCGGGGTGTGTCCTGCTCACCCGACTTTCGCTGCATCCGAGGCGAGTCTCCAGCCACGGAGGCCGACGAGGAAGACGGTGGTGTCTGCATTGCATCTAAAAATAAAGATCCGATAAAAATTAATCAACTGACAGACCACGCACTTGAGAATTTCTGTGTTGCGTGAACACGACCGCGCTGTCAACGCGCTGTCGGCGAAGAATAGACCCGACTGATCAAAGACGGGCACTGACTTGCGCAATTTAGTTTGGGACGGGAAATTTACCGGCACAGAAGGAAAATTAAGTGGTGTTCTGGAGAACTCAACGTGGTTTAATTGAATTACCGCTGCGATGAGTTGTTCGCCCCCCATCGCAAGCCCCCAAGGGCGTTAGGGCAAATTAACACGACTTGTTATCAATAAGAATTAGCCAGACAAGAGGAGATTTTACCTGCTAGCGCGGACGGAAGCTGCTCGTGAGCTGGTGCATCTGAAAATCAATCGAGGCAAATCATTTTCCGGCGAAAACACGCTCAGTCTTGAGAAATCTGACAAAAACAGAAACAAATGTGTGAAAATAATCAAAATAATCTAATTTCGTGCGTCATTTGTTTTTGGCTTTGCGATCGCGCACAACAAAGCCTGTGAAGTGTGATGTGCGAACAACTCCCTAGTATTATTTCGCAAAGCTAGGCGACCAATCAGATGCCAGGAATGTGATATCAGAGGATTCTCATTGGTTATCGCGGCTCTTTGGGCGCCTCTGATTGGTGGATTTGTGATAAATATTTCGTTTCAGTTTGCAACCAGTTTACAACCCATCCAACAAGATTCGTCTCCCTCTCCGCATGCGAGAAAACTGAGATGGAGAAGTGGAAGTGAGAAAAAGAGACGTCACGTCACTCGTCAGACCAAAACAACCAACATCTGGATCAAATGTGACAGAGAATCGCAACGTGGTCGCTGTTTTCATCAGTGAATTCGGCAAACGCAGGCCGAACAGCATTCCTCATACAATTCGGACCGACTTGCATTAAAAATGTCTTTCCGATTCCACATGAAACCCGTCCTGGCCAAGCCAAAACCCGCGGTCAAACCGCGAACTCCTGCTGACAAGCCAGCAGGCAAAGGGCCTGTCAAGAGCGTTCCAGCCGAGCAAAAGTCGACCAACCCGCCGACAGACGAGGACACTCCTTCTGCAGTCGCACCTCCACCTTCGACTGCACCTGCCGAGAATGCAATCCCTGTCGAGCAAGCGGCTCCTTCGCCCAGCAGGACACGAACCCTGTCTTACAGGTCTCAGGATGAGTCGGCCAGCTCGGCGGACGAGTCGCGAAAATCCAAGGTGGTGCCTCGTTTCGCCAAGGCCAGGATGAAGCCTAATATTCCTGGGGTCAGGAAGACCCCGGTAAAAGTTATGCCTCCAGAATTGGCACCACAGAGCATTGGTAAAAATATTGCTGCTGTTGCTGCCCCGACTGTAGCTGAAATCGTAGAGGCCAGGGTTGTGAGGCAAAGGTGACGAATGGTTCATGACTTATTACATTACATTTAAAGTTGACATTTTTAAAGCAATAAGATCAAATAAGAAGTTACATGATAATTTAAAATGATAAGTTGGCAGATTTTTTTTTTTTTTAGATAACATATTGATAAAAGAAAAGATTAAAGTTTTAAAGTATTTTTTATTTTTTACTTCACCTCGACCATGCCTTCAATAATTACAAGTTATTTTATTACCATGATTTTTAATACAGTGCTAATTTTCCAGCATGCAAACTCCGATCCAAACGAGAGTGGGACCTGACTTCAAACCTTCGCCACATCTCGTCCCTGCAGCTCCAAATTGCGTACCATCCAATGTTGAGATTTCTTCATCGGAAGATGAAGGGGTCATAGACCCCTACAATCCTGACCATCCTTTGGGACACAGAGAGAACCCTGAGAAATGCAGAGGAACTAAAAGCCCTTGGATAATGAAGAAATTTAGAAGCGGAGTTCCAACAGCCATGATAGATTACTTATTTTACAATCCAAAGAGCAACCCCATGGTGTAAGTAATTAGAAAGGAAATAAAAATTACAATTTACAATGTAATTTTAGTCATGACGACGATAAAGTTTTGGCTCCCGAGGATAAAGAAATCCACCAAGAGGATGTTGATGATCCCGAACTGGAGTTGGAAAATGAGCCTCGGGTTGCTGCTCCACAACTGAAAATTGGGCCTGATGGAAAATTCATCTTGGATGACGCAAGCCTTGTATGTTAACAAGACTTGTTGTAATGTAAAGTGCCTGAATTAATTAATTTATCTTTCAGGTGGTTGAAACAACTGCTGCCAGAGAGGGTAGAAAAGCAATGCAGACTGGCATCTCCTTGGGCCTTAGCAAAAGAAGGTCGAACAGGTCAACATGGACCGATGAAGGTTTTAATTAAATTTTATTCAATTTGATAGGTTTTATTTAATTTTGTTTTCAATATAGAAACTCTTTTCTTCTACAAATGCCTCAACAGTGTTGGAACTGACTTTGCCGTGATGGCAAAATTCTTCCCAAGCAGGACTAGACATCAAATTAAACTCAAATTCAAACTTGAAGAGAAAAGAAACCCTACTTTGGTTGATAAAGCGCTAGGCACAAATGCAAAGTTTGACGTTTCAGAATTGGAAACCGAATATTGTAAGATTATCAATTTGCTGAATATCTCATGGTACAGTATTGTGTTTTTGCAGTGGAGGTAAGTGAAAATGCAGCCAAACAGAAAGCACAGAAACGGAAACCCAAAGAGCCAAAGCCCAAAGAAAAGAAAATTGGCAAGAAAAGTAAGCTTTTGTAAAATGTGCAATTTTTTTTTAATCTTATCGAATTTATTTTTAGGAGTCAGATCAAGGAAAAGGAGTGATTATTACTATGAAAATGGAAGTGCGAGTGACGAGGAAAGCTCGTCTGACGACGAAAATGATGCCAATCTGAGGAGAGAAATGAATATTGGAATGCTTGAAGACCAAGCAGCTAAGAAAGCAAAGAAACCCAAAGTTTGTTGAACATAAATTTGTCAGCAATATCATTAAAAAAAATTTTTAACCAAATTTTAGGCTCAGCAGAAAAATCCCTCGGGTGATGGAAAGTCTGGAGGACCTCGATTTGCATTTCTGGAGGTTGTGCCAAACACAAGTGCGGTGGTGCCCAGAGCACTTAACCCTAATGCTCTCTCTGGTAGTCAGGTCAACCAACTCATTGGCCAGAGGCTAGACAAAGATCAGTTGCGTTATGGAAACTCTGAATTGGCGTTCTTGCTAAATTCGCCGACAATCAGAGAAAAAGAGAATGAGAAGAAAAAGTTGTCACCTCAGAAAACGTCTGTTGCGAGAAGAATAGTTCTAGGTGATTCCTCAGAAACTGTTGGTCTATCACCAGTGCAAAATGAAAATACTGAAAGTCAGCAATCAAGTACAGAAGCGGGTGAATTGCCTGCTAGATCATCTGATCACTTAACTGTACAACAAGTGTTAAAAGCTATGGTGAATAGACGAATGGAGGAAAGTGAGCAAGCAGCTGAAACTGAAGAAGTACAAACTTCCACTATCAATCAAGAGGCCTTAAGTGAAAATGAGGAGGAGAATAGCGTAGACGATGATGAAATGGAGTGCATTGCCCAGTCGTTTTCCAAACCCACTAAGTCAGGGCGAGTGCCCAAATTAAGAAACTTGAGGAGTTCAACTGAAGAGGTGGAGCCTAAGCCAAAGGTTTGAGTCTTTTGTGTGGAATGACATGATGAAATTTCATTAAAATTTTTCCAGAAACCTCGGAAAACACCCATTAAAACCAGGAAACCCCTAAGGGGCCGGTCTAAATCCACAGAGACTCCAGTAGCCGAGGTAGAACCTAAAGGAACTGAACCTGAACATCAAGAAGAGGCAGAAGAAATGTTAGTTGACCCACAAAATATTCAAAGCCTGATTGCCAATGTTGAGCCTGGCTCACTTCTTGTCATCAAAACTGCAGTGCCAAATGATCCAACAAAGGAAGTTGTCCAAGTAAGTATTTTGTGGCAAAAATTTCCTTGTTATTTATTTTAAATATTCCATTAGGTGTTCATGGTTCCCCCTGCAAACCATAGTGGTACAACTGTCGTCCATAACCCTGATGGCTCTGTCAGCCAAGTGACTGTGGGTGGAACTAATGTGCCTCTGGTGTCTGGCACGATGATAAGCCCTAGGTCTTTGGTCCCGATTATTGCAGCCACAAGTGGGTCAGCAGTTGTCCAAAATATACCCAATGAGATGCAAAATGACCCTGAAAATGCTGGATCTGACCTCTAAAGACTTAAAATGTATCTCAAAGATAATAATAATAATTAATCTCACTCAACCTGAAGCCCTAATCCATCGAATGTCAAGTTCCTTTATCTAATTAAAATGGTTTGCTTTTGTTATTCTTTTGTTACAATAAAGAAACAAAATAATTTCTGCTTTATATCAGTTTTACATTTGTTCTTACAAAAGATTCATACAAGAATATATACCGGAATACACATTTTTCAATAATATCTTGAGAATTGCGCGAGATTCTGTTTGTACAAAGGTAACTAATCAGTAATGACAATTTACAGAATTAATCACAAGATCATCATGTAATGCTAGATTTATTAAAAGAACTTTAAATGATAACAAGGCTTCTCTTAAATTGCTCATACAGTCTTAACAAGAATAAATTTACACTTCACTCAAAAACATTTAAACCCTGAAATATTTTACAAGGTAAATGAGGCCAATGAAAGTAAATGCAGACAAGAAATTTTTGTCTATATGCAGTGCGCAATTAACAAATGCATATTATGGTGCTTTCTTCTTGGAGATTTGATTTTATCAATTACTATCACATGTCAAAGTCCTCCATATTGCGCGAAAGACGGTTGTGCCTGCGCTGAGAGCGTCGGACAGCGTCTGCCCGGCGGTACGGCTCATTTTTCAGACCCAACAGTATATCTTCCAGGGCACCATTGTATACCTCGTCCTGGGGCATGAGACGAGTCTCCTGCACCAAGCGGGCTCGCTGTTTCAGTTCTGTTATCACCGCTTCCTATGAAACACATTACCGAGTTAAAATCGAGCACCACTTGACTTGAACTGCTAAGCGAATATCTTACAAGCTCATAAATTTCATTACAGGCAATTGAGACTTGATTGTGCAGTGTCTCAATTCTAAATAAATAAAAATTTATCGAATTTACAAAGTTGGATTTTAAAATTATATCAATAAATTTGGTTTCTGCTCAAGACTTTTGGGATTGGCAAATTTTAATTGGTCTAAATTTATTTTAATCGTCTATTATAAACAAAAATGTCTCTTTGAAAAAAGGGTACGTATCAATGTTAGGGTCAAAATAAATTTTGTTATTAGATCTTGTGAACATGTTATTGTCAGTAATGAACTCTCCTGAGATCCATCTGTGCAGAAAATTAGTCAGAAACGTTAAATCGCAATTGAATACATGCGCTAAGCAACTCGATGAAAACTCTAAAAATTCAAGTTTTTGTGCAAAGCGTGACTTTCAATAAAATGGTTCATTGATTTGTGCGTATCCAGCACCATCACCAATAAGCATATTATTTACAAGCAACAGACAGAGATTGGGAAGACAGACCGATGCGCTGACCTGATGGCACAGACAAAACAAGGCTGCAGGAAGGCAGATAGAGACACGCCAGCCTGCTTTGGGATTATCAAACTATTGCCGTTTTAGCAACACACTCGGGCAGGCATTCCCTTGAGCAGGCACGAAGGCAGCACACACACGGCCGAGCCGTTTATTACCTGCTGCTTTTTCTGAGAATTGGCTTGCCCATTAAGCTTCTTAGAGCCGTCGTGGTTGCCGTTCATGGCTGCTTGCTGGTGCTCATGTGCAGCCGCCTGCAGCCGCAGCCTCTGCTCATTTTCCACATCTGCGGCCTTTAAAAGAAAAATTCAAATTACAGATAAACTTACAATTTTATCTTTAAAAAGACTCACCTTGAATGCTTTGACAAATCTAGTGAGAACTGAGAAGAAGACGTTGGCGTCCATTTGCCGAGGACTTTCACCAAAGTACTCGACACAATCTCTGAAAGACTCTTGGGCGTTTTTGGCATCAGCCATTAATTTCCTCATTTTGTCTTCGGAGTTCATGAGGAAATCTTTGAGAACAACAACTTCTTCTTTGAAACTTGTTCTCAGTTCCAGTTCTTTTCTCGCATTATCCATTCCTCGCTCAAGCTCCTGAACATCATGGACAACGTTCTCCAAGGAAACTATAATATTAAAATTAAATTTAAGCACTTGTAAAAATTTGGTAATGAAAATCTGGCTTACCTGCAGAAGCTTTCTCGATGTATGAGAGCTCGGAGTCAAAGTTCATCAACTCAGGGAAATATTGTTTTACAGTTTGCACAATATAGTTGAGAAGCGACATCCTTTTGTCTGAGCTCTTGGTGTCCAGCAGCGTGTCCAGACTCTGCAGTTTGAACCCATAGGCTGGCCCACGTTTGCTTGAGTTAAGGTAATTTCCAAAGGCGAGAATGACTTCTAGCAGCTTCCTAAATTTGGCAGAGTTTCGGACGCTTTTTGAGCTTGAAATCACAGCGAGGATTTGCTAGACAATACAGATCAAGACCTGAGCCAAGTTTTAAACATTTATACTTACAGGCTGGGTGACATGAAGGTTGTCGATGAAATTTCCCATGTAACTCATAATGGAGAGTTTGGTGGCAACTCGCTCTATCTTGCTAAGTTGCATGAGGAACTTGTCTTCGTCAGACAACAGATCGATATTTTTCCGCTCAATAACATACTCTTTGTACAGTTTAGTCTAAAAAGCCAAATAAAATTATGATTACCAGACAGAGTTAAATTTGAGTCAAAGACTGACCTCTTGTTCTGTCGGCAGCATCTTTTGGATGATTTCCACATTTTCAAGGGACAACTGCTTCAAATCCAAAGAGTTGAGAGCAGAAATTAGTCTCTCTATTGTCATGTCAATTTTGCGTCTTGAAATAGCTGAAATTATTTTCATTGGTTTAGAAAATTTTTTAGTGGAAATAATTAAATTACCTAGATTTCTTAGTCTAGTGTGTTCTAGGAGTGAAATAGTCTCTGGTTTCTTGAACCGTTTGCTGGGATATGTGTTCAGCCCATCGACTTCTGAATTATTTGCATAAGCCAGTGATGTGTTTCCAATTTTGAACTGCTCTTCAAACTCTTGGAAGTTAATGATGTTGAACAATTTGTCATCATCCAGCTCATTGAACACGGTTCCTCTGACTTGATTCGGCTTCATCGCAACCCAATTGAGGGTGGGTAGCTTGTGCTTGGTCTCCACTTTCCTTTTGATGGTCATTGCTCCGTCTGGCGCTGCCATCATTCCCGGAGGTGGCGGAGGCATGGGTGGTCCTTTGCCCATCATAGGAGGTGGCGGCGGCGGTTGATTTGCCATGGGCATTGGCGGTGCTGGCGGCGGGGGAGCAGGGGTTGGAAGAGAACTTGAGGAATGACTAGGTGAGGAGAGTGAGGAACATGATGAGGAGTTGTCTCCAGACAATGAGCTTGCTTGGAGCTCTTTAATTTTGCTTTCGAGCAAAGACTGTCGTTTCAGACTTTCTGACTCTTTTGCATTGAACTGCTTCCTAAGGGTGCTGACTTCGTGGTCCGCTGACTGCCACTTATTCAACAGTTCGTCTCGTTCTGTTCTCATGTTGGCCAGGGCAGTTTCAAGCTCGGCAATTTTGTAAAGCGATTCTCGCTCAACTTCTGCTAACCTGTCATGCGCCTGGAATTAAATAAATTATTTTAATTACAAGTCATATCTAAAAATAATTCATCTCTTACATGTCCCAACTCTTCCTCCAAATCAGCTACTCTTTCGAGAGCCACAGTCTTTAATTCACTATCTTCCATCAAGGCATGGACATCAAAAACATTGTCCAAGTAAGCCAATATTTGCACCTGTGAAAAGAAAGTTCATGAAAGTACTGATTATTTAAATTAAATCAAGTTATTTACCTTGAGTTCTTCACTTTCTGTATGCCTCAGATTTTCTAGATACTGGTCCAGACCCAGAGAAGTGAATTCGTATTGCAGATGAACTCGGAAGTTCATGTCCTCTACGGAGTGTACAATGATGTTGACAAACTGCATGCACGCAACCTGATTTGCAGAAAAAAAAATTAAAATGAAGATTGAAAATTACAAAAAAAAGATATACCATGAAGTCTATGTAAAAGGACTCGTTCATAAAATAATGCATAAGAGTTTGGAACCTCTTTTTCTCGCTCAAAACATTCTTGAAGTTGTTGAAAGCGCCGAGAATTATTTCGTGACCGCCTTTGACCAAACAAATTGCGGCCAAAAGCTCAAGGACCAGAGCTTTGGTTCTCAGACTTTTGTGGATGAGGCTGAGAGCTATGCAGTTGATGGCCTCGCTGTGCTGAATTACTAAGTTGAAGCCATACTGAAATGGAACAAGAGCGTCAATTTTTAGCAGGGCAAAAATAAGAAGGGTAAATAAATCAGCCTTAATGGATAAACAGGCTGAGCGCAATTACTTTATTGTTCATAATGGCTCTGAGGCACATAATGCAGACGTGGATGTCGCCCAGGCTCTCGCCCATGTTGAGTTTTGCAATGTGTCGAGACTGTCTTTTGACACTCGGACTGTCAGGGATGTTTAGCGTGGGCCGGTTGTGGTTGGTGGCTCCAATAAAGGAACCGTTGGGTGAAGGCGCTTCATCGTGGTCACCTTTTTGCTCTCTCCTAAAAATTGTAAGTGTGGTAAAATAAATAATTATAATTCCTTAAAAAATTACCTTAGCATCATGAGCCGAAAACTAAGATAGCCCACGAGAACATCCAGCCCCTTGTTCTCCTCATTGAGGAATTCTCTGACCCACCTGTGAACACAATCAAAAAGGTCAAGAACATTTTCACACGAGCTCTTTAATAATGTTATTCTTGTGATTAAAAGCAAGCCTCAGGATACACAATTCAAATTGCAGTGAAATTTATTCTGAATTCGCACAGAGAAGAAGCTAATAAATTATTTATTGGAGCTATATACTTACTCTATGTGGTTTGTCCTCAGTGAGATCTCAAGGTCCCGCAGGACTTGAGTTGACGTTGAGTCCAACACCATGCGCCGCTTCTGCAAAACAAAAAAAAAATTAAAAAAAAATAAGAAGGAATTAGATTATTGACAAAAAATTAATTAAAATGAAAAAAATATGAAGTGGCGTGAAATATTAATCCAAAAAATTTAATAATATTTTTTCAAATTTATTTAAAAAAAAAATTATAATAGCCCAATATATTTAAATGATGATTGACGCATATATTTTCAGATTAAAATTCAGAAAACAGCTGTAAATTTTGTGTTGGAAACTGCGGTTGAACTAATACACAGCACGGTACACATAAGGTGTCGAATTTTGAACAAAAAAGCAGCAGATGCGGGAATTAGCTTCTATTTTAGGCTATTATAGAGAATAATGCCTCACAACGATTTGTTAAACAAGCCTTATGGAACGCAAGGGCGGTTATTTAGGGGTTCATTCTCCACAGGGGATCCAGAGCCAACATGTGGGATATTTTTTGGAGTAACAGAGTAAGTTTACTTCCTGTTAAAGGAAGAATCCAAAACTTTCACTTAAAAATGTGTTAAAAAATCTGAAAAATTACCCGTTGAAATTTTTTTCCTTAATATTCCCCAATAATATAGGTTGAGCTTCAATAAAACCAGCACAAAACTGTTTACATTCAAGTAATAGATTAGAAAGTTTTATGGACAGTAAGGTCTCTTAAATCTTATCTTCCCTCCTCGCAACAAAAAAGAAAAAAAAGAGGTTTACAGGGCACTTATTTATTTCTTAAAATTCCAGGAAAATCTGCTATCTGCGATGCGATGGTACATAAATTTGCACCGCACGCTCTTCACAATATTTACTTGGGGAGCAAGCGCGCGATATAAAAAATCAGGGGGAGTAAAAGAGAAAAGAAAGGGTCATCTGTGCATCTCTTTGACAATGGTCTTTGTTGTTTACCCAGAACAGGGGCGCATTTTTAGGGTGGGGCTGCCGCTCTCACATGACGCCCATGTGCGCACCATACCATACATCTACACATTTTATCCACTATCCAGCTGCTTTGTGTAAAACGTCATGCAATGTATGTATGTGTGCGAGAGCGAGACCCCCAAAGATCCCACAATAAGTGGCATTATCATAAAACCACACCGGCTGCTTAGCCGCGGCGTTCAAACTAATAATTCTTGGCTCGAGAGTGTGTTTGGGCGAGGTGACATTTATTAAAATATGAGATACACAACTGTTATTGTTGGTGATAGCTTCGCTAAGCGGGTATGAAAGTGTTTTGTTTGTTATTTATGGCAGCCAAATTTGAGCAGGCGAGAGTAAAAAACGCACTTCCACAGAGATCGTCGGCCCGCGCGACCCATGGTATGCAGCCAGAATAAACATATGGGGAATAAACGGAAATGACCCATTTCACTGCCTTTGTCCGAGTCTACAACAGGGCAAATGTTTCGCTCCTTTACAGGTTTATTTCAAACCTTCACTTAAGTGTGAGACAAAATTTTATTTCTGAAGGCTCCATTCCAGAATATAAACATGATAATAAATTTATAAAAAAAGAGTTTAATATTAGTCGATCAATTACTAAAACTTATTACTCATTGATTAACCTAATTCCTGTTCCAATCGTCAAAAAATTGAGGTGATAAATAATTCATAAAATTCAATTTTACATATATTTTTAAATTTTGAATTAGTAACTATTAGGTGTTCTTGGGGAAAAAAGTAAAAATTTGAAGCAGATTTGAAGGAAAACCAAGTATTTAAATTAAAACTTTACTCTCTGTTTAATTTTTTCTTCTTCTTTCCATCTGTATATAAATCCCAGACATTACAATCAAAGAGTGAAATACATTTTGCAAAAATCAATAGAGCCCGACCAGACAATTCTACCCTCATGACTCTCTGCAAATAACATTGGAAGCCGACAATGAGCGAAAAGGGAGCGAAGTGCGGCATACTCTCTTTTCTCTTTCAATCTCTCCAGTCTCCTCCACCCCTCTATTACAGCCGCACCGCAGACTAGCGCGGCGGCGACAAGCAACATATTCCAGAGCATGCCTCGCAGCTCATTAAAACACAAACCCAGCTCCCATGGTACGATACGATCCACCCGTCCATGGGCGCGAGGAGTGCGTTTTTCCTGCATGGGGGCACTTGAGACGATTTATTAAATGTGCTCCGAGTGACGCACACACGAGACGTCATTCACAAAGTCAGCAAGCAAGTACCGCCACATGTGTTCGCTATGAATGTGTAAGATTTTTTATTGTCCGCAAGTGAAATCGAACCCCTTTCGGAAGAGAGAAAGAAAAACTTTCCACGGCCGCATTTATACAACAAAATCATTAGGGATTATTTAAGCTCAAAATAAGAAATGTATTATTATCGAGATTTAAATTGATTTCTGTTTATCTGTTTATAAAAATTATTAAGAAACATTTCAGACGTGAGAGAATAATCAGTGAAGTAAGAGAACTCTCTTTGACAAGAAAAAAGAATATTGAAAACACGTTTAACTGTCTGGATTGAAATGGAAGGTGCAGAAAATTCTCGTGACTGAAATTTAACACCGCTGGTATTGGTTTCAATCCCAATGTGAACGTTTGCCAATTGATCGATTTCAGTGAAGTGGGCTTATTTATTTGTAAGTATCAATGTCAATATGAGGAATTGTGGTTGAGGAAAATTTGAATGATCTGCCAATGATTTATTGGGAAATATAAACTGTATTTAAATTTTTTTAGTTTTGTCCGGAGTCAAAAGGTCACTCACCCTGGCACTGCGGGACGCTCTTGGGTCCAGGTAGGTCGTCAGCTTGTTGAGGTAATGGGAGGGCGGGTCCTTTGCGTGCACCAGCTCCTGTGAACAGAGAACAAAATCGAAATTACCACCTGTCGGAATTGAAAACAAAAGCAAAACAGATTTGTATCAACAACTGGAGTTTCCAGCGATTCATTATAATAATTGCGCTGCTGGTTGCATCAAGTGTTGCGCACTGATAGGTTTTAGCGTGTGGAAAGAAGATTGCTTGGTTCAAATTTCGTAAAAATAAACAATCAAATAATTCAAAACTGTATACTAAGAAATTTGAGCTCGCATGAGAAAAAAATCGTTCGGTTTTCATAATGGGATTCCGTCGATGCTGGACTTGAGCCAGATGAGGGCGTGTGTGGGTTTGAGGTCACTTCATTGATGCAAGAGTAGCGAAGAGCAAAGAAAGCACGAGGAGGAAAGACCATCGAATGTAAACAAGGGTGCCGTTTATTAAAAATAGCCCCCAAGGTGCGATCATCGTTCTAAAACGCTCAAGAGGAGATGGGCTTACAAAACAAGTTGATGGCCTCTTCGAATTTTATTGCTTCTCACTCATCACCATTTGACTCAGCATGAATATTTTTGAGAATAAGTTGTAATTTAATGAAATAACAATTTTGCACAATTAAATAAAATTAATTTAAAGCCAGGACTAAGAATGGTTTCAGAAGTTAACAACTTTAACATGTGGTTGTTCTTTGGAATGTATTAAGAATAGCTGCGTCACCGTCAACAGCAAAATTACAAACATTTCAAGACCGCACTCTGCATTTCAAGTTAATTTATTAATTTGAGGAACGCCATACACAGTATATGTAGCTGTTACCGTGCTGTAGATTTATTTTATTATTATATCAATTAAGGCCCTGGAGGCGTCCATAGTGTAAATATTTCTTCACCACTGCGCTGATTAAGTGGAAAATAATAATGCCAAAGGTCTCATGGGTCGAGCGAATGCACGTACAGAATACTTCAGATTGTGGTATTGTTCTCAAGTGATTGAATCGAGTAAAAACCGTACATGAATCACGAGATCACTTAATTTTCTGGAGAAGCCGGTATTTTGTAGACGGTCAAAGATCAAAATCAAAATTGAAATCATGAACAGACGGGTATAGAACATAGAAACAATTTAATTTAGTTCACCTTTGACCATAATTATGTACTTTATTACTTACTCAAAAGTGGAATAGGTTTTTACAAGCCTTTAAGGAGAAAAGTTTAATCAAGAATAATCAATGTTTGTTTATAAATTAAGTAACAAACAAAATGCCGCCAAATATATTCAATATTTGTATTCAGGGCCAGCAGCAAGATTGTTTATTGTATGATTTGTGATTCTCCAAGTGGACGTTTGCATTATAAGAAACTGTCCTCAAGGAGCACGTTGACATCATCTTTTAAGCACGCGACAAGCAAACAATCTTCGGAGCCTCTTGTCCTTGGCGCTTGGATAAAATCGCACACATAATTTGATTTCCCTATTCTCGACGTGACAGCCCGTCGGAAGATCGGAGCATGCGAAATGAATATTTTTGGTTCGACACGGCCTGGGGACGTTACCGATGCGAGATTAATATTTATTTGGCTCCATCGAGCATCTCGACCAAGCCCTTGTGTAGTTTGAAATTCACATTTGCCAAATTGTAGACACGAAACATCGATGATTGAAGGATTATCATAATTCAATTTATGCAGGCGTAGATAATACCATGGCAAATAACATTGCTGTCAGGGCGAAATCAGCACTCCCTCTGATCAGCACTTCTTGTAAATTTTTGCTTGCACAGGCAAGCAAGTCAAACATCGTTGCTGTGGCGATCATCAAACTCAAATATTTAACGCCTTTATTTAAAAAAATTTAATTGTGAGAAAGAAAAAAAATAAAATTTGAAGTGTTTTTGAATAATTTTATTAAATTTCAAGTGTAGCTTTTATGAGGCTATAATGTGATGCCGTCCGTCTTTTACGAGCGCCTCATCTATTTCCAAGAATTTCAAACACGAGATCGTGGTGTTATATGTGCAAGTGTAACGGCTAGAAGTCGCTATTTGCAGGATGTGATATCATATTAAGTTTTATTTTTCTGACCTGATAACGCCCGAGAAGCGCAAAACATTGTGCTATGGGAAAAGCGTCGATTAGAAATCTCAACTTTGAAAAAAAAAGATGGTACATTAAAAGATCAGCCGCTGGTAGCAGAGATCAAAAGGGCACGTTAATTTTATGAGCACGCGGCTGATGCGATTCAACCATTAAGCGTGTTCGACACATCTGCACACATACGACGTGGAAATTTCCCTCAAACGACTTAATCAAAGTTGAACGCGTGGACAGAACTCGTTCTCCGAGTTTGGTTTTCTGTAGATTTGCCAGGAAAGTGTCTTTTCGCTGTATCTGCAGCAGTTGTTGTAAATCAGAGGCGGGTACATATAAATTATTTCTCAAAGATGTAAATGCAACTCTTGTGGTGTATCAAATGGCAACGCACCGGCCGCCAAAGGTCAACGGTTGCGCGGCCCAAGAGTTACCGCGTCGCCGTCGTGCACCACAACAAACGCGTGTTCTCATAGCAACCGAGGGCTTTAAAATGCATCAAAACCAGAGAAATAATGCACGGTTCTATAATACGAGCGGCACGGTTAAGTTGCACACAGAGAGATCCTATCTCTTGCTTTTTAACATTCTGCGCTGGCTGCCGTGCCCAGCTTGACTGCTTTGAGAACAGAAAAAAACTCCTCTCAAGTATATGATATAAAGATAGATCAAATTTGTCTAAAATTTAAATTTATTGAGACAAGGAAAAACAAAGATTGTAAAAGGAAAAGAAAAATCGAAATAATTCTAAGGGGCTCAATGTATAACATAAGTTCTGACATAAGTTTTTATCATATTAAAAAAATTAATTACGAAATTTTATTACTTTTATTTTAGTTTATTTTATACAATTTCAGAAATTTTCTTTTTTAGAGATCAAAATGAATAATTTTCCTACGTAATATGAAAAAAAAATTAATGACCATCTTTTAATGCCTCGCTATTCAACTGAATTTAAAAGCTGTAATTGCAATTATTGTAGTGCACTGAATGAGAATAAAAGTCTTTGTTCAGCTTAAAATTTCATTGTTAATAATAGATTAATGCACAATCTTTAGAATGTAGCCATTAGCATGCAAAAATGCAAAGCACGCCACAAAGGCGATTATATCTTTTTTCCACGAATCCTCTTATCACACAGCATTATTTCTATTGTGCCTCAATAATTGCGCGGAGACGCAGACTAGAATAATTTTGCATGCGTATACAAGCATGTTTTCTAATGCGGCGACGGTAATCGGCTCGCGATTATAAAAATATAAGTTCCATTCGCAATGGTCAGCGCTGCGTGCGAGTAAAAGAAGTGGTGACATCATAATTATTGCGGGCAGAGGCCTTGGCTTGCGAATTTAATACCTACTTTCGCATATGCATGAATATGGCTCGACATTTGACTGGATCCCTTTGCATTATTTTTTTCTGCAGCTTTCAAATGTCACCAGCCAGCTCGGCGAATAAAAGTGTGACGCACCCTGAAGCCGCTAGCGTTACGTTTTTATGCTATTTGCGCACAGAAGGAGAAGTGATTAATTAAAAACACATGCTCCGTCTGCGCAGAAAAAAAACGTTGAAATAAAAATGATATAGGACTGGTAGGCGGCCTCAGCCATTAATTACAAGGTGATTTGCATGCTGACGTTACTCACACTTGCTTGTTTCAATACCTCATTAAATAATAAATTGACGACGCAACTATTTAAAGTGATTTTGATTTCAAGAGTTTTTTATAAGCATAAAAAAATATTATCTCGCACTTACTAGTTTTCTGTAGTGTATTGAAAATAAAATTTTCTAAGTTAATTTTTTAGAATTAAGGATTCAAATTTAAATAATTTCCAACTGTCTGAATCTCCTGCATTTTTTTTTTTTAGAATTGTCCAGTTATTTGGTTAAAGCACATTTTATCCTGCAAAGTGATTTAGAATTTAGGTTCGCATATTTTTTTTTCTTTTTAGAAAATTTAGCAATGTTCTCGCTCAAACCAGAGTTTAAAGCAAAATAAGATTTAGCTTCAAATAAATTCAAATAAAATTTATGCCACCAAGCGGCTGAAAAAGAGTTTTTTCTTCACAACAGACAAAAAAAATACTGGAGTTTCCCAATGGATGCGCCACTTCTCGAAGATTTATTTTTAACCTGTGGCTGCGCTCGGAGACGGCGTCACTAATTATGAAGTGACTCTCAAAAGCAATAAAAGCATTTTCTGCATGTCTGGAAGAGCTTTGAAAGTGCAAGTTTGCAAAAAAGAAAACTCGCGTTTACTAAACAACTGAAAATTGCAGAGATGAAACGAAGTCTTCCAACAGACAATGCGCAATCTCTTTTATTAAAGGTATAGCAACAAGTACTGCCCTTGCCCACGTTTGTAATGAGAACGAGTTTCCATATTTGCGCCGCATGGAAATCAAACGTTGGCTCAATTTTTTTTTTCACGGACAAGCTCAACAGCGCGGATGACCAAATCGGAAAAATCGCAACATTGCGTCCCACCAGTTATGTCACTACTCTGAACAAATGAATATAAATTCCAAAGTGGCAAGTTGCAGGTGCATGTGAGCTGCGAGTTGATTTTTTATAACAGCAAACCCACAACTTCTTCGATTGAATAAAATTAAAACTAGATTATATACGTTTCTTGCTACAACGCGGCAGTGTTTTCGGTGGCGTATAATTGTCGGTTATGAAATAAAAAAACTGAATTATTAATTTCAACTAGCACATCTTTACCGTGCTGTCAAAATTATTACCAAACGGCGCTCACGCGATCCTTTTCCATTAAAATCTAATCAGCACATATTCTCGCGCGCGCCTTCGCCATTCTTTTTGGCAAACAACACGTCAGAAAGTTGTTACAACTCAAGACAAATACGCCAGTGTTTCTTTTTCTTATCGGTAGCTTCTTACATAAATACACTCTAGATAGTTTAGTTGTTCTACTACTGTAAGCGAGACAATGATTGTGTACTTTCTTCCGAAACTGACCTGGCAGCACCACCGCACCGATCGACAAGAGAAATCTTGCGCGGAGCTGCAGCAATAAGATGTTATATTGGCCGAGAAGAAAGTGCATCTCGTTTTAATTTTGTCTCATCTCGCGTCTTTCTCAAACTTGTTCTAGGCCATTAGGACAAAGAATTCGTTCGGTGCATTCTTTCAACCCCAATAACGGGCTCGGGAAATTTATGGATCAACTTGCGCTCCGAACAAGAGTGGAGAGTGAGTCTGATTGTATAAATGTCCACATATGAAAGCTATAAGTGGAACAGTGAAGGCGTCAAGATAATCGTCCAATATTTAGACTTGGAATCAATGTTGAAAATGCAGTTACTGCTTTCAATAATGAAATATTCAAAATTTAGATAGAATTGCATCAAATTTAGAAGTTTTTTTTTTTTAAATTAAATTCAAATAAATTAATTATTGGTCTGGAAAAAAGCAATAATGTAGTTTTTATTTTAAACCTATTATAATTATGAAATACTGCAATGTAATTTTAGAGTATGATCTGTTGAAAATTATTTACAGTTGTTCAGTTAGGGCAATTTTTTTTTTTTTTTATTGTCAATGTTCCAATAAAACTACAAGCTTATTACCTAATAGTCATGAAGTCATGAATTGAATTGGGATCTCATCTGACAACGAGTTAGAACTTTGAAAGTTAATTGCTTGCAATTATTTTAAATTTAAAGTCCGGCTTGACACAAAAACATCAGTAAACTCTTATAATAGTGAACAAACAGACACGCCCGAGCAAACACACATCCGTTCAAAATAACAATAATTATTATTAGCTAAGCGCCGATTAAAACCTTCACTGCTGCTGGTAATTAAATTCAAATTGCAATCGCCAGCATGGGATGACATCATTTTGGCGTTGGGTGCTGTTCTCCAACGTGAGTGTTGGGAGGAGAAAGAAAATAATAATGAGTCATCTACGCCTGAGAGCTTCTGTGTCTGAGAGCAAAAGAGGCGCGCCGATTATTTCTTCCTATTCGTTATTATCGAATAAGTCGCCTTTGAATAATTGCGCTCAATTCCTCATCATAATCATTCATTTTTGACTGCCAGCACTGAATGTTAATAAAATAAATGTCAAAAAAGAGTGGTTGCGTGTTTACTTCCTTACGTGCTTGGCGCCAGCAATCGAGAGATTTTAGTACGCATGAAAAATGGTTTTGGTTTGACAGGCATAAAATACGGAGAGATCATGCATTCATTATTTTAGGAGGAAATAATTTGTATCATTGTTTATAAAAAAAATAAGATTGTTCTTTATCCAGTTTTTGGCACTTGTATGATTGTCAGAATGGGCGGATGTATGCAAGAGCAAGCTTTCAATGTGATGTAATAAGATTAATTATAAAAACGTCATTGTCATATGCACTTTAAATAAATAGGAAACTTTCTATAAATAGCCACAATAATCCAAATTTCAGATCTTATATAAAAATTAATGTCATGAGAAAATAGTATACAATAAATTCTGTATTGGACGCTGAAGTCCGGCAGAGAATTGAGGATAATTGCAAAGCTGTTTTTGGAATATTCGCAGAAAGGAAAATTAACTTCACCAGTAGCCATAAAGCCATCATTCACAGGTTGTAATAATACGATAAATATATGATGTGGTTGAGCTAATGACCCGATTACAAGTCATTGCATGTATTAAGTCGGCGAAGGAAGAAAGTAAGTGAGCCGCGGCAAATGCACTCTCCTCCAAGCGATAAACTCACGCATACGGTGCCATTGAATTAAAAAACCCCAGCGAGGTGAAACATATGGGCAGGATATTGCTTTTATCATCCGGCATGGACGAGAAAGGTTGTTTTAATCTGTTGCGAAAATAAATTGAGCTTTAAATTCTATTTAGAATTTGAAGTGGTTTTCTTAATTTATTATTAAAAAAGTCATGTTTTGTGCACAAACTATAGCAAAGGCAGGAGAATTTGTCCTTCAGGGCAGGTGGTCAGCGCGGCTAGCGAACCATCAGGCGGCAGCTTCCTTTTTACAAGAGAATTTTTGCCCCACGGCAAATGGATAATTTAGGCGTTTTACAACCGCACAGTCTAGCTGCCGGCACCACAAGTCGCGTCATTTTATTTTTGCAAAGAGCAAACACGCCCTGTGGCTTTTTCGGTCGTCTTTTGCCAACACCTGCTCGCATCATGTATACGCAAGTGAACCTGACTTTGCAGCGCAATAACGAAGGGGCAGGTGCGCTACGTGGGCACACTTTATCACAGAGACCAAATGGAAATGCAAATCAACGCAAGGTGCGATGATGTTTGCTGACAGTGTGCCAAGTTTTCTTACCTGGTCGCAGATCATGTCCCATTTTTTCTCTAGGTCGTACTGCTTCAGCAGCTTCGCTTTGTCCATTGGCAAGTCCATTGAGTTCTGGAAACATAAAAACAGTAATTAATATCAACAGATTTGCAGCAAATAAGGTTAATTTTTCAAGGCGAAATAAAATGTTTTTTTTTTGAAAGAATCATATTGGAATTTTTTACATACTGGGTCAGTTATTGTTCCATTTTTTAAGTTTAATTGACCAAACTAATGATTAAATCTGATCATTAAGTTCCAACATGATCACTAGATTTTTTTCTCTCTTTTTAGAATAACAAACCGTGTATTATATCAAGGAAGACAAGAAAACTCTTGTGCGGTGAGCGTTTTAATCACAGGCAAAAACCGTTTTAATTGTGCATCCTCCTCATATTTGGCTTTGCACGTAATGCACAATAAATTTCCTTCTCTATTCTTTCCTTCTTTCGTTCTCTTTCTTTCTGAGCAGCTATCAACACGCTTCCTCAAGCGAATCAGCCTTTATCAAATTACAGCAGTCTTTTTTCCTTTAGCGCGGCTTTTCGCCGCCACACTTTTCTCGTGGAAGAATATACAAAATAAATTTAAATGAGCAAGTTTGGTTCAGAGGTCTGCAATTTAAGACGATGCTGGAGAGGCGACAAGACGTGAAAGATGTTGCTAAACAGCAAAATTAACCAGCAGCACTTCATGAACATTCACCAACGACAGTGGCAGAACTGGAATTTGTATATTAAAAAAGGCGGAAACCGCGACAAACAACTAATTTTAAACTCGTTTAAGGAGATATGAAGTTACCGAAAGTTAAGAAACTTTTAGCTCTCGCATATATTTTCTACTCTCTTGACAAATATTAATTTTAAATTTGATGTTAAAATGTTTAATTATTATATTTATTATAAATTTTTTTTAGTTCTTTGGTCATGAATTATATATATTTATATTTCAGGTGTCAGACGAGTTTTAGATGAATATGAAATGAACAGAGTATCGCCTATCACGCCACTTGGTGCAACGATTTAAGAACTCGTTCTCCAAGCACCACTCTCTCTCGCCCATCAAAAAGACCCTGTAGGTTACTATTAAGCGCAAATGTACGTCTTGAAGAGAGAAGCAGATGACGCATGAGGTGGCCGATGAATGAGGCCGATTGTGTTTGCTGCGTCTGCTCTCGAACGAATTGTAAAATCGCCACCCGAACGACCGCGCGAGGGCCTGTCTGGTTGTGAATTTGCAATGCTGATCTCATCGCAGCAGTCACGTGACGCCCAATGAAAATTACATAAAAAAGCAGAGACAACATCCGCCGGAACAATAACTGCATCAGTATTCAAGTGGTGAGCGGGGCTCGTGGAAAAGCTCACATCAGCAGACGCAGACGTCAGAGGCGCAGGGTTGATCCACCGGCTGATGCTAATTTGTTTTCAATGAGGTCGTCGAAGCGTGCATTTAATTTCATGGGGCGAAACCATTTTGCACACACATGCATTTATTATTTTGCGTTTACTCGTTCTTCATGCGAGAGTTATTATTTTATTGCTGTTCAGCATAAGAATGTGCCGGAGAGTGGAAAAGTGAATAACAGGAAACCGCAGACCGCAAGAATAATTGCCGACGTGCTTTTGGTGCTGCTGCGAGCCAGCGAGGACACTATTGATGTCTTTATGTAATAATAAAATGGAATTGTGGTTCGGCATTCTGATGTACAATCGCTTTTGGTATTTTGCCAGAGGGAAGTAAAATGTCATGATCCGACCTTTGCTATTTTTGCAAAAAAAGCGACGAGGAGCGTATCTTACAATGCTTCGATAACTTTACGATATTTTTTATTAAAAAAAAAATATTTAAATAAATAAATGTTGAATCTTCTGCACTATTTGGTGAAGAAATTTTTAAGTGTTTTTAATTCTGTTGACTTCCGTACAGCGTTATGCTCGGTGCCAACGAATAAAAGAAGATTTTAAATTGGCTAATTAGAATAACAATTAGTGAAAAGTTACACAATGAACGTTACATAGGCAATAATGGCCATTGTCTATCACAGAGCGTGGAGAAGTGGAGAGGTTTATATCCGTGAAATGAAAATAAAAATGGAGTGTCTTTGATACTGTAAAAAAAATTTCTCCACAAAATTTTACTATTCTTGGCTCCCCACGTGGAACACACGCTCGAAAGATTGATTTAATTAAATCCCTTATCAAAATGAGCTGAACACATACAAATTATTACAGAAGTTACTATGCAAAAAGTACGGTAAGTGACTTGTGCAAGTTTTGCGCGTTATCTTATCTGAAAATTGCACGTTTTAAGTGATATAATTCATTCCAATTTCTTGCCTCTCAAAAGTTCAATTTTATCATCAGTTGGTCATAAAAAAATTAATGAATATAGGAATTAATAATAAATATATTAAAAATTAAGTCAAACATTTAATTGAATGAAGGTTAAATTGAATGGTGGAATATTCAATAAAAAGAGCATGATGCATTTCAATATCCTTTTCGCTACTGCAAATTTTTAAAGGCGGCCCAAGGGAATATTGCTGAGCCGGTGGGAAAAAGACACGGGTTAATTGTTACGTTAGCAGGAAACCTTTTTATTTGCACTTTCGGCATTAAATATCCATGACACCTCAGAAGGCGCTGAATTCCACGCCACAACAAGCACCAAGTTTTAAACGCCCTCTGTACACGCTCAGTCCTGCTCAAATACAGCCCAGAGACATGTAGTTTTGCAAACCGGTTGATCCAATAATTATCAGAAAATCAGTTTGCTCCACTTTTCTTGAAATATGGTGAAAAAGCTATTGTTCGAAAAAATCATTAAATAAAATGAAAATAAATAAAAATGAAGCTATTTGCAAAGAGTTGGGGTAGAAAATATATGTCTTGCGATTTGCGATATAAGTGGAATTATTAAAAATTTCATCAAATAAATGATATAGTACAAAAATATTGGGTCAAGTGCAAAATTTTTATGAATTATGCAATTGTCGATTTGAGTAAGTGCGAATTGCGTCAGAATAAGTGAGCGCCAAGTTTATTATTACATTTTGAAATATTTTTTTATTTGGCTTTTTATTTCAGCGAGCGGCCTCTTCATGCAACGCTGCGCACCGCAAGTGCACGGTGAGCACCAAAATTCGTCATTATATCACTATTTTTTTCCCTTTGTATAACACGCTCCCCACACAGGCGTAACGCAATATTCTTGTTATCTTTCAGCAACTAGTGCACCCAGGATTTCTGGTTGGTGGTGAAAAAGGCCCCACGCTTCCATGAGAAAGTCAAACATGCTGGGAAGCGGGGGTGCCCGCGAAAAGTAGCACTTTTGCGCATCCATGCCGTAGGAGGATTTAATAGCTCTTTATCGCGTGGACGCTATCAAAGGCACAAGTTAAAATTTACACGCTTGAAAGTCACAACCAAATAAGCAGAAAATTTACATTTGAAAATTGTGCAAGATCAGTTCAATTAAGGAGCGGCTAATTATGAACAAAAGTACAAGTGGATGACGCATCACGTTATTAAGGATTCCAAAACATTCAAGAATGACTTGGCGAACCTTTTAACGCCGGACTAACTAAGTTGTAATTGCAAGTTTTTGGATGCCATATTTGGTTTTGCGGCGCGAGATAATTAACGGTGCAAAAAGCTAAACATTACACGATGGTAAGCCAAAGGCATTTCGCAAGAAGCGGCTGCGTTATATTTATAGCCGCCGTTGTGGAATCGCTTTCGCTCTCTGTGTCATGACTCACCGCACTTCAATATCTTCAAAATTTATCCAACCAGGCTCGCTCAAATATTGGTCAAGATTCTGCACTGTAAAAACTCATGGTGTTGTAAAAGTTTATGGTTTTTTTATTCAGGTGGCGATTCGGACTGCGGGCAAAAGTTTGCGTGTTGATAGTTTCGGGAAATGTTATCAGGAGAATGACCTCGGCGAGTGTGACATTCTGACTAAACACGATTCGCACCGTACTGCCGAGTCAATAAATAAAACAAATTTGATCGAACGTAGCTCTTTGGTTCCCATGGGAGCTGAATGCTGACCCTTCGACCTCCAGGCATTCCAGCAGCCATCATCTGCGGCCTAATGTAACACGCAGTCGTGACAACCGATGACAGCACTTGGGACTGATCTGACCGTGCCGGTTTAAAGTCGACTCCAACACCCAGAATTATTGACATTTGTTTCATTTTTAGAAATCACCACAAAAATATGCCAAAAATTTCTGTAATATTTTTGAAATAAAGAGAGCCGAATTTTTAATAAAGAGTCAAGACGTTTTGTCCCTTTTAGTATATAAAAATAACAATCACCGTCAGCATCCTCTTCAAACTGCCCAATTTGCGAGCTAAAAGAGCGCCAATTTATTTTCCATCAGCCAAGGTGCTCATTACGGGACCCACAGAGCCGCGATTTACGACCAACCCTCCAATTTGCATGCACGACGGACTGCAGCAGGAAGTTTGCGGGCTAGATTTATTTTTATTGACGGCCAAAATAAATCCCGAGTCCCGAGCGAGCAGACGGCCGCAGGAGAGCTGCATGGTTTTCTCGCGGACGCAAAAGCAAGGCCTGCTGGCGAGTGACTCACGAAACCTAGCACACAATGGTGCCGCGCCTTAATGAATTATCGCCCGACGAGACGTGCCCTGCGACCTCAAGACATGCACCGAGCCTATGACTCTGAGTCAGCAGGTGATATAATGAGCATTTGCTATTCAAAAATCTATGTCCACAGTTGTTAAAGCAATAATGCTAAAAAAAATTAAGTTATTTTAACTGATACATTTATGTACACTTTCAAATTCAATTCCGTTTGGAGATTTCATTTAAACAAAAAATGATGATGGCTCACAATCAACTTTTATTCTTATTATTAGCTAATGATATAAGCTCATTTTGCATACCAGGTATGTCTTGATGCACAAAGTCGGAACCTTTCCAAGAAAATTATATATGTTTTCCTTATTCTTTTCGGGCTAGTCCTCGCATCTCCAAAATTATACTGTCTCGTATAAAATTTATTGCAAGAGTTGTGCTGTAGTAACTTGATGTGAAGAATTGTTATGTCGGCTTATCAAAAAGAATGAGGCAGGAAACGGATAGCTGTTTGAGGGGCTTGCTGATAAAAAAACTTTGATATTTTATCAAAATTAAAGAACTTTTCGTTTTATAAAGAAAATTTCTAATTATAATTGCTGTTTATTTGTCCACATTGTTACAAAATACATTGTTTACATTGAAATGTTGAAAACAATTTATGAAAAAAGGAGTTGTTGGAAAAAACGGCACAATAAATGGCAAGAATTTTGCTAAAACTTATTCGCAACAATTGACAATAAAAAATTTCAACTTATTACCGAACTTTTATAAAAAAAATCTTTTGAATTATAATAAATTTTTAATTTAATATAAAAAGAAGATAAAAATTAATTTTAAAATCGGATCATTCAGATATATGTTTTGTTATTATTTGTTAAGCGGTTTCAAAGTTGAAGGAACTATGAAACGACAGCAAGATTTACAACCACTTTCCTGTTAAGCTGTTTAATTTAATTTAAGCCTCTCGCATTGTCTGTTCCTTGTTGATTGAGGAACCAAAAAGATCCCCATCTATTCTAATTAGAAATTTATTCACAGCGACAGCCCAGTTGTGTACTTACTATAACTTAAGTGAATACCGAGTCAATTTTCCCCGACAGTTATGGATCATCAGAGAAAAATTATGGGCCCAACCTCTCTTTTAAAATGACGCCTCCACAGGGATTGTCACTTTGTCCCACTCGCGTGGTATACCAAAAGTGTTTTTATATTAACAAGTTTATTCAGATCACGCTTAGAAAGAGAAGGAGGACGATATAATTTGATCTGACCTCCCGGAGCTCTTTAAAAATTTTCACAGAACATAAGTGTCAGCTGATAAAATCTAAACAAGAGTGCAAAAATATTGCCAACAATTTTTATAGCATGGTAATAATTTAAATTTATTTAATGTTTTAAATTGTCACAAGGCTACCTTCAAGATTATTTAATTTATCAAACATTATCAGCTGCCAGTGTTCCAAGACATATTTGCTTAGTAATGCTTTGCAACCTTGACAAACTGGCACAGTAAATGCAATCACCACAAATTTCAAAACACACCGAGGGGGTTCAAACTGTTCAAACGTATGCGCTAATAATTCAGGCCAAACAAACACACGCTCCTTTCTCTGTTGTGTTTTGCATTCCGAAAAATACTCGTGTCGATTTATGTCAAAGTATGGGAAAGACTATATAAAAATAGATTCGAGCTTTACTATAGAGGCTTAAACTTAGTTTACTGGGAAGGAATAAAAAGTTCATCCAGCTGTCGCTCTGATAAATCATCACGCAACATCAAGGGGAACCGGATTTATCATTCGGCTGACTGCATGGGCACGACTATTTTAAATGTTATAAGCACCGAGCGCATAATTGAACATTTCTTTTGATATCGCATCCGCTTCTTGAATGAAAATTCGTCGACGAACTATTTGCATAATGTCCATTCAAATTGGAGGCTAATAGGATTTCACTAGTTTGTAACACTAGACCTGCCGAAGGGATTGCATGACGGTCCCCCGATGCTTTTGTCCCTTTTCGTATGTAATATGGAACAATGATAGTATCGTGTTGGGTTACAAAAGGCGCTGGTATGAATGGAAGGCAGAGAGTTCAATGAGTGATTTGCGTGTAATGTGCAAACTTTATTTATAGTATGAGATGCAAGCATTACGCTCAGTTTAGACTGCGGATGAGTTAAAAAGCGAGCGGGAGCTGCACACAAAGAGGCAACTTGTTGCACAGTCATGAACGGTGAAACGAATATAGCCGTCGAGACTTTTGTATGTGCTTAATAGGTCTGTTGCTTTGTTGAGGGCGGTTTGAATTGTTACATTTAAAAGGAGCATGTTTAGAAACTTTTTTCAAACTTTATATTCCAAGTTTTTCTTCACTTACAATGAGAGTAATGTGAAATGTTAATGATTTAAAAATTTAAAAACATTTTTAAACAATTATATTTACTCTCCATTCAAGAGCACTCTTTAAAATAAAATTTAAATTTTCAAAAACTAACAAAATTGATGTATCAATAAAGTGAAATTTTTACTGTAGTTTCAATAAAAAAAGGCATGAAATTTTGGAAATTTTCATAACAAAACCCATCTCACAAGTGTCCAATCACTCAAAGTCCATTATCTGGAGGGTCTCTCCTCTCCCCAGGGTTGATTGATTCGCCCAGCAAGAGGGCGCGCATCCTTCCCGCACTTTTACCCGCCCTTTCCATTATGCACATTACACGCTGACTAACAAGCCATTATTCCAACCCTCATTTGTCCGCCCCGACGAGCACGCCAGATTCTAATCCAGTTATGGCAAAGAAAAGAGAAATTGATAGGAACGATTTATCACCCCTGTAGGACTCTCTCTAATGTGGAGAGCCTCGAACCGCACTTGGCAACGTCGCTCTCGAGTTTGTTCACCACCCTGCTCGCTTTTCTTCTCCGTTTTCTTTTCCTCCTCCGACTCTAAAGACCGACGCCTACGCCGCGCTGGACCAGTTAGTTAGCATGGATGGGAATCTAACTAACACATCTCTCGTCTATGCTGCTGCAGCTTAATGATGCAGCCCATTAAATATGCTACCCACTGTGGTGCAACTCAATCCATCCACGCCGACTGGCAGCGAAAGAATTCCAATCTGACACCCAAACCCCAATCTTTCGTCGCCCAATCGCCTTTGAGTTGACCGCTGAACAAAAGATCGGCTTTCGATAGATAGATTTTTTTAAATGTATAATAATATCCTCGTGCCACGATTTTTCACACTGTAATCCTCGTTAATTAAACAAGCCAACCTTTAATAAATTGCTTTTTTCAATAGCCTTTCCCATTAGATTGTGTGTTGATTAGAAATTTTATGTGATTGTGGTTAGGACAAGAATGTTCAGGAATCAAGATTTATGAGAAACAATTTTCAAATTATACAATAATCATATCGTTTCAAGATTATAATTGATAGGTAATAATTACCGATTTTTTTAAATTATTAAATCGAGGGCTTATTTTCAGTATCCATGAATTTAAATTGAATTAGCTACATTCAAAATTTGGAAACTGAATTAAAAAAATTAGCCTTCCTAAAAAAAAAATGCAACTTTTGAATCCATGGCAACTTGAAATTGTATTTAAATTGAAGTTTGACTAATAAGAGGCAATTTTTTTATCAAAATTATTTGTAAAAAGGCTGGATTGGGGCGAAAAAATATCTAAATATAGACAGCTTTTAATCAATTATTTGGAACTTTTCAAACAGAGGTTAAGTTTTTGGCCCATCCAATATAATATATATAATATTATTGCTCAACAATTATTAATGTTTTGAATCCAACTGGGCGAGCAAAATCTCAATCACAGCAAGGATGCCAGCGGAGAAGCCCCTAAGGATTTAGTCTTGGAACATATTTGATAACTATGGAAGGCGGGTCTGCGTGATGCCGGCAAAGCAGGCGAGGATTAATATTTTGATTCCTCTCTTTCGGGAGGCTCCTTATTTCCACTCCTTATCTGCGGTCCTAAGAAGGGTGGCTCAGACTTTTTTGTATACAAGATTCTCTTTCACAAAACTTTACAGACGCCAAAGAATAAAATGTACCTTTTCGCCTCCCTCTGATGTTTTCATTCTCGCGCTTTTACTATACAGATTTTCTAAACCCGGCGCGACAAACACCCTTCGAAATAACTCACTTTTTCCACAGCCGAAAGCATTAAAAAAACGAGAATTTTGTACTACGATGGCTAGTAAATATAAATTTACGATTGTTCACGTGTGCGGTACCGCAAAGCTTTTTATTGAAATTTATTTATAGCCCCCCAAGAGTGGGTCTCTTTTATTGGTTGTTGGATCGTTTTTACAACTACTAGGCCTATAAATTTGTTTTTTCAAATTTTCCCACTTGCCCTTTATAACTATTCCACGCGATTAACTCCTTTAAAAAATACACTTTTAACGTGAGAGCAAGAAAAAGGAAGGCGAAACTGAATGCAAGGTCGTTTCCTTGATTTTTTCCCCACGTTGTGTCTCACAGGCAACTTTTGTTTTCGTGCTTCAAGAGGATGAATCACGCCGCGGCCAATTGATGATTAGTTCTCCGATTGCGTGTGATGTCATTTCTAAACCAAATTGGTTCCAGCCACAGGAAAAAACTGCATCACCGATTACTGTAAACTTTGCAATGGAAAAATTCCCGGCGGTGGTTGCAGAAATTAAATTCGGTCACGCGCAACAAAGGTCAGATAAAAAAAAAAATACGAAATAATATTCCCACTGTTAAAAATAAACATTTCACCCAAGAAGAAACCCCGAAGGAAATTGTACGTTTCCTCTGAATTTGCCTGACGTTATGTCGGCAGAATCGGTGACATAACCACACTGATTCACCCACTCCTGCGGTCATCTAGTGCTTTCCCGGGGTCTCGCAGCATTTTGCGTAAATTACACTTTGGATGGGTATTTGAGAAGACGCCTGTCTGGAGCCGGCTGAGTTGTTATTAATTGCCTCATTTCTATAGCAAAAAGCGGCTGCAACACGCCGATAATCTAAGAGCTGAATGGGGGTCAGACAGACTTGAGGCGCCCACCACATAAATAATCTATATCTCGTCAAATCAAGCGTGCAGCAAAGCAGTAAACTCAATTAGCTGTACAGCACTTAACCGAATTTTTAGCCAATGAAGCCCAATCAATTATTTTCCTCTAATAGAAATTTCTCAAAACCTTGCAAGTATAAAGTAATTTTTACTTCAATGAAATTTTTGAAACGAAAATTTAATTCTAAAATAATTATTTTAATAAATTGGAAGTATGTGTAAGAATAGTTATAAAAAAATAAATCTGTAAAAAAACAGCACTTACCAAAACTTTTGTGAATCTCTTCTCGATCTCGTTGACATCCCTGGGCATCGGCTGCTGCATTTTTTCGCCCCGGGTCGAAGCCCTGAGGGTGCTGGTCCTGATCGAACCGGTCAATTGTGACCGGGTCACCAGGGTGGTGGGCCGAGCCTTCAGGGTGCCGCTGTGTCCAGCGTCCTGCAACGTGATGGTCTCGTTTTTTGCGCTTGAGTTCCCCATGATTTTGCCTGAAACGTAGAGAAGAAATTTCAAAATTAAGCCTTTTGTCTAATGAATTCGATAACCACAATGGCAAATATTCACAAAGCAATGCCGATGCGAAAAAATAGCAACCAACCTGTTCGTGATTCACTCGTCCGCTGGCAATCGAGCGCGATAAATCACATGGCGACCAAACAAAAAAAGTGATCTCAACTCCCGGGTTTCACCTGTTGACTTGCTTGTTTGTCTCACACTGTCCGTTTCGTCGAAAACCACAAGTGTCCGAATTAGTGTCGATTAGTGTCCAGTCTCTGTTCAAATATAATTGACGTGCGCCGCTGAAAAACGTCCAATTTTCCGTAGTCACGTTTGCACTCGGTCACAGAACTCAAAACACTGCCGACACTCCGACAGTTCAATCGCGTTGCGCGTTGCTTGCTGGTGGGCGCGCTAAACTGGAAAGTGGTTTCCAGGTTGGCCGTTTCGCGGCAGCACCACATTGCGCGGATGAAAAACTTGCGAGAGTTGCGAGATGTAAACTTAACAAATGCTGAGACGGTACAGTACAAAAAGCTCTGACCTGCTCATCGATAATTATTTGTTTTTTGCTCATTTGTGAAAGGGAATCTGTTGTGGAATTGAGAGGTCGAAAACTGACTCGTCTCTTTTCTACTGCAATGTTGCTTAATATCGCTTAATAATGAATTATGATACACACACACGACGACCTTTCATCGAATTGCCACGCCGCTATGGCGCGCAGCAGTGTCAAATTGATCAAAGAAGGGCGTGGTCATGGAGAAAATCGAAAATGGTGAGGAAGTGGGGCCGCGATTAGATAACAACTTGTTGTGCACGCAACTCGCGGGGTTTGTCTGCCCTTTTTGCACCGTCGGGCCTGGACAGAGCACCTAGGGCCAGCCGCACCCTGATTTTTCGGATGCGCCGCCCCTTCGAGTCGACTCCCGGCACAGGTGGTGGTCACGCAGGTCGGCGGTGCACGTGACTCTCACTCGACAGGGCCATCCTACCCACCCACACCGACAGATTCACGCTCTGCGGATTCGCGGCGCCGACCCGGCGACTCCACCGAAGGACTTGAAAGAAGGTTCGTCCTCGTGAGCCAATCGATGGGTTTCGACATTGTCATGTAGTTAAAGGGTTATATAATTGTATCAAATTGTATTAATTAAAATCGGCGGCCGGCGTTCTCACGCCTAAGCTGCAAGTCCGTGAACGTGACTTGAATAATATATGAATATTGTGGCAATTATCTATCGCCAAAAATTAAACTCGCCTTTTAAATCTATCGTGCCTCTTAATCTCTCATTTTTTTCTTTTTATCAGTAAAACCTAATCTAAATCTAAACTGTCTCCATGTAAAAACATGCATTATTTTTTTATCAGATTTATGACTAAATAAAAAGGGAAGGGTATATTATAATTAGTCATCGATTGCTCTCAACCATTTGCCCATATCAAAAAGGGTCGTGCCGGATCTTATCTTGCCAACAGGCGACTTTAATAATGATTTCGCGGCCAGTTTCAGTAATGGATCCCGAGGAAAAGCCGCCCCTCCGGCACCTGTCCGAGGAGGAAGTTGAAATTTTGCCAGATTTTCCACCCGGACCGCTCGATTCATACCGGAAGCAGGCCACCTTCGACTGGAAAAAGTTGCGATTGTTCATTGAAAATGAAGATCTGCTTAAATTTAAAGTAATTTGCCATTCTTCGAAGCAATTCAGTCAACTTAAAAATGATTGCAGATGTCGGTCTGGAAAACCATGGAGGCAGACCCCTTATTCGAGCAGCCGAATCAGTCGGTCAGCATAGACGAATTCCGCCGAGTGACAACAAACAGGGTGCATCGGATCAAGGATTACAACTTCCTGACCGAAGAAGTCATAATGACAGACCCGAGAAAGGTAGTTTTTTTCCGAATTCCGGCTTCCGTGGAGATTTATTTTGTCTCTATGTGTTTTCAGTACATTGTGCTGCTGGTGGCCCTGAATCACTACGATCCCTGCCTGATGATAAAGTATGTAGTGCCTTTCCAGTTTTTCCTGAGTTCCCTTAAAGGGCTAGGAACCAAGAAGCACATCAAGTTCATCAAAATGGCTGAAGACCGACAGGTAAATATTTATCCAAAATAAATCAAAAGAAACTTTATAAGATAGAAATCCATTGGTGAAAAAATAAATTTTTTTACAAATTTTGAAATAATTTTTTCACTTTGGAATAACAACATTAATTTATTAAGTGAGAGGAATTTCTAATTGAATTAAGAAAGTCTTCTTTTATTAATTTTTCTATCTATTTTCACAGCTGAATGGCTGTTTTGCAATGACAGAGGTGTCACACGGAACCAACACTAAAAAGCTTCGAACCACTGCCACTTACGATCCTGCCACTCAGGAGTTCGTCCTGCACACGCCAGATTTCGAAGCTGCAAAGTGCTGGGTGGGCAGTCTGGGTCAGTCTGCAACCCACGGCACCATTTTTGCCCAGCTGGTGACGCCTGATGGCGAGCACAAAGGCCTCCACGCTTTCCTCACCCCTATCAGAGACCCGAGGACCATGTTGCCCTACCCGGGGGTCATCGTCGGAGACATGGGCGAGAAAATCGGTCTCAACGCCATGGATAATGGGTACAGACCAAAGATAATAAAATTGAAGTTTTTTTTTAAATAAATTTTGTTTCCAGTTTTGTGATATTTGATAAATACCGCATTCCGAAAGACAATCTACTCGATCGGACGGGGACAATGACCGATGATGGAAAATACGTTTCTCCCTACAAAGATCCTAACAAGAGATTTGGTAAATTTTAAAATATTTTAATTTTTATGAATGGGATTAAGTGATTTGTAAATTAGGTGCTTCCTTGGGCAGTCTTATTGCTGGCCGGGTGGCCATTGTCAATTTTTGCACCAGCAACCTGCACAAGGCCATCGTCACAGCCATTCGGTACTCGGCCGTCAGAAAACAGTTTGGGCCCACAAACGAAGCTGAGCTGCCTGTCATTGAGTACCAGTTGCAGGTGAAGAGTAATTAAAAAACAACAAAAAATTTGGAAATTCAATTTTTTCTCATTTCAGCAATGGCGCCTTTTCCCTTACTTGAGTGCTTCTTTTGTGCTAACTGCCTTTGGAGATTTGGTATTGAAAGAGTATATGGACATGACCATTGCCCTCCTCATGGGGGAGGACAGGGAGAAGTTGGTGAGTTAAAAATTTCACGATTTAAATTATCTTCTAGGAATTCAGTAAGTCTCTTTTTTTTTTGAAAAAAAGGAACAAAAAAACAAATGAGGCAAATTTAATTATATTTTAATTAATCTTTTTGAAAGTAAAATTAATATTTTAGCTAGAGTATTAATATTCTTAATTGATTTCACTTTTTTTTTATTTGTGCATAGGCTGATGTCACGGTTGAGATGCACGCTCTCTTATCTTCAGCCAAGCCTCTGTGCAGTTGGCACACTCAGCATGGAATTCAGGAGTGTCGAGAGGCCTGCGGTGGCCACGGTTACCTCAAAGGTATACTTGAGTTAGATATATTAATTGACAAAATTAATTCAAATTGTATATAGCTGCCGGATTTGGCCAACTTCGCAATGACAACGATGCAAATTGCACTTACGAAGGGGACAACAACGTTTTGCTGCAGCAGACAAGCAACTGGCTGTTGCAGTTGTGGGCCGAGAAAAAGCGAAACGGCAAGAACCGGATTCAGTTCAGTTCGCCGCTGGGTTCGGTCCATTTTTTGCAAGACATCGACCGCGCCGAACAGCTCAGGTTCACGGCCAAATCTGTTCAGGACCTTCTCTGTCCAGAACGTAAATAAACTTTTAATCTTCAATTTGAATATTGAAATAATTGAGTCTTTGCGCTTTAGCTATTTTGGAAATGTACCAGTGGCTAATGTGCTACCTCTTGGGTAAAACCGAGGCACTTCTCAAGTCATACCAGGCTGAAGGAAAACATCCTTTTACTGCTCGAAATGAGTCTCAAGTATTCCACGCTCGCACCCTATCCTTGGCCTATATCGAGCACTACTGCCTCTTGCTCTTCTGGCGCCGAGTGAACGAACAGCCCCTCGAACCGTCTCTCTTCAATATTCTGGCCAAAATTTCAACTTTGTTTGGCCTTTGGAGTATTGAGCAACATTTGGCCACCTTGTATGAAGGTGAATTATTTAAAAACAAATTGAATAAATTGGATCTGAAATGATTATGTTTACATTCCAGGCGGTTTTGCTAAAGGTCCTGAGGCTGCCCAGTTGGTTCGGGAGGCAATTCTAGTTCTTTGCCGGGACCTGAAGGGAGAGGCTGTGGCTTTGGCAGATGCCTTGGCACCCCCTGATTTCATCCTCAACTCTGCTTTGGGTCATTCAGGAGGAGAGGTTAGTTCAGTCTTGAGATTTACAATCCTAGTTAATTGTCTTTTTTTTTTAGATTTACAAAAATCTGCAAGCAACCTTTTTCCAAAACGCCGGTGTGTTCGAGCGACCAAGCTGGTGGCAAGAAATGGTGCCGAAAATAGTCCGATCGAAGTTATAATTTTCCCTACTTGATTTCAATTTCTTGTTCAAAGTGGCCTTTCAACTTTCAAAATCCCTTTCCCGTCTTCTCTCAAACGTTATATATTTTTGGAACTTGTACCTCAATTACTTAAAATCAGATTCTGACTAAATGTGCATTTACTTAAGAATTAACTTTTTGTAAATGATTCAGGGACCATCTTTTGAAAATAATATTTTACAACGACAACAGTTTGATAATTTGGTACTCTAGTGAAATTTAATTTCAAGGTTTAGTCATTTTGCGCTTGTAAACCCAAAACCTGAAGGGTATTCTTTTAATGACTGTTGCTACGCTCTTCATTATTTTTGAATGTTCATCGATTTAGTTTAGATGGTCTAATTTTACCATTAGATCACAGTCTAATCAAAATGTTAATAAAAATACTCAAATTTAGTCAAATTTACCTTTGTTTCACTTTCACACTCAGACGACTGTCCTTATAAAAAAATCAGCTGCTGGAAATTTGCATAATTATAATAAAGCAGGTTAATTCTTGTAAAAGTTTGATACCAATATGCAACTTGATTATTTTGAAGCAAACTTTTGCTATGATTTTGATCTTCTGTTCTGAATTCATTTTCATCTCCTTTAAAATTACAATGAAATGAGATTGAAAGCGGTCGTTGTAAAATTTGACTTCTAAATCAAGAGCGTTGCGCAAGATATACAAATCGCCAAATTTGATCTGCACCTGACTCAACGTCTGAGATTATCGATTCAGATAAGACCTTGGGTAAACTTCTGAGATAATGATGAAGATTTTGAGTGGGTGATAAACAAACTTATGTAACGACTAGTGGTCTATTTATTTCACTGTAAAAGTTAAAAGTTGGCTATAGGTTCAAGAAGTGTAATAGCATTTAAAATGTTTCTCAAGTAAGTGTTTCAACAATGATGTCTGCGCAATAGACATTCGAATAATTTTCCTAATTTTCTAGTACGTTCACATAAGAGATAAAATAATCTTTCCTAATTATCAGAATCGTCCTCTTCAATAATATACATATACATGTATAAATTTGATTATTTATCTGCCTCAAAGATTGTTCCTGGCGAGCGTCCTCGCAGCATCAGTTTTTGGTCAAGATGATCCAAACTGGTACAAAACTGCCACTTACTATCAGGTGTATCCACGCTCGCTCAAGGACACAAATGGAGATGGCATTGGCGACCTTAAAGGTTTAATATTTGTTCGGATCAAAATCGCAAACTCAATTTTTAAATAAATAAAAAGGAATCACCCAGAGCATTCCCTTCATGAAATCGCTCGGTGTTGACTGCATTTGGCTGTCACCAATTTACAAATCGCCAATGAAGGACTTTGGCTACGACATCGCTGATTTCTATTCAATCGACCCGATTTTTGGAACTTGGGAAGACTTCGAGGAACTTCTGGCCACCATCAAAGCAGCCGGCTTGCGCCTGTTGATGGACCTCATCCCTAACCACACGAGCAACGAGCATGAGTGGTTCATCAAGTCGGTGCAGGGACAACAACCATACGCTGACTACTACGTGTGGAAACCGTCAAAAGGCATTGACGCAAACGGTTCTCAAATACCGCCGAACAACTGGGTAAGAATTTTCATACAAAAATTCATTCGCCAGATATATAGTCCAGTCTATTAAATATAATTAGTTACAACAGAATGAAATTTAAAAATTTACCATTTCAATAAAATAAAATTTTTTTAAATTATGATTAATTTAAATGCAAAATAAATTTTGATATTTCTGCTTAATATTTCTAGGAATAGATGAACTAGAAGTCTAACTGAAAATTTCTAAGTTTCATTATTAATTGCAATTAAAAAATTACCTCTTGTCCTCTGTTGTGAAATTGCTGAATAATTAGAATTTCTATATCAGCTTCTTTCAGAAAGAAAACTTTTATTGTAAATTGAATTATAGTCACGTAAAAAACACCGAAACCCCTGCAGCATTTGAGCGTAGGCAACCGGCTGGACACGCTTGCAAAGCCGGTGGCCTAATTAATGTCGTTTCCCTTCGCAGTTGAGCGCTTTCGCCGGATCCGCGTGGGAATGGCGCGAGGAACGGCAGATGTTCTACCTGCACCAGTTCACCGTGGAACAGCCCGACCTCGACTACCGCAGTCCCCTCGTTCTGGCCGAGATGCAGAACGTATTCCGCTTCTGGCTGCAGAAGGGCGTCGACGGCTTCCGCATCGACGCGCCTGCCCACATTTGGGAGCACGAGGACTTCCTCGACGAGCCGCCCTCCAACGACCCCAACTGTCCGGCCCCTGACCAGTTCTGCGCGCTCAACCACACGTACGTCAAGGACCAGGAACAGGTCTATGACATCTTGTACGCCTTCAGAACGGTTGTGGATGAGTTTGAGGCTTCCACAGGCGAAATCAAGTTAGTTTAAATTTGATAATAAATAATTTAAAAATCCCAAATTAAAGAAATAATAGTACTTTACCAAGAAATACATAATAATGTTAAATAACTGCTGGTTAATATTTACATTTTAGATTTTTAAGTAAAAAAAAAAATCAAACTCGACGTTGAAAGATCAAAATGTTGCGTAAAAAAATAAATTAATACATTTTTTTCATATAGTCTAATTTCTTATAATTGTTCAGACAGTTAAATAAAATGTATGGATTTTTATTTAAAAACAATAAAAAAGGCGGATTTTATGTTAAAAATTGTAAAGAAAATTGGTGTTGTGGAAAAAATTATTAAAATATTCCTATATTCTAGAGTTCTGATGAGCGAGGCATCAGGAGAGTTGGACTTGACCATGCGTTATTACGGCAACGAAACGCACAACATCATCCACTTCCCATTCAACTTCTACCTCATCTGGGAGATAAGCAACGCGACGGACGCGCGCGGCGTCGAGGCCGCCATCCGCCACTGGTTGGACGCGATGCCCGTCGGCCGCACTGCAAACTACGTCGTGAGTTGAGAAAAACACAATTTCGTACAATAAAATATTTTTTGGAAATTCCATTCAATAACACGAGTGGAAATTCATTCGCTGCTCTCGCTCAATGAAAATGCAATAATAAAAGGGGTTTGAGCGCGCGGCGGCTTTTGTGCATCAGGTGCTTTGATGCTGTTTTTCGAGTGCTCCTATGCATCATCTGCTCTTTTACAGTTAGCGCACAAAAGATGATTGTAACTGTTCATTTCGACGCATATACGGCCGAAATAACATTTTCCGACCAAAATTATTTACACACTTCGCGTGTGTGTTTGCGCGATCAATAACAGCAACTTAGGATGTTCGAGTGCTGTCGCTCTTTGTCACAGAAAAAGGATCCAAGTAGAAATAATCGCCGGGACCACAAAGGTGTAGCGGTTTTCCAGGTGATGAAAATGTCATTTATTTTGCAGCCGCGTAAAACCTGGGGATGTTTTGGGATATTTTTGAGGTGTTTGAAGGAAACAACTCTTAACTTGATCATTTTGGAGCGGAAAGAAATTTAAAAGTCTCCATTTGTAACATATAAATATCTTTTTATTTTTAAAATTATTACAGTTGAAGTGAAATTTTTGGGACACTAAAATAATGGCCTTATTGGTCATAAAGCAAAGAAAAAAATGTATCTTTACAATCAGCAAAAAACAAGTTTTCAAAGCATATGACTCAATAAACAGCATGATAGAGTTTTGATGTAAAATGAGTTTATTCACCACAGCTTCTTTGAAACTTTGATTGAGTATTAAGGCGAATATGAAAAATATATTAGCAGATTAAAATCTTTTAAATTTATATTTAGGAATCACTTCAAATCTAGCCTATTTAGGTATTTTTCTTTTTTGCTTCGTTAATCTTCTAAATTGTCTGAAGATTCAATTTCTCTCCAATAAAGATATAACGAATTTTAATTAATTTCCAAAATTAATATTAAATTCTCATGTGATATTATTTCCAATAATCCCTTCCTTTTCCTTTTACACAAATAATAAATAACGCGTGTGCGGCGAGCAAGTTAAAGAAGAGAGAGAGCGAGCGAGCAGCAGGCAGCGAGTGATAAGAACAATGAAGGTCATTGACTCCCTCCTTCGCTGCAGCCGGTCAAAGTGCAACGCTTGCCACCATACAGGTAAACCGGGGAAGAGCACGGCGCTCTTATGCGAATCAAATCAGTCGCCCAGCCAAATTCAACGGGGCCGCCTCGCGCCGTGGTACCGGCGAGGCGAGAGCTCAAACTTTCACCCTTTTGGGGGTGGATTTAATTTGCATCTGGTCTTTGGACCGACAGAGTAAGTTACTCTAAAATTCTTGGTTTAATCGGGCGATTAATAATCAAGAGCAACCTTCTGATTGCTCAAATCAAATTTCTTCGGGCAGGGTTTTATTCTTAAATTAAAGACTGGTTTGATTGCGCACCCTAGGTTTGCCCTGGTGGGCGGTCACCCCTGGACGGACTTGCTTCCTGAGTCCATGGCCGCCACCAGAGCCGTGTCCCTGGCGTCGTAAGGGACAGGCGGACAGGTCCCACGTCACCTTCGACCTGACCGCGTGGCTTCACCATCCAGCCACCCAGACCGGCAGCCATCGTGCCAATTCGATCGACTCGAGCAACAACTCGCCGCGACCATCACCTCCGATCACTGCACCATCAAGACAACGAACTCGATAAGTACAATTTGCGAGTGCAACTTCAGTGATAAAATACGAAACGCGTAAAAGGCCTATTTCAAAATATTTGTATATTAATTATGTGAAACACATTTTCCTTACCTAATCCATATTACCTCATTTGAATATCACATTTTTTCCTATTTCAAAATAACCAAAACTTTCATTAAAATTTAATCAAAAAATAATAAGTTTCAAATTGAGTTTTTCCTAAAATTAAATTATCTGCATTTTATTTGTGTGCTTTCAACCCTCTCACAAGTTTAAAAAAAAGGTCTACCTGCACCTTGAGATAAGAAGCCGAGGTTAAAATAAATAACGGATTAAAGTTAACTTTTTAATCGTTATAAATGGCGCCCAACTAAATATAAAACTGTGAGAGAGAAAAATTTTGGTGCAAAATTTTAAGCGTGCGTCCTGTGCTCGTCGATCAATTTTTAGAATTCTGTGCATTCACTCTTGGTGTGCATTTTTGCAGCGTACTCTGCATATTTTCTCATCTGCCAATGCGAGAACGAATTTCCACACTCTAGTGAGAGTAGTGCGATCAGAGAAGCAAATTTTTTGTTGAATTTTGTTGTTCTCTTTATTTTTTCAAGTTACGTTTGTTTTTGTGAGTTACATTTTAGTGTGTTAAAAGTAAATTCCAAATGGAGTCGTTAAAGATAGAATGGGACCGTCTGTCCAAAGAGGATTGCGAGGCAGAGGCCGCCGTGAGGAATATCACGGGCGAGAACCTCTCGGCCATCAGAAAGAATTTGAAAGATGCCCTTGAGCTGGAGGCACAAAAGGAGGCCGAGCCACCTCCGCTATTGACTGATCCAGAACAAATTGACGCGGAATTAAAAGTAATTGTTGACCGCGCCGTGGAGCTCAGAGAAGCGATTAAGCTATGTTGCTCAAATAAAAACGCGACGGAGGCGCGAAAAATAAAGACGCTTATTGCTTGGTTGGGACTTCGTCTAAAGAGAGTCACGATTTACGACGAAGCCACTGCCAAACGACATGATTCTTTAGTGACATATTTTGAGCAGTGTGTTGATTGGCTAAAAAAAGGCGTTCCGGACGAACCTGAACCTAAAGTAGTGTTAGAAAAAGAAAAATTGGACCAATCATTTTCCTTGCTGGACCAATTGTCCAACGACCCTCTGTTGGAGGACAATTTGGACCAAGTTCAGCCGGCCGGAAACGCAAACACACAAAAATCGCCAAATGTTGATTTTCCAACAAATCAGTCAATGTTTCCATTTTGTTACGTGCCCATGTCATTTAACCAAACAACGCGTAATTTTACCCCAGTTGATGCGCAAAATAGTGCACAGTTCATGCCATTTTCTCAGCCTGTACGTTCAAATGTCCGAGTGATCTACACAAAAGACTGGAAATTGCAATTTACTGGAGAGCCTTCCAGTAAATTGTCACTTGCAGTATTTTTGCGTGACGTTGGACTAAAAAGACAGGAGAGCAATTTGTCAGGAACAGAGTTTTGGGCCTCAGCGCACAACTTGTTTGATGGCCAGGCAAAAACATGGTTTTTGAATAATAGACACAAGTGGAACTCATGGGCGGAATTTGTGCCACATTTCATTTGCAATTTTAGACCTCCCAATTACGAGGAAAGGTTATGGGAGCAGCTCAGGCAAAGACGGCAGGGTCGTGATGAAAGATTAAACATTTATTGTTCGGAAATGGAAAATTCCTTTGCACTGCTCGGGAATCCTCCTTCTGAGCAGGAAAGATTGTCTTTCATTAAAGCCCGGCTTGCGCCCTTCTGGCTATTAAATTTGCCTCTGGACAGAATTTATTCCATTGATTCACTCGTCGCCGAAGGTCTCAGACTCGAGGCAGTAAAATGTTTAGTTGACGAGTATACAGATCCCACTGCTCCATCCAATCCAGTTGAAAAAGACTTGGTGTACAAATCAATTAATGATGGAAAAAAGGGTGCTGGCGGCCCTTCAAAAACGTGTGTAGCAGGAATTTGTTGTGGCGCGGCGAGTACTGGGTCGTTTTGTTGTGCGGCGCGTGCTGCTGGTGTGCAGAGCGCGTCGGGCAATTCGCAGGCGACGAATACTGTGCCGCCGCAACAAAATTCAAACCGTGGAAAAGGTAATTGGAGAAATTATTCCCGTGGCGGGCGACAGACTCACGGTGCTCACACGAATAATCAAAATACAAGCGCGCCTTCACAGACAAATAACGCATCGGCGGCGAAAATGTGCTGGAATTGTTTCCAACAAGGGCACAGTTTCAGGCAATGTTCGCAGCCTAAGAGGGGTTTGTTCTGTTGGGGTTGCGGCAAAGATGGGGTGGCGCGCGCCAATTGCAGCAAAGAATCATGCCGGCGAGCAAAAAACTCGCGCGGGGCCGCTGCGTCTGGAGCGTCGCGTGGCACGCCCAAAACAAATCAAACCGTTCCGCAAAGTGCTGGAAGCGGCACGTCAACAAATTAAGACTTGATATCGTGCGGAAAAGACTTGGCGGCATTTTACTAAAATGTAAACAGGAGCAGAATGAGGAGCGAAATGATGATTGCGAACAAATTAGCGATGACGATCGTTTGTTTTTGAAAGTTAAAATTTTGGATGTTCCAATCATTGCTTTGCTAGACTCAGGCGCATCTGTTTGTGTTTTAGGCGGAGAAGGAAATGATCTGATTAAAGACTTAAATTTAAAAATTCAGCCTTGCAAAGTAAAAAACGTCGAGCTCGCAGATCATTCTTCCCAACCCGTTCTTGGAGAGTTAGATTTGGCAATTACTATAGGAAAAGAAAATTTTGTTGTAAAAACTCTCGTAGTGCCAGCCATTAAAACAAGTCTAATTCTCGGTCTAAATTTTTGGCATGATACAAAATTCATACCTGATGTGTCAAAGGGCGAATATTATTTTGGCACGAAGACCTCTAATTCATTTTCGAAAAATCCCGTGGTGAGCGAGATTAAAGTGTTAGTGACGGACACGCAGCGAGCGTCGTTCGACCAGTTCATAAAAGGGGTGAAAAATGATTTCCCTGATGAACTTGGTAGGTGCAATTTTTTAAGCCACCACATAGCGACGGGAAATGCACAGCCTGTCAAAACCAAACAGTATTACATTCCCCCAAAACAGTTAGAAATTATGCAAAAAGAGGTAGATAAAATGTTAGCGCTTGGCGTTATTGAACCGTGCATAAGCCCTTGGTCTTCTCCAGTATTTTTAGTGCGTGATCCTAATGGAAAGAAAGATCCGCGTTTTGTAATTGATATGAGAGAAGTAAATAAAGTGACCGAAAGTGACGCCTACGCAGTTCCGTTGATGGCAAATATTATTGACAGTTTAGGCGATGTTAAATTTATCTCCACAATAGATTTGAAAAAGAGTTATTGGCAAGTTGGTTTAGACGACGAAAGTAAGCCAAAGACTGCTTTTTTCGTACCAGGAAGAGGTCAATTGCAATTTAAAGTTATTCCTTTCGGCGCGAAAAATTCAGGTCCAGGTTTTATACGAGTCATCGACCGAATTATTTTTAACTCTTGGATAAGGAAATACGTTCATGTCTATATTGATGATTGTTTCATTGGCACGCCTACACTTGAATTGCATATTAGAGTTCTCACCGAATTTTTTCGACTTTTAAAAGAGGCCAATTTAACCCCAAATTGGGAAAAATGTAAATTTTTGCGACAGTCGATTAAAATTCTCGGCTATGTTTTGGATGAGAACGGACTGCGCACAGACCCAGAAAAAGTGTCTGCCATTCTGAATTTAGCACGACCTCAGAATGAAAAGGACGTCAAAAGTTACGTCGGAGTTCTTTCATATTACCGCAGACTTTTCCCAAACTTGAGCACAATTTTGGAGCCCATAATAAAATTAACCAGAAAGAAAAACAAATTCATTTGGAGTGAGGAGCAAGAAGACGCGTGGATTAAATCTAAAAATATTCTTGCCTCTGATCTCGTTGTGCGGCTCCCAGATTTCTCAAAAACATTTATTTTGTCAACAGACGCATCTGATTATGGGATTTCAGGAGTTTTGTCCCAAATATTTGAAGATGGCGAGCGACCAATATTTTACGTCAGCCGCTTATTAACTGAGCCAGAAAAGAATTATCCAACTATGCAGAAAGAAGCTCTAGCAGTTATTTGGTCCATTGAAAAGTTGGAAGGGTATTTGTCGTATAGTAAATTTGTGCTCGTAACGGATAACAAACCCTTAAAATTTATTCAAGATCTCAAAAAACCTAAAGGTCGACTGCCCTGCAAGAAAATTTCCCAGTAAAACTCGAGAAAAACTCGAGTTTCCCAGCCGAGAAACTAGTTTTTAAAACCCGGGTTTAACTCGAGTTCAACGAGTCGGTGAAAACTGGGTTAAAACTGGGTTTACCCATTTCTGGGAAATGTTGGACGAATTTTTTTTTAATATAATTTTTATTTTGGATTATTGTACAAGACAGAAATGGTTACTTTTTAATTAAGTATTCTCTTAATGTAACACAAACTTAACTTTAAATTTGCAGTTTAGATCATAGATGGCCGCCTGATCAGACTCACTTTCACGGCTGTGTATTGTCCAATCACAATAGGAATATGAGCACTCAAATCTTAAGAATTCACATTTCATTCAAATTATGCAGTGCAGAGGCTTTCTTTTGATCTTCAGGTTGATTGTTGTGGGTCTATGGTTCAATCCTAAGCAGACGAGTTTTTGAAAGTTCTCCCTGAGAGTGGCCAGAGAAGCAGTGAAGTGTCAGTGGAAATTCCCAAGACATGCCAAGGTCCTCATCACTGTGCCAAGGTCCTTATCACTCTTGTTGCAATTCTAAAACAATTAGGCAATCAAATTTGGTTGATATTATAAGAAAATATTTTATACCTGCAGTATACACTTTCGTCCAGGTGCTTTGATGCCGACATCTCCCTGAGCGTGGCCAGAGAAGCAGTGAAGTGTGTCAGTGGAAATTCCCAAGACATGCCAAGGTCCTCATCACTGTGCCAAGGTCCTTATCACTTTTGTTGCAATTCTAAAACAATTAGGCCATCAAATTTGGTTGATATTATAAGAAAATATTTCATACCTGCAGTATACACTGTCGTCCAGGTGCTTTGATGATGACATTGCAAAATGGAGTTCTTCGGCAGTTGAGTGATGGTAGGCAAATTGCCTGCCAAAGGAGGTCCTTGGTGAGGGAGAAGGTCACGTCAATTTAGCATGCTTGTGTAGATGCCGTTCTGCATGTCTCAGTCCATTTGGGTAGTTTCACCTTCAGGCGAATTCCGCCCACGGGGTGCTCAAAAGAGTGGCCGAGCCGTCATGGTTGATGGCCATGGCAATCTGGGGCCAGTAGAGAAATTAATCAATTATGTTTTACAAAAAAATTGCATTGTGACAATTTGAAAAATTCATTTCTGGTTTTTTTTTTTTTTATTAAAATAACTATGGAGTTTAAAAATTTAAACATCAACAATTTTAAAATAATTTAAATAATCTTAATAATTTTAAATATTTTGAGTGATATTGAGCTAATTACCTTAGAATTAACGCAACTCCTCTATGGATTTAGAGAACCCAAAGACTCTTCATTTGCACCATTTTCACTAGGGTTGATCTGAAAGAATTGAAATTAATTTACAAAAGAAATAAATAATACTATCAACAAAATTCACAAAGCTCTCCGTAATCCCTAATGATATATAATATTCTTTGTTTTAAGTTAAATATAATTTGATACAAAATTTAATTTAAATTTATTATTTAGTCAACGTAACTCAAATCAATTTAAATAGTAGTTTCAGTTCAATATGGTTGTTTTAGTATGGCTTATTAAATCTTACATAAGTTTTAATAATTTTTTATACTTTTTTCAATTAAATAATTAAGTATTTTCATTATTTTAATAATTTATTTACAATTTTATAAATTTCATTTCCAATTAATTTATATACACTATAGTAAGATATAATACGATTATGTCAAAATTGATCATTTTCAAGTGTTTATTTGGAAAGAAACTTAAAGAGAGAATAAGATATTTTAATTAATGATATCCAAATCATGTAAATTAAAAGTACACAAAATAAAAATATTTCAAATAAATTAAAATGAAATTGATATAAATTTAAATTAATGTATTTTTTTAACTAACAAATTTAATAAAAAAAAACAAAGATTATGTAACTATACATATATTTATACTTTGAGCTGAAACTATTATTTAAATACATTTTCAAAGAGCTGAGAATAATTCTTCTCTCCTTCGAAAATCGCGCGTCGAACCACTGAGGCAAAAAATAAAAATGGCGATAGGGTGACTCGGACACCGCATTTTAATCACAAAATCGCTGTTCAGAACGACATATTGGCTGTTGCACCCGCAGAATTCGACTATCAGCGCGACCTAATTTGCGAAAATTCAAAAAATTTTGGGGGAAAGGCCCTTAAAAACGCATTATAATGATAAATGTGCATATGGCGCAAAACGCCGCACGAGATTACACGGCGCGCAATTAAGATCTCGTGTTTTCAGAAATTCTGTACGAGAATTATGAAAAATTACTCTTACCTCTGAAACTTGATTTGTTGCTGAAGCGAAATCAAAAGTCCAAAGAAAGATTTAAGTTCGAAATGCGGCTCAAATTGTCACTAAATGTACGCCGCACGTAACCCACGCTGTTGTTTTCACTCGCCTGCCTCGTAAATAAAGATGGCCGCGCAGCCGTGCAGTGCGCATATTCAGGTGCGCACCTAGATGGCGCGAGCGCGCTCGCGAGCCAGACGAAGGAGAGGAGAGAGGTGAATGAAAAATCACAAGTGCTGGGTTAAAAACTCGGGAAAAACCCGAGTTTTTTACGGGTTTTTGTGCGATAAGTAAACTGGGTTTCTAAATTATAAATCTTGGTTGTGATGTTCGTTGTCTTCATTTCAATATAAATTTTGATATAAAAACGAATAGTATTATTAGTTTTAAGACTGGTAAAAAACTGGGAATCTCGAGTTGGTTCTTGCAGGGTGGCCAATTGGAAGTTTAAACTGCAGCAATACGATTTTGACATCGTGCATAAACCAGGTCGATTAAATGTAGTTCCGGACGTTTTGTCTAGATCATTTGCAGAAAATGTAAAAGTGGCGCAAATTAATATAAAAGCACCAATTCGAGACACATGGTATATTAATTTGATGGCAAAAGTTAAGCAGAGTCCAGATAAATTTCCTTTATTTAAAGTGGTTCAAAATAAATTGTACAAAATTGTTAAGTCTTGGAATCCACTTGAAGACTCATGTTATAAACTGGTAGTGCCAAAAGATTCACGCCAAATGATTATGCATAAAATGCACAGCACACCCGAAGCCGGACACTTTGGATTTTTTAAGACATTTAATCGCATCTCAGAGCAATATTATTGGCCGAAAATGCGGGCTGACATATCAAAGTTTGTAGGAAATTGCCGGCAATGTTTAGAGCAAAAGCCTAGTCAAGCTGCTACGGCAGGATTGATGAATTCGCGAGTCGTAGATCATCCTTGGCAAGTCGTTTGTACGGACATTGTTGGTGAGTTTCCCAGGAGTACTCAAGGATTTAAATATGTTTTAGCTCTTGTTGATTTTTTTTCAAAGTTTGTAATGCTGTTTCCATTAAAAGACGCTGACGCAAAATCAGTTTGCAAGTCAATTGAGTCAGCCATTCAGCAATACGGTGCTCCTGAACTTTTGGTTCAAGATAATGCAAAAATCTACCACAGTAATTTATTCAAAAATATGGCAAGAAAATACAATGTAGGGTTGCAATACACACCTCGTTATCATGCCCAAGCTAATCCAACAGAAAGAGTTAATAGAGTTTTTGAAACAGTAATGCGATGTTTTATTACGGACAATCAAAAAGAGTGGAGTTGTAATTTGCCTCAAATCGCTTTTGCAATGAACTCCGCAGTCCATGAGACAACACGCTATTCTCCATTTTTTCTTTTCTTGGGCAGACAACCCACATTTGATGGCTCTGATTCAATTAAAGAAAATGATTTTTCAACGCCAGATCAAGTAGAAAAATACGTTGCGCGTTTTCCAAAATTGGAAAAAATTTACGAACTTGTAAAATTAAAAATGCTTGAGTCAGCCAAAAAGAATAAATCTTACTATGATTTGCGCAGGAGACCTAATGAGTTGAAAATAGGAGATATGGCCATGAAGCGCAATTTCGCTTTGTCAAACAAAGGCGCTGGAATCTCCGCCAAATTATTACCATTTTTTGTTGGTCCATTTCTGCTTCAAAGAGAAGTCGCAGATAATATTTTTTTGTTAGTTGATCCCTCAGATCATTCAAAGATTATTGGAGAATTTCATGTCAAAGATTTGAAAAAAGTTAAGCCGCCATAATAATTTTTCCTCCGTAAAAATTATTCTTTTGGGGCGGGGAGTATAACGAATTTTAATTAATTTCCAAAATTAATATTAAATTCTCATGTGATATTATTTCCAATAATCCCTTCCTTTTCCTTTTACACAAATAATAAATAACGCGTGTGCGGCGAGCAAGTTAAAGAAGAGAGAGAGCGAGCGAGCAGCAGGCAGCGAGTGATAAGAACAATGAAGGTCATTGACTCCCTCCTTCGCTGCAGCCGGTCAAAGTGCAACGCTTGCCACCATACAGGTAAACCGGGGAAGAGCACGGCGCTCTTATGCGAATCAAATCAGTCGCCCAGCCAAATTCAACGGGGCCGCCTCGCGCCGTGGTACCGGCGAGGCGAGAGCTCAAACTTTCACCCTTTTGGGGGTGGATTTAATTTGCATCTGGTCTTTGGACCGACAGAGTAAGTTACTCTAAAATTCTTGGTTTAATCGGGCGATTAATAATCAAGAGCAACCTTCTGATTGCTCAAATCAAATTTCTTCGGGCAGGGTTTTATTCTTAAATTAAAGACTGGTTTGATTGCGCACCCTAGGTTTGCCCTGGTGGGCGGTCACCCCTGGACGGACTTGCTTCCTGAGTCCATGGCCGCCACCAGAGCCGTGTCCCTGGCGTCGTAAGGGACAGGCGGACAGGTCCCACGTCACCTTCGACCTGACCGCGTGGCTTCACCATCCAGCCACCCAGACCGGCAGCCATCGTGCCAATTCGATCGACTCGAGCAACAACTCGCCGCGACCATCACCTCCGATCACTGCACCATCAAGACAACGAACTCGATAAGTACAATTTGCGAGTGCAACTTCAGTGATAAAATACGAAACGCGTAAAAGGCCTATTTCAAAATATTTGTATATTAATTATGTGAAACACATTTTCCTTACCTAATCCATATTACCTCATTTGAATATCACATTTTTTCCTATTTCAAAATAACCAAAACTTTCATTAAAATTTAATCAAAAAATAATAAGTTTCAAATTGAGTTTTTCCTAAAATTAAATTATCTGCATTTTATTTGTGTGCTTTCAACCCTCTCACAAGTTTAAAAAAAAGGTCTACCTGCACCTTGAGATAAGAAGCCGAGGTTAAAATAAATAACGGATTAAAGTTAACTTTTTAATCGTTATAAAGATTTATTTATCAAGATCTAAAAGATTAATTATCTTGATTTTGTATATAGTTGGGAAACCACGACAATGGTCGTTTGGCTTCAAGAGTGGGCGCAGATTTCGCGATGACCAACCAAATGATCGCCTTCTTGCTCCCGGGTGCGATGATTTCCTACATGGGCGAAGAAATCAACATGGAAAACACGTTCATCACGTGGGCGCAAACGCAAGATCCGCAGGGCTGCAACGCCGGTCCTGATCTCTACCAGCGCTTTTCCAGAGACCCCCAACGCACGCCCTTCCAGTGGGACGATTCAAACTTCGCAGGTTGATTATTTATTATTTAAATCGAAAAAAAAAATATCAAAGGTTTTTATTTTTAAAATTAAATAGGTTTTACAAATGGTTCAAATACGTGGTTGCCTGTGAACGAAAACTACTTGCAAGTCAACGTGGCCGCCCAGCAGGCTGCCCTGTACAGTCCACTCAAGATTTACCAAAGATTGGCAGAGGCCAGAAAATCGGCCGCCGTCAAAAATGGTTCTTTTGACCTCAGAGTTGTCAATGACGATGTTATTGCGTTTACAAGGTTGTTAATAATTTATTTAAAAATTTAATTATATCAATTAATATTATTGTTTTAATTAAATAATCAAACTGGTGATATTTTAGAGTGCTGACAGGTGAAATTAATTTCTTGGTTGTGGCCAACACAGCTTATGAGGCCAGGACAGTCAACGTGGACGCAACGTTCTTTCCCTTATTACCTATTAAGGCAACGGTTTTCACTGCGAGCGTCGATTCGCCAATTCAGCAAGGGTATACTAATAATACTAAAATATTGAGCAAAGTTTCATGAGAATTAATTTTTATTTTTTTTCCAGTGATTCCGTTTTCACCTCGGTAATTGATTTGGCTCCCCGAGGAGGCGTCGTTTTGACTTTTTGAAAGGCAGCTTATGATTAATATGAATGTTTGCTAATAAAAAAATCAATTGGCGATTTAAATTGTGCATAATTATATCTAGATATGAAATAAAAAATCAATTATGACACAATTTTAGTTTGGAAATGTAGATACTTGAAGTACCGCCATGTTCAAAGAGTTGTTTGCGTTTCTGATTTTCTAAGTGATTTCTGTGGAGGAGAGACAAACAGAACTGGGCAAATAATAATCTTGCTTTTGCCGGCTTTTCAAAATAAAACTGACAATTTGCGCTATGGGGAAGGATTGAGAGATGGGCTGCTGTGCTGGTCACTCCTGTACATGTCATCTTATTTTTCGGCCGCAGGTGATCTCCCCGTGCGTGCGGTCCTTTTAGCCACCGACAAAACACACAAACAAGAGGAGACATTTTTCACCACCTGCCCCTTCATATTTCATAAAAATACATAAACGCATCAGCTTGAAAAAAGATGAGAATGTCCAGCTTCGCTCGCAACTCACTCAGCTTGTGTATATTGAACATTATGACGAAGTGGCAAAAATGTTCATGAATCCTACAAAGATGAAAAAAAATGCTCTAATAATTAATGGTATAACTAATTTGGTGTTTAAGAATACATTAAAAATCTTATAGTTCCTACAAATGACACCACATGCTGTGAAATAATATCATTATATTAACTTCATCGATTTTCTTGAAAATATTTATAATTTTATTTTTTACACATCATTTATGAATTATTTCACATAAATTTCAATTCTAGACAATATCTTTGTTGATTTTGTGGATCATAAAAATAAAGAATAATTTAGATTGATTTTTCTTTAGAAATTTAAAAAGCGATTTGATCAACTTTTAAATTGATCTAATTTTTAGCTCAAATAGAACAAAAGTTATAGAAGTGCGATTAATAAGACCCAAACAGCTTTCAAACTCGGCAATCTGGCTTTTGCTATTTTTAGCAGGAATGCAGCAGATGAGATGAATGTGCGGATGCGGCATGACGGACAGGGGGTTGCGCGCGGGGGATGCGATAATAAACCCCTTTCTCATTTGTGAATAACGGGATTTGCGGCCGCACGCACAGAGCCAAAAATAGAAATATATTCCCCGGTGAGTCAACAATGAGAAAGAGGCGCGCAATTGAGCAATGCCGAATAATACCGCGGCAAGAGCGGGTTACCATCGCAAGACACCTGAAGGCGCAATCATTTTCAAAACACAAGAATATTTTCGGCGCACCAAGTGAAAGGAAAAATTTTGCCTCTGTTTGGGCGCTCAATTATTGAGTCATTTACTTATTTATTATGCCATTCAGTTAACGACAAATCTGTGTCACTAACAATTGATTTTTGTAATACTTTAAAAGAAAACGATACAAAAGTAAAATAAATGTTGATCTCTTAATAAATAATTATTCAATAAATTTGCTGCAATCAGAAAACCATATCGTTTTTTGATTTTTTAGAAAATATTATAGATTTTTATAAATTGAAATTCTAAATGAATTTGATAAAAAAGAGCCTGGCTGTGCTTGAAATTTTGTATTTTAGTTTCGATTTAATTTTAATGTAACAAAACCGTGAGCAAAAATCAAGGATTTTGTGTGCGTGTGTGGGATTTTCCTTGTTTTTCCTTCTCACGGTCAGCGTAAAGAAATTCACGGCCCAGCAGCAGCAGATAAATCCTTTCTTTTCTTTCGTGTTTTCCTTGCTTCTGGGACAAGACGTTGTAAAACTTTGTACCTGATGCATGTTGAAGAAGGGAAAATTCCCCACAGGGTTGCCACGGAAGAAAAGACACGGACGCACGAAAAAAATATGGATTTGCAGCTCGTCTCATTTGATTTGACAACAACTTGGGCCAGAAAGCAGCTTATTGCATCTTTTTGTGCGCGCTGACAGCCTTTTACCTGACCATCGCTGCCTCCCCCGCGCGCCAATCCTTTCCACGGAATCACACGCAGAGGGAAAAAGAAGAAAATCAGGCGTAGAAAAAGATGCAACGCTTGCCTGCAGTGATCACAAAAATAAAAATGCTTTTCTCTGCTCCTTGGGCGCGCGATTTTCTTCGCAGGTTTGCATTTGGGGAGGGAAAAGGATTTTGTTTTATAATGAAGTATATTTATTTGAAAGAAGTTAGAAGTCCAGCCAACTCCAAACGGAGTTTTCAAACGTTTTGTTTATTGTGTGATGTAATAAAAAAGACTAACCATGAGATTATGATTTTATAGTTGATTTTTATTATTTGCTGTCGAATTTATAAAAATTGATTGTTTGATTTTTATCATTTTTAATTTCCATCATATTATTAAGGAAAGTTTCCCTTCTTCATCGGCACCCAAAAAAGGGGGACTCTCACTCAAACAGCTTTAAAGGAGTGCTGACCCCTCGCTTTGACTTTAATTCCTGATTCAATTAAGGGTCTTGATTAAAACCTGTAAAGGGCGGCCGAAAATTCGGCGTTTTCGTTGAGAAATCTCAAAATGAAATTGGGCTGATTGGACTTTTTTTGCGCTTGGTCGCCATCTTGGTCCAACAATCGAAAATGTGAAATTGTTGTTTGCAATTTGGATGGCCGTGACCTGAGCCACGTTAGGTCAAGAAAATACCATGAAAAATAATTGAAAATGAATAAAATTTTGTGAAATCAAAGCTAAAGAGTTGCTTGAAATGACCCTTTAATTGAAATTATTAAATTATTTAGCACACATGAGATATAAAAGGGTTTGCTAAAAGTGCTGCCATTTGAAAACTAATTTTTTTAGAAGCAAAAACTTCATGGGAAATTTGTAGCAAATAAAACGCTCCTTCTTTTTGTAACAGTACAAAGTACTGCACAAATTTTTCTTATTTAAGAAAAAATGAAAAATCCAAAAAAAATTACATTTTAGGTTAAAGGAAATTTTTTAAGATTTTTTTCGAAATAGCCAATCGATTCAGCATGTCTTTTTTAGTCAAGATCTAAATTTTCGCTAATAAATTCATGACAGTTAAAAAGTAACATCGAAAAATTTCAAACGGGTCGTGCCCTGTTTTAAGATGAGAGAGTTGTCATTGAATATTTTGATGTTACTTTTTAACTGACTTGAATTTATTAGCGAAAATTTAGATCTTGACTAAAAAAGACATGCTGAATCGATTGGCTATTTCGAAAAAAATCTTAAAAAATTTCCTTTAACCTAAAATGTAATTTTTTTTGGATTTTTCATTTTTTCTTAAATAAGAAAAATTTGTGCAGTACTTTGTACTGTTACAAAAAGAAGGAGCGTTTTATTTGCTACAAATTTCCCATTAAGTTTTTGCTTCTAAAAAAATAAGTTTTCAAATGGCAGCACTTTTAGCAAACCCTTTTATATCTCATGTGTGCTAAATAATTTAATAATTTCAATTAAAGGGTCATTTCAAGCAACTCTTTAGCTTTGATTTCACAAAATTTTATTCATTTTCAATTATTTTTCATGGTATTTTCTTGACCTAACGTGGCTCAGGTCACGGCCATCCAAATTGCAAACAACAATTTCACATTTTCGATTGTTGGACCAAGATGGCGACCAAGCGCAAAAAAAGTCCAATCAGCCCAATTTCATTTTGAGATTTCTCAACAAAAACGCCGAATTTTCGGCCGCCCTTTACAGGTTTTAATCAGGACCCTTAATTGAATCAGGAATTAAAGTCAAAGCGAGGGGTCAGCACTCCTTTAAAAAATCGCCCAAACGCTTCCTACAGAAGTTGCCCGAAACAGAAAACTCCCAAAATGAATTTGCTTGAAAGGAAAGAAGCTTTTGAAAATAAACCCTTAAAAGTTACAAAGCGCATTTATAAAATTTTAATTTTAATTAATTAAAATTGCCTATTTCATCAAAAGTTGCCAGTTGTAAAGCAAAAGTATTTCAATATCTTTCTCTGAAATAAAATAGCCTATTTTATATGATTAAATAAAAAAAGCATATTTTTAGTTTAATATTTTTCTTTTTTTCCAGCCTAGTTGGGAGGTAATGTTACAAAAGGCAGCGCGCGTTACTGGTCAGGAATCTGCTGCAACACAGCAAAATAATCCCTAGGGAGGGGGTGTGCGTTTGGTCCATTGATGATGCTGGCCTTGGAGGCCGCACGGCCACGCAAACAAAGTGCATGTCCATTTATTTTGAAGCAAAACCTCGTCATCTTGGCTTGGCTCATCTTTGGAAAGGGCCATTCAACATCAGATAAATATAATGGGAGCGCGATTGCGCTCTAAAAATAGACTGCAGCACCCCCTGCCCTCCTAATGCTCGGCAAAAAGGGTTGCGACTTTCTCTTGCTGATGGTCAGCGCGCAGCTGCTCTTTTCTTCCGCCGGCCACCAATCGTCAAAACAACCCTTTCATTTCAAATCGACGCATAAAAAGCTAGGCAATGTTGGGCAAAAGCAGCTTGTTTCCTCGAAAATTCCATTTGTTTCCTTTGCTGCAAGAAGGGATAGTAAAAGCTCGAAGAAAAATTTCAAACAAACTATTTGTTCCGATGTGTGCTTTCTCACGCTCAGCAGATACACTTTCAATGGAAAAGGCGAAAAGTCTCAACATGTGGCACACAAATTTTTAGATTTTAAAGATTTTAAAGCAATATCATCAATTGTGATTATTTCCAACTTGGACAATTAATCTCTTGTCTTGAAATTTCTACCTCCAAAGAAAATTGAAGCTTGCTGTATAATTCAATTATATTTCTTATGGAAATATTTGATTTGAATCTAATTTAATTTAACTTATTTGCGGAAAAGAGATATCGACATACTTCAAATAAGGAAGTTGCTGCATTTTATTATGAATTGGTGGTCACAAATTGCGTCCACCTTTTGTTATCTCTTGTTCGAGAATGATATATTTCAAACGCGTTCGGTCCAGCGCAACGACAAAAATATCTTTGAAAGGGGAAAACTAATTTTTGTGCGTTTCCTGCTCGGCCAAATCGTCGTCATCCTGGTCCATAACTCATTTCGTCATTTTCCACAGTTTCCTTTCTTCCAGGCCGGTTCACTCGAAAGATTAATGAATCGGAACCGCACAACACCGGCCGCCGCAAGAAAAGGGGTGAGCTCTGCTAATATGTGTGCGATTGCGGCTAAAAAATGCTCAGCATTTCTTAAACTGTAAATATAATGAGATCTTTTGTAAATCAGGAATAGTTTGAGGATTTAATATAATATTATTTTAATTCAGGGTGGCGTGAGCGCGTCCTGAGAGAGCGAGGCAGCGTCGCCCGCCGCGCCTCTCATTCACCCCCTCCCTCACGAATTGTCCACCCGCTCGGCCCGCCTGCACGGCCGGCACGTCCAGAACTGAAATCGTCGTCGTCGCGAAAGGAGAGAACAGAGAGAAACGACAGCTCGCGAGAATCAAAGGGGTAAATCGCACCCTCATGGATATGGCGCAGTCCTGCTGGAAGACCGAACCGTCGCACGCACAGGTGAGCTAAATTTGGGTTATTTTTTCCGATTAAAATTGGCAAAAAGTTTTGCCTTTGCGGAGATTTCAACGAACGCAATTGCTGAATTAAATTAAAAATTACAGCCACTGCATTTTCTCTGGAACAATTTTTAAAGCTCTCCCATAAATTCATATTGATCATATTAAATTTTAACTTTACGTTAACACATAAGAATTATAATTTTTTTTATTTGTAAAAAATGATATATGACTTGGTTGAAATTTTTTTGTATTGATTTTCCGATGGAAACAAAATTTTCCTATCGATGTCAAGACCGTCTCCAAAAATTCCCTTTTTGCTCTCAGACGGATTTTATGTATGGATATGTAACCATATTTTTTATTTTTCAATTGTGTGTCAACTTATTTAACTAAAGAAATTTCCACAACATGAACGAGCGCGGCAACTTCCTTCAGGGCAGTCAATTTCCTGCATTGCGTCGCGTTTGAATCGAGGAATTTGTATTATATTGCGCTAGGCGGGCTTTAATTTCTAGCCCGTGGACATGGAAAAGCTCGCGCGATTGGGCACTCCTAAACGGGGCTAAATGTCTTTTCCAATTTGCTACAGGAAGCGTTTTATTGAGGATGGACAAGGAAGTTGAATTAAAATCCGATTCCTTTTTCAAGCGCGACAAATTACAATTTTATAATCTTATTAATTTATTCTTTGCTTTAACACATTTCCTGCTTATGGAAATTTTGATGATAATTTTTAAGACTAATTAATTATGAGATTTTTAATTACTTTTAAAATTAAAATCTGTTTCGTTGCAATTTAATTTATATCTGAGAATAATTGTAAAATTATTAGAATTTTCATATCACATTGTGCAACGCAAAAGACACGTTACAGTGTGTAATATTGATGATATGATGATTAATTTCTGATTCCATATATCAAATAATTGTCCTGTTGCTCAACCTCTCTCGGGTCGGTCGAATTATATTTGTGTTGGAAAGTGACACTTGTTGGCCGCGGGTGTATTATAGAGGGAATCAAAGGCTGCATTAAACATTATTTTAAATAGGCTGCACAGACTGGCCACTCGCCGCTCGAGAGTCAAATTTCGCCGGCAAACAAAATATTAACTTATTCTTGATATCAAAATTATGTCGTGACGCGAGCAAGATCAATAAGTTGTGCACGATGTCGCCGCCTTTTGACCTTATTTGGGCAAGTATCAAAGATTACGCTTATTTTTTGGCCGCCACCGCAAAACATAACGTGACGAATAATCGATCGGCGCGAATTTCACGCGTCGCAAAGGGCGGCATTAGCATCGCAGATCCCCACTCGCTCACGTGTCGTATCAATCAAACAGAGTGGGTGCGAAATTTCTTGACAAGTGACGCGCGCGCCCGCGAGTTGCACCGGCGGATCTGCCTTGCAAAGTGGACCCGCGCGCTCGCGTTGCCGCACTTCAAGGTCAGCGCAAGCAAATTCGCACAAAACAAAAAAATACACGCCGAATTGTATTTATCAATAATATGTCTGCGTGCGTCCAGACAATGCAAGCCAGACGTCATTAGTCGCTTTTTTGTGCACTTGAAAAGCACCTTACCCCACAAAAGAGGAGAAAGCCAGAATAAAATTTGAATAACACTCGGCGTCCAAATATTATAATTTTCTTTTGAAATAAAAAATTGAGGAAGTAAATAACCTGCTTTAACCTAACACCGGTTTTAATTAAAATACAAATTTTCTTTCAATATAATTATTTTAATGTAGTTAATTTAAATAAAGTTTAATAACATAGATTTGGTGTAATTTCTCATATTATTAGTCAGGAAAGAGACTAATAACTATTTTATCACTCATATAAAATTTAACGGGCTCAACAATCTCAGATTTTATTATATTTGCCTAATAACATGTTTCAACAAAATCTTTCAGGTTGCGAGCAACCCTTTGTTCACCATCATGGGGCAAATGCTGCCCTCAGAGCCCCTGGACTTTTCGTCGATGGCCCCTTCGTCGCCAGTGCTGGACCTGCGCGTGGCCAACAAGGCCCATCCTGCCCCGTCGCCCCCACCCTCGTCCGAGGGTAGCGCCTCCCCCATTCCGTGGGGTCGAGACAGCCCCCAAGAAGGAACCCCGCTTTCGAATTTGCTCAAGAGGAAGGCGCCCTCTGCCACAAGGCCCTTTAAGGTTTGTTTATCATACTTTTGAATTTATATATTTTGCAAGTCAAAACTCTTTTAGATCCCTTTAAAATTTAAATTCGTTTGCTTATAATTCAACAGGCGTATCCCAGATATCCCGCGGCCCTGCCAGTCGGCCTGCTCGGCGGGGAAGTGGAGCAGCTGCTGAACCACGAGTCGCAGCAGGCGTACGAGTCCTTCCGCTCTGACATGCTCTCCAAGATGAAAGGCGAAAAGGGCCGTCGGCTGAGCCGGTCCGAAGAGGTGCACAGTCCGCAGCACCCGTCGTCCTCGGCGGTGTCGCCCGAGGGAGACTTGGCGGGCAAGGACGCAGCGTACTGGGAGCGCCGGCGGAAGAACAACGAGGCGGCCAAGAGGTCCCGCGACAACCGACGCAACAAGGAGGACGAACTGGCTATCAGGGCCACCTTCCTCGAGAGGGAGAATTTGATCCTGAAGAGCCGACTGGCGCTCGCCCAGGCCGGCATCTGCGCCAGCTGCATGTCCAGGAAACAAACCTCCCCAGCGTAACCAGACATTCCTTGTCACTCACTTAATTGTAAATACCGATTCGAAATGCACCCCAGTCATTTGCATTGTCAGTTTTGTACAAATTTGTGATTTTAACTGAGCTTTTCGTTTGTGAAAATATTGTGCAGATTTCAATAATCACTAATTTTAAAAATACGCTTTAGTTTTAATAAAATTTCTGTCACTCTGTGACTGGAAAAACTATTGAAAATCAAAATTTGCTTGTTTATCTATTTTAAAATTGTTTCAATTTGCTATTTACATTTTATTTACCAAGTAAGGCAAATGCATAAGTCCGTCTCTTATTTGTTGAGTTATGTAAATACCTATTACAGCGATATGGCAGGTATAATGTAGTGCAAATTCAGATCATCTTGGGTAAGAATCACATGGAGCAGTTTTTCATTCACAACACCTGCAAAAGAATGAATGCATTAGCATTGTTCAGCACTATACTTTATTTTTGTTTTTCTTTGTACCAAAAACCAGGTGGTCAGGATTCAATTGGTCACTGGCGAGCAACTGCGCCAACTTTTTAGCATCAATCCAGAGAGATACGGACAAAGTTCCATCATTATCGTCATCTAAAATGAGACAAAATTTTCAATCAATAATTCACTATGAATAGAAGCAAGTTTTTATACCCGAATAAACGACAGGAAGGTTCTGGAAGTAGGTGGCAAAGGTGCCAGAATCAGTTTCTGTTCGCAGACACAGTCCGCCGATGCTTGTGACCTGAATGTGAAGTTTGCTGCTCAATTTGCGTAATCGATCAATTACTGTGCGAACTTTTTTCACGGCAGCCACACTCAGACTGACCTGAAATTTCATGTTTTTCAATTATTAATTTGTATGAATCGATAAAATTGTTAAGGGTTACATTTGGGTCCGACACCTGCGGAGGCTCATGGAGAGGCCATTCGAGACGGGGGATCAGAATGACAGGCACGTCATGAACACAAGTCCTCGGAATGAGACCGACACTCGGCTGATGGAAATAAAAAGCAGTTGAACATATCATTCTACTTGCATGCAAAACGAATTTTTTACACATACCAAATCAATCTCAAAGGTGAGGCAAGGACACTTTTTGTTTGTCAGCTTTATTTTCACACTTTTGGCCGCGCCCAGCGCATTCTTTGCCGAAGTCAGCGCACTAGCCATGGAAGCTGCAACGAGAGGGTTTGAACATTTCAGGCATGAATATTTTTGTTTGAAACCTGGGCTGAGGAGCAGACAGATTTGGTTTTGCTCCACGGTGGCACCTTCGAGGGTCAACTCGGTGAAGATTCGCTTTTGCTCCAAAGTGCACCAACACACAACTCTGCTGCCGCCGTCCTCGCACAGGGAAAACGTCGACACGTCCTTGGACAACCGCAAGGTCACGGCGCCGGCCTTCATTTTGGCCATCGTGCTCGCCAAGTCTGCAAAATATAAAATTTTATTAACCCTCGTGTCTTTCACAGCTGGCAAAGTCCGGCTCACTTGTCAACTGCCGCACGGCTGCGGCGTCTGCCATTTTCCCCCGAAACTTCATTTCTATCGCCTCTGTCCGTGGAAGAAGCGTTGATTTCTTGAAAACCTTCACGATTTGATTATGTCATACTCAAATGCAAGGAGAGAGACTGCATTGGAATCCACTTGGCCCTTGGATGTCTCTGTAATAGGTAATTTTAAATTATGTCTAAGTGTTCACAATAAAAACAAACAGTGGGATGGGAAGGGGGCGGCACTCACTCTTATGAGTCATTTAACAAACAACACTTTTCTTGTTTTGTTGGCTCTTGAAAACAAACTCTTGGCGCGCATATTTGACTTTATGTATTGCACATGGTGCAGACAAACAATGTGAAATTGGTTTTAAATTGATTGGTAATTTTTAGTATGTATTGTCCATACCTGGTCCATACCTATATCAATATTTCATTACAAGCGATTTAATTAATTTCAGTCATTTCAGAAAAAATAATAATTACTTCTTAAATAAATTCATTTTAAAAATATAAAGGAAAAAAATTCACTATTTAAAATCATATTACTCTAATTGAATTTACGGAATTTACAATAAGTCGCAAGGTGTGGAAAAGTAACAGATTAGGTGTTACATCGTCACATGCACTTAACTTGACTTGTTGCAACACCGACTGAAATTAACATGGAAATATTTTAATAAATTATCTGTTTTCACTTGCCATATCTTTCGCGATAAAAAGGTTGGTTGCAAATTATAAAATACAGAGTAAAATAAGAAAAATATTAGCAGTGTTTTATTTTCAACAATTTACTCGTTGTGGAAATACTTTACACAGGATTCGATTTTGTCTTTCTTCACTAACCAGTGAACACTTAATTGCTCTATTTACAATCAGACTTCTGACTTGAGACGCATTAATCAATTCCATCATATTATAATTATTGTACATCCTTTTCACATTTTTAATATTTTTATATAATACACAAAGTTTTAAAATTGTCTCCTAGATCCAAATGCAGTCTTTCGGATTGGATTTTACACCTAAACGCAGTCTGTCCTATCCAGATGAAGAACTTCAATCAGTTAATGGGCTCTGTGAGATTTTTCAGTGTTAATGGGCAAGAGCTGCTGGAGATTACAGTTTAAAATTCTTTACACCGGTCATGTTTGTAAAATTATTAAATGAGAAGTGGGGAAGCGTTTTGACGGATTAAAAAAAATCGGGTCTTATAGATATAAAAAATTGCCAACACCTTAGCAAAAGTAACATTCGGTAAAAATGCGATGGGACTAGAATTGAAAATTTCCAATTTTCAAAACTACAGATAAAAAGTTATTAATCTGATATCTAAATTATGGCAATCATGTTTAAGTACATTCGGCATCAAATAATAATGATTGGAAAAAAATAGCTGCACCACAAAATTATAAATTGGACAATTTAGCAAGACTATTGCCCTTTCAAAATTACAGCATCGTGTAATGAGTAAAATGTAAAATACACAATTCTGTTGTTCGAGCTGCACATTGAGAGAGATTCAATGTAATTGCACATCATGCTTTGCAATAGAGAGAGAGAGAGAGAGAGAGAGAGAGAGAGAGAGAGACGGGGCTCAATTGCGGGGGACCTATTTGTACAAAAAGGCTCTGTACACACAATTCCAGAAAAATGGCAATACAAATGCAAAGAAACAAGGCTTCGTCTGGACAAAAATAAAGTTATCACATTAGTTGAACTGCAAAATAAATTACGAGTGTTTGTTCTCTTGAGATTGGCACACCATCACATTTCAAACGTAATTACTGTCGAGTTGTCTGGGCGGCACCGGAGGCGCCTCCTCCTCACTGCTGCCCCCAGCCCCTTCCGATACACTCACACCATCGTCCTCTTCATCATCTAACGAATTTGTTCGAAGCCGCCTTCTCGCAGGATCTGAGCAGTTGTTGTTTTGGCTGGCCACTTCCACCACACTCTCAACCTAAAATGATCTCAGGTTAAAAATCTTCTTTAGGAATTTTAAAAAGTAAATACCTTAAAGTGTTCTGTGGTGCTGGCTAATGGGTTTGAAGTTATGTGCACTCTCTGCTGATGCCTATGGGTGTGTCTGATCTGGTGGACGTGGTGAGTGGTGCCATTCGTAATTGGTTTTCCAACGGTAACCAAACCATAGGCCTGAGCCTCTTTATCAGTATCTGAAAATAATATATTTTACATCAAATTGAAGAAATTAGATAAATTACTACCATGTTCGGAGGCAGACGTTCTTGAGTTGGAGTGCTTGCAAAAGTAGACGCCCAGGCACAGCAGGACAATCAAAAGCAGGAGGCCCCCGAAAATTATCCCGAGGATCAAACCTAGAGACAAGGTCTCCCCTTTGTTGCCCAAGCCAACTCCCAGGCCTCCACCTCCTGGGATGGACTCTGTGCTTGAAGGCTCTTCAGAGGTTAGCACATCTGGGGAGCATCAAACGTGAATTAACATTTTAACTCTAAAATACTTCAGCCCTTCTACTTACATAGCGTTCTGTAGTATCGAACTTCGCTGAAGCCAGATGTTCCTGCACTGTTGAAAGCTTGGACTTTGATGTCATAAGAGCTATCAGGTAAAAGATGGGTAATCAAAAATTCCCTAGTGTTCGCTCCCATGACAGTGGCCTTCGTATAATCTCCAGCCATGGTGCTGGATCGGTAATAGATGAAAAATCCCTCAACAGGCACACTTGGGACACTTGTGTACTGCAAAAATAAAAATAAATAAAACCTCTACCATTTCCAAAGGTTTCGACAGACCTCCCACTTGATGGTGATTGCAGACGTACTTGCCGCTTCCCCGTAAGTTATTGTGGGTGCGTAGAGGGGCTTCTTGGTAGTCGGCTCCTTTTGCAGATGAAACCTGGCAGAGTTGTGTCCTTGCATGTTGTCATTGTTTGAGTAAACTGCTGAGATTCTAAACCTAAATAAATTGGGAAAATGTAAGATAAGCCAACAACAAACAAAGAAACTAACTTGTAATAGTGGTCAGGCTTGAGGTTATCAACTTCGTAGCTGCGGATGTGTGATGGAATGTCTTCGTCGATTGTGTTCCAACGACCTTTGTCCATGTCTTTGTACTGCACTTTGAAAAACTGAATCGGCAGTCCTTTGTCAGACTGCACGTCCCAACGAACCATCACTGACTCATCAGATAATCGGGTGATATTTGGGAATGATGGCGGAATCATCACAGCTGAGATTAAAAAAAAAAAGAATGAAAATTAGACCCAAAGAAAAGAAAAAAGGTTATCTGAGAACTTACCATGCCCCTTTTGCTTCCTTTCCTTCTTGTCCTTATTCCTGCGACGATTGTTCTTTTCACCTTTGCTACTGCCTTGCTCCTCAAACTCATCCTGGTCTAGTTTTAGAGCAAAATTAGTATTCATTGATTTACATATATACAGCAATAATTTTACCAAAAAATTCTTCATTGTTTGGTCTGGAGTTTATGGTTTTTGGCTGAACCTGCAGCATTGCAAGACCAAAGGCGCTGCCCATGGAGCTGGAGGCAAAGCATTGGATGATTCCAGCATGCCGTTTCTCCACTAGTCTGATCGAAAGGCGGCCACCTGCCGTAGTTATGTGTGGGTCACGGTCCACGGAGTTGCCATTCAGCAACCACTTGATTTCCGGAGTGGGCCAACCTCTAGCTGAACACTCAAGCTGAACTTCACCACCCTCTTCGACCATTTTGCTCATCGGCTCTTTGACAACAACAGGAGGTTCTGCAGAAAAATTGATGAAAATTGAAAATCATGTATTTAAAGATTCTAAACATGAATTAACTAATTTTCTTTAGAAAATTTTAAAAACTTACCCATGACGTGTAATGAAATGATGCACTTGACAGGTGCGCCAAAGGAGTTTTTGGCTTCGCAGACGTAGGTGCCTTCATCAGCCCTGCTAACTTTGGAAAGTAAGAGGGCTGCTGAAATCATGGCAGTTCTTTCTGCTGGAAGAGAGCCGCCGTACTTGGACCAAGTAAAGGACGGTGGTGGCCATCCAGATGCGGGACACTCCAAAGTCACATCTTTGCCTTAATAATTAAAAAAATATATATATTTCCTTCAATAAGGAAAGACTAAACTGACCAGCAAGAACAGAGTAGTTGGAGGGTGCAGACAGGGGAAAGTGTGGGGCCACTTTCTGGCGGGGCGCCGCTTCGACCTGCAGCTGGAAGTTCATGGGCAGTGCCACAGTTTGACCAGCAACCGTGTTAGTGGCCGAACAAGAGTAGCGGCCACTGTCAGCCGGAGTCACGTTGGCCAGCAGGAGGCCACCCTGCTCGGAAACGTGGGCTGACAGTTGGTGGCCGTCCCTTCTGAAGGTGACCTGCGCTGGAGGGGTGCTTTTCGGCGGTGGGCACGAGAGGAACACGACGTTGCCTGAACTGGTGCGGACAGTGGAGGTGAGTGAGCTGCCAGAGGGTTCTTCCATGTGGGCGACGGCCACCTCTGCCGGCAGGGACGCCATTGCCGACGCACCAAACCACGCCACACACTGAAAATTTTAATCATTTTCATTTTTCTAAATTCAAAAAGTTGTAGATGAAAAGTTTTTAATTAATCTTCTAAAATAAAATAAATAATTGCTAAATCAAATGTTTCATTTCTCCTTGCAAAAATGTTATTTTACCTGATAGATGCCTGTTTGCAGCTCATAGTCTTCTTTCTCTTTAGCTAGTCGGACAACTAGCCGGCCGCTAGCTCTGTTGGCTATTGGAGACAGCGGTTGGCCGTTCAATTGCCACAAAACCCTGTCTGCAGACACATTAAGCGCGCATTCGAGAACCACTTCTGCGCCAGGTACAGCCACGGTCGACACAGGATGCCGAGCAAATCGCAAACCAGGCACATCTACAAAAGTTTAAAAGATAAGAAAAAATTGGAATCTTGCTGAATAATTTCATGAATTTTTCGACAAAATATTTAAAAATTAATTGATTTTAAATGGTGTAAAAAAATTCGAATTAATTAATTTTGGAGCTTCCAGTTAATATAAAATTACACAATTTATTTTATTTCTCACCTGCAAGGATATTTGCAGCCCATACGAGAAGAAAGCAGGTGCTGAAGAAAAGCACACTCCTACAGTCTTGTCCCATTTTGCTTCTTTTTGGCACCGCTCACGCAGTCAAGTCAGTCAGTCGGTTCTGCTGAAACAAGCGCAGGAAAAATGAGTTTCAATTGGTCTTGGTGCGCGGAATTCTATCTTCTTCTTTTACGAGCGCTCGTAAATTATCGAGGCGGGTAATTGCACTTGGAAAGGTCAAATGAAATGCACTCGCCCTTCTTGGCCGCGACCGCTTCTCGCCGTTTGCGATCTCGACGCTCGCAATGATAATAAAAAATCAATCTGCGCTCTTGTAAAACCAGACCGATTGCAGACCAAAATCAATCCGAAACCAAATCTCGGAGGTCGCGAATCAATTCTGCGGTTGGTTTTTGCGCCGACCGCAAAAGTTGACACGAATAAACATCAGGAAAACATGCACGCGGCGGCGGCAAACCTGTTTTCTTGCGAAATCGAGAATTTCAATCCATCGGAGAAGTTTGCCAGAGCGAGTCTTGAGGGTAACTGACTATGAGGGTGGAAGCGCCGAGGCCTTATAAGAGGCTCGGGGGTGGCACGCGCGAGACGCACCTGACAAATATCAGGAAGCAAGATTCAAATTCGATTGGACACGCATGATTATTCGGCTCCGTGGGAGGCTTCATTTCAGATCAAGATTCAAACAGATCAAGATTGATCTTAAATTTATATATTTTTTTTTTTATTCTAGATAAATTGAGGGTGGATTTCCTATCATGTCGAAAAGTGCAACCCTCCGAAGCGTAAACACGAATAGTTTGTTAATTTCCAAGTTAGCTATACATACGAGTTTGCTTGCCCCTAGTGCGTGCGATCAGATTTCGCCGATGAGGGCACATTCAGCGGTAATTCGATTGCATCATCAGGGCTCGAAGCCACAAAACAAAACGCGCGAGACACCTGAGAGCCCTCATCCCTCTTTCTGTATACGCAGCCCCGCCAAGTCAGCCCACACAACACACTTTTCAAGAGGTTTTATTTTCAAAGAGACGAAGTAACGAAATAAAAATTCCCAATGAACAGAATTATTTCAAATGAATAATAAAATTTATTCCTGAATTGACATAAAATTAACTATATTATTTTACACGAACTTCAAAAATGAAGATTCCATAATTAATTTTGTTGACTGGATCAGGTGCCAGTTTTTGGTGGAATAAAAATTGATCCAATAAAGAAAATTTTAATTTTCATCTTCCATAATTATTTAGCAACTTTAAATTTTCATCAAGGCTACTTAAATGGTGCTATAAATTAAATAACTTTATGATATTGGTAGGATATTGGTACATAAAAATTACTTGCACAAAAATATTTAAAATCTGGCAGTGACAGTAAAAAAAATCAGAGACAGTCTTATTGCAGGTGATTACAGATTACATGTTTGAAGTTTGAAGTCATCAATTTCAATTTATGAGGAATAATTGAAATTATTTATTTACTTTGAATCCCATGAAATTGAATTGGTAGACTAATTTTAGAATGACCTCCTGCGCGCACAATGCAGCAGTTCGTGAGTGAATTAATTCCACCGCGGGCTGCATCCAGCATTATTGAATACGCGAGCAGACGCCACCGAAAAAGAGGCGCAAACACCAACAACAATAATAACAAGTGCGGCGGAGGTGGAGAAGTTCCACGAAGCGGAGAATTATTTGCAAATCACGGTGATCGTCGCATTATCGAGTGACTAAACACTAAAGCGAATGAGCAAATTTAATTTGCTCGGCCGCCTTTTGCTCCTTTTGTGGGCTGCACGAGAAGCGTGCACGGATTTTTGCGCACAAAGTATTTCGCGAGATTTTTTTTATCGCGCGCCATCTCTGCTTTTGGTGGCGCAGCATTATATATATGAAGTAAAAAAAAAATTGCAAACACAAAAACGAGTCTTGCTGCGGCCGTCCAGCCAGCGATGAATTCTTCTCCCGAATGAATTCCTCGCTCGGCTTTTTCCCAGAGCCACCTGCCTCCACAGACAACTCTGCATGTTTCAGCCACTCTCGCTCCCGCCGCCGCGATTGGCCCTCCTTTTGCAATACCACTTACCGTCCGTCTCGCGCAAACTGTGACGACCGATTCGTTTGCCAATTTTTCGCACACGACTTGATACGTCTGTCTGCGACAAAATGAGTTTCCTTGTTTGCTTAAGTATTTCGCGGAAAATATTTTTTTAATTAGAATTAAAACAATCGTAATTGTAATTAAATGAGGATTGAAAACATCATTTTTGTTTCTGAACTATTTCTTAATTTTAAGCTTTAAGACCAACAATTGAAAAAATAATTGTTTAAAACTTTGCAATTTTAATTGACAAAATGAAAAGAATTGGATGATTAATCTATATGATCTGGTTTTACAAAATAATAATAATTCTTTTATGCTAATTTAATTATTTCCCTGTTGAGATTGTTTGTTTCATCCCCCACTTAATTAATTGAAGACTTATTAAAATTATATTCACATGCTAAGTCAGCAATAGAGTAAAAAACACCACATAGCAAACTTGGAATTTTTTATCAAATCTAAATTCTTATTTAATTCAGTTTTTCTTTGAAATTCTTAATGAATAACATCACCAACTAAATTCAACTTTACCGAGATATTTTTGAACGCGTGCATTATAATTTCAAGTTTGTTATGAGAGCTTATGCGAAAAGTGTTGCTCATTTTATGTGGAGTGGTGGCAAACGAGCTAGTGAGTCGGTCGGTTGGAATTTCTCGCAGACTGCAAAGCGAGTTTGCAAGTCGAGGAGGAATGAGAGAAATAAATAAAATGAATGTTAGCGCGCGGGGCAGACGAGTTAAAAAGAGAAAAAGATCAAGTGATAAATTTATTTTCTTATTGCGGCAGCGCGAAAATATTTCTGTCCCGCATCTCCTCCTTAATTTATTTACAAATACCAACGCAAATTTATCCAAACAAGAAATAATACGATAATTTTTGCATTCCAACAGAGTTTTGCAGCGTTTCGGCGGCAGATAGTTCACGCGAGACTCGCAAAAAAGGGAACCAGTCTTTTTGTGCCGACTTCTTTTACAATTTGATTGTTATCGCCGCCACTTTTACAACTTCATTATTCGCCTCCTTATTTCTCGTTTCTCGTCTGCACGAAACCTCTCTATGTTGGAGGAAAAAAATCTCAGAATCGCCAATTAGGGAAAACTTTGGTAAAATGCCCGAGGATGTTTTCTCGGAAAAGCGGAAACCTCGAATTAAAATTCAATTAAAATCGCATACAAATGAAAATGAAAACAAAAAATTAATTTCTATTAGTGGTCTGCGAGCGTTGAAATCACCTCGGAGACCTCAACGGCCGGCTGATTACACTTTAATTTGCAGATTGCGAGTGATTTTTTGTTAGACTCGTCGTGCCCAGGTGTTTTGTTTGTCGGGCCAAAGGAGAACAAAAGCGTCGATTTCGTTGCTTGGCCTGAAAGTAATTTGCACACGCCAATCGGCTGGGAGAATATCGCTTTTTATTGGCAGACGCCACTTTTCTTTCGCTTCTCCGCATCGCTGGCCATTTATTATAATTTTTGACGCCTCTTTCGAGCCGAGCACTTGGCAAACCCGAAGCGCACGCCACCAACAAACGAGTCGGGCGAGCAAACCTAACGAGCTCTTGCACCGAGATAAAAATGGTTTGTGGTTTGTAACACTCTGCGGAATCAGATTCTCCGCCGGATTAAGTCTGAGAGCGTAAAAGAGACTGGCACAAAGATGATCACGCTTCAAGTAAAAAATAAAAATATGCTTCTTGCACGTTCAACTCAAAGGAAGAATTTAATTTGGATAATATTTTTTTTTAAATAAAGCACTTGACTGTACAAATTTTTAAATTTGATTACTGTTTTATTATATTTCTTAATCTTATTTCACATTCTGCTCAAGTATTTTCAGGTTTTTTTTTTAATTGATTTTGTTTTTTTATTTGATGTATTTCAATGTGTAGAATGGAGAATAAATAAAAAAACGAAACGAATTTTTAATTAAATTATAATAAATAATTTAATTGTTCTCGTCGTTTAATTTTTGTTAATTTATTGGAAGAGGAATGATTTTAATAACTGTGGGCTCTGTATAAACATACTTTTCCTCTCCCAACGTTCATTATCCTTTGCGAGGGCCAATTTCATTTCTTTCTTCTTTTTTTGGGCGCCCTTTGCTCCTCATTTTCGCGTGGCCCGCGGGGCCTTTCGACGGCGGGGAGGGGGCTCAGGGGGGAGCCAAGGCCGCTAACGAGCTGCTTGGCCAAATTACAGGCGAGCAGAGGAGGCGCGAACACGTCAACAAACAAATCACTCTAATTTCATTTGCGTGTCCGACACTCGGCGCGGCTGCTTTTTATATTTCTCTCGGATAAACCCGCGTTTCGCTCGCTTTTTCTTTTCCCCGCGGCGCCCTTCCAATTAATTTCCATCTCGCGCCTCCAGTCGCCGCAGGCAGTGGCGAGAAAATCCACCGTTCAAATCTCTCTATTTTTATCCGAGAAGAAAGAGTGGAAGTGAGGCAGACCGTGAAATTAATCAGCGATCAATTTGCGCGGATGCGCTCCATTTTTTCCACTTACTCGTCGGTCGCGCGACGTTTGTACGGTTTCTGCAGACATATTTCGCGGGCGGGCACGCGAATTTGATGCTTTCCCGCGCTCATTCATTCAGAACGCTCTTCTGAAGCCATCAATCGGCACCTTCCGATCAGCAATAAAATTTTTTAACCTTAATACTAAATTTCAAGAGACTAAATTATTTTGTTTATAAATATTCTGCAATTAAAAAAAGCTTATCTTCATAAAATTAGTTATGACAAAAAAGGGTTAAAAAAGTTGAATAATCCAAAGCATTGAAAAAGTGTACTTACGACATTTTTTATAATAAATTTATAAACAATAAGAATATTTCATCAAGATCTTGATTAAAATTTTCAAAACAATTTTAAGACATCTCAGCATGTCTATTTTTCCAATAACTGAACACCCAACGATCTCCAGGCCTGTAGCTGCGCGAACTGGAGCAGCGAACACTCTACACTAGAGCGGCCACCGCTCTAAGAAATTTCCCATAACCTTGCACTAGAGCGGTGACAGCTCTAAACTTCGTTAGGTGAATGATTCGTTAAGAATTGAGATTCATAGAAACCTCTTCTAAAAAATTTAAATTTTCTTAAGGTGATTTCAGTGAACACCAGCTTCAAATATTTAAATCAATCAGATATCATAACGATTAAAAAAAAAATATTTCATCGTTGGCAATTTGAAGCTATTGAACTTTAGTGTGCAACAATTATTGTCAAGAGTCGGTTCAAGTCTGGCTGGCCGGCCGACTAGTAGAAGAAGCGTTATTTTCCCTCTAACAATAAATGTTGAATCGAGTTTAATATAAATAAATAGAATTGATTGCGAAAAACGCGTCAAATATATTATTTGAATTTTTTGCAGCCCGGAATTATCTTAAATATTGAAAACGAAAATACAAAAGAATCTTTCAAATAAAGTCAGCAAGAAAAAAAAATGAGATGTGAAATGGCTAGACGATTACATTTATTTTTGATTAAAGTATATAAAATATAAATAAATTTAACGAACATTGCAGGCTTCAAAGATGTCGAGTTTTTCACCAACAAGTCCAGAATTCAATTTGTCATTATATAAATTTTTCCCTCAACTCTTTATTCCCTTCAGAGCGTAAAAAACAATCCAAAAGAAGCCGATTTTGAATCACCTCTGAGACGAGAAAATTGGCCTCAATAAATCTCGTTTCCTTTTCCACTCTGGAATTCTGTGGTCTGCGCGCGGCACAAAAAATGTAATTTTACGAGCAGGGCTCTTTTCTTTTTCCCAATTAGGCTGAATCATCGTCGCGTCCGTTTTCCTCCAGCGCGGCGTCCGGCACAAAGGCGCGTTCTTTTCCTCCAACCCCGGCAAAGAACGACCATTGATTTGTATTTTTATTGAGCGGCCCAAGCGAGAAAATATTAATTCCGTATTAAACGCGACAAGCTGGAATTCGGTCGACCAATTAAATTTTTTACACACACCAAGAGTCGTAAAACGCGCGCCAAGTCGAAATTGTTTAAAATATATATATGAGCGATGGCGACCGATTCGCTCGGTAGTTTTTCTCAGAATGCTTAATTTTCGCTTTCACGACTGCACAATCGGCCGCTTTGTTTTGATCGGGAGCAAAACGGGAAAAATTGAATTATCTGCCGCGTCGTTTTCCTCGGTCCTTGCGTGGCGCGTCTCGTCGCTGTATTAAAGAGAAAAAGAAAACCGCAAGTCGTTTTTCTTCAGTGGACGGCGCGCGAGACGAAAATGAAGGAGCTGTCGGGACGAAATGCGGCATCAGAGAAACCATCAATCAATCGCCTTTTCTCATCTCGCCAGACAAATCATCTTTCTTTTTTCTTTCCCAAGCCGCGCCCATTAAAATGCAAATCGATTCCGACTGACCGCAAAATAAAACACACCAATTTTCTAAATGCCAACTAGAGGCAAAGCAAAACCAAAATTATCATGTACAACCATATAATCCACCACAGGATGTTTGAACTTTTAAGTAAAAATGGTTACATTGAAAACAAAATAAAAAAAGAATCTTCAATAAAAAGTTTAATAAATATTTTTTTTAAAAGATCTAATGAAAATTATGGGGATTATTTATTAAAATTAATTTAATTTAAGAAATCAAAATATTTAATGCACTGACTTGTGCTTTAAAATTAGTTAAACTTTTACGTAATAATAAACTAATAAAATTAAACATGCCTCAAAATTTTACACCTCAATAATTATTATTTTTTACTATGGCAGTCAAAGGAAATAAAAATAAAAATATTCTTTACTTCTTCATCATTATCTTTGAAATTGCTAAATTTTTTCTCATGCCAAATCCGTCTCTTTCTCCTGGCTTGGCCCTTTCCAAGGCGACATAAAATTTTCAAGCAACATTTTTAAGTAAGAAGATTGAGAGGCTGTCGTTGTGCAGCATATACCGAGAAATAAATTGCTGAATTTATATTTGCGGCGAGAAAGCATCTCGAGGAAAAGCTGCACGAGCGCCAAGGCCGAATTTTTCACTCGCAAAGGACTGGATTTGCCGGCGAGCAACAGGTCGAGAAATAAGCTGCGGACTGCAAAAAAGCGGGCGGCCACTTCAAAACGCGGCCGGACGGACGGGACAAGTCATTTTTCGACGCCGCTGCTGCCGCGACAACTCAATAACAATTGCAAACAACAAAACCCGATCTCGCAAGTAAAGGATACAAATGAACTTGTTTCCAGCAAAAAAGCAAAAATATATAACAAAGCCTTGGATGTGAAGGGAAAAAGCTGCAATTCTTACAAGGCGGTCACTTTTTATCGCTCAATTGTAAAAGAAAATCCAAAATTAAAACAGTGAATGGGCTAATTTCTAAAGGAAATACTTTTTTTTAAATTTTTTTTAAAAATTCAATAAATAATTTAGTTCCAATTCACTTGTCTTTATTTATGAATTGTAAAGTTTGATATTGAATCGCTTAACTTTTGTAAAAATATATTTGAATAATTTTTTGCTTCAGTTTTTTCTTCATTGAATTAAAACAACAGAACAGTAAGTATATGATTAAGGTGGCAAATAATGTAAAAGTTTAAAAGTAATTTGGTAAAAAAAAAATTAGGAATTTGAAAATATTTATAAAAAAAAATGTTATCTTTAAATTTATTTCATTATTATTTGTAACATTCTAACATCATTATTAAGACAAAAAAAATGAACTTTTATTTAAATTGTTTGATAATCCTTTTTTCATGAAGAAAATTATTCAAAAATTTCAGCTTTCAGTGTCTCTTTTCAATAATGTTTTTTTTCTTTTTAAATTAAATTTTAATTATTTACCGATTTGCTATTGGTCCCTCCCTGCTGAATAACCCGATCGGAATGCTAACTTCATTATCAAGAGAGCGGCAGGCTGTTGGTTTCAGGTCGGGCAGGATGAATTCGCACGAATTAGCAGCAGCACAGGTCGCACAAAACGGGGGGCAGCGAGGACTGGCTGTACAGTGGGCTGCGTGATTTCAGATTCATAGATTTTATCGCGGCGATTCCCATTTGAAAGACGACACCATTTAAAAAGGGCGGCGCCCGACTCGTTATTTCACTCAATTTTTATTTTAATTAGATAAGCGGGCGCAAACGTATATGACGGCCGCTTCAATCAGCACCGAAAGAGGCAGTCCGAAAGAATAAAAAGAACAGATATTTACAAACTCACTTGATAAAAAAAAAAAGAATAAGTGGGAGAGGCGTCAAAAGGCGAGATTATTTGGGAAAAGGATTAGCAGCTTCTTGGTTTGGCGCCTCCTCCTGAATTTTTTTCTCTCATCCGCGACACAACAGCTTTTCTCTCTCCCTCTAAAAGCCTGTTGAGGACGTGTCGTTTTAAAAGCAGAAACAAGCCAATTAAACTTGACAGCCGAAAAATCCGCCGCGGCCAAAGAGCAGGAAAAATTCCAGTTTGAATTCGCCAGCAGCCTGCGCGCCATCGAAATTTAGGGGCGTCCGCGTGTTTTTGCCTCTTTTGTTTTATAGACTTGTAATGGGTCTTTATTATTTCCATCGACGCGCCGCGCGCCGAAAAGGTGCTGGGAAAGGGGCAATCGCGCCGTGGGAATTCGAGAGATTAATTTTCTGATTTATCGCGCCACGGAATCAACAAGATCCTTTCCTTTCTCTTTTTTTTTTACATAAAATGATTTGTGCATTTGGATGTAAAACAAATGTGAAATAAATTATATTAAAAAACTGCGCTATTAAAAATTCAGCAATTTTTTCACGAAATTCTAAAATATGACTGCAAGTTTACACAAAGAGCACGTTCTGTCTTGTTGTAGTGAGACACGAGTTGAAGTATTCAAATGGCTGAATTCTTGCGAATATGCGAAACGGGAGAAGCGCAACTCGAGTTTTTATTTAAAACGGAAACCGTCGCGCGACTTCTTCAGAAGGTTCATTTTTTCCCTCCATTTATCACAGTCTTAATTGTTTCAACTTCCTGTTTTTTGAAAGTTGCCAAATTGCCATCACGTGTTTCACGAGTTGACTCGCGCGAGTAAAAAATAAAAGATGATGCATAAAATTTACAGCTCAATCTTTCAACTCACCCCAATGCTAAATTCTTGGCATGAAAACTGCTGAGATTCTGGATCAGATCCATCCAGAGAAAACTGCAATCAGAAAAGTACACGCGGAAGATTATTTATTTGAATGGAAAAATTTCAAACAAAGTTTTATATAATTTTCAGATCTGCGAATAGGTTGAACCTTAAAAGTATAAAATGGTTTTGGAGAGGAATTAAGGTGATTGTTGTTGGCGATGATGCTTGTAATGGATTCGAACAGCGTGAAAAGGAAGTGTTTTGGGCGGAGGGAGGGGGATCCTCTCCTTGCGCTTCGCAGCCACTCAATAAAATTCTTTTTCTCCAACATGTGTGCTGTGGAGAGCAGAAGGAAATAAAAAGAACACCTCAACAAAAATGCGCCACCATCACATCTTGTGCCGTCATGGGAATCGAAACAGTATTATTTTCTATATGCATATAATAAGAAAGCTAAGGATAAAATTTTATATATAAAATAAATTTGGTCCGCCTCAAAACGAGCTGCTTGGATTTAATGCGTATGGAAATTCTCGACGCGAGAGAGCGAGCGAAAAGAATTTTGCGCTTGGCAAAAGTGCGGCGTGCGTACATAAATTATTGTGTCGAGTGTTATTTTTTAACCAAAGGTGGGACGCGAAATGAAATTTTGCGCGGCTTGTTCGCTCGCCGTCTAATTTATTGCGGTCGTATTCCAAAAGTCCCTCTCGGTGCATTCACAGAATAATAAAAGAAACAAACGGCGTGACGTCACCGCCGAGCAATCTCTGAAAAAGGAGCAGCTTTCGGCTCAAAACGGATTTATTGGAACGGCGACCTCGACGGGTCAACTCGCTGTTTATCACGTCCGGACAGAGATAAGGCCAGGGAACAGCAGTCAAATTAGCAAGCCTTAATTTTTTCATCACAATATTTTCTATAAATAGAATTTTGTTTCAAAAGAGGTTTAAAAGGACACACTTTTCTGATTTGAAATTTTGTTTAATTAGAGAATTTGACCAGTTTAAAGGTAAATTTGACGATAAAATAGAAACATTTCTGCTTTTTTTAAATTTTCAATATTTGACTTAACTTGAATATTTCATTGGACGCAAAGTTGCGGGTGGAAATGAGTGTGTGATTTATTCGCCGCGGCAGAATGCGTGGAAAATGGATTTCCACGCCCGAATTCGGCGCACGTAATTCAATTTCTTACGTCAGCCGACGCGCTTTGGGAAGAAGCGTCGCCGCAATTCCGATCAATTTTCCCAGCAGGAAGTACCCCAAAGAGAATTTCTTTGCCCCGAAATTACGCGCCGGCCACGTTTTCTGGCACCCCGCGTTTCGTTTTATTTAACAAGGCTCGGTTTTAATGGCGGCAATTTCGACGCCACCTTGCTTTTTTTTACAAGTTTTGTTCTCCCTGCTTGAGAAGAAAATAGTGGACCAAATGCCAGCAGGGAGCAAAAAACGTTGGTCGGTCTCCCTTTTCCATCTCAGAGAGGGACAAATTCCTAAGCTGACGAATTAAAACAACAACCGGTTCTTTTTCTGCCTTTCTTTCGGCAAAGTATCCAATTTCCGAGCACGCTCTGCTTTTCTAAATTTTCCAGCGGGAGAGAAATTTTTATATTGTGGAGAGTAAAAAAGAGCGGTGGAGCTGAAAATCGGCGATTTTTGTTTGTTCCACGCAGCAGGACCGAATTGTTTCCGCATCATTTCACTTGTCCCTCTAGATTTTGTCTCCACCGCTGCACTTGTTTCGGTAGAAAAACATCAAAATAGAGGAGCAAGATTGGAGTGAGATAATTCAAGTAAAAATCTCTACGCTGTGACATGTGATTATTTTCAGAGACGTATGAGAATTCTAACTCCCTCTCTAGTTCAAAATTAGAGAAAAACACCGCTTTTGGTGAAGAAAATGTTGAAATTTGTATTTACAAAACAATAATTTCATTAAGGATAGGTAAAAGTTAATTTAATTTTAATGCTTGCAACTTGCTATTAATAAAAAAAAATTCTGTTCAAATTCATGAATTGATTTAAGGGTAAGAAGCGAGTCTGCAAATTTCGCTCACAGCAATCTCTTCACTCCAGCCGTTGTTATATTTATTATTAAAAAAAATAATAATAATTAAAAAAAATCAAAAATTGTATTCTCCGCAGGCAGTTGAATAATATAATAATGTATCAAATTGGTCTCTAGAAAGGAATAATTGAATTGTGTTTTTATACCGATCAACTTTGCTCTGGTTAATAAAAAAAATTCTTTATTTAAAAAAAAAAATTGTTTTAAATAGAAAACTCCAAATTCATTTGGAGTGAAATTATACACTTAAAAAATAGCCTATTTTAAATAATAAATAAATCAGAAGACCTTGGTTATTTATAATTTTTGCTGTGTTAAATTAAATAAATAACATTTTTTAACTTAACTTGCGAAAAGGGTTGAATTCTAGTCAAACTTTATGTCTATGAACAGTTCAAGCTTCAAAAGAGCAATTTGCATATTTTTTACGCCTTTATTGCTAGAAAAACAAACTTGGCGGGCGTGAAAAATGGTTTGGTTTGGCTGCTGACAAATTAATAAATCACGACTGAAACCATTTGGAAGAAAAATCGGCCAATTTAGACGCCACTCCGAAATTGTATTTTCTATTTATAAAAGTCACGATTATTCACAAACCCTCGTTTTTCTTTTTCTTGTCTGCCGGCAGGGTGAGAGAAAAGGCACTCGGAGGAGGGAAGTTTTCTTAATTGATGCTTATCACAAACAGGCCGCCATTAATCTCCACATCTCGAGTAACAAAAGAAAGAAAGAGTTCTCATCAAATATTTCCCTGGATTGATTTATGGCCAACCAAAGTCTTCCCACAGCATTTTATATTTGTTTTCGAAATTGGTCACGGCCGTGATTCCAAAAAATTATTTCCCTGGAAAGGTTTTTCTTGTCCAGATTTATTTATGATTTTTTTCCCCGCAGGTCAGTGAAAAAAAAGAAGGTCTCTGCTTTGTCCTTTCAGCTTTCAGCAGCTGTTGCCCGCGTCAAAGGGACGTGAGCCTCTTACAAGCTGTCAAAATAGATACAAAGCAGATTTTTCAGGGGCAGCGCAGGTAGTTCCTTTTTCTTGTAGGGGGGAAGTTCAACGAGGGGTGGTTATTCATCCCTCAGAAAACAGCCTAATGAGATATTTATGGCCGAGCAGCCAGAAAATGGGAAAAGGACGAGTCCATTTTTTGCTTCACGATTTCTCCATAACATGTTTCGAAACTAAAAAAATTCAATTTTTGTTTCTACTCTAAGAATAATTCTGTTTAGCAAATTAAATTTAATGTCCACTGAAATGCCTGAAAAATATACAAATTTTAAATCAATAAGCTGGTTATTTAAATTTTTCAGGATTGAAAATAATTTCTCTTGTCCTTCTTTTGAAATTGTACAGAAATTTCCAAACACATAATTAATATTTTTCCACGCACTCTCTGTCACGCAGGAGATAAAAGCTGCGACAAACAAAGGAAGGATCACACAAAAGATTTACATAAATATATATCTCTCTAGTTGTTTGCTTTCCTCGTTGGAACATGAAATTAGCTGCTGCAACCAACAATGGAGAGGCACAAAGGAACGGATTACAATTTTTTTCTACTTCCCCTTCACCTTTATCCCTTTGCGACTGGACAAAGGGTTATTCCCCGTTGGAGGACAAATTGGGGGCGGCCGAGAAATATTTCGAGCAGTTTTGCGGTTTCCTGCAGGAATGTTTTTCCAGCCTGAAATCCGAGATTGACACTGCGTATTCTCTTCCACGTGTTGCGAAACAAAATCGGCACTTTTTTTATTCGTAAATATTATCGCAAACACGTGTGTCGGAAATAAAATGCAACAGAACGAGAGCATGTGCTTTAGATTATCGTTTTGGCAGCAAATGCCAGCGGAGAGGCATAAAAAAACTCGTCTCGGCAGAATGAAATCGCGAGAGCAGAAAAAAACACACTCCGAGATCAAAATAAACCAGTCAACTCTCGCCGTCGGTTACTGAAAGAAAATGAATTTTTCAGAGAGAAACACTGTGCCTGACGGGCTCAATTCCAATTAATTGTGCTAGAGCCCCGTCCTGGACCCCAAACGAGCCCAATCTGAGCCAGAATTCGCCCAAAATACGAAGGTTCCTTTTCAATTCCGGACGCAAAAAGGTTGCCCTTGAACTCAGGTGGGGCGTCTCGAAAGGAGTCCGAGCCGGCCAACTCACTCACCTGCGGCCGATGGGGCTGCGTAGGGTCATGCCGGGGTCAACGGCGGCCACCAGTCGTCACGTCTCGAGGCGGCCACTATTGATGCACTGACGGCCACTCGGCCACGACGGGAATGCGACCGACCGACGGAGATTCAGGGATGCTGCCGTCGATCCGTGATTGGACCGGACGCCGAACGACAGGTGCTGCCACCTTGCGTCGGCGCCGACGCACCTGTTGCACCCACGACCTGCAGTGCTACCAATAGAACCCAACAGAGTTCCTTCTAAAGGAATTAATTCCAATAATTTATTCTTTTTATCTTTTTTAAAAATAAATCCATGTGTTTTGACTGTGAATATATTTGTTTTAAAATGTAAGTTGCTTTGTTTTGTATCTAATTTTTTTAGTCCATTTGTTTTCAACAGAAAATCCCTATAGTAAAAATGGGACCTCATAAACTCTAGTTAATTTACAATTTAATTATAATTAGAAAGTTGATATTTTTTTTTGCATTGCCATATGACAAATTGCTAGGAATCGACATAAATGGCTTCTAATTATTTTTGCTTTGAAATGACATTCAAATTTTAAATCCAGCTAGTTTTTTGCTGACATCATTTTATCTTAAGTTATCACAAAAGCACACTAATCTACTGTCTATTCAAATTACTGAGATTTCTATTCAAACAAATCTCGAGGCGATTGCGAGAACTTTGGTGTAGTCGGCGCCCTTTGCAACAGTTTTCTTCCTCAAGATGGTTCGAAGTAAATTTGGAACTGGAACGTGAATTCTGGTGCCGAGAGGTGAACCGTTGTCGTCGATGAGCACCACGTTGTTGCTATCGAAGCGGGGCACCATTGCTTTCTGTGTTTGTCTGCAACCGACTATGATTCCCTTCTTCTTCTGGCCTTTGATCGCCACCATCACCTTGTCACCTGGGCAAGAAAGGATCAAATTAATTTAGTCCTGGCTTATTAATAATAAAGAGAAATTTTATTCCTCAAACAGTTAATAATAAAGTAATTTACACTAAAAGACATACAAATTTAAATGAAAGAAGGTAATGTTATAGTACGCGCGACGTGTTTTTTCATAAGTTGGCAGCTCTTATGCTCCCATGTAAAACTATCACGTCGCGCGTTCGATAGTGGTTTTACGTCGCGCATACAATAATGGTTTTACGTCGCGCGTTCAATACTGGTGGCGGTAAAATGGTAAAATTGTTAAGAAAACCGATTATTCCATCGATACCTCGGCAACATGTATAGCACGCGCGACGCAAATATTTTCCTACAATCTTAATGTAGGGGACTGCTAGGAAGAAAAGGGGCCCTTGGGATGGGTTCAGAATGGGGCAAGACGACCTCCAGAGGGCCGTGCGCACCCTTATAGCAGGCGCGACGTATGTTTATAGCACGCGCGACGGGCCGTAAATCCAGTGAGGGGCAAAGCGAACTCCGGAGGGCGCTTTTCACCATCGTAAGAGGCGCGACGCATGGTTATAGTACGCGCGACGTATGCTTATAGTACGCGCGACGCATGCTTATAGGAGGCGCGACACGCACGGCAAATTAATTAAAAGGTGTTGCACGCGGCCGGAGTTGTGGGCACCCCACGAACCGGCAACTCGGAGGTGGGCAACCTCCAAGATTAATTTTTGCAGCAGCCGCGAGCGAGGGGTGGAGGCGCAGCGAGGTCGAGGACGTGGGGAAGGCCGTGCGGAGGGCGAGGACAAAAGGGCGGCTGTGTTCATGAGGGGGCTCCGCAGGAGCCCCCTCACGAACCCCGCCCTTTTGTCCCGCCCGGAGCCGGCCTTCACCACGTTCTCGGGCGAGCGCGCCTCCAGCCCGAAGCTTGCAAACCCACAACGGAGTTGCCCACAAAAGGTGTTGTCTGCAAAGGGAGTTGTGGGCACCACACTTTTTGCTTTCTAAGCCCTTTTTGCAGACAATTCCTTTTGTAAGCAACTCCGTTGTGGGTTTGCGAGCTTCGGGCTGGAGGCGCGCTCGCCCGAGAACGTGGTGAAGGCCGGCTCCGGGCGGGACAAAAGGGCGGGGTTCGTGAGGGGGCTCCTGCGGAGCCCCCTCATGAACACAGCCGCCCTTTTGTCCTTGCCCTCCGCACGGCCTTCCCCACGTCCTTGACCTCGCTGCGCCTCCACCCCTCGCTCGCGGCTTCTGCAAAAATTAATCTTGGGGGGTTGCCCACCTCCGAGTTGCCGGTTCGTGGGGTGCCCACAACTCCGGCCGCGTGCAACACCTTTTAATTAATTTGCCGTGCGTGTCGCGCCTCCTATAAGCATGCGTCGCGCGTACTATAACCATGCGTCGCGCCTCTTACGATGGTGAAAAGCGCCCTGCTGAGTTCGCTTTGCCCTTCACTGGATTTACGGCCCATCGCGCGTGCTATAAGGGTGCGCACGGCCCTCCGGAGGTCGTCTTGCCCCATTCTGAACCCATCCCAAGGGCCCCTTTTCTTCCTAGCAGTCCCCTACAATTAGATTGTAGGAAAATATATGCGTCGCGCGTGCTATACATGTTGCCGAGGTATCGATGGAATAATCGGTTTTCTTAACAATTATACCGCCACCAGTATTGTATGCGCGACGTAAAACCACTATTAAACGCGCGACGTAATGCAAGTGATGCCAACTGAAATCAGGGATTTTGGGAAACACGTCGCGCGTACTATAACATTACCTGAAAGAAATTCTAGTTTTTAAATTTAAAATACATATGTTTTATTTTTTACCTATGGTTCCTGTGCCTGTTTTATTGTAAACATGAAATATTTTAGGCGGTTTTCCCTCCGCCATGGCTTGTTTGCCGATCTCACTGTTGTCCACGACCCTGAGTCTGCTCAGAAGACTCAACTCGTAGTTAACGCTGCTTGTGTGGAACCCCTTTTGGACAATTTGTGAGCCCAGAAGGCTGGGAAGCCGCCACGATGAGCACAACATGTTGTGAAGTTTGTATTGATTTTTTACCTCCCTGAAAAGCTAAAAGGATGCATTTGCGAAACGTTATTATTTAAAATTTGCTTCATTACATCGCTATAATTTACCTGGTTTTCTTATTCTGACGTCTAAAAAGTACAAATTCAGACAAGAACCTTCACTTTTGTTGTTCAAATTAATTAAATTGAGCAAATGGGGGCGTGACGTCTCGTATAATTGAATTCACTCGCGACTCGCTCGATGGCGCTGCAGTAGCATTCAAGGTTGTGAATGTATGGCAGGTTGCCTATCTCGAATTTTGCAGGCGTTAACTAATGTAGCGGCTCGGTATTATGTAGTGGCGGTGGGTCGTTGCTAATAAATATCAAAAATCTAGTATCCATTTATCAAGTAATTATATTTAGCAAATTGATTTCATCATGTACATATTACGTACATATTTCATTTCAAACATATTTTGAGCAAAAAATAATTATCACAATATTTTATTGTATGTCGTGTACTATGTACACAATTATTTTATAAACGATGAAGTACAAAATTATTTAATAAAAAAAAGGCATGAAAATCTTATTATACATACATTATTATATAAGTTTTCACAAGATTTCATAATTTAATACTTCTTTCTAGAAGAAATATTAAATTTTATCATTACGACTAGCAAATTTAAAAAGAGTAATTTTTTGGAAAGATTTCAAACATTATCATTGTTCATTTTCATCAAACAAAAAATACTGCTGAATAAAAAATTGCATAATTATCATACCTTATGAAAAAAAATTATGCATGTGGCAAAAACAATTGAATTTGATCTTTTTCCACCCGTTTTTCGTTCTTTATGGATATTAAAAACTGTATTTTTGTAGTCTATCACTTATGTATTTGAGTGCATTTCAGTGGTTGTACATTTAATAAATAATTATAATGTACTACTATATAAATATGTAAATACTCGATGCCAAAAAAAAAATTCGTGTGCTTCGCAATATGAAAATTTTGTTATGAATAAATATAGATGATGGCGTATGTCTTATTTTTCAGCTAAAAACTTTTCATTTTGCAATGCAGAAGGCCTCAGTGAAAAAAAACCAGTGTTGGGACACAGTGAGGCGAGCGCATTAGAAGTGTATTATCCGTATTATCTGTTATCTTAATTTGTGAGGTATTTGAGGAGGTGATCTGGACTTCTGGATCTGGAGGTGATTGATCTTTCTGTGTTTTCGTTTTTATTTTTATGTTTTGTGACGTCATTGACGTTATTATGTGTATTTGCTGTGCATTTTGCTAGCACCCGACCCCCACCCTCTTCGTTTTGCTGCGGATCGGATTGCCCGCCGAATCTTTTGCATTGCGTGTACGCTGTGTACAGATTGTTGAGGAAGAGCTGGGAAAGTCTGACAAGTCTCAACAGGTTATATCTAGAGCGGCTCGCTGATGTTCTTTCTCTTTCGCCCCTTTTCTGTTTTGTCCATCAAAACGAACAACGAACGTTCTTGAACGTCCTTGCATCATCTTCAATCTGCGCTCAACCTTGTGGTGCAGCAGACTGCGGTGCGGTTCGTCATTCTTCGACTTCATCATTCTTGGCGGTTGTTGGTTAGCAATAAGCATAATTTTATCAACTATTTTTTATTGGCCTCAGTCCACAGTTTATTTACAATTACGCGTCAATTAAATTACGCGACAGGAGGAATAACTTGGCCATTATAACGCTCGCACTTTGATGCAAATTGCCTGGCTTTCGCAATTGTTAAAAAAATTTAAAATCGCTCTCATCTCGACGCAGGAGGTAAAATAATTAGTCTTTATCCTTGGTTTTATTTCCAAACGCAATCAAAATTGCCTCACGCATCCTAAATCTTGCGATACGCTTGTGCCTTTTGCATTTTGAGAAATATTATATGATTTTGAGCTTCTTTGAAATCGCTTTTTAAGTGTGGAAAAGTTTAATGACGTTAACTTTTGCGTTTATCTTTTAAAAATATGAATTAAAGAAATTTCTGTTGTAGAAAAATGGACTTGGATAACCCTCAGCTCCGTCTCTTTTTAGTGCCACTGCGTGTGCGTGTGCGAGTGCCGGACGAATTCCTAGGTTTCTTTGAAGTCTTTTATTTTATTTTAGTATAAATAGTGGCTAAACGCTTTAAAATAATTGGTGGCACTTTCAGTAATATTATAATTTTGTAAACGTTAATTTGAGCTCCAAATTATGATTATGGTGCCATTATAAAACTACTAATATTTCAAGAGAGAGATATTGATATTAATTATGATTTTAAATTTCCAGCACTCGTCGTTGGCTCCCCCAGCACCAAAGAGCTTGTTGAGGCAGCCGTGGCTGCGGAGTCAAAGCTCCTGAAATTAGCTCCGCTGCAAAAACTAGCCCTGGAAAAGGTTGTCTCTTACATCAAGATGTCCAAACTGTCCCCAAGGTCGCTGATACCATTGCGTAAGATGTAAAATTATTTTAAGTTTCAAAGATTTTTTACATGGGTTTGATGCAATACAGCAACTTTTCCCTGTCTAATTGTAAGAACTCATCCAAAATAATCAAAACAGATTCAAATGAATTAATAATCGTTGTTGAATGAAGTTCTTAAGGCTTTTTATAATCTTTGATAAATTGAATTAAGACACAAATTTCTCTTTACTATCATTTACTATTATTGGATTTGTAACAATTTGGACAAATAAACTAAAATAATAATATTCTTTTTTCATCACAGCTGCTACCCTCAAAACCAAGATTCTTTATGAGATAATGCTCTTATGGATTGAGAGAGAAGGGAAATTCCAGCGTCGGATTTCGCACAAACTAGTTTTACCTGGGGAGGATTTGATGGTAAACAATGATAAAAAATTTAATGATTTGCAACAAATTGAATACTTTTTACTTTTTTGTTAAATAATATTTTATTTTTATTTGGTGTAATTGATTAATCAATATTCTTTATAGGCAACCAACTATGGACAGGCTGGAGGAAGTCAAATTTTGAAGGTTCCTATGTCAGAGGTTCTGAAAAATCTCATCAATCCAGAACTGCGAGAGTTTGATTTCAAGCTGTGTGGTGGCACCTGTAAAAAGTTGACAGACAGAGGCATTGATCTTCAGGTGTGGCCGTTGCTTTCGAGTTCACCTGGGAAACTGGAAAGCTTGAGAGATAGGCGCAGCATTGTCGGCCAACTTCTGCCAGCAAAGCGCATCATTGAGCACCTGATCAAGTGCAAGAATCTAAGAAATCTGGACCTGGCCACTGTTGAGTTCAATGATGGTATAAACATACTATGCTTTGAAATTTTCATAATATAATTGATATCAATTTTTGTAGAGGATATCAGGTTGCTGACCATAAACTGTCTGAACCTGAGATCGCTGACCCTGAGGGAGTCGCTAGCCCTGACTGAGGTGGGTCTTGAGCTGCTCAGCACTCTTCCAAATCTAGAGCGAATGTTCTTTGGAAGCACCCCCGGAATCAAGCTCAAAGAAACTAGTGCAAATATGCAGAAGGCCTTTGAGAAACTGCCTCGTCTCAAGTTCCTCACAGATTTGGAGGGTTATGGTAAAAATTATGCCAAATTGGATATTACTATATTAGTGTACTTTTAATTAAAGTAAATTAAATTTTATAGACTACCCTAGCTGCAGGGTCATTAAACAGAGAGAGGGCCCAGCCATCAAAATTGAGTCCTTGCTGCCTCCTTCCAGCCTTGAGAAAATCTATTCTTTTGGAGGACCAGTTGAAAAGTAAAATATATGCAATGAAATGATAAACTTTAGAATGTCCTGTTACATGAATCATTCCTGCAGGTTGCCTATGTTGCTTCCCAACCTGAAAGAATTCTGTGTCAATTTCCACTACACCAATGAGACAAAGGTCAATCCAAATATTCTTGCCCAGCTGCCTCTTTTGCACAAGATCCAGTTTTCGGGCATCTATGACGAGCAGCGTCTTGCAGTCAAAACATTCACTTACTTGGGCTCCCGGCTGACTGAGCTGACCCTTAGAGCCTACATTGATGTGGATCTGAACCAAATTGTGAATGTTTGCCCTAACCTGGAGAAGCTGGTCGTTGTGGGGATGTTTGTGACTCGAGCTCAAGAGCAAAAATGCACCATCCCTGCAAGAGACCTCAAGCTGAAGGATCTTGTCATTGAAGGAGAAGGATCACAGATGCTCTTCTGGCACCTTTTACTAGCACCAAACCTTCGTACAGTTGGCATTTTGAATCTTTCCATTGGAAATCTGACGCCACTCCTGAAGGCCATCAGGTCGTCAGAGCCCATCTTGCAAGAGCTCGTCTCTTTTGCTTCGGACTTGCAGTTTCAACATGAACAGACCCTTGTCAAGCACAACACACTGATGACCACCATTGTCAAGGGATGCCCCAAGCTGGAAAATTTCTCATGCCACATCCGTTACTCCACAGGCATGTCAATGGGCATTGCTGTAGCAGAGATTCTGGAGCCAAAGAAGAGGAAAATTGACCCCGTTTTCTGGCTCGTTGCCAATTAGGCTCAAAACCTCGGCTCACACTCCCTTCTAATTTCAGGCCATTTTTTTACTGTTTGAATCTGGTTTACGATTAACAGAATTGAATCGCCTAAAAATATTATAAAATACATTCATTTTGTACTCTCTTTCCTTCCATGCAATATTTATGATGATGCATGCACTATTCAGAAAAACTAATTCCCTGTGCTTGTCTGTCATTTAATAAAGAAATGAACTTCTCGTCTTCATAATATTTTAATTTATGATCATTTCTCTTTTTAATGAAAGGAAAGGAATCAAAAACCTATTGAAGTTTTAGTTTTACAGTGTCCATTTATCATAATTCATTTAAATTAAAACCTAGGCTGAGTTCTAATGTGCTTTTTCTATTAGTGGAAACAGCTTGCATGAGAGGCTTTTTCAGAAGATATGCACTTTATTTTTCTTGCAAGAAGTTTCGAAGCAAGGGGCCAGAGAAGCGGATGGATTTGGTCTGAAAATTATGAAATCTTTTAAATTTGAATGCAAAAAAATATAAGGATGAAAATTATTAATTATTTTACAAAGTGAACTGAATTCTTATAGGGCACTGACCGCACCCTCCAGTTGGCTGTCTCAGGTCACGCGACTTGACCTTCCTCCAAAGAATTGCCAGATCGATGTTTTGCAGCTTTACTACCTTCTTGCACTTTCTTAAGCTCGCTATAGTCACTGCAATCAAAATCGCCAAAGGCGTTGTTTAATTTTTTCCAACCCACTGTGACACAAAGGGAAAAGTTTGGTAAAAGCGATGAAAGTGGAGATAATCGCAACCAGAGCTGCGTCGTCTCCGCTGACCAAACAATTAGGTCGCCTTTTTATGCGGACGCTCCAGTGCAAAACAAAAACTTGCGAGCGTACGAGGTGCTCCCGTTGTATTGTTTGAATGTTTACACGCCTAGCACCAAGACGCGATCAGCCACAAAATTAAATTATCTCTAAGGGCGTAATTTAAGTCCTGGTAATTTTAAATTTTTGTCAATTGTTTGACAAATACAATATTTTTTGTTTCAATAAGCTTTACTTGTATGTTGGAAAAAAATAATGCAAAAATGTAATTTTTGGACAAAAATTCTAACCTGAAAAAATGCATCAACATTTTCACAGCATAGTCCAAATTTTAAAAACGATCCAGATAAAATTAGAATTCTATTTTAAATTTCGATACGCTTCTTTCATATATCATCTTTAATTTTTATTTTTTTTTTAGTTCTTTTTATGAATGACTTGGACAAATAATGATCACTTCTACTACATCTGATTGCAAAATGTTAATTTTTGTTTATATTAAATTTTCTATAATTTACTAACAATTATAATACTGCAATAATGAATTAGGAAAGTATGATTGTTTTATTACTCCTTGTGATGAAAAATCAATGTATTCTGTATTAAAAATTAAAAAGGGGGATTTTTTTATTTGAGTGCGGTATGCATGTATTAAAATCTTGTGGCTTTTTTCGCGCCTAACATTGGCAGGCGCGAATTTCACGCTCGGACAGCGACGAAAAGAATCACCGTCGCATCTGGCGCTGTTTTTGTCCCTTTCTTTGTTCCCTTTCCCCGACGGTGGCTTTTATAAGGGCACCTTTCTCGGCGGCGCCGACCATTTCGCCAAGATGCGAGCGTCCGTGTTACTGGCGCTGTTGGCTCTGCTCGCGGCGCCGCGCGGCTCCAACAGCCAAAATTTAATCACGCAAGTGCTTGGCAAGGTGTGGGACGTGGTGTTCCGCAGCTTCGCCGAAGCCTCAGGATACAAGGTCACCGCACTGCCGCCCAAAAAGAAGGCGGAGGAGAAAAGCGCTGCTCCGGTGGTGCACCACAAGAGCTTCCAAAGCAGGTATACTATTATTTGCCGAATATCACTTGGCCTCTTTTGATTAATCAAAAATTTTCTGATCATTAATTTTTTTATGGAATTAAATTTATATTCTGAAATTTATTTTTACTCGTGTTTTAATTTTTAATATCCTTATTTAAAATTTAATTTCAAGCCAAATTCTTATCAATACTCAATTTTATCACCAAAACGACATAAATTTTCCTTACATATTTAATTAATATTATTAATTATAAAATTAAAATAAAGTTGGAGTTTTTAAAAATTTTTGAAGTGCAATTCTATTGATTCATTGATGTAGACATAATAATATTTTAAATTCTGTTGTTTGAGATCATTATTGGAATATTCTAGCACAACCGAGCGAATACAAATTCACACGGAGACCTTCACTTCCTCCTCCGACGAAACCTCCGCGCCTCAACCTCCCTTCAGCTTTTACTCCAGCGAGGAACCGAGCTTCCCTTGGCCCAAGAAAGACGAAGACGACGAAGGAATCGCCGAAGAGTCTAGCAAAAGAATTAAAAAGCCCGTGAAAATTTCCAAGCGAATCAAAAGCCAGCGAAGTGGCTTGGAAGAAAAAGTCTCCTTCCGTCACGTGGACACGCAAACACCCGGAGGAGCCCCAAAAGAACCTCTGGTGATCAAACTTTTGTCGGCGACGCCAACCAAAGACCCTTCGCTGGACGATTCGTGGCCCTCGGTTTGGCGAGGAGCCCATTGACGAAAATCCAGAGGTGTGGCCGCAGTATAAATTGTCACATTTTCAGCACTTGACTTTTTAAGGATTTTGCTGTTCGCCAAATGGTTGATATTAGTTTGCTTCGTGCAAACCAATACGTCTTTTAACCTCGTTTGTGCTAAGAGGATTATTTTTTTTAATTGATGCCGTTAATTCTTGTCCTGGATTAAAGGCTCAAAAATAATATTTTTCGTTTCCTTTTTTAGCGTTGAAAAAGAGCCAATGACCCACGGCCGAATGTGCACCGTCACTGATCTTCAAAAAGTGCATCCTTAAAAAAGTGCATCGCACCTGCATGAGCATGCACTTTTGCCTCCTCAATTCGCTTTGATGCAGCTGTGATATGAAAAGGAGAATGAAAAAAAAAATAAAAAAGAGCGAAAGATTCTTGCACTCTCTTGTGCCGCCTCTTCCTTCAGCCTTGAGTGTTTATCTCTCTGCTCTTTGCGTGTGTTCAATTGAGTGTAAATAACCTGTTGTTTTAATGATGTTACGAATAAAATTTTCAAGTTCCTAATTCGCCGCGAGTTTAGTTATTTATTTTTATCAGCACTCTGAATTTCTAACTAACAGTCGCAAATTAATTAACTTTGTAATTCCGTCCGCGGGCTGACCTTGATTTACGGCCGGACAAGAGATTTGAAGCTTCTGTTTTCCGCGATAAGCGCGGCTGATTTGCACTTTTATAATTTAATTACCTGGCTCTCGGCCGGTGCGTTAGGCAACGCGCATTAATTATAATTCAGGAATGCGCAGGAATAAAATTGTCGCAAGTGCGCGCGAGTGTGAGATCAGCGCCTTATTTATTTGCGTTTTTTTCTGAGCTGAATCTCAATTTGGCGCGATTTTTTTCTTGCACACATTGTCGACGGTGTGTGTAGGAAAAAATGTATTCCAGTCTCGTCAGCCCAAGCAGGCGGAATTTTTTTCCTTTTATTGGCTCCTCTCCAGATCAGCGATTGTTTTATTCCTCTTGTAAAGATTTGGGCAATGAACTTATTTGTTTTACTTTTTTCCCAATCGAACTTCTGCTCTTCTTCTGACCGATAAGAGCTCGCGATTATTTAATATGGGTGACCTTGGTGACAACCTCGCGCATAACTGCGAAGTGTCTCGCGCGCGGATTGTTGGTATATTAAATGCGGCCGCTGCAATAATTAATTAATCGTTTGTTGTGCAGCAGCGGCTGATTGGAATTCCGCGCGCAGCCCTTTGTTTTCTTTCTTCTACGTTGACCAATTTCATTTCAAAAGTTTTGAAGCCGCGACGAAATCGATAAACTTGACCTTCAGTTGCGTCACCAATGCCGACCCCAAACATTAAGACGCTCCAAAACAATGCAATGACCAGAGGCTATACCCTCGATCTTGAATTGCCTTGATTATACTCATATGCCAAATTTATTTCCGGCTTCCAAAGAATATTCCGCTCCAATTGAATCGAACAAAATAATTCGATTTTATACAACTATTCTAGTTTTTTAATTATCTATGCACGTTATTTGCTGCAACAGTTCTTGTGCAATAAAATTCTGCATAAAAATTTAAAAATTTGGAACTCAATAATAAGAATAGTTAAAATTCAAAAAAATCTATTAAATCAAACTATATAAACATAAAAATATCACATGAAAAAATGGCTTTGTATTTTTGGAAGACAATGGAAGTTCCCAGAAACGAATCGTAATTTGAAGTTTAACTAGCGAGAAATATTTAAATTCACTTAAAATATAACAAAAATGACGTGCGTAAACTCAAATCGCTTGAAATGTAATTTAAGTTTATAAATAATACTTTTCATTACAAGAGAGTTGAATGAATGGGTCTTGGCCGAAGGATATTTTCGATTTGTTCCCACGTGGTGGAGGGAATCCCTTTGGAAGGATGGACCTTTGGACGTACCTGAGCGGCATTCGGAAGGAGGCGTAGGGTGCCTATAAAAAGCGGCTGCCAAGGCGGCTCTCGTTGTCACTTGTTCAAAGCACGCCAGTCCGCAGCAGCCGAAATGAAGACGACGCCTGTTCTCCTGGTCAGTCTTTTTGTTACATTTAATATTCTACAATTTGCATAAATCCTAATTACTATTTTGATGCAGTTTATATTTGTAGTTTCCTTAAAATTTATTTTAGATTTTGGTACCACCTAAACATTTGTAATTAAGTTTTTTTTTTATAAAAATGAAAAGCTTTTTTTATTGAACATTTAATTTAATTTTTCCTATAAGTTGCAATAAAATAAATGATAAAAGTAATGATACAAACTGATTTTTTAATTAAAATTTTCTCTTTAATTTTTGTATTGTAAATTTATTTTTTTTTTCGTATTAAGTGGAAATTTGACAGATCGATGTGAAGAGTTTTAACAATTTTCAGAGTTCGTAAGGCTTTCTCCAAGGTTTATTATTTTTTGCTTTCCAAAATCATTTAATATTTAATTCAATTTTTTTCTTCTCCTAAACAACCATCAATAATGTTTGAAATTCATTAAAAAATGTAAAATCGGCTGTTCTTAGTTTGTTGTGTTGGCGGTGGCGATCTCGCTAGCAGAGAGTGCCCCCTCGCCTGCGAAGTCAGCCCCCGCCGCCGTCCCTGTTGAGCCGCACTCGGGCGGCGCCAAGGAGAAGCGCGGGGCCCTGGTGTACAACCCCTACGGAGGATACGCCTACGCCACCTACCCATCCTACTACTACAATCCCTACTCGTACTACTCGTCCTACCCGTACACCTACGGGTACACTTACGGCTACCCCTCCTACTACTACCTTGGATAAACGCACCCTGAACCACCTTCCCTCTACGCAGAGGGGAAGGGAAAAGGGCAACCTGATTCGGACTGCCGCTAGCTAACTAAATTCGCCCGGATTTGATAGTTATTTATATGTAGTACTTTTAATTATTACAAAGAAGAAACCTTGTGATTTTTGTGACCTTTCCCTTAACACCCCTCCCTTTCCATGAGCCACCTCGATTGCCACCCCTGTTAGCTGTTTGTATCATACACCGAAGTATAATCTACACAAATTGCAGCCAGTACTCGATAAAATAATAATAAAAAAGACAAGTATTGATTTAATATTATTAGTATGATTTCTACCTGATTGGCAGGCAACCTGTTGAACTTGAATGTCAAGCTGGTTGCATACATTTTGATTTAAAGGTTGAAGCTATATTTCGCAGTGCTTTTGCATTATATTGAATAAAAATATATGGATAAGAAGAATTGAATAAGAAAAGAAATAGATTTAAAATTGTAATTTGTTTTCATAATTATTTTTAATTATAAATAGAAATGTGACAAATTTGCAACAAAAATTTTTCCGAAGCCACAAACAATAACGCAAATAGGCGATGGAAGTCTATGCTTCTCTTAACTTATTCACATAGAACTGTGTATTCAATAAACAAGAGCGGCAACAACATAAATTACGTTGAATAAATACCTGGCTCGTCGCGCGCGCACCTCGTGAAGTGTGAGAGAATTCCGTGAATGCGCGGGAGAAGAATAAAGACAATGCATTTTCACGAGTGATTTTGTTGCCCCATCCACTGGCGAGTCGTTTCGATTTGCAGCTTGCAACATCTCTCTGTGTTCGGTTTGAAAAAATCACGACTTTAATTGGAATTGAAAACTGAAATAAAATCACGACTCTCTGTTCTTCTTCAGCCACGTTTACAATTCTGTCTGACAAAAAAGGAAAAAGAATTTTATACACAGCTTTGATTGACGTGCAGTATTCATTTGAAAAGTTGGAGTGGCAAGTAAATTTTAATTGAAATAAGGACCACGCCTTGAGCGTTCAGATCAAAAAGTGGTGACTGTTCACTGTCAAATCGCGCGGCGCGTGTTATGTTTCTGCATTTTTCGGCCCAATTTTCGCGCTCTTCGATCTGGGACAAATCGTGTGCCTTTTACTCGCGCGCGCCCGCCGTCAGCGAGCAATGCAAAAATAATGGCTAAGGTCTCTCTTACTATTGTTATGGACCAATAACGCCTGGTAATTGGAAGCGTGCAATCACACACACGCGCCGCACTCTGAGAAATCAAGAGTAAAATTCCTCGCCCCTTTGCGGTTTCGCTGTTTACCAAAGCATATTATTTTAAATTTTTCTGTGCTGATAACGCCAAAGGCTTTAAATATTTCTCAACCGCCCTTACTGAAACCTTTTTGAAAAATTATAATTCAAAATAAATGTTCATAGTTTAATAGCAGTGTTGAATAAATTAATCATATAAAATCTTAATCGCGGCGCTCGGTTAATAAATAATTTCCAAGCCGCTATAAATTTGATCAAGAGCCGAGATTCGAATTCAGAAAAAGGAGGCGAACCAGCTTTTGCACGCGGAGAACATTTTCGAATTTGGTCTCTGTCGAAGCACACCTGCGCGCAGCCAGAAAATATCGCGCAACACGACGTGTCTCTAATTGAGCGACTTCAGCAGCCTCAGTAAATGATGCATTTCAGGCAGGTGAGAAAAAGCAGCACTTTCGAACTTAATTTTATCTGAGTAGTTACATCAGCAGCTTTAATGCACTGCTGTGGACAGCAGCAATACAGCCTTTAATGTGCACTCCAACATGACAATGTTCATTGGCACAACAGTCTCCTGATTCTATAAAGATATATATTTTAAATTAAAATTATTTATAGTAATGCTGTGCTGAGTGACATGAGTTGCACTATTTTATGACAATTTAATAAATTGGTCGAACTTCAATTTATATGCATTAATTTAAAAACTTTTACTGTCAAAGGAATGAAATGTGCAAAAATATTATACAATGAAAGTTATTTTTGTCACTCAAATGTAGTAAATCCTAAAAATTTGTTATTATTCACGTTTTCATTTAGTATTTACCTTAATTTATAAATTATTATCTTTGTGAGAAAAAATATGATTTTTAAAAATTAAAATATATAATATAAAAATTCTAAAAATGTAAGAAGAATCAAAAGTTTATTTTTACGATTTTAACTATGTAATATTTCAACAAGAGCTTAGGTGCAATTATCCATTTTTCTCATTATACCTGGTATAATATATACAAGTCTAACAGAGTTGTAAAAATTGGCCATTTGTGTTTGGCCAAATCGTTCTACCTCGTTCTTTATAATGATTTGGGCCGCTTGAAATGCTACTTAACGATGCAAACCTCTTTCTAATCAGTCAGCTTTGGAGGCGTTTTAAGTTTGCCTCTAGGAGATAAAAATGCAAAATAGCGTTTTAACGATTTTTCGTAAGATTGCGTTGTTAATTTTTTTTTCGTTGTATGCCCTGCTTAATTATGCAACAAGAGCCGAGAAGTGACGGAAGGGAACGCGATGATGTTTTGGAAATTTGGCGTGCTTGCTCAACGAGCCGCTTGTTTTTATCGCATAGAGCGACGCAAGTAGCATTGCAGGATGGCGAGTGCGCGCAGAGAGACAGACCGGTTCTCTCTCGTTCAATTTTGCTTTGGTAAAAATATAAATACACACGAGAGAATTCTCGCGAAGCAGCGAATAACTCTACCCAGTGAAAGTGCTCCACATTTGGATGCAACAAGACTTCTTTCTTTTATTTCCCCCTGGCTCCTGAGCTCCTCACAATTAATTTGCATCATCTCGACTCTCGTAATAGAGTCTGCTCGGAGGCCCGCGGCTTTAATTTGTTTTTTTTGCCGTCCACTTTTGAATAGTGGCGGAAAATAGAGAGACCTAGGCAGTCTCCAAACCTATTATTACGCAGAACTTCTTTTGTTTTTATCTCGGCTTGCGATCGCCATCGATCTCGCATGAGTTATTGCTCTGTGCAAATAAAAAGTTGTTTGGTCACGCGAATGGCAACCTTTCGGACTCAAAACCTGATATGCAAGGAAAAAAGCGATCGGAACCCTTGGATATTTCAACTTCTGTGCCATTGCGCGAATGATAATTGCGTACACTGCCATATATATCATTTTATAATTCTATTAAAACCCCCAATGTTTTGTGTATAACTGGTATATTGCGAAATATTATACCATTGAATCAACTCTATTTGAAAAAGTAATAACTGCTGATAATTTTTCTCAATCTCAAGCATAATAATAAAAAAAATTGTAATGACCAGAGCAGACCAGAGCATGATTGCAGTCAATAAAAATTTAGTTGTAGAAAAATTTTATGTTTTGTTTTACCATTGAGAAAAATGGCGCGTGGAGAATCAACATTATTGAGCTTGAAACGTGTAATCTTCGTATAGAGAGTATTTTAATAACAAAATTACATACACATTACTTTTTAGTCCACCAAAGATCACGTCGCAGTTGTTTAGATCTTTCAAATATTTATAATTTTTGGGACGTGACGTCAAATACGACCTTTCCTGAACAGAATTCCAAACGACCATGGACGCGCGGTTCCTTGTCCTGACAAAGTTTGTAAGGTCGAGTGGCAAATTTACCTGAAATTGATTTGTAACCGGTGAGTCAAGTAATGTTTTTTCATGTTATCTCGAAAAAAAAACATAATTTTGAAGGAAATTATACTGATACGGTACAAATTGTGTTAAGATTTAAGATTTAAGGCGCTATTACTTAAATTTTAAGTTCATTATTTGTTTGGTTCAATGAATTAATTAAAATTGGAGATTTTTATGCTTTTATGCCTGCTGAGAGTCTCAGTATGCTTTATTTTGTTAGAAATGTATTAAAGCGGTTAAATTTTTATAAATTTGCCCCCAAAATTGAAAATTGAAAACTATTTCAAATGTTTTTTAATTTTGTTCTAACTTGGGAAGATTTAGGTTTTTATAACATTTCTTCCGCCAAAATTAAATTTGTGTTTCGTTAGCCTGGGAGGCATTAGCTGCCTGCGTGTTAAAATATCGCTTTTCCTGTCTTGTGTCAGCCTGACTGAATGACCACGTGTGTGCGTCTGCCTGTAATTATTTACTAACTAAACTTTATGTATTTACACACGCACGCTCGGACTCTCCCGGCGTAATAAATGTAATCTAATGTTGCAGCCGATATTATTAAATTATTATATAGACCGCCAGCAATTATAAGAGATAACTCTCGAGACGCTTGACTATTCCTCCGATTGGGAAATGATCTCGTCGTTTCCCCAAGCTCCCCTGCTGCGCCAATGAATAAAAAATAAAAAATATGCGAGGGCAATGCATAAAAATTTGTCATTATATATAGATCTAATTTGTTGCAAAACCTTTTTGCGAGAGCGGATTGAATTATAAGCTGAGGTGGCCTGAAAAGTTGTCACACATCTCGTCAGGTGCCCGCTGGAATTAAGATCTCACTCGCGCCTTTTACGATATCAATAACACATCAAAAATCATAAAAGCAAACTTGTATAACTGGTGACACTTTTTTCATTAGCGATAATTGCAGTGTAATTTGACCCACTTACCTTAATTATTAATCCGCGACGCAGGCGTTCTTTAATTGCCCAATCGGCGCCGATTAATTAGCGGCGCGATCGTCTCATAAATCAGTGCGCGCGCGGTGCGTGATTTATATTATATTCCTGCCGAATTCAATGCGAGCCGCTTTCGGCCGGATCGAATTTGTAATTGACCCGTCAAAATCTCATAATTTTCATTTTCCCAACTGCGTTTACAAATAGAGCGATCAGGGACCCGCGTGCTGCGAAAAGAAAAAAAAGTTGCGCAAACGGCGAAAAAGCTCTCGCGCGATATCGCAGAGCACTCGGCAATAAAATGAGAAGGACGAGAAATAAAAGTAAATACACACTGCAGCCAGGCTGCTTTCAAAACTCGAGAGAACCCAAACACGTTTATTGTCGAGAGAGAGACACTCTCGCGCAATAAAGCAATAAATAAAAGCACAAATAAACGAGAATGTATGCACTTTGCAATTATACTTGCACCTGCTCTACATTATAATATGCGCGAGCAAAAATTTCGCATAAAAGGACGACAGACCCAAATGGTCCATGCACTAATTACCTTTCAACGATTTAAAAGTTTTGACCCCGGACAACTTGCATGATGCTTGAAAAGTCATGTATGCTCAAGCTGCAATTTCTTTTGAGTAAAAGTTAAAAGATTTTTTTGCATTAATTTCAATTTATTTACAATAATCTGAAGAGGATTTTGTTTTATTTTTTATTTTTAAAATAGAAAATTTTAATGTTCTTTATAATATCAATAAAGGATTTTATATAATAATATAAATAATATCTCCAAAATTAAGCACACGCAGGAATGTGTCAAATTTGTGCAGAATTCACTGTTTATCACAAAATCACGTTTTTTTAAAGATACAATTTTTTGGTTTTCAAGTCTCAATTTTTATGTACTTAATTTTATTTTATTTTGAGATTAAAAACGAATTTTCAGTTGATCTCCAATGCTTCATAATTTTTTTAAAGATAAAAGTGCCAATAAATTATATTTTAAATTGAAACGTTTTATTCAGTTGAAATGTTTTATATTCTTGCACAATAATTGACTACATTTCAGATCTATTTATTTTATTTGTTTAGTTATTCCCAATCAAAATATTATATTTTATTGTTTATTGATGATTTCGTAGTAACAAATTTATTCCAAACACTTCAACAGTGCAAAACCCTCTTTCTTGGATCCAACTATATCAAAACACAATAAATTTGACTCTTAAAAAACAACCTCAGTCTCAGCTAGAACAAAATAAATATTGCGTTTTTGGCTGAACAAAGTAACAGTAATGATAGCTGCAAAAATTCATCGAATGAGCCAAGCACCGGTGCTCAGTGGTGAATAACAAACGACGTCGCAAATCACGAACTTTGCCAAAATCTCGGTGCCCCCCAACCTCCTCCAGGTCCGGGTCGAAAATGCTCCGAAAATTCACGCAGGGTGGGCGGGCGCCGCGCATGATTTTGGCGCCGGCAGTGGAATTTCGGGCAATTTGGGGTCAAGGTCGGTGACCAGTGGGCAAAGTGGGCGTGGCCGCGAGTGGGCCAACGGCGAGCGCATAGTGCAGAGCAGAAAGGCCGCAGCCGCCGTCGCAGCCGGAGCAAATGCGCTGAGCTGAAGAAATTGATCCGACCGACCGACAGACAGACCGACCGACCGACCGATCAACAGCTGCTCTGCTTTCTCCATGCGATGCGCCTCATGCATGTGCAGCTCGTCCTCCTGGTGAGCACCACGTACCCCAATTATTCACCTAATTTTAATTTTATTTCATCCAATTGTTGACCCTGACAGCTTAACATATTAAGTCGTCTAAAAAACATTGTTTACAAATTTTTTATAATAATTTTCCACCAATTTTCTTTGAGCATTTTCTTTTTCTAGTTTCTACTTGTTTAAATAATAATTTTTTTTTCATAAATTTCATTTTAAATTAATGGTGATTGGTTTATACTCTGTTGGGTCTAGTTGATTCATCGGCGCGTCATCGTCTGCCTAGATTATATAGGAGTCATAAAAATGTGTGAAAGTGTGGGATTGTTCCATCAGACGATCGTGTTGCTGACCTGCTCCGTGACCTTTCCAAGACAAAAGTTAACGAGAGTGTTGTCATTACCGACAAACTTGTTTTAAACCATTTTTACCGCCCTTCGGATGACTAGACATTTTTAGGGCAATTCGCCTATAAAAATTGTTCATGATTCGTGATGATTATTTTGACATTTACAAGGCTGACAAAAAAAATTTGTAAATCATTCATATTTTCCTTTCATCTAAAAATTTTGATTAATTTAAATCAGGATTTCTATATATGGGTGGAGGTTAAAGTATAATAATATGTTAAGTAATTTAAATTTATAATTGGGTGATTTTGAATTGAATCTATGCAAAAATAAACAATAAGACTTTAACTCTAAATTATAAGTAAATTAGAGTTTTATAATTGACTATTCAAAAATAATAATATTCATAATGCATTTTTATGTCAAACTGTAGATAGTGTAGATTAATAATAAATATTAAAGTTTAAAACGAGTAAATAAATTATAGAAGAATATAAATAATTTTATACATTTAAATTAAAACAAAAATGTAATTTAAGCTTGTTAATATTTTATATTTTATAAACTATTAAAAAACGCACAAAATAATTTCAGCAAAGGTCCCTATATAGGAAAATAATAAATAAAAAAATAAATTAAAAAATAATACCAATAAACTGATAAAAATAAATAAAAAAAAAAGAAATTAATTTAAAAATAAGAAGAATCATATTTAGTTTCAAGAAAATATTCGAAATGAGGGCAAGTATAAAAATCACCCAAATTTACTATGCCTAATTAGTAAAAATCAAAACTAAAAAGTAAAGATGATTTTTTTTTTTACATTTCTTTCTATAAAATTGACAGGATAATACAATTATGTTATTATTTATTCTGCACAAGATATTATTTTAAAGAGCCAACAGAGTAAAATCATTGAAAAAATCCCTCATTGAAATCACCAAGAACTGGAAGATTTGCACAAAATTGAATTTTATTTGTTTTTCAGACGCTTTGGGCGCTGGGGGACTCCCTGATCGTGGCAGCGCCGGCCAAGGACAGCAAGCAGACGAAATTCCTGTTCTTGGTGGCAGCGGCGCCGGCGGCGCCGCACGCCGCGGCCGCCGCGATCGTGGCTCAGCACGTTTTGCCGGCGGCCGTGTCCACGACCTCCCTGCGTCACGTGCACAACGCGGCCGAGACGACGCACACCATGACCGAAATCCACCACCACCCGCACGCCGACGCGGCGCCGCTCGTCGCCGTGGCGCCGATCGCCCACGCCAACATCTACACAGTGCACGTCGGTGGTTTCGGCGTCGGTTTGCACGTCGGCGGACACGGCCACGGCCATGGATATTTCGCTCTTTTCTGAATACAAAAAAAAAAGAATATAAATTTTTATATCAAAAAAGGGAGCAGTGCTTTCAATTTGGAGGGAAAAATATCATGTCCTCCGCAACTATGTGATTGATTTTTTTTTAAATAATATTTGTCTAGAGTTTTGTCGTACAATTAGTCCGTATTATTAATTGTAAAAAGAATTTTCATCCCCTCATTTTTCATTTGTTTTTTTCACCAACGTAAGATCTTCATGTCGGCGTCGATTTGATTCCGCCAAGTATCTCATTGTCTTGATATTGTTTGAATTTTGTGGTGCACATTTTTTATTATTAAATTTGGAATGCAGCCACAACTTTCAGAACACTTTGTCCTCGAAATGTATCATATTGATTTGAAGGAGCAAGAGAGCGGAGAGAAGAAAATGTGATTCAAATGTGGACTCTTGTCTCTTGAGAACTCGACCACTAATTTATTTCTTTGTGTAACTGACTTAATGATTAGCCAAAAAGCTTTGATAATAATTGTACATAATAAAATAATAATCTCTTAGCTTAGAGCCTAAATCAAACAAATAAATAAACTAAATCTGTTAGGAGCACCAAACATTGGCATTTTCATTTGAATTAAATTAATAAAAATTATTTTTATCCTCTTCAAGAAGATTGAAATTGTATTTTCATATGAGACATAAAATTTATCGCTGCGAAAGCCAGGAAGTTTTAAAACAATGGATGAATAAAAATTCTAATGTAGGTCACATCAATAAATCTGGCATGTAAATTGTTTTAAATTGGTCGCAAGTAGGAGGCTCTATTATACTTTTAAAGTCTTTGCCTTACATGCACGTAAGCGTAAATTTACCTTTAGTTTGTAAAAGTGACGCAGGCAGGACGGCAATTAAACGGTGCGTGGATCAGATATCAGGGAGCGGCACCGCTCACACCGCCTCCCCCGCCGCCTCCAAGGCCACTTTCACCGCTGCCCCTGCAACTTCGGCTGCTGGCACTGCTGGTTGGCGTTGCAGGTTGCATTTTTCAGACGGTCTGCAAACAATTTTTATTATAGATCTTAAATGACTTCAATTCTTCCTTCACGGAAAAATATTTAAAAATAAACGGTAGTAAATCTCTTCCATTCTTCAAAACAACGGCAAATCAAACAATCCACTTATTTTGTAGTAATTTGTGTCTTTGAATCGAGAAATTTGGTGCTAAGGTTTTTTTTTTAAATAAATATAAACTCCTTTTGTTCTAGAAAAAAATTTTTATGGTTGAAAGAATTGGTGAAATAGTTTTATTTTTATTTATTTTAACTATTCTCCAATAGATACATGTATTTTCAGTGTTTAATATTTAATTTTTGTTATTGACTTAATGTAAGATGTTGTGTATTTCATTGTTTCTGAATGGAGAATAAATAAATTAGAATTAGATACACAGTAAAGTATACAACAACAAAACTATAGAGAAAAAGCTGGAAAATACATTATTAAAGACACTCATCTGTTAATTAGGGGAATGGCTTTTCGCTAACAAACAACTTGCTTCCTTCAAAACTGCTTCAAAAGAGAGTGCACCGACCGCTAGAGCCCTGACATTTCTTCAGGGAACAGTTGATATTATTATTTTTATAATAGCAAAATATGCAAAAAAATTCAGTACCAATATTTTTTGGTTTAGGGGGATTAGTTTTTTTTTTTAAATTTAATAAATCAAAAATATTTCTTTGGGAACAAAAAAAATTTATAAATTATTTTCAAATGAGTGGTGGTTACAAGAAAATTTGAGCATATGAAAATAAGTAATGATTTTAGGTAATAAAAATGATGCCATTAGCTTGAATTAATATTTTTAGCCAATGGATTATTGAGATGAACACCATCCCTAACAATAAGATCAATGATTTTGAAACAATCTCGGTTGCGGAGAGTTGGCTGCCCTTAATTTAATCTCGCAACTCAAAAGGAAAAGAAGGAAACGCGAGACTTTGAGAAAATAAATAAGAGCACCGCGTGAAAACCAACACCGCGACCGCTCTGCAGCTGTTTTTTCTCCTCTGCACATGGATATATAACTTTTTACCTGCGATTGTTGACGCAATTCAAATCAGCTCATATATATAACTTTTGACGAATATGAGATAAATTTGGAAAAGCCGGCGCCCTTGTCAGAGTAAAAAGTGCAAAAATCGTCACTACTTTGGTTTTCGCGAGTGCAGAGCTTAACAACGAGCGTCTTTGTCTTGCCTTTGAAAACGAAAGTCTGTAAATTTCCCCGCGCTTATTTCATTTTCATAAACAAGTCGCCGGCTTTGTCGCCTGGGTCCTAATTACTGCTGACGAGACTCGTCTCCTTTTTTATGCAAATGGGCGACGAAAGTGCGATCCGTATATAAACGGACATGGTGTTTTCGTCCAAGCAGTCATTCGGCCGAACGAAAAGTCAGAGAAGCATGAATCCGTGTGTGGTGCGCAATCAACTACGAATCGCCTTTAAACACGCGTGTACTATTGAATTTTTCTTTCAGTTGTTGGCGTTTTGCGTCGCTTTTGCCGCGGCGGCGCCCACTGAAGTCGTCGACGAACAGCTTCAAGCTTCAGAGAGCAAATTGAAAAGGAGCATCGGAGGGGGTAAGAAAAATAGATACAAATAATCATCGACATGGAGCTGAAAAACTCTATTTTCACGGTTGACTATTCATTTTGGCCTTTTACACTTGATATCTGCAAGGCTGCTGCAAATTTATTGTGGCGTGGCAAATTTTAACTTTTTTTTTGCGATTTCTTATCTAGTTTTTTATAAATTTAATCGTAAACGTGTTAAATAAAAATTTAACTTAAAATAATTATTAATTTTATTAAATGAAATTTTTTATTTAAATATTTTTTATTTTTATTAATAATATTTCAATCTATATATTATTATTTTAAATATTTAAAATTGTTGATATTTCCAACATAAATTTAAGCCATTTAATTATTCTAATTTTATACGGTGTGTGTATAAAATAAATATAAATAAATTACCTCTTTCTTACATTTAAAATTTTAAATTTATCTTGTAGTTATTAACTTGCTACACTGGAGATTCACTAAGGATGCTTGAAGCCATAATTAATTAATTTTCTAACATTATTAAAAACAACACAAATACTACATTAATGATAATCCACCAATTGCTGATTCAACGTTCAACACAAAGCATATATTTGAAAACCAATAGCAAAGTTGATCAGGGACAATAAGGGATGCACAAATCTTACACTTATATTGACTATTAAAATGATGCAAAAAAACCTGTACAAGAAAAAAAGTTTCATTGTAAATTGTAAGATTCTTGATATGTAACTAAACTTCATGAAAAATTTTCATATTCCTAAATTTATTTATAACAACGTTAAAATAAATTATGAAAAAATCTTTTTAACAAAATTTTAACTGTTTATTATGAAAATAGAGTAAAATGAACTATTTCATACCGTTTTATCTTTTTCACAGTCTGAGTCTCTTCAAGATTTCAATCATAAAAGTAGCTTCTGCTTATAAAACTGATTTTTATTTAAAATTTTTTTTGCACATGAAAAATTAATAAAAACTACAACAGTGTGTAGGATGATCAATTTTATTAAGTAGAAATATTTTTGAAATATTGCAAGTAAAACTTAAATCTTTACAGTATATTTATTTTATTTAAATATTTTCCAGGTTTAGGTTACACTGGCTATTACAACGGCGGCGGTTTAGGAAATTACGGTCCATGGATTAATGAAAACCCTGGACTTGGATATTCCGGAGGCTACGGGTATGGGGGTGGATTAGGAGGGTACGGAGGCTCGTATGGAGGATCTTACGGAGGATACGGCCTCTTCAGGGGTCTCACTTCCGAGGGCTACGGTGGCTATGGCAGCCGATATGGTGGGTACGGTGGAGGATACGGCGGAGGATATGGTGGATACGGAGGAAGATATGGCGGATACGGGGGTGCGACTCTTGGCGAACAATTTGGACTCGGCAGTTACTACGGAGGCGCCTACTCGAGAGCATCTTATTTGTATGGATGAATTATTTGTTTGTTGAAATTATTTCGTTAAAAGATGTGATTTAAAATCTAAGTCTAAAAAAATGCTCGTGTTTGGTTGAAGGAATTGTGTATTTTGTTGCATGCGTTTATATGTAAATGTGTGATTTGCTTGTTAAAAACGAACTAAAAAGTCAAATAAAACATTCTAGATTTTAGAAAATGAAAATTTTGCTGTTTTTGTAAACCATTAAGATAAATTAAATGTTTCTTGTGACACTATGATGAAATTTTAAAAGCAGAAATTAAAAAGACTTATTTGAAATTACGTACAATTTAACCGTTTCTTTTCTTCGCGTAATAAGATGAGTTTCAGAGCCTTGTGTAAATACAAAAGTACAAATGTAAAAACAAAACACGTGGGATGACCTTGCAATGTCACAATGCACTACACAAAGGTGCATCCTGCATGAACAAAGAAAACGGCGCCGTGTGTTTTCAGTACAAAAAAAAACGAAACAACGTGACCTAATTAAAGGCCCTTGCTTTTCGCCACAACACGCGATTAATTAAATTGGGCTCGTATATACAAGTATGAGTAATATCGCAATTTTCACAGGAACTCGTTGCTGCTGTTGGCGACGCCGTTTGTCGTGCTGCTTTAATAACTCAACACCTGCCACTTGAGCCGGGAAATCGATTTTTAATTAACCTCGGGACAAAATTGCATTTTTTGGCCACAAATTCCTTTGCTGATTGAGATTTTAATCTCGCTGAAAAAAAAATGTTTTTTATTTTATTTAAAATGGATTTGATAAAGCATGACTGTAAAAAGTTTTCATAATAAAATTTCTTACACCAAGGGCATTAATTTTTTTTCACTGTTTTTAGTTTTTAAGAGATAATTTGTTTTTTATATCTCGACAATTAGCCGTGACATAAGCGCAGCCGGTTATGTCAGGGTGCGTGCGATGCTAAATGCATCCTAGCGTGAGTTGAATGCATCTTGCCCCTTTTTCATCTCACGCGAGAGAGGAAGTCTGGGATTAAATGCAATTTAAGTAAGGCACTTTTTTTCCATTTGGGAAATCGCAAAAAAACTACTGCTGGTTCGCGGTGGCGCAAAATTTTGGCTAATTAAGTGGGTGACGCGCGACGGCCTCGCAGAGAAAGGAAGAGGCAGGGTGATATAAAAGGACTTGCTTCCAGCGCAAAGGCATCACACCTCCTTGGACAACCCAACCAGCACCATGAGAGCCTTTGTGAGTATTGCATGACACCGTGTTTATTTGGGCCGGCCGCCGGGATACTCCCAACAAAATTCGAGAGCATTCTTAAAACTCCTTTCTAAATTCTGATTCATTTACCGACGATTAAAAAGAAAAAAAAACACAAAAACAAAAATCTCATAATATTAGTATAACTTTTACTTTTTCCTCAATTGAGATTGTTTTTATTGACATGCTAAAAAGAAATACTCCTCAACGAGCTGTATTATTTAGCATGATTCACCACTTTTTCTTGAACAAAGCTCCAGCATTATTTTTTTGGTGTTTGCTAATTTTTTTTTCTTGAAATTTCAGGCGTTAGTTCTGCTGGCAGTTGCCGCTGTCTCGGCCGTCGAAGTGGAAAAACAGGCCGACGAAAAGGTGGTTGAGAAGCGCGGCGTGTACAGCGGCTATGGTGGCTACGGAGGCCTCGGAGGAATCCGTTCCTATGGCGGCGGATACGGTGGTGGATACGGCGGCGGACTCGGAGGCTACGGCGGTGGTCTCGGAGGCTACGGAGGCGGACTCGGAGGATATGGAGGCGGCCTTGGAGGATACGGCAGTCATGGACTGGGCGGCTATAGCGGTGGATACGGAGGCTACAGGGGCGGCTACGGCGGTCTTGGTGGTCTCGGAGGAAGTTACGGAGGCCTCGGTGGCGGTTATGGAGGTCTTGGAGGCGCCTATGGAGGACTTGGAGGCGGCTATGGAGGCCTCGGTGGAGGATACGGAGGATACAACCGCGGCGGCGTTGGCGGATTCTACGGCTAAGCAGCAACTGCGTTAGTACCTGACAACCACTGTGATCCTCCTCAATGACCCAATAAAATTTAAGAGTATAATTTTGTAGAAAAATGAAAATGACATGGTTTTATTTATTTAAAAAAGAAAAATATATTGATTTCAAAAGAAAAATATGAGTGCATTTTTTATTATTATTAAATATTTTATACAATTTAACCTGATCTGCTTAAAATTGTAAGTAAATTATTTTTGAGCCAAAAACACATTTCAAATTTTTTTTCATTTTTCAATCGCAGGGGCAATAAAATCAAAACAACTTTTCATTTCAAATATTAAGCAAACATATGGAATAATGACATTGATACTACTTACAGCTCAGAGAAATAAGTAAAAGTGAGAACAAAAATGCACTGCGTGTATTTCACAGCGGGAAATTTCCCAAACATTTGACAAGAGCTCTTTATGCATGCGAGTGTGGGAGCCTCCCCGATTAAATTGATCCCAGAGTGCTCTCGACGCGCGTCCTTAATTCAAATAATTCGCCTTCATTCAACATTACTTTCCTTGCGCCATTCATGGCAAGCATTTCACGCAAAAAATAGCTCACATTAGAATAAATTGTCCTCTCTCAAATTATTTATAGTTTCATTGTGCCCACCTTGATTTAGAGACTAGAGAAAATAAGAATTTCATGCATCAAAATGGAAAATAAATAGTAATGCAGCAGTCAATTAAACGGATTTAAGCACAATAATTTATTCCATGCGATAATAGACTTGTCTATTGAAATGTCTCGAAAATTGTGCTCGCTCATTAATATATAGAAAACGGCTGTCTTTGTTTCACGCAAATCACACGAGAACTGCAGAGCTGGTTTTGCATTTTGTTGACACCATTAAATGTTAATATGAACTTACTTGAGATATTATTACTAAAACACTAGCTCGTATCTAATTTAGTTTTTTTTTCTTTTTAATCAAATCACGTTGATATCATAAAGAATGCGAGCAGCAATGTCTATAAAGAAAACCACGACCGTAAAATGTGATAATGCGTCGTAATTGCAGGTGTCGAGATGGAGCCAATTATTCTCTGTTAACACCTTCATTAAATGAACGCCTTATTACTTCATCTTTGTTCCCACCTGGTAAACGTTCTTTTGGAGTAACAATATAGTAATGATTAAATTAGTTAAAAATAATTTTAAAAATATTTCACATTTTAAATAATTTAACAAAAAAATGATGTGGAGAAATAAATAATAAGAATTAAAAGTATACCTTTTAAATAGTTAAAAATTTAATATTTTTAACTTACTTGCATCAGTAAAGACTATTTTTTATTCAGCATTTCAATCAATTTTTAGTATGCACTTAATTTTTTTTACGAATTGAAGTAAGGAAGCTCGATTTCTGCCGCTTTTTCACGGTCGTGAAACTTATTTTTTAATGCCGCGTTGATGCTCGATCGATTTCCTTGAGACAATAATGAGAAAAAGACGAGCTAACCTGACGCGCATAAAACCACACACTTAATTAAGCGCGAAAATTGCCGGCGCGTTTCGTGGTGTGGCGGACAAGGTCGGCAAGGAAAAAGGAGAATTGCATAAATCGTCGCAGGCAAATCAACTCGGCGATATTTTTTCATTTCAAAGAGGAAATTATTAAAAAAAATTTGACTAATTTGTACCAAAACGCAACTAAATGCGTTAACTGGAAGATTATCAAATTCCTTGAAATGAAAGGATTTTATAGCTGCATGCGTGTTTTTATATTGAAGTTTCATGTTGCGGAACTGTGTGTTAAAAGATAATTTACTAAAAACAAAAGCGTTATAACATTGAAACTGATAAGGAATCTTACTGAGGGGAATATTTTAAAAATAACTTCTCGATAATTTGGAATTTACTGTCCCAAATTAAATTGTGAAATCTCCTTGTAAATAAAATCAAATTGATTGAGAAGATTTAGATTTCATTTTTTTAAAATCATAATTGCAATTAAAACTTCCGCCCTTCGTCGTAGCAAGGCAAGCGTGAAAATACTTCTGAGCATTTCTAATTAAGACCAACAAAAACAAACATAATTAAAAATAACACTGATAAAACAAATAATTAGGTTTCCAGCACGGCGTACTGCAGTTGATAATAAAAATAAAGTTTCAAAATAAAATAAAGAACACGCACTGATAGAAAATAAAGGTTCTCATGCATTTGACTCTTTAATTTATTCCTATCTAGACAGAACTCTATTGCTTTTAGCTCAATCATCATGAAGTTTATAAGGCATCTATTAAGTTTTTCAATGCAGTTCATTGGTTTGCCCATTTTTAGATACAACATCCAAAACATACTAAAAAATTGTAAAAAATTTAATACTACAAAACGCGAGGAGTTAAAAACGTATACTTTCTTTTGAAAGATGTTCTCTAAAAAATCTGGATATTTAAATTTTCTAAGTTCCTATATAAATCATTATAATGTTGAAATTTAACTAATTTAAAATTAAAGAGTAAACTTGCTGCCATACCCATAATTTAATCACACGATTAAAACTGAAAGTGATTTGTTTAATTGTTAAAGATTTAAAAAATTTGTCATTTTTTAAAAATTAAAAGACAAAAGAAAATAAAATATTTTAAAAATGGTCTTACCTTAATATTTTCTAAACAAATTTTGGAAAATTTTCAATTTCACAATACATAACAACCTTTTTACATAACAAAATGTTTCAAAATGAAGTCAGAGTGCAACGTCAAAACGTTTTAATTGTAACGAGAGACGCACCCAGCCGCGCAGGAAGCCCCGCAAGACTCGCTGCTTTACATGAGTGAGGAAATTTTGGTGAGGGTCGACATAATCGACGGATTTGCTGCAACTCACCTGAGGTCGTTTTTATGTAAAACAAAAGGAAACGATCATAATTTTGGTGAGTGCTCTGACATAAGTTGGCTTATTCTGTGACGCAATTAAATGAATACCGCGTGTTTGCGTCGCAGTGAAAAGAGACCACCGCAGACGAGAAGAGACAGGGGAAGGGTTGTCGGCCAGCCCTATAAAAGAGGAGCCCTGCACCTCGCAAACCACAACTCGTTGTTCACTGACAACAATCAACTCAACAATGAAGGCTCAGGTATGAGTTTCACTTTCTCATATAACTCTTCTTTCACTGAGTATTTAATTTCATTTCGGCCTCTGGCACTTTCAGTTTCAATTAAATTCAATCTAATTAACTTTTAAAATATTTATAACTTGAATTTTGACAAAAATTACTGGGAGCGAAAGTTAAAAAGTCGAATTTTTTGTTTTCTCACCAAATGATTTGTAGGAAAACCTCAATATCAAATATCTGGTCAAATTAATTTCAGAGATTTTTTAGAAAAAAATATATAAATTTGTCAGAAATATTATTAGATATAATAACATAATACTTTGCAGTTTCTTAATATTTTAACTAATTTCATTTTTTAACAAATTCCGATCATATTTTTCCATTACTATGAAAATTTCGCTCTTCAATCCCAAAATATATTTTTAACAATGATAATTTTTGTTTCTAAACTTCCAAGCTTTGTATCTTTTTCAACCTTTACACTGGTTTAAAATTGCAATTTTTTTGAAGTTATCAGTAATTTTTTGTTTGTTTTATAATTTTTATTATTTTTAAATTATTGATTTCATTTTTCATTAAAACAATTTTTTCATTTGGGTTTTTAGCTCGTTTTCGTCCTGGCCCTGGCCATCGTGGCCGTTGTCTCGGCCGCCACCCCCGAGGCTTCCGCCGACGCCGCTGATTCCAAGACCATCGAAAAGCGCGGCATCGGTTTCGGCCTGCCCTACGGCGGCGGCTACTACGGCGGCTACGGACGCGGTTTGTACGGCGGCTATGGCGGCTATGGAGGTTTCGGCTACGGCGGTCTCGGCTATGGAGGCTACGGATACCCCGGATACTACGGCGGACTTCACCGTGGTTTCGGCTACGGCGGATTCTTCTAAGAAGATCCATCCAGCCTGACCCATGCTCAGCCCCCGGATGTACATAGCAAAGCTAAATCCCGCGAGAATCATCTGTACCTGCTCAAAATCAATAAAAATTACCAAAAATCCACCCTTTGGAAAATAACAACAAATACCTACGCATTTTTCATTTGCATTAATTTACAAGATTTCAACACTGTGCAACCTTATTTATAGGTTAACTTGAATTTTCCAATATCTTTTTATTTCATAAGTAAGAATTCATTAACGTATTTAAACAAATTTGAGTTTTTTTATGCCTCATATTACTTTTAATGTAATTTAAATCCAGATTAAACCAAATTAAAAATACAATGAAGATGAAAATTATTTAATTATAAAATTTTAATATCGTGTAATAAAACAATATTTTAGACAAGCTTTGATTTTTTTTATCTAGGTTTCTTTTGTTTCCATTGTTTCATAATTTCAAATCTCTAAGCCATCAGACTAGTTGTTGGATTTGACTATTTTAAGTAAGATCTGATTTTTTTCTATTTATTTGAACATGCTTATCTTTTATAAAGAAAATTAAAGCTTTGATTTTGTTTTAACTTTAATAATATTTTCAAAATTCAAAATCAGATTATCACCCAAAAAGAATCGCTCAAAAAAATGTAAGTATTTTACTTAATATGGCATAATTTTATATTATTTTGATAACTTTTTTTGACATTAAAATAAAAATATCCTCATCATTTATACAACAAAAAAGGACAAATTGCAAATAATACTAAGCACTAAGTTTTTAAATTGAAAAATAATATTTCCTTGTAGAGTTTTTCTATTTAAGCAATAAAAATGAGTTATTGATTTAATTTTAATTAACAAAAAAAATGGTAATAAAATGTAAAATATCTGGTCCGTTCCACATTGAACTGATCGGTCGATTCATCGGAATTGGCGTCTGAGAAAAATAATAATAGCCAAAGCAATGCAGCCAATACAAAAGCAAGTAAGTTATTTTTCATTCTCCATTGAATAAGCAACCCGCAGAGTTTCACTGCATAGCGTGTTGCTTAGCTAAAAGGCTTCTTTCGCTTATCCTAGTATTTCACTGCAAAACCTGAGCAAACTCAACAGCCTTGAAATGCTACTTCCTAAAACTGAAAAAAATTCTTAACCCCGTCTCTCAATAGTTTACCTCTGAGTGAGTGAGAATTAAAACAAAAAGAATTTAAAGACTTTGAAAATTAAACAGTTTTTAAACAATTTTTCTCTTTTTGGAGTTAATTTTGGATATATGGAGAGGAATTCTATTGCAAAAATGTCCCATTCTTTTTTGATGCTAATTATATAAAACTCATGCACGCATAATTCCAAGCATTTCGCGGTCTATTTTTCACGGATCACACGCGCATCCTTTTCCAACTTTTGTCAGTCAACGCACTTCTCTCTGGCACGATCGGAATTTCACAAACGGATGCATACATATATTTTTATGGCCAGTGAAATACCGCAGCATTTTTATGAAACACGCACAACTCTTTTCCTCCTTTTCAACACATCTTATACAATAATAACAAGACGAAATCCCACAAATCACTCGCAAATAGGTTGGCAAACATAGTGATACTCTGACAATATAAATAAAGTGCTCAAATGGGCAATTTTACTGCTCCGTCAGGCGAAAACTTCCTCTCAGATCACGACCCCAGGCAGAGTAATCCGTTTCCTTGTAATCATTGACACATTCACAGAATACGGAAGATTTTACAAATAAAAATATATGATCATGAATCTCGGTGAATTTGAAAATCTGATTTGGATCTTGCTAAAATTTATTACCTCTGAAAATTTTGATGTTTAATTATAAATTAATTAATTAATGGAATTAAAAAGTAGCGTTTGATTGAGATTTGTAAATGCGTGTCAGAAAATCAATATTAAAAAAGAATCGGTGATTTGAATTTAAAGTCGGCTTTTCCTTGATGGGTTCAAATCACCATGAATCAACCCTCAATCATGAGATTGTAAATACATAAAATAAAATAAAAATTATTTAAAATATAGTAATATAGTAATTGAATATAAAATAACTTTTTAAAAATCATTAAAAACTTGGTAAATAATTTATATTAAAAAATAATAAACAAATTATTTAAATACTATTAATTTATCTTCTAAAGACGGTTTAAAAAATGTATATTGGAAATATATTTTAAATTGTAAATATTAATGTTGTTTAATAACTTAATTGAATAAATTTAGGTATAATAATTGGTGATTTTTTGAATCAAAATTAATAGTTACAAAAAACTTCAAATACTCGTCTTATGCTTTTATAGTATTTGAAGTTAATGTTGTGCGAAAAGTTTTTAGCTGGATTGATGTTCCTAATTAAGGTAATGCGTTAATTACAACCTTCATAATAACTTCAACTTAGAACTGAGGAGCTGCAGCAATTAAAAAAAACTGAGCAATTAACGAGTGGGCCTGGATGCAACTAGTTCGCACGGCTGCATGATAATTTGTTTTTGTTGGTGCCATTTATTTTCTCCGTCCGTTTCGCAACAGAGCCTCGCTGCTCAAAACTAATTCTGTCGTTTTTGCTAATTGATAAAAACTTGAAAAGTTAATTCGGTTAGCAGGGAAAACGTATCTTGCGTTTCGCCATAAATCGAGTGCAAATATTTGCGTTTTCCGCCGCGGAGCAAATGAATTAAATCGTGCCGGCGACCTCTGTTTTGATTTTGTTACGCACGAGCTTTGTTCTTACAGTTTTTCTCGCGGTGCTGGTCGAAGGCCTGCGAGCGACACGCGGCGTGCGGGATATCACGTGTTCGCAGAGCAAAACAAATTAATTTATGGTCCAGCCCTTGGAAGGAAATGGTGAAAAAGAGATCAAACTCACTGCCTTTCTTGATGTCGCCTCTGCTGATTCTTGGCCGGCGCATTATTCTGCACCTGCAAACAGAAAAAAAATTATTACCCGTTTAACGTCGAATAGCGACAAAAATGATACATCGGCATTGTGTTTTAATTGTCGTTAATGAAAGGAATGAACCAATTAAAATTAATTAGAAAGTGGTGCTTTACGCTAAAGACACGCCCTCTCTGATATTTTATGTCAAATCTGATCAATTTTATCTTGTAACATGCAGCACCACAAGAAAATTATGTCATCCCATTTTTAACAAAGAAATTTTTTACTTACAAAAATCAAAACAAACTATTAAAATAGAAATTTGAAGTAATTTGGAATTCATGTTTTTTATATATGCTTGGCTCAAAGTTAATAATTAAAGTTTAAGCATGTTTAATTCCAATGTTGTCTGAAGATTCTCAGTCTGATTTTGTTAATTATTTTCATATAATCAGTTTGAGGTTACAAAATTTCTTTAAATAAAAATATTTTAAAATTTAAAAAAAAAAAACTATAATTAATTTATGATTTTGGGGAAAGAGGCACTCACGATTCATGATTCAATGGGCTGACTGAGATAATGAAAACTGTTTTTTAATTAATAAAATATCAACTTTTTCAACAAGGTAAAGCCTGGTTTATAAAATATAATTTTTAATAAACCACAAATTTAAATTAACTCATTCCAATAAAGTTTTCAAAACAACGAGGATAAAAATATTAATGCCAGGTTGTTTGGCACAATTCCACCAGGTTGCAATACCAACTATCACCCTAATGAATATTGAAATGAGTTAAAGTAAATTGTCTTTCACTAACAGACCACAAATGAAAAGGAGGTGCTGCTCAATAAAATATAGAAGAAATGTGCGTCTGATTCAAACGTGAAATCCGAATGACTGGCAGCTGGAAATGAATATGTTTTTGTGCTTTGCCAACGCACTTTCCCGCGGTTCAAATTTCTAAACGCGGCCAAAGAAATGCATTTTCAAAATACACTTCAATGGAAAATTATTCAACGTTACAAAATGTATCTAAAAAGAAATCCAAAGTATAAGAATTTGATACATTTTTTGTGTGAAAAAAATAGTATATGGCGTCGTACCTACTTTTTGAGCAGACCTTATTTTGAAAAAATTATAATTATATTAAGCACGAGGAGAAGCTTATTATCTATCGAACTGTTGAATACAATATTGGTTTCCAGAAAATTTCGTCAATTGGTTAACGCGTGCTTTATGAAAATTGGAACCGCTCACGTCATGATCGCGCATCAAAAAACATCCTCGTTTATATTTTTTCCTGACCCGGCCGGGCGCCGCTCGTAAAAAAGTAAAGCACGACTTGTGCATTAAATGAAAACGCGTGTGCTTTGATTTTACATTTCGCGGTTACGTCACAAGATGATTTGTTTGCTTCACTTTTTTCCAACGGAGCATCCATCACTTTTTTTCTAATTATTGGCGCATTCATCCATTTTATTAATTGAGTGTCATCTCCTCTCGTCGGAATAGAAAACAATAATTTCATAATATGTATCACCCACAAATTGGCAATTGATTTACGACTCGTTCCAGTTCGGTTTCCTCGTGCTGAGTTTTACGATCGTGAAGTAGCCGTGGCGGAAGGCAAGGCCATGAAAGTTTGGATAAAACAAGGAATCACGACGATTTTCTCGACCATTTTTAATCACGATCTCCTTTTAGCCTTAAACTTTTAATCCGCCTCGCATTGTTTAAAATCAGACAAGTGTGAGATTATCCTTTTGCTCATAAACGAGTGAGATGTGGCAGTAAAATTTAAATTTTGCGCAAATATCAAAATAGGATAGTTAATCATGAGCATAATGTTTATTGAATTCGCACTCTTGAGCAATAAATTTAGTTGCTGGGGAAAAAACGTGCTAGCCAAATAAAATTGAAAAAGAAACGTTATTGAATTAAATAGCTGTGAAATCACGCAAGTAATTTTTGCACCGTTAAACACCTGAAATAATTTAAAAAGAACTGCAATTGATACTGCATTTGTATGGCGTGTGTGTAATTGAGTTGTACAATATGTGAGATATAAAGAAAAGAACAGGAGACAAGAAAATTGAGCCTGCAACGCAATCCTTTTGCAGCTTTTATAGTTGTTGCATTCTCTTCGAAATTCCTTGCAACTCTCTCTAATTACAAGTGAATTTTCTCACCGTTCCCAGCATTCATACATATAGTATTATACAAACAAATCAACTATTAAATTTCCCAGAGCGAAAAGTTGCCGTTTTAACCCATTTTTTGCTTTGGCTAGGGGAAGTAAATTAAGCAACCTTTGAGAGGAGAGAAAAAGTATAAACAAAAATCTGTGTGCTCTTGAAAAAGACAAAAGAAGCGTGTAAGAAGTGGGAAGGAGCTCCCGAAGGTCTGCTCAGGGCGCCACCCTTTCTTTCTCCGGACGAGAGGGGAGGGGACGCGGGGCGACCTGGCCCTTTAAAAGGCGCGCCGCCCGTCGCTAAAGCATCATTGCTCGCTTCAGCACAGCAACAACCACTCATTCACCATGAAATTCCTCGTGAGTTTGATGGTTTTTGGGTCTCAAAAGTTCTAATTGGGATTAACTGTCCTCAGGTTGTTCTCGCCGCCGTCTGCGCCGTCGCCCTCGCTGCCGAGGAGCAGGTTAAGGAGAAGCGCGGAGCCCTGGGACTCGGCTATGGCGCCTACCCCTACAGCTCATACGGTGCCTACGGCGCCTACCCCTACGCCGCCGCCCCCGCAGCCTATGGCGCCTATGCCGCCCCCGTCGCCAAGGTCTGTTCAAAATTTCAGTTATATTCAAACAGTCAATTATTTTTTTTTTATATTTTTTTTTTAAATGTTTTCTTTTTGGGTATTAAAATTTTTATTGCAAGATGTCGACTCAAAATTAAAAATTCTAACGAGAAAAACTTTTGAAAATAAATTCATTTTCCAACCTTAGTAAAAAATATAATTTTTTTTTCAGAATATTCAAAAATTTTTATAATTCATTACTTTTTCTCCTTTGTCAGGTCGCTTATGGAGGCTACGGCTATGCCGCCCCCGCTCTGGCCGCCCCCGCCATCGCTAAGGTCGGCTACACTGGCTACGCCGGCTACGCTGCCCCCGCCGCCTACGGCTACGCTTCTCCCTACGCCGGTCTGGGCTACGCCGCCCCCGCTGTTGCCAAGCTCGGCTACTCCGGATACGCCGCCGCTCCCCTGGCCGCTTACCACCACGGTCTCTACTAACTAAGTAAAGAGCCAGCACAAATCATCGCCATTCCATCTCATGACGCCAAATCAAGAGTGTTGTAATTTAATTTATTATGATACTTCTGTCTGGTTTTTACTTTTGTGAATAAACGACATCTCGCTCATTAACTTAAACATTTTGTGTTTCATCTGGCAGCAGAAAAAAAGATTTACACCCTTTTTCTCTGAAATTAAGTTTCTATTGCTCAACGAATAGTGAATTAAATATAAGATCGAGGGCAGAGGCCAATCTAATTGCGCGGCTCCGTAACGCAAATTAGTGCATAGCTGCCTATTGTAACGGACGAACTCCGCCCCGGGTAAGCTGTATTTTTATTGAGGCGCGCATGCATGCAGGAACAATGAACGCAATTATGCAATTGAATGGAGGCACGCGCAAGTCATGGGAAAAATTTGCAGCACTCGGGAAATAATCGTCCTCGTCCTCTTAAAAGATCACGTTTGTTCAACGTAAACAGCAAAGGGAGGGAAAATCAACAAAAACAATCGATATGATATGTTTTTTATTTTCTTTTTCGAAGTTTTATATTCAAAATCATTGCAGGATCTTTTAAACAATATGTGAAACAGCAATATTAGTAAAATTAATGCAAACATTAATAGCAAAAAATAAGACTTCAATTTTATTTTATTAAATTCTCTATTTTAAAATATTTTTATAATTATTCTAAGCATACAGAAGAAAATAAGGATTTTTTTAGTGTATTTGATTTTAGTAATTTTTATTAACTTTTAAAATGTTTAATTGCCCCCATTATTTGCTATGTTTATTTTTTTATTATATTTAAACACAACATTTTTTTTTTATTAATTTCATTTCTTTCCACAACATGAAATTAATTAATTTAGGCAATGATACAAATAAAATAGCCCTTAATTTATAAAATGTTAAAACTTATCTTTTATGATTTGTGAATTCTTGAATTTTAATTTTTCTCTCTTGCTTGATTTGAGATTTTTTTGGTTTTATTGGTATAGGCAGAGATTTTTTTATTAAATGTCTATAAACTTATTTTTGAAACTAGAATTATGGGCCAAAATATTGTTGAATAAAAATAAACAATGCTTTGGGGTCCAAAACGCTATTTTAATATAAAATTATATATCATTTGAGTTAATGCTCACAGACGTAAAGTTTACAATTTTTTTTAAACAAGCTGCCTCTATGTGTACGATTGCGAAATAAGTTTAAATTATGTAATTGAGAATGTTGTACACTCATATGTCTTTAATTGTTCAAGCATGCATTTTATATTTTATTGGACCAAAAGATAAATTATAGATTCGAGATAAATGCTTGCTTATTGGCGATTGCGTCAAAACTCGCGCGGGCCGAAAGGATGCGGGCTTCTGGATTTTGTAAAAATGATATTCAAATGTGTATCGCCGCATGTCGCAAGAGCCGCGTTTTAGCGATAAGCTTTTATCCTCTTGCACGGACGTGCATCCGTTACAAGAAGGCGCTAGAAACGTTTTATGGCCCGAAAACTTAACACACATACCTCCTATTACAAGATAAAAAATCACGCGCTCTTCTCTCGAGACGAGCACGTGCGAGCGATATTATAATATCACGCGAAGAAAGAAAGCGATGAGGGTCTATTTTTTATTATTCAATCAATTAACATTGAACGTTAGGCAATCAAGGTATACCACCTTTATAAATCGACTCTTTTAGAGTTTTTAATTAAAAATAAGTGCATTATTAGGGAGATGTGTAATCTGCTGTGAAATAAGCAGGAAAAGGTGAGTTTTCGACGTTGGTCTCGCAATTGGAGGCGATTTTCCGCTCCACTGATTTCGTCCATTGGGAAAGATGGATCGAGAGATGCACTTTGTGTCTTATTTGATGCAAGTCGTTAAAATTTATTTCTAGGGCGTCGACACATAAATGGCGAGGAGAGAGAAATGATTATTTCATCATGAGGAAAGATTACATTTTGTAAACATTTTAGTATATAAGAAAAAATCGAAAATTCGCAGTAGGTGTTAATAATCAGAACGCAGAACGCACCAGAGATATTATCATATTATCTTGGAGTTGTGTTGTGGACAAAACGCAAGCTGACTAACAACTTAGACAAAAATTCATTTTACAAATCCCAACTTTCAAGTTGCTTTATGACCAGGAAATATAGTCAAGAAAAGCTAGCTAATTGCAAGATGAGCATAAAAATTTAGAATTCGCATTTATTGAGCTCATGTCCATCAATATTATATATTATTATAAACAGTATAATTCAAATTTTGAGAAAACTTTTAAATAATTTAAACAATAGAAAATGACATTAAGAAATTTTTACAGTAAACAATCAAATATAAACTAATTAAAAAATAACTGGAAGTGGCGACAACAATAGCGAGGATATATAAAACTTACTTCTTAATATGAAAAAGTAATTAGTGTTTTACCACGTTGTACGATAAATTACTTTAGTTTTAAATAGTTTTTATATTACATCTAACTGGGGGCTACGTTTATTTTAATTTATATTATATTAATTAATTTGATTATTAACAAAAAGAGTTAAAGATAAAATAAAAAATAAATATGTATTATATTAAAAAATTAATCATATAATGGTTAAGAATTTAAAAGAATTAGTTAAATAAAAGTTAAATGATTTTTAATTCTAGTTTTAACTTACTATAAGCTGCTTCTTGCCAACAACGTTCTTGTGTTTTTTTTTTTTTCATTTGATTTGGATCTATTTAAAAACGGGCACACAATGGATTCAGAGAGGAGACCAAATCAGGAATCGTGTGCATGAATTGGATGTAATAAATAAATAATAAGCAGCGCGCGCTGCTGGAACAATGGGAGATCTCGTTTTGTTCGCACAGTGGCAATCTATGCACTTGTGCAGCGGCTTTTGTTCTCGCAGCTGCATTTTCAGTCCAATTAGCTTGGCAGTGAAAGTGATACCGCAAGTCAACACGAAGAGCGGGCCTGTTAATTAATGGACCATATTACAGCTTCATTACATAAGCATTAAATTCTAATAAAACGAGACGTGTGTGTTTGTCACTGTGGGAAAATTAACATTTACAAGGATTTTGGAGAGTTGCTGCTATTTGGATTTAAAAAAAAAAAAAATTAAAGTAGTGAAATGGGATTAGACTGCCCGTCGCGCTATTGGCCTTCAGAGTCGAGTGAATTCGCGGCTCTTCACGCCACAATAAGTGCTGAAATTAATCTCGCCTCTCGGGCGGCAACTATTTAAGTATCCTGTTCATGTCCGAGAAAAATTCGTTTTCTTTTCACGAAAAGAAGATTAATTGAGTTGCGTTGTAGCGACTTGTCGCATGTTTAAAAAGAAGGAAACGAAAAATATATAGGAAGTGACAATTAATAAGTGAGAAGAGGAGCTAATTGCTGAAGGAAGAAGCTGCAGTTTTTAATCTTTCTCATGCACTTTTCTTTCGCCCTCGCGAGCTTAATTATCAACTGTAACCATTGCCATTATCTTCTATGGCGCGGCCTTCCCAAAATAAACAAAACGCGAGGCCGAAACTCATCATTAAAAAAAATTATGTGTGCTTGCCTATTAATGCCATTATAAAAGTCAAAGTTGATCGCGTGATGATGGATGTGAGAAAAATGTAAATTTTTATACGCAGGTCTTTCGGCACCCAATCAATTTCAATTTCGTGCTCATCTTTTAATAGGTTTCGCAGAAATGCCACGTCGGAATAGAATTAAAATTAACTACAATAATTATCTAACCGTGATAATTGCAAAGTTGCTAATCTATTTCTACGAAATTTGGTCTTCCTCAATCTAAAAAAATTTTTTTTTTGTAGAATTGAAACTCAGCTATTCCTAGAGTTCTATTAGATTCCATTATCTAATTCTTGTTCTAAATTTTTCCATTATTCACGTGCGTTGCAATTGATTGGTCAAGATATATGGTAAAGTGGTTTTATTTTAACAATTTTTCAAAAAATAATAATAATAGCAACAAATAAAAATTAATTTAAAACAAAAGCTGATGCCAAATTAGCAAATGGCGTTTATTGACTTTTATTATGTTATAAAAAAGCAGTCAAAATTAAAATCTTTTTTATGTGCGGTCAAGAGTTGACTAAAATTATTTTTGATTGATAGAGTCCAATTATATCAAGTTCTGAAATGAAATATGAATTTGTGATTGCAACTCACTGCTAAAACTTGTATAGCATTATTTTTTTTCTTTTCCTGTTTGGAAACACCAGCCAGACAAGCACAATAAAATATCATACAACTTCTTCGAGAAATTTCCGAGTTTCAATTAAAAAAACTCGGATGCCGCACTGGAATAATAAATGTATATTATGAAACAAATTTTTAAAGCTCATAATAAAAAATGAGCTTATTTCTCCATATTTAAATTTCCACCTTTTTTCAATTCCTAGCATGAAAGAAATTAGCTTTCTTTGCGCTAATTCAATTAAACCTTTCATCCACTTTTCCCCTGAAGCATGATTTTGGCACCAACTCAACTCCATTTCTCCGCGTTGATACTGTAGAAATTGAAGCATCACGATTTCGCACTTAATTCGCACACTTTGGCTGAATGACAATCGAATCTTCATCGCTCTGGTTGGACACCTGCCAAACTCCTTTATCTCTTCTTTTATACTTCCTTTGATGTCCCACCAGCTTGATTGGTTGTCACAATAATTTATTTTTACCTCCTATATAAATCTAAAACAAGATTTAACAAAAAAAAAACTCCCTTCATTTTTTTTAAAGAGAGCGTTGAAATAATTATCGTCTCCAAAATATCAAGGCTACCGACACAGGGAATCTGAGACGCGTCTGCGAAAATTTATTTTTCCACCAGCAGCCCCGTCACCTGAGAAAAATTAGTATCTGTAATCCGAGATAAATTGCGAGCGATCACATAAATTCCACACAAAAATTTTGTCCCTGGTAATCCTTGAGACACTTAAATTATTGCAAATTCCTTCTCAAACGCGGAACAATAAAAAAGATTGAAATAAATTTTGCGTGACTCTCAAGGCTGGTCGCAATGTTTGCGCTCGCAATTTATTATTTTTTTCTAGAGATAATTGCAGGTCTGCGCTGCAAAAAGTAAATTTTCGCAGCATTCCTCGCGATCATAATCAAATGAGCAAAAAATTGGCCAAAGTAATAAACGTCTTCTCTGCAGGAGCAAAGATTGAACAGAAGATTGAAACTATAAAGTCATTGAGTTGTATTGTTAGTGTCACTCAACGACAAATCAATTACATACACGCAGGCCACGCAGCTCGCGCGTTAATTAGCAGAAATCAATAAAGGTGATCACAAAACTGGTTGCGCAAGTGAAGGAAACAATTAATGCCATCGCTGCAATTAATTACATTATTTTAAACGACGAGACTTGAACATGCCGCAGGCCAAAACATATCAAACCACCTTTCATTTTATCAACGCCTCAATTTTTTTAAGATTTCTTTTAAAGTAAAATAAATTTATTAGTTATCAATCACTTCCAATAAAAAAAATTAAATTATTTTCAATATAATACTTAAAATTATCATCAAATTCATTGGAAATAAGAAATAATTAAATAAAAATAAGTGATTAAATTTAACTAATATTTGTTTTAAATAATGTTAAATTTGCTTATTGCCAACATCAATTTTTTTTTCATTCAGTATTTTATTGTATGTACTAAGAAATGTTTCCAGAAGTCGAAGTCGAACGCAATAGAAATTTTCGCCGTTGGCCACGTTTTCATTTGAAAATTTTTTGCGATTAACCGCCTCGCTCTGTCAATAAATTACAAATCTGCATCGCCCATTCATTAAGACGGTCTCGCCTTAATTTTTATGCAGATCTGATTTCGCCTTCTGTCTATAATGTTACATCAGAGAACGGTCTTATTTATTATTTACGGCCGCGCGGAACCGCTTCTCGCCAAATATGTGCGACGTTGACGATCACAGGAAATAAACACTCTGGCAAACATTGGAACTAGTTTTGATGTCTGTGTGGCAATTCGGAAAACCCGTTTGACGCTCGGACGTACTTCAAAAATTCATTCTTATTGTACAACTGTTGCCCTATTTGCTAAAATTAAACCCGCGCAAACTAACTGTTCTCGAAGGTTTTGAAGTTTTTAAATTTAAATAACGTTGATAATTAAACTGAGAAACCTTATTCTAAAAGTGTATCGATCCTTTGGCCTTTTTGTGACATTTCTTGTATCGTATTTTTCAACAAAATGAATTAATAAGGAAAGATATGATGATTTAAATAGAAATTGATACATTTAATATAATTTCAATAAATGTCGATTGCGATACCTATTCTTATGATTTAAACAGTTGTTTTGTGTCTTTAATATCATGATATTTTATAATTTTAGGTCTTATAGAATATAATTGGCACACATTATTTAATCACCTCTTTAAAGTTTATGTTGCAGATCATTGAACTATTATTGCAACTGAAAATAAATAATTAAAAACAATAAGATATTTCCCAAAGTTTTCAACATTTTTGTATGTGCACACTTTTAATTTTTAAAGCATCTGCTTCTCAGAATCGCACCCACAATTAATAAACAATGTGTTAAAAGCCTTGTTAAATTTTACACACATTGAGCACAACCTACGCAACGGTCAGACCCGCGAGGAATTTATTGAGCCCTAAAACGAATAGCACGCGGACATCGAGTGTCATTTTAATGGTTTTATTTTACAACAAAGGGATCGAAGCGAGACCATAAAAGCAACGCACGCACTTTTGCTTTTGCCGCTGAAATGATTTATAGTCGCGCGCGACGTCAAATAAAATAATCCAGTTAACCACATTATACAATTTGCTCGCAGCTGCGGGAAGAGAAACTACTTCAGCCAACATCTCCGCGGCGACGATAAAATAAATGCTAACATTGTCTGTCTGCGTGCATTTGTGTTTGAAAGAAATATGAAAGCTGCCCAAGAAACTATGTGTGTCCTGCAAAAGTGGGCGAATTTTCGCGATTGCAATCTTCGAAAACAAATCAATCACTTTTGGATGTTTGGAAGAGTTTCGAGAGAGAAAAGAAATTGGCTCAGGAGCTATCCCAATCTGGACCGGTGCTAACTAAATGCAAGTCACGATTAGCGAGGCAGCAACATAAAATGCAAAATCAATTGTTGGCGCACAGAAGCGTGCATTTTTAAAGATGCAAACGAGCGCTTCGATTCTGCTAGAAAATTTCTTCTTCGGCATCCGAAACGTTTTGTTTTAGGACTCTCGTATTGTTTCGCAAACGGCCATAACTCTGCAGCGTGCGCCGCGCAATAATAAAAATTTGTTCCACCTGTCTCGGCTAGAGTGCAATTTTTCTTTTTTCCAGCACGAATTCCTCGAGGCCCAAACAAATTATAGACAAATGACCCAGGTGACAAGCGAATTTTATACGCGAATTTCTGCAATTGGTCGTTGTTAATTGTTGCAAAATTTGCTCCAATATGTGCGTGAAACAAAGCTGAGAGTTGCATCAGGATAGTTAAGACGTATTATCTGTGCAATAGAGACAAAACAGGAATAACTGACAAATAAAAATAAATAAAAAATACTTTCAACTCAAAACTGAGTAAAGCTATATTTTTTTTAGCTTATAACAATTAAAAAAAGCATGAAGCATCTTTATACCTCATTTAAAAATTTTGTTTTGCCATTTTCTGAATATTTAGAAACTAAATTATTTAAGACTTCACGATTACAATTATTTTATTTTTTATTTCAAAAAGGATTAATTACTTTTCCTATGAGGTTGTTAATGTTTTTTTTTTATTTTTTTTTTTTAATATTTTTGCTGTTGAGAGTTACGTCATCAGATCAATTGTGAGACGAAAGTGACTAAGTAAGTCTCAATTTCTATAAATCGACAAACAGCCTACTTGCATCTTGATTGAATGCACGCGAGATACAAAAAATTTCATGAAGTGTATTACTTTCTCGAGCAAGATCCAATTACCAGGCCAGCTGAGAATTGTTATCTAACAGCAAAAAGAGACAAAACAAGAACTAGCCGGTCTCGTCATCAGCTTCAATAAAAGTAAAATCTGCTTTTCGTGCGGCCAGGGTGGGGTGGGAGTGGCACCTTCCGCCAGGTCGCCGGCATGCTCTCTGGGAGGAGGCCGCTCAGGGCCGCCCTGCGAGTGGGGTGTCCCGCCAACTATATAAGCTGGTCGGCCGCCTAGCAAAGGCACAGCTGAACCCACAGCCGCAAATACAACAAACAATCAACATGAAGTTCCAGGTAAGGTCGATTTCTTCTGATATATTTTACTTTTCTAGACTCCCAATAGATTCGAATCTGTTCTCCAAAGGATTAAAACTTGTGGTCCCAATTCAATAGCTTGGCTTTTTTTAGTTTCAAATTCCAGTAAAGTAATAAGTTTTAATAAATTTTCCAAACTTTTTAATTTAAAATTTTATTGTTAATTTGATTTTGTCTTCTTAGGTTTGCATTGTTCTGGCCCTCGCCGCCATCGCCTTCGCTGAGGAGAAGGAAGAGACCAAGGAGAAGCGCGGAGTGATCGCCTCCACCTACGCCGCCCCCGCCTACGGTTATGCCGCCCCCGCCGCCTACGGATACGCCGCCCCCGCCTACAGCAGCTACGCCGCTCCCGCTTACTCTGCGTACGCCGCCCCTGCCTACGCCGGATATGCCGCCCCCGCTTACACCGCCTACGCCGCCCCCGCCGTGGCTAAGGTCGCTGCCCCCGTCGCCGCCTATGCCGCCCCCGCCTACACCTCGTACGCTGCCCCCGCTTACTCCGCGTACGCTGCCCCCGCTGCCTACGGCTATGCCGCCCCCGCCTACGGCTACGCTGCCCCCGCCGTCGCTAAGGTCGCCGCCCCCGTCGCCTATGCTGCCCACGGCGCCTACGCCGCCCCCGCCTACGCCAGCCCCCTGGCCTACGGACGCGTCTACTAAGAACTCCAACCACGACTGACTCACCCCCAATCACCCCTCGTCGAGTAACCATTGCTTCATCCCCCATTGTTGCGATCTTGTTTTGAAAGAAGAAAATGCGTGCCTGCAATTTTTGCAACATATCATCTTTTGCAAAATTTTTGCAGAGTGCCGACGATGTAAATCAAAGAAATGTTAATGCCAACTGCTGGAATAAATGACAACACACTGTTCCATGAAATATATTTGTCTTTAAATCAATTCTCAGATGAAAACCCTTTGAAGATTTTATTCTAGTTTTATAAAATCATCTAGGTGGTTTGAGCACGGAAGCAATAATTAATATTAATGAATTTAAATTTCTACTTTTTAATAATTTATCTTCAGGCAACACAAAACAACGCATTGACTTATTTTCATGAATTTACTTTTGAGTATTTAAAGTTCAAAAATATTTTGTTTCCGTGCAAGGAAATTTTACTTTGATAGTATAATTTGTTAAAAAAATATTTTTCAAAATGGTTGAAATATTTTATATATTCTAAAAAATTTCAATTCAATTAGAGCCCAACACATATTGCAAGTGACCCTAACATCCAGAGTTAAATTTCAGATTTCTCAATGGTTTCTCAAGTTATAAGTAAACCTAAAATGTCGAATTATTGAATTTTCCTATACATTTATCTAAAATAAATATACTGAAAATCGCCACTGATGGTCAAAATTTGAAGAAAGATCATTTTTGCTGTTATATGCTCAAGTAAATTTTTTTTGTTTAATTGCATTTTTTAGTGCAACATCCAATATCAAAAACCAATTTCTTTTCAATTTAAATTTAATTTCTATAAAACCAAACTAATAAATCCAAGTCTTATGGAATCATAATGGTCTGGCTTTAAAACTAGTTTGGCTTTGTCCTTTCACTATTTCTAAAATCTCACATCTTTGTTTCCGTAATACCCAAGTAATTATAAGTGTTACGTGACAATTTTTCATGCGTGAGACTTTTCACTCGCGTCCTTGTTCATGTAATTTGGACAGAACCTCGTGTCAAGGCTTATTTAAAAAGACAATAAGAATATAATAATTACTATTTGAATAATTCAAATGAATTTCCTGGTCCAAACTTTGTCGTTCTACTTGAGACTAGACGGGCATGAAAAAATGCTATATAGAAAAAATATAGTCCCTTCGGCTATTGGAAACTTTATTATTAAAATTTAAAGACAGTCATCCGGTGCGTCTAGAACACTGCACGTGAGGCAACATCTGAAACCGGCAGATTGTAATTCACCGTATAGTGAGTCACGCTTGTGTGGAAAAGTGGTCGCGTCTCTCTGCTGCTCTGGATTATTTCTGCGTGATCGTTGGGCGCGACCGAAAAAACGCACGAGCAAAAACACTTTCGTCCACGGATCACGTGCAGCACAGGCGTTAGTTTCCACCGCCCACTTTTTGAAACCGAAACCCGTCCCTTGCTCCCGGGAAAAATACAATAAAATAATTACACACACACACACAAATGCTAATTACGCAGGGGCAGCCAATAAACTTTAATGACGTAATTGCACTCGCGCGGCCCGACTTCAAATAATAGCTTTCTTTATTTCTTTTTGAACACCTTTCTTGACACATACCGGTTTGCTTTGCAGTGACACACGCACCAGAGCTAGTGAGAGATTCAAAAATCGCAGATCACGACTCGCTGATAAAGAGAGTGCTTTTTCGCATCTGCACGGTGTGCGAGATTTCTCTCTCCTGCGCCGTCCAGTTGTTTGATTAAAATTCTATTTGATTTAACTCCCTTCTGGTAATGCAGCTGCACCGCGTATTGAACTGAATTTCACATCTCGATCCGCGGCAGACAAATAAATTTCTCGTTTTTCTTCTTTGGCGATCGAACACGCCTCCAATTGCTGGGCTTGCGGGCGACTCTGATTTATGGCGAGGCTCGCTCCGATTGTCCTGTCGATTGGCCGATTTATTTAATGCGCAACGGTTTCAAAATTAAAATTCATGTGCTGCGCATACAAGGTCTATAAAATTGCTCTCCAAGTAAGTTTACAAGAGCGAAATAATTAAATCAGAAATTAATGCAGAAAAGAGTCAGCTTCGTTTGATCTTCTAATTTTTAGCCCTACATTTGCAGTGAATGTGCGTAACTATATAATAAGCTTGTGCAATTTGTATTTCGTTTTCAGAAAAGTATCGAGTTACCGAAAGATTATTTTATGTTGCTCTCGTGTCTAAAGAAAACAAGGCGCAAGTTGAGCTTTCATTGCAAAATTAGCATCTCTCTCTCACTCTTGGTATTGGTCGTTGCCTCAGCCGCGGCCATAAACCATGCACTAAAATGTGGCACTACATCTCATTACACTAGACGTGCATTTACATTCGAAAAGCGCCATAGCCGATTTTATTCCTTTATTTATGGCCTTTCGAAAACGCGCCACACGATCTCTTTCCAAATCTCGCGTTTCGTACGCAAATCTAGTTGCGATCGCAATTTATGAGAAAACTTTTATCTGTTTGTTCTTCGCTGAACGCAGACGTCGGCGTTTGAATCAACTGAGCGGAAACTGACCTGCCTCTCAACCGCAAAACAATCGAGCTAGCCTAACAGATGGATGACGGGAAGTTTCTTGACCCCGGGGCGTGTGAGAAATAAACCAGTTGTCAATTCGATTTCATTTTCAAATAGAGCAGTATTTGTTATCTGCAATTTTTCAATTTCCATTTGCATAAGTGGCGTGTGTAAGCCTTTCATAGTGCAATCTTCCTAAGCTGATTTACATTATTTGTATATATTGCCAACACTTGGGCAGGAAGAAATTTCTCTTTTGCGTAAGAGTCGTTTATGAATAGTCAACTGCACAACAATTCAATTTAATAAATATCAAATTTTAATATTTTTAAGATGAAGAAAAAACATCATTTTTGGTGTGCGGGCTTTAATTTGTGGTTTAATCTCTTAAATCCCCTTAAAATAAAAACAAAAAAGATGAATCTTGATTTATATTTATTTCATGCAATGACCGGTACTGACACGGTAAAAGACAAAGTCCGTGTTTGGCAAAAGCATTCAATAGATGGCAAAGTATCAAAACTTATGTCGTGTTAGCGAAAGCTTCCTTTTTGCGCATTGATATATAGGAGGGGCGCTTCTTTATAAATAAAAGTCACCGACTTGCGGAAACTATTAAGGTGACCAGGCCTAGCCTTCCACTTGGTAACATCTACCATGACAAGCTTGGTGAGCTAATTCAATATTAAAGTGAATTTTTCAATTTTTAAATCATCTTTTTTATAGCGTACTTTGTTGTTTCTTGCGGCCGTTTGTGTCTCTGCGGCGGAGGTCGGCAGGGAAAAGAGAGGTCTCGCTTTGCACCCCCTTTTCGCCAACTACCCTTTACCCCTGACTGCCTATTCACCCTTTGCACCCTTCCCCTATTCATATCACCCTCGACCTGCCTACCACCAACCCCTCCCTTTCGCTCCTGTGCCCGTCCCGCAGCCCTACACAATTAGTCCTGGACTGGAAGGAATCACCAAAGCTATATATTAAAATTTGTGGAAAAAATTACGTCATCACAAATAGAATTCCAAATTATGTGTTCATTTTATCGTGATTAAAAATTGAGATTGTTAAAAAAATTTGCACTGATTTCATTTTTTTTTTAAAGAAGTATAAGAAGTGACATAAATAAATTTTATTTTAAACACGTTGATGGACGCTGCCGATAGGATTTCATGTATGCAACCAGCGCCGCGTGAAAGTTAGACAAGTTGCATATCTGTTAGACACAAAGTCCGTCTTGGTGTTATACAAAAAATGTTTTCACTGCTCATGAATTATGGGTGCAACAAGCAGCAGAAACATGTAGAGCAGGATTTTGTTTTATCTTTTTAAGCGACTCACAAACCCTTCGAGGTAAAGTCGATTTTAAATTCAAATCACCATAAAAAAAATTATCCGCGATTTCAATTTTTAGTTCAAAAATAAAAATTGGCCTAATTTTAGTGATCGTAATCGTACATTAATTTAACATAAAAGAATGTTTTTGATAAGCAAATTTCCCTTGGGAAAACGCATGATTTTAACTTAAAATCAGATGATAGATGTACAAATCCATAATTAAACTTTGTTCAAAGTATTTCAAGTCTATTGTTTTTCTCTAGTTTCTTTAGCTAGCTTTAAATTTGGCAGTTGAAACGACACTGATTGAATAATTAAAAGCATTTGATTTGAATAATGAAGAATATTTATCCAATAATGTAATAACGTTTTATTATTAAAAGTGAGATTTGCTGCTATATACCTTGTAATTCCAATAATACATTAATATATTTATTCAATATATTTTATGTTTAAAAGAAGGAATTCACGATTCATTCATGAACGGAAAATAATTTAAATTTTTAGTCTTTCCTTAGTTTCCTTAAATAAATTTTAGGATTTTTTCAATAGAAAAACTATATTCTGCTCTGAATTTTTTATTCTAACTTCTATTACCATTAAATTGGTTGTTATTAATTGATTTTTGTCTGTCTGGAAGAAAATAAGATAAGTATGTAATTTTTTCACAAATTGATTCAAATTTAGCTTAATTAAAAATTAAAAAATAATTACAAAGATTATTTTTAACTTATAATCGTTTTTTTTTACAAAAACTAAATATTGTTTTTACCAATTTTTTAAGGGTTAAGCGAAAGATACTATCTTTAATTGTATTAATTTCAGTATTTAGTGCTTCAATTTTTTTTAACTTAAACATTGTTTTTTACACAAACATAAATACATAATCGTGCGTTGAACAATTTTTACTCCCTCATAACAGCTAAAATTAGTAATTTATCAATGCCACCGGCCACTACTAGAATGTGTTGTAATTTTAATATAATTTAATTTAAATATTATAAAAGCATTATATAAATACATGAAATATCAAAATAAGGAATAATAAGGTATAATAATGGAATCAGAATTTGTCGACCAAACTGCACGTCAAGAACGTCCACTACATTAAGAAACCCGTAAAAAAAACTTTGAAGTATATTTTACTCATTACAATTAGCTTTATGTTCAAGAAATTGAAATATGGAAATATAAATGTTACGCCGCGTGTCTAATTGGACTTGAGCAGCAGCGCAACGCTCGCAGCGATGCGGTTCTTTAAGCTTCTTGTAGATTAAAAAAAACACTGTGTCCTGGGAGGGCAGACAAAAATTTTATCAAAGCTTGATGGGTCAACCTGACAGCGATCAACCGATCATTTCAAAAAAGTTTGATCCACCACCAGCGAAAGCCCAATTGGAGCTCCAATAAATTGATTATCCAGACCTTTCATGTACCGTGCTGGACGGCATGATGTCAACAGGGCACCGGAGGAAAATTTTGAACGTTTTGTTTCCTACTTCTGAAGACAATAACCTTATGTTGATTGGTCACCGCTAAAGAAAGATAAAAAAATACCCAATGCTTTAATTTATTGTATATAAATTGGTTTCAAAAATAGAAATGAAAAACTAAAAAATAAATCATTATTATTTGTGTATTACTAAGTAGCAATTATTCAAAAATTTTAATTGTTAAACCTAGATTTGATTGTAATGATAAATTGATTAGTACAATATAATAAGTAATAAGCAATATATTATTAAGAAAAAATGACGTGCACAAATAATTGTGAGTCAAATATAGCACTTATTCCCACAGTCTAGCTCCAAATGTAAAAAGGCGTAATGCATTTATTGCAGCTTATTATGTGAGCTGGCTCGCTGACCTTTGCGGGAAGTGCGACGGCGGTGGCGTTTCATAATAGAAATAATTGCACTCATCTCGGAGCCACTTTTCCCAAAGAAGCAATTATAACAATGAGTCGTCGCGTTTTCTGGAAGGTCGCTGCTGCTTCATACAAAGCGATGAAACATCTTCATTGTCAGTTGTATGTTGAGAGGAAGGGTTTCTCTAGTTTTAATACCCTCTGTGAACATTAACTCAGAAAAAAGGACGTGCGTCAGAAATAATCATCAGCAAGCTTTTAATTTTTATATTAATGAAAGCGTATAATTAAAATTTTAAAAGTTTGAATCGCATTGATAGAATTGATTTTGTTGCACCGTTTTGCTTTAATTTTTATTTTTCTAAAAAAAGATTTATATAATAGATAATAGGCAAAAATTAAAAATTGAACCAAATTTAAAGAAAATAAATAGGCTGTTATGTTTTATTGAATTTTTTACTAATTAATAAATTTTTAATGTTTTGTAAATATAAACAAAGCATAAATTTAAAAAACATTTGTTTTTGTTCAATTTTTTCTAAAATAAAATAATCATTTTTTTGTTTACGATCATTTTATAATTTTTTAATGTTTCTATGATTTAATTTATTTAATTTTTTAATTTAACTAATTGAGAATAAAATGCTTATTAATAAAAACCCAACACATTTTTTTTTATAAAAAAGTGACATGTTTATTAAAAAAAAATGTCTAACTGCTATTTTTTTTTATATAAAACTAATTGTAAGGTTATATACATTTTAAAGTACCTTCTTCGCTTACCTATTTCTGTTGGGAAACTTCACAAATATATTATTCATAGGAACTCGAAATGAGGAAATGGACATAATCATTAAATTTACAATGCAAAGTGACGCAAACTTGTGTATTTATTTCTCTTCCAGTGCGCTTTACAAGAAAATAAATGCAGAAGATATTTTGCAAGCGAGCGAACAAAAGCGATGGGTGCGATACGCGATTATTAAAAGTCGCTCGAGCACACATGCAGAAGACAATGTGCTCTTTTATTTTATATCAGTTTCATTTGCTGCTAGGGATAATTGCACCGTCCTTGCGCGTTTGTTTTTTTTTTTCTTTTAAAATGTCAACCGAGGCACAACGAGCAGAACGAGATGAGAATAGGAAGTAAGGCGCGTGCACACGCGCCTTTGTTCTCCAAAAGGCGAATGATCGCCAAAATCTCGCAAAAGTGTCGCCGTCGCGGCCAATTATTCTCATCTTCGCACCCCACTTTTTGGAACTCGCAAAAGGCACAAGGTCAAACCGAGACAATCGCATAAAAAAACACGTCATTTTCCTAAAAATGTATGCAATAAAAAAAACTAGTTAAGGTACCATTGAACTCACCAAGCGAAAATAATAGAGATTTTGTGGTAAATGACGAAATTTTTCTACTAAATACAAAGGAAACTGGCTGAGAAAATTGTTGGTTTATTACTTAATTTCAGGTTCAGGGTTAATTTCTGGCAGATATTTGTGTAAAGAATATTTATGATGTTTTATATAAAATACTTAGTAATAAGCCTGATTAAAAAAAAACTGGATTCTTCACGAATAGAAAGACGATCAAAAGCAGAATATGCAGCAGTTAATAATATAATAAAATAATATGTATATTATTTGTTCTTGAGTTTTTGCGACATAAACTTTTGAAATTTTTAACAATCATGCAATGGTAACTGAATATAAGTTTTTACTTATTTTAGATAAAATACAGTTAAATAGATTTAGTTTTTAAGCTCATGAATTATGGCAGACCACATCCAAAACATGTAGGGCAGTGTATATTGTATTTCCTATGAAAAAATAAAATTACTCTAAAACCCATCAAGGAAATTTCGTCTTAAAATCAATCACAGCAAATATAAGCTGGAGGATTAATTAAAGAAAATAGAATAGCCATAGAGGATTTATTAATTTACTTAAAAGAAATAAGAAAACACGTAAAAAAAATAGAATTTTTTGTTATATTTCAATTTTATGAAATTAAATGCAACTTAATTAATGCAATTTACTCTTTAATTAAAAAAAATAAAGTTTTTAATGTTGAAAAAATGTTTGGTTCATTTGGCAAAAGTAAGAATAATGTGGCCAGAAACGAGCAATTTTCGGCGAGAAGAATTTCGAAACCCTGAGAAATTCCCGCAAGGCGAAAGTCGCTTCTTTTCGCAATAATCTGCAGATGTATGAAAAGCTTTATTTAAATATGATAAAAACAAAAACAACAATTTACAAGATGATACGCCAGTGCCACGTCTCTGCGTCTCACAGTGCAATTATAGGCGAAAAGTTCCCCCAGCATCAGCCGAGGTACACAACTTTTGCCACGCTTGAGGCGTCCGTGTAATTAAGGCAGCGGTGGCGGTGGCGGCGGCGGCGGCGGCGACCTCGGTGAACGCCACCTCCCATGCCGCCCCCGACCCTTAAAAGGAACAGCGAGATGAGGCGGCTCGCCTTTTAAAGTACTGCAACCACAGTGATAACAACGTTGACAACATGAAGCTCCTCGCCGCGCATGTAAGTTCAGATTGGAAATTTTTAATTATAAAAAGTGAAACTGCGAACGGACAAGAAATAGAATATAGTGAAATTCTACATACAACGAAATTAAGTTAATATTGAAAATAGATTCTATATCATATATTAATATAAATTAAATTCATTAATGCTAAATATATAAATAAAAATTACTCTTGAAAATTTTTAATTTTTAGATTTAAAAAAAAATTAACAAATCTATCAATTATAGCATAATTATAGATTCTACTTTTATTTAATTAGAAAAAATTTTTAACAATTATTTTATCTAAAATAATTTAAATGTTAAATTTATTTAACTTTCCGGTTGTTACTCTTGTATCACATTTATTCACAAGGGGGTTCGATAATAATTATACCGACTTAAATTAAAAGATACTTCCTTAACCTGAATTATGTAAAAATGAAAGTTGTTACAATTTGTTAAATAATCGTACACATTTTTCACTTTTTCTTAGGTACTGATGTGCATGACACTGCATGTTATGGGTGCCGACGTGGCCTCAACTACCGTGACCCCAACGGTGACCACCCCTGCAGCCTCGGACAAGAAACGCGAAGCCCTCTTTGCACGCAATGACTACGCGGCGCCCGGCGGCTATTATAACGGTGGTGCAGGCACTGGAGGCTACAACAGTGGAGGCTACAATGGTGGAGGATACAACAATGGAGGCTACAACGACTACCAGAGTAGAAACTACGGAAGCGCTGGCTATGGAAGCGGAGGCGCTGCCGGAGGGTCACTTGGGGGCGGCTACTATGATAAATACAACACCTACGGCGGTGGAGCCGGTGGCGGCTACGGAAGCGGAGGGGTTGGAGGGGGATATGGAAGTGCAGGCTACGGAAGCGGAGGCTATGGCTCCGGGGGCTACGGAAGTAGTGCCGGATACGGAAACAATAATTATGGAAGATATGACCAGTATGGCAGCGGCTACAACAGTGGTGGATCGGGTGGATATGGCACTGGCTACTCCAACAATGGATACGGCACCGGATACAGCAATGCTGGCTATGGCGGTGCCAACAATGCTGGAGGAAATTACAACAACAGGTGGGTTAGAAATATTTATATTTTTAATAAATTAAAATTAACTCAAAATTTTAGTTAAAAATAAAATATTTTTAATTTTATTTATAATTCTAGTGCGTGTATATTTTTTCCGATTCAATTTTTTTTTAAATTTCATTCAAATGTAGTAAACGATACGAAAAAAATTCTCATTAATTAAAAAAAATACATGATTATAAATTTTAAGATTTTTATCAATAACTCAATTGTAAGGATTGATAGATGTGACTTTTCAAGGTACAATAACGACAATGGTCGCTGGGGAGGCTATGGAAGCGTGGACACGTGGCGAGGCAATGGATACAGCAACAATAACAACTATGGAGCCGGCGACAATTGGCGCTACAACGCGGGCTCCAACTACGAACGACCCTACAACAGGGACTACGTCGATTACTACACTGGTGGTGGCGGTTGGGTCAACACGCGGCCAGTTGGCAGCTCCAGCTACATGCACGGGGGCAACTACCAATATCAACCCCAGCAAGGGTACCTGGGTTGAACCCGCCGATTAAATTATTTTGCAACCAAAGAGAACCACGCTTGAGATTGTACAAAAACAAGACATAAGCCGAGAACTCCAATAAAATTAAATTTCGTAGATATCATAAGTAAATCAAATTTAATTATTTTTTTGTCGTTTTTATTTCAAATACCTTTGATTAAATATACACTGAACTAAAACCAAATCCTTTCATAAATCATAAATCTGAATAATCAGTTAATTACAAAAGGAGGCGAAATTACAGAATGAATATTTTAATGTGATCAAGGTATGCGTGTTGCATATGTTTTAAAATGTATTTGATGCTGCTAGACAAAATGCATTAAGAAAATAATAGCTTCTGCGTTTTTCTTTAAGATTTTAGCAAATTTTACTAAAGCAAAACAACTGAATACATCTTTTTTTCTTTTGTTAAATTTAATTGGCCGAGAATGTACAATTCAACTCTTCATATAAGAAATTATTCTTCCTACTAAAAGTATATAATATTAAATATTAATTATTTAAAAATTTTTATATTTGCCTAAATTTTATTTTGGCTAAATTTAGGATCATTTTCTCTACTTTTATGTTTATTTGCCCCTTTCTACACAAGACTCGCGAATTCATCCATAAATCATTCAAAGCGGTAAACTTCTGCAGACTCTTTAGAAAATGAATTTTTCTGCCATAGAATGAAATGAAGCGTATACATATGTATAAATTCAACCTCGTGTCAGTCTCTCTACCCTATCACAATCAGACTTGATTTCAATGACTTTTATATGCCCCGCCGTCTCGTCTCCCTTGGCGTGTTCAATAAAAACCACCGACCCACACATCAATATTAATGCTCAGAAATAAATTCCAGCAGCTCGTAAAATGTTATGAGAACAAGTACAAACTACGAGTTGTTGCACTTGATGACATTTGAAATAAATACTATACATATTATCTTCCTTGTATTGTTATGCGTAAGTACTTCTAGCATGAATAAAGCGATCAACTAAAATCAATAGTTTACGTATATATCATATCAATCGTGGAGATCAATTAGATGTAGCAAGAGATAGCGAAACAATTTTAAAAAAATAATGCTCAAAATTTTGTAACTATATTTATTTGAAAAACCTAGTTTTCACTGATATTTTTATTCAAGTAGGGGAAACGCGGAAATAAGGGGAGTTTTCGCGCAGAGTGTTAGTTGCGGGGGTGTACGCTACAGAGCGCTAAGGGTGGTGGATAATAGTATTGAGCGGTCACATGACCCATTGAGATGTGGAGTCTTGGTATCGATCTCGGCGGCAGTAAGAGTGCAGCAGCCAACTCTCCACCACCGCTACCCTCACCGACGCTCTTCAGGTGAGATAAAACGCTCAATTTGAGCACCTGGTGCCTCGCCAGTCCCACCCTGGGGCTCGCGTGAGGGCCCTTGTGACGACCGCGTGAGGCCCTCGGGGGCTGTTTTCACTTTTTCCGCGGGAAATCCCTGTTTCGTTTCGCCTTTCGGGCCGCGCCTTTCTCGTGTGTGGGTGCACTTTCGCGGAATTAAATCGCCGATTCTGAGCATGGAAAAGGCGTTTTCCAGCTTCCAAGCTGGAACTTATTGTTTCATTGCCGCTCTCGTCAAGAGCAAAAGTGAAGAGAGCACGCGGTCAAGAGCCCGATCGTCAGACTACAGAGAGAGACTCTTTGCACAGAGGTCAACGATCTCTCCCTGCGCAAGACTTTGAGCATATATGCAAAACTCGTATGATACTATTTCTTATTATTATTATTTTTTCTCTTTTGACAGTATGAATGGAGACTATGTTTTTTTATTAACGCGCTTTTTGTGCGCCGGGTAACCGAGGGGAAAATCATGCTGTGCATAGTTGAGTGAGCGCACCAGGCGAGATTTGTAGCAGAGATATGCGCGGACGAAAATCAATAAAACGGCATGTCCTCTCTTTCTCTCTCTCCGTCGCTCATATACACACATATATGAAAAAGGGAAAAACCAACAAGGGCTGGTTAATACGCAATCGGCTTACTAGGTTGACCCAAAAAAAGTGCGTGCGACCATCCGAATCTGGCTCTGCTTGTGTAATTAAGCCCGTGTGTTAAACAACAAAGTGGCATGATGGGACAGATTACAACCCGAAGTGCTAAAGAATATAATAAGCGATCAATTAATTAACTAATTTCGTGCCTAATATTATAATGATTTAATATGTGGACTGTTGAAAATCCTTTTTTTCTCAATTTAAAAAAATAAAATGTTGCATTTTTGGCCAAAATTTAAGTCGAAAAAGTTATAATGTGAGGTTTTTGTAAGCAAACGAGTCCTTTCCTTGACTCTAAGCGAGAAAGTCAAAGTAAAAAAATCTTTTACCACAAAAACCGTGTTAATTGAATTTTAGCTTCATTATTTTCAACTTTTTCTGTTCAACTTTATGCATAACTTTTGCTGCAATTTTGCTGATTCAAGGACTACAATTTTGAATGGAAGACCAAATAAATACAAATTTTTGCCCAATTTTGCAAGATTCTTCCTCAGAATGAAGTTTGAAGCTTATTAATAAAAATAAAAATAATGCGTTTTTACCAGTCTTTGCCGTAACCATGTATTTTTTCGCTTTGAAATTATGCAGCCCAAGATAAAATTGTTTTGTGATTCCGCCACCGCTTAGAACACTTAAATTTGCATAACAAAACCAAGAGGGCTTCAAATGAGAATGTCTATACATACATGCCATTAACCAAATTTTCTTCCTTTGCCGCAGCTCTAAAGGAGCCGTATTTAGCCCGAGACCAGTCCCAAACCAGCCGTCACCATTTCTTTCTCAGTCTTCAAGCAGTCCTTTGCCACCAATGTCAATTACTTGAAGAGAAGGTATTTAATTTCTTTTCATTGTTTTTAAATCTTGAGAAATATTAAAAAAAATTATATGTAGAACTTATAAGTTGTTCAGTAGCATTTCGTTTTCCTGAAGGAATTTTTTTTGCAAAATATGTAATAAACATTTTTCACACATTTTCAAAAATTATACCCTGCTATAATTCTTGTAAAGAGAAGTCTCTTAAAATGCTTATTAGAAGTTACAAAGCTCACAAATCGCGTCAAGTAAACAGAAAAAAGCAGTATTTTTATGCAGTCAGCTGAAATTGTTGTACCAAAATTGAAGGTTCTCCTCGGGGGACCTTTCCTCCGAGTTTGACGATGAGGGCGAGGTGCAGCAGGTCCCACCAACTGCCCAATCGCAGGCCCCTCCAACGGCCCAGCAGGCGGCTGCCGGTGTCTCGGGACCCGCCGCTCCCCAACAACAGCAGCAGGGCGACCTGAGCCTCAACCTGCGACCAAGCAGTCGCACCACCAGTGCGCCCTCGTCCCCCGCCAAGACCAGGGAGAGTCTGCTGCAGAGGGTGCAATCCCTGACGGGACAGGCCCAGGAGAGAGGAGCGGCCATCCTGAGCGCAGTGCCTGGAGCCTCGATAAGGCCCTCATACAACAAGGAGCGCTGCTTCACCCTGCTAGTCATTGATGACCAAAACACCGACTGGTAAGATTCAAAATAAAAATATTAATAAATTTTTTTTAATTTGCTGAAATGACGACTTTTGTAGAATAAATAATAGTTTAAAATAATAAAGTATAATTTTACAGAATTTTTTATTATTAAAAAGAAAAATTAATAAAGAGAGGAAAAAGTAACAATAACAATTAAAAAAACAAATAGGAGAATCAGACTATACTTCCAACATTGCGCCGCTCTCTAAATTCAAGTCTGATATATACCCAGAAATGGAGAAAATTAAATGGAAATTAAATTACTTTAAGTTTCTTCTGGTTTATTCTAGGTCTAAATATTTCCGAGGAAAGCGTTTGCACGGCGATTATGACATTCGAGTGGAGCAGGCGGAATTCCGCGAGTTGTCTCTGACCGCGAGCGCCGAAAGCGGGTCCATGGTGTCAATGGCCGTGTTTCGGAACGGCACCAGGGTCGCTCGTTCCTTCAAGCCGGACTTTGTGCTCGTGAGACAGAACCTCCGAGACGCTGGCGAAGACTACAAGAACCTGCTGCTTGGCTTCAAATTCGGCGGCGTGCCCGCCATCAACACCATCAACGCAATTTACAATTTCCAAGTAAAATAATTAAACTCGCTTGAAATATTGATTTTTACTAACTTTTTGCCGTCAAGGACAAGCCTTGGGTGTTCGCGCACTTGCTGCAAATCCAGCAGCGTCTTGGCAAGGATAACTTTCCGCTGATCGATCAAGTGTATTACCCATACGCTCGGGACATGGTGAGTGCACCTGGGATTGTCATAGTGACTCGCGCAATTCAACTCCTTACGGTTTTCGCAGCTAAGCTCATCCCGCTACCCCGTGGTATTCAAAGTGGGCCACGCGCACAGCGGCCTCGGAAAGGTCAAAGTTGAGACGCCATCGGACTTCCAGGACATGGCCAGCGTCGTGTCCGTGGCCGGCACCTACTGCACCACTGAGCCTTTCATCGACGCTAAGTACGACATCCACATCCAGAAAATCGGCCAAAACTACAAGGCATTCATGTAAGTTTCAATTTTCTTGCTCAATTTAAAAATTTAATATTCGTGCTTTTATTAATTTTAAATTATATTGCTGCTTTAATTTTAATTATTGTACAGTGGTTTGTAAACTTGCAAATTTAACCCCTGAACCAAAAATTGATTAAGGAGTAGATTAAAGACTCTGACCCAAATATTTTGACAGTATAGAAAATTGCCTCTTTCACCCTCCTCCTTTCAACTCTTTCTTAGCCTGCGCCTAATTAATTATGTATTCCACTCACGCCACAGGCGTAAATCGATCTCGGGCAACTGGAAAACCAACACCGGCTCGGCCATGCTGGAGCAAATTCAAATGACTGATCGCTACAAGTCGTGGATTGACGCCGTGTCCGAGATGTACGGTGGCCTGGACATCTGCGCTCTTGAGGTGGTGGTCGGCAAGGACGGCCGCGAGTTCGTCATCGAGGTCAACGACTCGGCACTCAGTCTGATGGGCGACTCCCAGGAGGAGGACAGGAGACACATCGCCGACCTGGTTGTCTTCAGAATGCAGGTAAGAATTAATAAAAACGCAGAGAATTATCATTATCTGCACAAAAAAGTAAATAAATGTAAACAAAGAATAAACATTATTTTTCTTTGTCAGTTTTAATTAATTATAATTAATTTTTTTAACAATCCTACTCAGCATCAGCTTAAAATTTCTTTTTAACTCTTAATGGGATTTGTCTCCTATTTGATCTTTGACCTTTCAACGCAAGCACACAGAAACAGCAAACAGTCTGATGCTATCTAAAGTTTTTGCCATTTTCATCAATAACGAGATGGGAACCAATAGTGCTTTCAGCCGCTATATAGACGTCAATGATGGACCATAAATAAGTTTCTAGTCTCCTCCACCTTTATCATGTCACGAAGTTATCAAATTATCTCTTCTCAACGACTGTAGTTTAGCGCTGATTGGCATGTCATAAAAGGAGGCCAAGTAAACTTGGTTTTAAATGGGAAGCTCAACTGCAATTCGATTAAATTACTTCAATTTTTAACATTCAATTTGAAATAAAATTAGAATCATGTATTAAAAATGAATAAAATAAAAGGATGTTTTATTTTAATATTTAATTCAACAATTTTATTTATAAAAATTAATTGAATTGAATTACTTATCATTTGCATTCAATATTTAATTTTGCAGAGTGCCACACGACCTGCCAACCAGGGTCCTCCACAACAGCCTGCGCCAAAACTTCCAACACTGCCCTCGGCAGGTGCAATCGCGCCCCCGATTCCGCAGCGCTCATCTGTCTCTAGTCAGGGCGCGATGTCGCCGAACGAAGAAAGGGCGGCCCTAGGACTGAGCACCGACTTGCCACCATCGACCTCTCCGGGCAGGGAGCCTATTCAGCGCCGCGATTCTCAAGGTAAATAGACTAGCTGCTGCCGTTTATGGCCAAAACAGAGAGATGCCTCTTCAAAGCGAAGGAGGCACTCTTTCATCTCACTTAGGGCCATCAACCCTCGTCAGAAACAAAGCGGCAGACAGGGCTAGAGAGAGTTATTTTTGCCTTTCCGTTCTACATTGTGTCTTGCATATCATATTAAATCTTGCTGAAAAAAATTACATTTTACTTTTTTCAATGAAGTTAGGACGATGTGTGTTGCTTTTACATTCTTTTATTTTTAAGATCGCCTCTCCGTCAAATGATCATGGACAGAAATTTGTTTCCGTAAATTTTGCATAATTTTCATGATAAGAAAATAATCGCGTGCAACCAGCCTTGTTTAGCTATTGCAATAAAAATTTTATTTTAAATAGTGCGATCGTCTAATTTTTGAATTTTAATTATTGCAGATCGCTTTTTTGCAAGTTCGTGAAGTTGATTATAAAATAAATAAAAAACTGATTTTTTTTTATTCATGAATATTTTTTTAATGAGCGACTGAATTTTTGTTTTAGCCTCTCAGTCAAGCAATATCAGCAGCGTGTCCGGTCAGAAGGACGGCAGCAGACCTGCGTTTGGACGTCAGGGCAGCCAGCAGCAGCAACCAACGGACGACAACGAGGACACAATGAAGAACCTGCGCAAGACGTTCGCTGGCATCTTCGGTGAGATGTAAAAAAACGACCGGGAGACAATATACAAAAGTCATGTAATACCACAACAACACTAACTAACATTCGTATGTATGAAAATTACTATCATGTTCTTTGAAGCTGCTAGAGGAAAACATAGTCCCATTTTATTAGGGTAGATGTCTTGTAGCGCGGGGTTGCGAACGGATCAAAGTCGCCATATCAGAAATGATTTAAAAGGAAACAGCACAATCTGGAGCACATCCAAAGGAAAAAATATCAGACATCAAAGCCGAAATTCTAATTAAAAGGTTAAAGCATTTCATAATATTTTATAAAATTGAGTTTTCAAAACTGCCAAATGAATTTATGAATTTTTATCCAACTTTCACTTTTTAATTAAACATGTACTCCGGGAAAATAATCTCTTAGATATATTAATAGTTCAAAAGAATGGCAATAAAAATGTGTAACTATTGTATTAATACAAAAACTGGAGGTGACAACAGAAATTAAAACAGACACTATCGAACGGGCAGTGCACCATTTTATGTAAAAAAATTACAACGAAACGGACTGTTTGTGAAAATTGGAGTTGGAGATATTAAAAGACGAGAATTAATAATTCCACGCGTAGGCGGACTGTTTAAGTCAAATTATCAGCCCCAATGTCTTCTTATGTGAGATGGAAAAGGAAGACTTTTTCAAAATCTCCTCGCAGCCCCTCATAACATATTAGCGCGGATCATTCCAAACGAAAATTGAAGAAAAAATAAAACAAATCGCAACCAAGAATAAAAAAAATAACCGCATAGCATTATACATAACATAATCCACGAAACGTTAAATGTGTGTAAAGAAAGGGAAAGAAAAAATGAATTAATCGCGCATATATATTGACTCGCTCTCAGTCGTTCATAAATAACACAAGTTATCATGTATGAAAATGAATGGTGTTTAATAAACAATAAATAATTATTGATGTGCTTGGAATTTCCGTTAATGTAACTGCACACGTGTACATGTGTGTATGGTTTTGTTGAAAACAAAAAGCTTAAAAAAAGCAAGGGCAATTGATTAAAATAAGTATATATGTGTACATGACGTTGTTCTTTTACCTCTGTGATAATTAATTATCAACAACAATTATTGTGTTGATTCTTATCAGAAGTGTGAAACTTTCTGCTGATGTTGACGTTATATTTTCACCCTCACCCCCGGCGAGTGGATCTATTCATTGAATAATTATTAAAAATTAAACAAAATATGTGAGTAGCGAAAGTTGAAACTTAAAATATTATGTAATTGTTGTTGTTTATTACAATTATTATTATACCTGCTGACAAATTTGAGTTCTTCGGTCCAGAAATTTTAAAAATCTGGAACAAAAAATTTTTTTTTCTTAAATTTAAATTTCCAGATCAAAATAACAGTTTTGATAAAACTGAATTGAGATAGTTGAAAAATAGTCTTTTTTTGGGTCCAGATTTTGAAATTTCTAGGCAAGACCTCACCAAAATCCAATATAATACTATACGCAAGTTGTAAAAATGCGTAGAAACTGAAAAGGAATGGTTTCAGTTTGTTTATAACGATGCAATTATTATTGTAATGGACAATTTCTGACGCGTGACGATATTTGATGACGACTACAAAACGCTCTTCTCTATTGATCTCTCTCAAACTAATGTTAAATAGTTTTAGTGCTGAAATATAATTGATCTCAAATGATTCTCTAACGATTAAATACGCAAGCAAACATACCAAAGATACAGGAATGCATTTTGGCGTAGGCAGGCATAAAAAAAAATATATGGGCCTAATTAAATAAACTAAAAATTCAAATCAGACGTGAATTACAGCTGAACATTTGCATTAAAATATATTTTTCTGCTGTGTTCATGAATGAGCTAAAAAATATAAAAATAACTAAAATCTGATTTAGTTGGTTGAGCAGCTCAAAACACAATAATAATAAAAAAAAAAGCAGAAGAAGAAGAATGTTCGCACCCGCCTGCGCCCATAATTAGATGTGAAAAAAAGGCACACTGATACAATAAAAAAGACAAAAATAAACCGCGCATATAATTTTATTTTTATTTTGCAGAATAATTTATTCATGATCGCGGGTTGTTTCCTGTTGTTTTAATTAAAAAATGGCATTCCTCGATGGGTATTGTGAGTCGTTGATTGTTTTTATATAAAAAGCAATATATCCTGCTCCAATATTTCATGAGCCTGCTATCGAAGGCCGAGAGAATAATCTGCCGAAAGGAAATTTACTACATACCGTAAAATTAATTTAAGGAGGTGTTTTTTTTGATGTAGCCAAAAAAAGTGATTGTGTGATTTTTGCTCATTAAAAAAAAAACGGCAGTATCTGGAGTCAGAAGGGTTAAAAAAAAAATGCAAAGTAAAAGCCGCCTTATTTTGCTATCGCTATAATTTTCTAAATTTTCTCCTCTTATATTTTTAAAGAAATGATAAAATTTTGAGCAAAATTTATTGGGTCATTTAGAAACAAAACCTTAATAGTTTGACATAGTAAATGAGTTCAATTTAAAATTAATTTTTGTTATTATTATTATATTATTATTATTATTATCGCTGTCTTCCACTACCATGATGAGTCATCATGATATGAATCACGTCGAGCGAAGTGAGGAAACGCCTGCGAGTTAGGCAGCGCCGGCTTGTTCGCAGTCGCGCCCTTGAACGGTGGTACGGGTGGGCGGCGCAGAGGGCAGCACAGTCTATGAACGCAGCGTCGCACCGTCGCAGTGGAGAGATTTAATTATTAATTTTCTGGGGCACTCACTCGCGATTCGACCCGATAACTATAACTACGCCTCGCAGACCGGCTTCTGCGAATTTCCCGGCCGCTTCACGCCCTCGCCTCGCCTCTCCTGCAACCTGGTAAGTATTTGCGCCCAGTGTTAGTCGAAACTCTCCGAATAATTGTGTTTTTTTCGCGCAGAACTCTCGAGAAAGAAAAAAAAGCGGCGGCGTTCGGAGGGATGATGCAACGCCGAGTGAGCAACGCTAATGAGTCCAAGACGGAAGCGGCGGCACCGGCGCGGCACCTCAGCGTGCAGTCGCCCCAGGGCAAGGAGTCGACGGACAACACCGACTCGGACTCGGTCGAGGAGATGCCGCTGGACATCGGCAACAACTACCTGGTGCGGCGCGCCGACAACAAGTGGCACCCGGCCGAAATCATCCAGGCGCGCTTCAACGAGACTGAGTCCATGTACGAGTACTACGTGCACTACGAGGGCCTAAACAGAAGACTGGACGAGTGGGTGGCTAAGGACCGAATCATGAACTCCAAGTTCCAGTTGACGGACAAGGAGCAGGTCAGCGTGATGAGCAGCGAGGCCACCATCGAGGACCAGAGCGGCCGCAAGGTCACACGCAACCAGAAGCGGCGTCACGACGAGATCAACCACGTGCAGAAGACCTACGAGGAGATGGACCCAACCACGGCCGCCCTCGAGAAGGAGCACGAGGCCATCACCAAGGTCAAGTACATCGACCGCATCCAGTTTGGCAAGTACGAGATCGACACGTGGTACTTCAGTCCGTACCCTGAGGAGTACGGCAAGCAGAGCAAGCTGTACATCTGCGAGTTCTGCCTCAAGTACATGAAGCTGGAGAAGACGTACCGCTACCACATGAGCGAGTGCACCAGCAGGCAGCCCCCTGGCAAGGAGATCTACCGCAAAGGGCCGCTCAGTGTGTTTGAGGTTGACGGCAGGGACTTGAAAATCTACTGCCAAAATCTCTGTCTGCTGGCAAAACTGTTCCTCGACCACAAAACGCTCTACTTCGACGTCGAGCCTTTCCTCTTTTACATTCTCTGTGATGTTGATAAACATGGTGCCCACCTCGTTGGATACTTTTCAAAAGTAAGTATTATTGTTACAAACATCGAAATCGTTTGTTTTTAAATTAATATTAATGATTTAGCTAAATTTTGGCTATTGCAATCATAATTTTGCAGCGAACATGTCAAATAATTAAATTAAAATTTTAATAAAAAAAAGTCAAATTATTCAATTAAATTTTAAAATATCATATTCTAATTTATCATTGCAGGAAAAAGAGTCACCAGATGGAAATAACGTCGCCTGTATATTAACACTCCCTCCGTTCCAACGAAAAGGCTTTGGCAAGCTACTCATAGCATTCAGTTACGAACTTTCCAAACGAGAAAAACTGGTCGGGAGCCCAGAAAAGCCTCTCTCAGATCTGGGAAAACTCAGCTACAGATCCTACTGGTCGTGGGTACTTCTAGAAATATTGAGGGACTTTCGAGGGACCCTTTCAATCAAGGACCTCAGGTATGAATCAAAGAAAATTAAAAATTGCTCCTTGATGAATTGAACCTTTGTAGAAATAATTATTGAATCAAATAATTTTAAACTTTTTGTTTCGATTTGCAGCGAGATGACCTCAATCACCCAAACAGACATAATTTCAACGCTACAAGCGATGAACATGGTCAAGTACTGGAAGGGCCAGCATGTCATATGTGTGACGCCAAAACTGGTTGACGAACACGTCCGATCCAACCACTACAAGAGACCACGGATGTTGGTAGACACATCGTGCATGTCGTGGACGCCACCCTACAAGCAGCCCCCAGTCAAGATGGCCAAAAAGTGAATGCATTTCATGTGTTAATTAACGTTGCTTAAAGAAGTGAGTTCGTCATTTGTTAGGATGGATAAAGGAATTATTAAAACTATATAGTATCTCAGTGGATGAGTAATAGTGCTTGTATTTATTCTTGTATTTTCACTTCCCGGTAAATTTCAAAGGGTTTGATACTCTGAAAATGCTTGACAGCATCAAGCACAGATTCTTGAAGAGGTTCTCGGATATGCCCTAAATCATATTGTGAAATGAGATTTTTTAGGTGTGGAAAAAAATGTGAATTACTTCTGGAAGGACAAATTGAATTGTTTTCAGTTCTGATCCTCCCCAGCTTGCAGTCTCAATCATGAAACCTTTGATGCATTTGAAAACAAGCTCTGCCCTTTTAGTGCACCACACCACCGTCATTTCCTGTTATCAAAATCAATAATTCTAAATTGTGAGCAAATTTTTGCAAATCACCACCTCTGACATTTCGTGGACTAGAAGCAGTGGAATGGTCAAACAAGTTATGTCATAAGCACTGGATGTCTTCAATATGTTTCTCAAGCCAAGAATAATAGGATTTCTGGATGTCACATCTATTTTTTTTAAGCATGATTATTATTGTTGACTCTTGGTCCAATTTAATTTACCTGACATCACTGAATCATCACTCAGAATGTGATAAACAACATGAGCCTCAGCAAGACTAGAGTGTTTTGTTATGTAGCAATCACCAGGCTGCAAATTTCTACGAATGGCACCGCTTTTGTTCTGGAAATAAGATAATTTTTCTTATCGCAATGTTGTGTTCAAAACTGAAAAAAGGCAGCTTTTTATTTTTCAACCAAGTTAAGCCTGGTTTTAATTTTAATGAGTATTAATAAATACTTACGTCATTATTCTGGAGCCTCCATTCCACGGCTTGTCTGGCCTGAGACGTCAAGCTCTCGAGTTGGTGCTCAACAGGCAAGAAATGCAACTCTGTTCCATTTTGGCAAACATCTCGAAATGCGGCAAAAGAGGCGGATGTCGCCGGTGAATGGCAGTCCGTGAAAAAAACCAATCCTTGTAATTCGTTTGAGTAGAGAGACAGTGATGTGTGGATGCGCTGAGTTTGGCCCCTGGAATGATTTATTAATTTTTTTCTGGGAAGCATTTAATGCAATACTCACGGACAATCACAAAGAGCAAGAATATCACTAGCAAGAAGTCGCACATTGTGCATTTGCTTCATTTGGGAGCCGAGGTGTATTGTGAAGCTTTCCTGCATTGTTGGCGCCGATTGGTTTGAGGGCGTCGGAGCTTTTCGAGCAACTTCCTCTATTTCTGGCCACAGGGATCTATTGAAGGTTAATTTAATAATAATTGAGAGATGAAAATAAATAAAGTACAAATTTTGATCAGGCTGGGCCTGTTGGCTGAGACCAACGAGCCAAGCCCTGGCCTCTCTTCGTTGCGTTGTTTTTAACGAATCCAAACGACTTTCCCACTGGACGTGCAGCATCTCTTTGTGCTCCAGATGCGAATTAGCCAGTGAATTTATTTGATCCTCCGACAAACTCTCTATAGCCTGATGCATTTCTCTTTCTTGCCTAAGAAAATAATTAAAAAAACAATTTATATATCCCTCTTTTGGATACAACAATTTTCAACACACTTATATGAGAGTTGGTTGATTTCTGCATCTCTGAGCGTGACCATTTGACTAACTTGGGCAGACATGGCTTCAATTCCCTTCAGAACTTTGTCCAGCATTGGAGAATGGACGAGCTGGTGGTACGCTTCGGCAAACAGCTCTTCGTCAGACATTGCTGTCGGACTGCAGTACTGTGTGACTTCCTAGAAAATATTATTTTTTATTGTGCATTTTCCCCTCCTTTATGCAAAAGTACCGTTTTATAGGAAATTTCCCATTGCTTCACAAGTGCATCAATGTCGGAGTTTTTCTGCTTAATGGTATTAGAGACCAATTCATCAGCTAGACGATCCTGCTCAATTTTTAGCTTCTCCTTCACAAAATTTTGTATATTTTCAATCAGAACTGAAAAAAATTTTTCAATTATTATTTTTAATAAAAAAAAAATATATAATATCTTCACCGTCGTATATGTAAAACGGAGGACGAAGTGTAGAAATCAGTCGGTAAGCCAGCTCGGGTGCCGAATCCTTAAATGGAATCTGCAAGTTGGTCTTCAGCTCGTAATGATAATCTGGTGCTGAGGGTGCAGGAAATTTCATGATGAATTCGGTGTCAATTTTGTGATCTTGATCCTTTGCTGCATTATTACTATGCGAATTCATTTTTGTCTATGTAATTTCCTGCTTTCAAAATATCATCAATGAACGAATAATTTATGTTTATGTTAGTATTTCTGGCTTCTGACTTGGAAAATAAACGTAGACGAAACTTCAAACAAATTGCAGTAAAATTCTCACAGTCAGTGATAATAACACCTGTTTATCATAATTATATATTAACGCCCTTGTTTATTTTGCTGCCAATTCATCGCCCTCGCACCACATGCCGCCGCCATCTGTAGGTCTCCAGCGGATGCACAAGGCGATCTCTCATGGGTTGCGGGAAATGGCAGCGTCGGCAGCGGTATAGCAAAAAATAGGATCCTAAAGGATAATTATCATAATTATCTTTCTTTCATTAATAATATAATTTGTAATACAATATTCTTGGCGCTTGCTGAAATCTTCTGAGATGCGCCAAAAATTATCCACCTCTTGAATGCGCCAATTATAATGGCATAATTTCATTAATTTCTTTTGCAAAATTGTATAATATTGATTTAATTTAATGACGAGAAATATGTGAATACATTTTTATACCCTACTCCGTTTCAGCTCTCATTTAAAATTAATTTTAACGAATTTTATAATAATTGTTCATAAATAATTTTGCAATCTGAATGTTTATATCACGGCACATTCAATTATTGACTAATAATTAATTAAATGGCCTACTTATTATTTCACTGAATGAACTTCAATATTTAAAAATTGTATGCGTACACTTCCAAAAGGCATGCATGTATTTATTTTTAAAATTTTGTCACACTCCCGCCCATGAGTCAAACGATCACAATTAATTTATTTATTGGACTTTAGTTGAATTTATTTTTCCATTAGCGTGGGTTCACTCTTTTAAGTAAACGTAAAATTTCCCTCGCGGAAAAAGTAGAAACATAACTCACGAAGTCTTCAAGGATGTAAGAAAGATTTGCAGATATGCCTGTGCAGGTCACCATGACAGTGGCAGAGCACCCTAGCTATAAATAACATGACGATGGTACACTGTCATGGCAACCAGCCACTCAGCTCCTCTCTTTAGAAGCCTAGAGAGCATGATGACGTGTGTTATGGAACTTGTTTAATGCCGGTTAGGTCAGGCCAAGGATATGAATGATGCTTGGGTCAGGTCTTATCTATTTATAATGGCAGCTCATGAGTGCAGCGTCAAAGCATTCTGTGCCTTTTTTTCCAACTCAAATTTGAATACCAAAATTTAGAAACAATATATTTATGCAGATATGTAATAAAAAGGTATAAATTGAAATTAGCTCCATGATTTTACACTATGTTAGATGCAAATATTTTATTGACACCAAAGGAATACATACAAAAGGTTATACAATGTTTTGAGGGAAACTTCATTCAACTATTGTTCTTGTAATTTTGTCTTTAACGACAACTCCAATTTTGAATTGGAAGGCATCCTGTCACTCGCAGCATACTCAAACCCTTGAAAATGTTTTATCTGTCCTTCCGCAACACTTGGCTATGCTTGCAGTGCAGTGTTCAAGTACATGCCTTCAGGGAAACAAAAATCATTTGCGCTTTTTTACCTTAAGAGATCATGAAGTTATGGAAAAACATTAATTCATGAACCTTTATCAACTACTACATTTAAAAACACAATGCAAGTCTTCGTGTTAAGAGTCCCATACTGTCATTTTTGTGAACAGGCCGATGATGAACTCGTTATTAAATGCCTTCGCGCAACTCTTCTTCCACTCTTCTTCGTCAGATGAAACGATATAATTATGATGCAAAATGACACTCCTTTAATCTAAGCTCTCTCTCCTCGAATACGACGGGCCAATTGGATGTCCTTTGGCATGATTGTGACACGCTTGGCGTGGATGGCGCACAAGTTAGTGTCTTCAAACAGGCCAACCAGGTAAGCTTCACTAGCCTCCTGCAAATGCAAATATACAATTTGAGTAAATTCACAAATTTAATACTTAAAAAAAGTTTTATGAATAATTTAATCAGGGTATTAACCGGTATTAACCATTAAAATATGATTATTTATTTAATAGATTTGACACTGAAAAGTAAGTTGGTAAAATAAAAGTTTAAATAAATTACCAATTAATTAACGGTTTTTCCATTTTTTTTAACTTTCTAGAATTTTCCTTCAAATTATGCGTACCTGAAGGGCACCGATGGCCGCGCTCTGGAAGCGGAGATCGGTCTTGAAGTCCTGAGCAATTTCACGCACCAAGCGCTGGAACGGCAGCTTGCGGATCAGCAACTCGGTGGACTTCTGGTAACGCCTGATCTCACGAAGGGCGACAGTACCAGGTCTGTAACGATGCGGCTTCTTCACGCCTCCGGTGGACGGGGCGCTCTTACGGGCAGCCTTGGTGGCCAGCTGCTTACGAGGAGCCTTTCCTCCTGTGGATTTACGGGCGGTCTGCTTTGTACGAGCCATGGCTTACGACTGAAAACGAAAAAATTCAACTTAGCAAATGGCAGCGAATGAAGAATGCTTGAAAAAATGCTCTAAGGTGACGCACGATAAATTCGCCGAAAGAATGACAAGCGCGCGTAAGAAAACAAGCCACGTTTGGCGCCAAAAGTTATATTGAGTGAATTAGTCGAAGGATTCGGCCGATATGTAGAATAAGAATATTTTAAAATGAACGGCGATGGCTATGATAATGTCGAGAATTCTGATTTGGGCCGTTATTGCATCATGGGAAAGTGATTGTTTACATCGGCCGCCTGATCACGGCAAATGGGACACTCGAGCACAACGATTTTAGAGCAAATTCGGCCTTATTTTAGGGATGTACAGGGAAAATTGCAAGGGGAAGATTGTATTAGATACGTACTGATTGCGTCCTTGGTAGAAAATAACGACTTGATTCCAAAATTCGGGATTATTACAGGAGATTCCGAATTTCCAGAAATTCCTTACTCGCTCAAGACAACTATGAAAAGCGTACTGACGCTGATTGGCGTTCGCCGCTGAGCGCGACCTGTGATTGGTCAGAATAAAAGTCTCTGTGATTGGTTGACGTCACGATCCTAGCAGAGCGTCATTGGTCATATTAAGACGTTTTGCTATTGGCCGAAACACGTCAAATGCTGGGGCCGTTGGGGGCAAATTTGGAGGGAATATCAAGGGGTCATTAGGCGAATTTCGAAAAATGGTCATTTTATTAAAAATATTAGTTTGGGGTTGGAATCAGAAGTGAGTAAATGAAGCAATTAAAAAATTGACGTTCTAGAGGTTTTGAGACGACTGAAGAGACAGAAGTGTAATTATAACTTTAAAATTCCATTAGAAAAATTGAGGATAAATTGAAATAAATTAAAAACAGCAACAGTAAAAATTCACCATTGCGATCAACGTAAGGAGAAAGAGAAACTTCTCTCTAGTTCTCTGTTCTAAGGCGCAGACAAAACCGGTTAATACATTTTTTTAAACCGGTAGTTCTGAGGTCACCGACAGCCACGTACGCGGGCTTTTCCATCAAACATGTGGTTGACGTGACGACAACCGGTTTATGTGAGACAGCACGCTGCGCCATGTGTATGCGCAAACAGCTTTGCTTTAATAATTTGTTGTTATGTGATGTGATGATAGTTCCATGATGCCGTCTGAGCAGAAATCCATGGTCGGAATTCAAACTGAGAAGCCTAATCACTACACGTGAGTTAATCCGTTGTTTTTCACGCGCAGAATTAAAGTCAGATTTCCCGTGCAGGTACTTGAAGGAATTTCGAGTGCAGCAATGCACTCTCTTCCTGCAGCATAAGTGCACAAATCACAGGCCTTTCACATGTTTCAAATGGCATTTTAATAATCAACGCCGTCGACGGCCAGTGAAGAGGAGAGACGGTAACTTCAACTACAGCCCAGATAATTATTGCACCAAGTACGATGAAACCACGGGAATTTGCCCAGATGGAGACGAGTAAGTCTATTTGTTTGGGTAGCGTGTTTCGCGCGCCATGTGCTTTTTGTTGTTTAGTCCGACCAAGCGTCCTGCCAATTTCTTAATCGGACGATTTGCTCCTTCAAAAAACCTCTTAAAGTACACACTGATGTGCTAGGAATACATCTATTTGAATTTCTCCACAATTTAGTGGTGGAAATTGTCAAAATAGCGCTATTGCGTCGCTTGCTTAGTAACAGTGTGACTTTTCTTTTAAAGTCTTTTGAAGTTAAAATGTGGGCCCCATTTATGATTCTGCCTTATCTTATTTTTGTTCTTGACCTTGGCTTTATTTCCAGTTGTCCACTGCTGCATAGAACTGCTGGAGACACTGAACGCCGTTACCACCTCAGATATTACAAGACCTGCATGTGTGTTCACGACACAGACGCTCGAGGATTTTGCGTGAAGAATGGGCCCCATTGTGCTTTTGCACATGGCACCCATGATATGCGGCCTCCTGTTTATGATTACAGGGAGTTAATGGTAAATAATTTAACAACAAATTTTTAGACAAAGTATCCATGGATCATAAATTTTTCCTTAACATCCTTATCTCTTATTTAAACCTATTAATTTCTTGAAAAGTCTGATTTTTTTATTCAAATTTATTTGTTTCAGTTGTTAGAGGCTGCCGCTGCTGAAGAGGCTGATAGTTCAGGAAAAATGTACCCCAACATGCTAGACAAGGAAAAGAACCAAGTAAATGAAGACCCCAAGTGGCAAGGTATGTACACAAAGTACACCAGTCATTTTGAATATTAAAAACCAATTAAAAACACTCAATTTATTATTAATTTTCTTAATTCGTCCATACTGACTTTCTTTTAAATGGTAAAAAAAATTTTATGAAAGAAATGGAATTGTTGGATAAAATGGTACCACCAAAATTTTAAAAAATTTGCGACCTAAAAGAACATCCTCTGTAGTGAGCCTTGGTTAACTTTGTTTATTTATACCTTTTTTGTCTTTAGACACAAACTACGTGTTGGCTAATTACAAAACTGAGCCATGCAAGCGCCCGCCACGCCTATGCCGGCAGGGCTATGCTTGTCCCCAGTATCATAATCTGCGTGACCGCCGCCGCAACCCTCAGCTGTACAAGTACCGCTCTACACCTTGTCCAAGTGTCAAGCAAGGCGATGATTGGGGCGACACGAGTTTGTGTGACGCTGGCGACGACTGCCACTACTGTCACGCCCGCACTGAGCAACAGTTCCATCCGGAGATATACAAGTCGACCTTCTGCAATGATGTTCAGCAGAACAGTCACTGCCCTCGAAGCGCTTTTTGTGCTTTTGCTCACGGAGATGGCGAGATGGCCAATGCGCGCAATGTAATCGACATGCTGAACACCAAGCCAAAATTGGCAGACATCATGTCCTCCGTGTTACCCAACAGCAACGGGTGCGAAGTTAGCGAGGAAGAAGGCAGTCTTTCTCCAGAAGAAGTGGCTTTGGTAATTTTTTTTCAATTCATTTGTCAATTTCAATTTGTTGTTTCTTATTTATTTCTTTTGAAATATAATCAAATTAAACAATTCTCATGCTCTCCTTTCACACTGGGCTGATTTGTAAAAGGACGACGACTGTGTTATTATTTGCACAAAAAGGGGTTCTTAGTTCTTATGTTATAATGGCCTTTGATGCTTAGTAGTTTAGCACTTACGTCTTCTAGAAATAGTTCCATTCAGAAAGGGGGTAGACAATAATTATTAAAAAAGATTTGCATTGCCACATACTTAATGTTTATTTAGGCAAAGATATTAATTCAGTTTTCTTTCAGCATAACTTTGAAAAACCGAGGCACAACATCAATGCAATTGGAAAAGAGAAACACGCATTATTCACTCCTTTCATAAGTTCCGGAATGAACTTTGTGTCTGGAAGCTCCCTTGCTCCTGGCTTTGAAAAATCTGATCCTCTTTTAGGTTCGTATATTTTGTTTCTTGTTATATTCCAGAACAAATCTCGTCATAAATTTTTTTTCCACAGGGCATTTTGACAGTTTGTCTCTCAAGCCGTACAACATGGGTAAATCTAATGACAGAGACTTGGACTCGCCTAACTCAATAGCACAAGGCTTAACATCAAATTGTAAATTTTCTTGATTTGTTTCTGTGTCGGTTTTGATCAAAAATGTTGCTGCAGTGTTAGGAAGTTCTGCGCCAGTGAATATCCCGACAAGATCAAGAATGGAACTAGGTTCTCTAGCATCGCCATCTTCTCCAAATGTACGTTTGCTCTCAGGAATTGGACCATTCCATGAATCTTTAGAAGAAGTGTGTTTTTCTATAGAAATGACTAAAAATCTTTATATCTTTTCAATTTCAGAACTCTTTCTTTGGGGATCCTATGGGCAAGAGCAAAATAGGTAGTTACCCATCTGCATCTGGTAACCTGTATAGCTTTTCACCTCCAGCGAATCCAGCAATAACTCGGCCAACATCCATACCTCCAAACTCGATGGGATCCATGCATTCAAAAATTTCAGAAACAAATGATGTAATTTTTTTCCATTTTGTTGGTTTTCATTTACTATCTTCTTGATTTATTATAACAGATGAAAAAGGTGCAAGAAATGGCCAGTCCTAACCGTGCAGCAATAGTAACCTGGGAAGAACGAATTGCTCAAGCTAGAGTAGCGTGTGAGGCTTGGAAACAAGAGGCTGAAGATAGCAAGATCAAAGCGAAAATGGCAAATCAGCAGCGAGATGACGTGAGTTGCAATCAAATTGGTAAGAGGGGGCAAAGTAAATACACATGTGTTTCAATAATTGCAGGCTTTGATGCAAGTAGCGACGATGAATCAGGAGTTGGAAAAGATGAAACAAGATCCATTCTTAGTTGCACTGAATAGGCAGTCTGATTTAAAGAACTTCCCTATGCATGTATTACAATCACTGCACGCAAGATTGAAAAGAGATTTGGATGAAATTAGCCGCGTAAGTTTTAATTTTCTAATTGTTGTTAAGTATTTTTACCGAAAATGCTCCTTCATAGGTCATTGGAGAGAAATGTATGGATATCAAGACGTGATGCATCATAGAAATGGCAATTTATCACACCGATGAGATAAGCATTCAATATCCTATGAACTAACTAACCGATATAAATTTATACTTTTTATCAAAAAATAGAGGAATTATTTTTAATTTGATATCAAATTTTTAAATTTATTTTAAATATCCCGATTTGTACTACGCGGACATTATATCTCTTTGGATGATAGTCCCAATAAAACTAAATTTTCTCTCAGTACGAGCTTAATTATTATTTGCATGGAACGCCTGAATGAATATGAATTTAAGCTTAAGAGGATTCACAGACAATTATGAGCGTCTGCCGTCTCCTTCAAATAATTATTTACAAATAATGACTTAGGTTCTATTTTGCACATAAAATAATATTTTTTCAATTAATAAAAATGATTATTATTTGTCATTGTTAACTGCGCTTGCTATGAAAGAAAAATTAAGGAGGAGGAATATGAAGCATAAATATTACATAATTTGTTTGCCAAAGTTAAAAAGAATGATGTGCTGTTTTACTATTTCTTGTTTCCAGCAATGCAAAATTAATTTAAATATCCATGAAATCCATGATTCTTTCTTTCACAATGGTATTCCTAAAAAAAGCTTTTCAACAGGATGTTTGACGTTTGACCTCCATATTTTTTAACAGTAAGCAGAAGATGCAGCTTGCTACACATCTTCGAAGTGTCAGATGTGTAGATGCAGAGGTTCCTCAGATTTGGTTACCTAGAATATAACGCATGATTTTCCAGAAATAAAGTTGTTTTTAAATGATGTGCTAATGTAAAAATCTGATTCCTAATGACTTTTATCATCAGATGCTTTCCTGGGTACTAAAAAAATAATAATCCTGATATTTTAAAGAGTAATAAATTTAGTAGGCCACACGGCTTAATTAATTTCTATATCTAAATTCAATACTTTTCCTATAGTAATATAATTTAGATAATTTAAAAGTTAAACAGGTATTTTTGTAACATCTAAACAACTAAAATTTTATTCATTTTACTTCGCACTTTCACAGTGAATACAATTAGACAGCAGCTGAAATCACTTCTGTCATCTTCTTGACCTTGCTGGCAATGCTCATATCTACATATTTATCTCCAATGCTGACAATCATTCCTCCAAGGAGTTCAGGATCAACTTTCGTGGTCAGCAGAATAGTCTGGCCCTTCTTGAGAAATCCGTTAAGGGCTCCTTCAAGCTCCTTCCTGGTGGCCTCATCAAGGGGCTACAGGAGATTTTAATGTTACAAATTGCAATGTACAATTGAGTTTTTACACAAATACCTTGGCTGTTGTGACTTCGCAGGCGACCTCGCCCCGGTGAGCGGCCATCAGAGTTTTGAACAAGCCAATGACAGACCCAAGGCTCTTCAGACGACCATTTTCGGCCATAAGAGCTGTTCAACAGATCAATTAGAATCACTTTTTAATTGAATTAAAAATTTATTTATTACTCATAAGGTTGGTGGACAGGCTGGACAGCTTGAGAGCAGCACCAATCTTGGTCAGGGCCTCCTTCTTGGCTCCCCGCTGGATGATAGGGGTCTTGATGAACTCCCGCAGCCTGGCATCAGCTTTCATTTGATTCTGTCAATATTATACAAGTAAAATGATTGGCTCTGAATGATCAATAAAATGCCATGCCTGGAATCCAGTGAGCTCCTTTTCGACAATGTCCAACTTCTTCTCCTTACTGGCGGCCGAGTACAGGGCAGTGGCATAGCGACCCTCAAGTCCAAAGACCTGGATGGGGGCCTTCACCATCTGCCCGGAGGCAGCAGAAGAGCTGAATGCTCGCACCTAAAATTAAAAGTGTTAAAAATTCAAATTTCTAAGACATTAGAATAAAATTGTCAGCCGGTATGACTGAAAATCAGCGAGTGAAAATGTTGAAAAACGACGATTTAATCCATTCTCGCTTGTTGGGGCTAGTATTTTATGTAAAATTAAGTGGCGGGACATTTAAGGAATTAGATAAAAGTTCAGAATCAGTCAAATTTTAAGTCATAAGTGCGATAATTCCAAATATTTGAAAGATTTCTTACAGACAGAAGGGCCCTGCTCGTCGCCATAATTTCCGCAGAAGAATTAGTTACTGACACCGCCGGTAGGTGGCAGTAAAGGACGGAAACAAAATTGTGCGAAACTGCGAAAGTGAAAGGCGTGGTGACTGCCTGCCGTCGTGCCGTCAATGTTGGTCAATGTCAACCATATAATGTCAACAATAAAGAAGATGGTTAGTTCAGGTTGGATTTTTAAATAAAAAGACACTCGGGACATTTCTGCATCTGCAATCTACTTGAAAAAAAAAGAAGATGGGAGTTCACGGCCTGTGGAAGCTCTTGGAGCCCACGGGGCAGCCTGTCAACCTCGAGACGTTAGAAAATAAAGTTCTCGCCATTGGTAAAATAATTATATTATAAATAATTCCATGCTTTTGGAAATGTCACAAAACTAAATTATTATTTTAGACGTCTCGATGTGGCTTCACCAGGCCATGAAAGGCTATCACGATGCCAGTGGCAATGCGTTGCCCAACGCTCATCTGCTTGGCCTTTTCCATCGAATCTGCAAGTTGATGTTTTACAACATAAAGCCGGTCTTTGTTTTCGACGGCGGTGTCCCACAGTTGAAGAAGCAAACCCTGGTAATAATCAATCGCAATTTTTGTTTTAAAATTTGCCTAAAATGGTTTGATTTATTTAGGCCAAACGCAAGCAAATGAAAAAGAGGGCTGGCAAAAAAGCTGAACAGGAGCGACTGAGGCTGCTGAGGAATCTGATGGAACAGGACATGATTCAGAGGGCCAAAGGAAACTCTTCTGGAGCAAATTTAAAGTAATTTAATGCAATTTTTTTTTTCTTCGAAAGACTTGTTTTATGGACATAGGAACATAAATAAAAAATTGGCTTTGTTTAATTTTTTTTTTAGATTGCCTGCATCAATGAAGAAAAATGCATATTCGGATTTCGTCCTGCCTGAAGAAGAACCTGAAGCAATCAAGCTTTTTCATGCAGAAGAGACTGGTAGTATTTTTTATGGATCTTGTATAATTATCAAGTTTCAATTTTTCTAAAGACTCCAGTGATGACGATATCGAAGAAATCATCACCTGGGAAAATTTCAATCCAAACAGTAAAGAGTTCAAACAGTTACCTGCAAATTCCAGACTTGAAATCCTCAGTCACCTGAAAGACACAAGGAAGCAAAATTCATGGGGAAGAATCCACGAAATGCCTCAGGTTTTTGTTAAATTTAATATGAGGTGTAAAATTATAATTTATTTTAAAACCCAAAATGAAATTACTTAATTGATGTTGTTTATTTGTCCTCAAGTTAAAATCTTGTTTTTATATTGGATTCTTAAAAATAATGTATTTACAATTAAAAAAAAAAATTAAATGTCGGAAAAAAACGGCACCAGCAAGAATTTTTCTGAAAAATGACTCCTCAGAGTCCTCAGGCACTCTCAATGAACTTAAAATTATCAGAGACAATAAATAACAACAATAATAATTTCATTACTTTCAATATAATAGCTTTAAACTTAATTATAAACTCTAATTCTTGCAACAAGAGTTACAATTTTGTATAAAATATTTATTGTATGAAGATAAACAATTGACTGATTTTTATAAAGGAATCGGACGTATTTTCGGGATTTCAAATGAAGAGACTTCTACTCCGACGATCTGCCCAGGTCGAACTCGAATTTGCAGAAAAAGAGTTGAGCAAGCGACACACACTGTCAATGGAGGAAATCAAAGAGATCATGGCTGAAAAGGGCAGCTTGGCCAGCAAGTTGGCTGAAATGGATACCGATTATGGCCAGAGAATTTCATCTGATGCTGTTACAAGGTAAATAGCAGTATTTGAATGGGTTGGAATATTTTTTAACAATATAAAAAAGATTTATTTTGATAAACAACCCTGATCAGCGGGAGGCCAAATTAGCTGTTGAGGGCAATGATGAACTTGAGGTAGCCACAACCTCGACTATCATAGTGAAACAAGAATTAGGAGGAGAAGAAACCACCAATGATGACCCATTCCCAGAAGACGTAATTCCGAGACCTGTTAAAAAAGAGGTGAAATAAAAGCTGTCTTAATTTTTTAACTTAAAATTAAAACATTTTAGATCGATGAAACTGAATTTACCCAGGAGGAAATCATGGCCATCATTAGCAGTACAAAGGAAGCACCAAAAGAGGAAGTGGTTGTGGTTTTAGACGATGATCCAAGTCAGCCCTCAACTTCAGCAGCATCATCTAGCATTTTAAAACAGAGGAAAAAGCTCCTGGAAATACTTTTGGATTCAGAGGACCAGATTATTTCCGACGACAGTATTTTTATCGAGGAAAAGACTGAAAATGTCAAGATTTCAATGCACCAGAACTTAAGTGATGAAACCAAAGAGAGAGCACCGAAATTGTTAGAAGATGGTAATGATAAACTGCTGGAAGTAAAAGAAAATCAGTCCTCAACTTTGGTAGCAACGTCCTGCCTTTTAAAACAGAGGAAAATCCAGGAGAACCAAACCAGTCCTTCTGATGGGAAAAAGCTACTGGAAATACTTTTGGACTCAGAGGCCCAGAATAATTCTGATGACGATATTTTTATTGAGGAAAAAACTGAAAATGTTCTAGTTTCAATGCGTCAGAACTTCAGTGATGAAACCAAAAAGGTAGCACCAATAATGGTCGGAGACAGTAGATATGAACTTCTGGAAGTGATAGAAAAGCAAAAGATTGTTAATATTGAGAAAGAACAGGAAAAGTCCATTGACATTCATGTGAATGTTGAGAAGATTTTACCAAAGGAAGAAGACATTTTTGCAGAAGTTTTTCCTGTTAAGAAAAGTACAGAAGATTTTGGTGTAGCTTCTTCTCCAGCGTCCGCCGTATCTGTCGTCGGTGTCATGAGCAGTTGTGAGGAATCGATCGACGAAGATGAAGAAGATGAACTCCCAGAAGAAGTGCATAAAGAAGCCAAATTTGATGGAATGGAGACTGTTGATCCTGGTGAAATTCTTGAACACAAAGAAGAAGAACCTCAATCACAAATCAGCAATTTCCGAAATATGAACTTCACCGAAGAAGAATTAAAACAGCTAGAGGTAAATACTAATAATACTCTTAAGTTTTTCAACTTTTATCAAGCAATAATTAATTAGGAGAAACTTGCCAAAGAGAGTACAGAAATTGTCAAAGAAATTGGCCGTCAAGAAAGGATTGCAACAAACATCAGTGACCAAATGTGTCAAGAAGCGCAAGAGTTGATTGCACTTTTTGGCATGCCATTTGTGGTGGCTCCCATGGAAGCGGAGGCTCAGTGTGCCATGCTAGATTTGCTATCCCTCACGCATGGTTCAGAATTGTCATTTAATGAATCTAAGCTTTTAAACATTTTGCAATTTTTAGGAACTGTAACAGACGACAGTGATATTTGGCTTTTCGGAGGTAGAACTGTATACAGGAATTTTTTCAATCAGGCAAAAAATGTTGAGAGATACACCAATGAGTCTATTTCAAAAAGCTTCAGTGAGTTACTTATTAACTAAAAAAATGTCTACGTAGACTTTAATTATTTTAGGGCTGACAAGAGACCGCCTGATCCTATTGGCAATGTTGGTGGGCAGTGACTACACTGTTGGTATTTCTGGTGTTGGGCCTGTTACTGCTCTTGAAATCATTTCTGAGTTTGCCTCAAATGTGCAAGGGGAGATAGCAGACCCCGAAGAGCTAGTTATGCCACTAAAGAACTTCAGAGAGTGGTGCGTCTCCAGGAATATAAAAAATTTGAGACAGAAAAAACTAAAAACAACACTCAAAGATATATCTTTCCAAGATGGTAAATTTTGAAAAATTGTGAAGCTATAAAAAAGAAAATGATGATTACAAATTGCAGGTTTCCCAAGTGAGGCTGTTGTTAATGCTTATGTTCACCCTCAAGTCAGTGAATCTAAAGACAAGTTTTCATGGAGCAAACCAGATATTGAGGGCCTACTCAAGTTCACCTTGCACAAATTTGGTTGGAGCAAAGGACATTCTGAGAGTATTTTAGACCCAGTAATCAAAAGAATGGGAGAATCTAAGGTATATCATCAGCAGTTAAATTAATATCAATTTTTAAATTTTTATTTTGACAGATTCAGGGTCGCATCGATGCGTATTTCCCGACATTGACTCCCACCAACAACAAGAGCATTGATTTGGTTGTTAGTTCAAGAGTACGAAATGCAATTAACCAGCTCAACGGCTTTGCGTCCGAAAGCAACGTTGATCTTGAACCTCAGCCCTCAACCTCCACGGCTGCTAAAAACTCATCTGCAGTGAAAAGTGATAAGTCTGCGCCTAAGAAAAGCAAACTCGCAATCACGCCATCAAAGTTAAACGAATTCAAAAAGCAGCTTGTGAAAAAACCAAAGGCTACCCCACTCGAGAGTCTGAACAAAAAGGTGAATGTTCCAAAGAAAGAGTCAATTCCTCAGAGGGAGAAGGACAAACAAATTTCTCTGCAGAGTAAGCTTAAAGCAATTGAAGTGTTCCGAAAGAGGAAAATCGACCCAGCTATCAAGCCTCGAAGGCCCAAGAGACTTGTTGCTAAAGACAATTACTTATCCGAGAGCAGTGACAGTGACTAATTATATGTATGATAATGTATGTGATATGAAATGTTTAAAAATTGAAGAAACACAAATTAAATTATATGCAAAATAAGTATGCTATTTATTGAACAAATACAGGTATAGTACTTATTTACTTGTTAATTTTTTTAAGGATTAACCTTTTAATGACCTGATTAGTGCAGAATAAACAATAATCATAGCAAAAAAAATTTAATTAATCATCTTCAAATAAAATGTGCAGAAAATGATTAAAATACTATTTGTGATATAATAGCATGGTGCACTCTTAAATCTATGATATAAATTTATTATTTTTATCAATGGCCAGATCTTGATGAGCATGTTGGAATTGATGACGACCACTTTCCATTTCTCAAACATCTCAACATGGGCGCGCCCTTGAGCTCCATGTTGTCCTCGCAAGTGAACGTGATAGTCTCTCCAATTTTGTAAAAGAATTTGACTGATGACATCCTACCGTTGATTGCTGTTCCTGGATATGAGCATGCTTGCACGCCTGAAAAATATATCATCGGAATATAATTTTCAATTATAATCATTATGGTCTTGCGACTAAATTTGTGTTGAGATCTAGTTTGGGAAATTGTGTATCAAGAGAAGTCAAGATGCCCAAAACTTACATTTTGGGACTGTGCCCGACCACCTGCCGGTTTCTTGGCACGCTATTATAGGTTGGCCCTCCATCATAAATTCGGGGTTACAATTAAACTGGATCAAATCTCCAGCTTTGTATACACCGTGACCCTGAATATAGCCGTTCTCCGGAGTTTCAGGAGGTTCGCATTGCACCTCTGAAACATTCAGGCTGACTTGAGCACACACAAAATTGGAGGTTCCCCCCATATTTGCCAAAAGTTACAGAGGGTTCCAAGAGAAAGCAATTCCATGAAGGGTGCCATGGTTCAAACATTCTTTTCTTTAACCGTCAAATACTGACCACTGCATTCTGGTAGAGGACCGGACCATTCTCCAGTTGACAGACACTTCGACTCTTGGCCACCGGTGATTCCAAAGCCCTGAGCGCAGCTGAAAACCGCCTTTCCTCCTACTTCCCTGCTCAAGATTGTGACTCGAAGGTTAGGGTCGTTGGCAGTGGAAATGTCTCCGCATTCAATGCCTAGAATGTATTAAAACATTTGGGGTTTAAAATATAAATTTTTCAAATGTAGCGCCTTACTTTCACACACAGGCACAGGCGCACTCCAATTTCCTGATGGCAGACAGGTGATTTCTTCATGGCCAATGAGGACACTTCCATTCAGACAGGTAAACAGCACCCTTGAATTCATTCTGGTGTTCTGCGAGGAGATGGTCATTCCTGGTCGAGGAGCCAGCATTGGGCAGTGCACGCCTAAGAATTACTTTTTAAGACCTTTTCCATTCAATTTCCTGCTTTTTTCCTTACGGTTTACAACAATTTCTACAGCATGGGTGTGCCGAGTTGGCGTCATACAGGTGAAGACACCCGAGTCATCTTTGGTCGCATGCAAAATGCTCAAACGATACTCAAGTTGTGAGTCTCGCCCAGTGTCCTCGGTCCATCCCTCTGGATATTTTCTAAGATCAATAGAAAATTTGAAAATTTTGATTTAAAACTATACACAGGCCTACCTGTAATTGTGACTGACAGTCCACTTGGGTGTTCCAAAACGCCTGATCCACAAGCACTCCATGTGCAAAATTGTTCCAGGATAGACGATGAGTTTTCCATCATTGCTTTGAGCGATCGGTCCGAGTTGGTGTCGGAATAATATAGTTGGTGGCTTTTCCACTAATTATTATTTTATAAGTTATTTAAAGAAAAAATTAAAACTTAAGAGCCTTACATGCATATTCATTTTCTTGATTGAGTCCAAAGCAAACTGGCTTTTGGCCGTCCCACTCTCCATTCTCACACTTCCTTAACTTTGAACCAACCATTGAGTACTTTCCGATATCATTGCATCTAGCAACCTAAAATATAACGGATTCTTAGTGAGAATCTTTGCACAATAAATATAGACTCCATACCAGTTCTGAACCTGGTGGAAATTCTACAACCTCATCAGAAATTACTTGGTCGTTGAAGAAGTAAATCAAGTTAGGCTCCGTATTGCGGAATACGCAAGAATGGTTTTGCAAATTTTCTTCCTCGATCAGCTCTTCAGGCGAGGCGCAGTTCAAAGATCGTCCAACCCAACTGCCATCCTCACACACGATTTTCCATGTTGTCTTTTCACCCATGATGGAAGCGATGCAGTCGAAGGTGACCTCTGAGCCGCCAGGGAAGCTCTTGTCTCCCTCTGCAATTGGTGACCCGTCTCTGTAAAGCAGAGAGCCTTGCACCCTGGCAGGAGGACCACAAGGTTGGCCCTTTGATCGAGTGACGCTTGGTGTGTTACCACTGAATTTGTCAGCACCTAATCCTACACATGAAAATTTGTTGGACTTAAAAAAAAATTATCAAATAATTGAACCTGCTCCCAGAGCTGCCAAGTCTCCCGAGGTCCTTGTAATGCCTGCCCCGGCAGAGGAGAAACTGCCGACGGACCCTTTGAGTCGACAAGACGGTGGCGCTGGTAGGAGTTCTCCGTTAGAACACTCGATGGAAGACTGAGGACTTCGGGTGTAGTCCGGTTCACACTGGTAGTGAATTTTGGCGCCGTGGGCGATGGTCAGGCCTCCTCTGTACCCCGATAAATATTGACCATTTTTAAAGTGCGGCAGTCGACAAGGAGCTGAAACAACTAGTTTCAGAAAAGTTCCTGTTAAAAATTTGCAAATTTCTTACAGGGATGGCAACTAGGAAAGTTGCTATTGGTCCAATTTCCGTGCTCGCAGTGGAGAGTTGAGGTTCCTTGAATGTTATAGCCTCGGTTGCAGCCTAAAATTATGGACTGGTTGGTTTTAATTTCAGCATCGGCAAGGACTATGTTCCCGTTCAGTGTGTAGCGCCCAGAGTTGACAGCAGGCACATGGCAATTCACTAAAGTATTTTAAATTTTTAATTGAAAATTGAAAATTTTCACTATTTTGTCATACTTATGACACAGTCTGGTTTAAGAGGTTTCCAATTTCCTTTGACGCAGCGCGCTGTTCGGTTTCCTAGAGTCGGGCTAAAACCTCCTGTACATTCCAACCGCACCACTGTACCCAAGCTGTTGGTAACGTTTGTATCTTGACCGGGTTTGATGACCTGGATTTCAATGTACGACTCCACTGGTAATGACTCGCAAGTGGCTAAAATTGCACATTAATAGAATTCACAAATGGTTTGTTAAAAAGCATACCTTTCTGCCCCTTCTCAATGTTCTTCCTGTTCTTGTTCTGCCGGCCAGTGCCGCCGCTCTTGTTCCTATTACGCTTTCTTTGTTTATCAATTGAGGTGACCGTTTTGGTTGCCACGGCTTTTGAATGCGCCTGGGCTCCTTGCATCAAGTTTCTCCAATCATTGGGCCCGTAGTCAGTGAACTCAGGAATGCCTTGTTGGGAAACAGCTGCATGGTAGTCGTCATACTGGTAGTCTATTAAGTAGTCAGAGTGAGTGTTGTTTTCCTTCAACTGGCGCTCAACTTCTTCAGCACTCTCCTTCCGAACCTCTCTGTTCCACCGCAGCCTAGGGTGCTGCCCAGGAACACACCTAGAAAAGAGTATCTCAATTTGTGATTTAAAAGCTGCTATGTATTTATGTATTTCCAAAATGAAATATTTTTTTTAAATTCAACTATGAGAAACAAAATTGAAGGAAAATATTGGAAACCTCGGAAGTTCTTTCGGACTCCAGTGACCTCCGATGCAAGTGGCACCAGGTGGACCGTCTGCCAAAACATAGCCTCGGTCACAATCGTACATGATCTGCTTGTTGTTGGTAACTTTTCTGACATAGGGTCTGTAATCATAAAGGCCCATATTGCCGACCAGCATCACCTTGCCATTTTCGATGTAACCAGGGAATGGGCAGTACACTGAAATGGATATTGAATTTTAAAATTAGGCTTCTTTTTCGAGAATGTTCCTTCTCACCTTCCATGCAAACTGGAGCGTCACCAGTCCAATTTCCATAATTGCAGAGAGATAAACTGTTGCCCTTCAACGAGAATCCGTCTTTGCACTTGTAGCGCGCCTTCATGTTGTGATCCGTTTTGGGCGCAATCACCATTCCGTTCCTTGGCGCTTTGGGCAGTTGCTTGCACCGTGCTAGAATTTTTATCAATAAAATTTTCATCACATTCACTTTTGAATTTCAATTAATTACCTGGCTCACACCTGGGAATGTGCGTCCAAGTGCCATTGTTGCAAGTCACCATTGAGGTGTAGGGCACAAATTCATGATGAGGCTCACATTCCACCTCTAGACGATAGCCGTGTGGCACAACTGGCCCCTGCGTGATGTTCCGAATAACTCGACCCTTATGCACGTTTGGAATAACACAGGGTCCTGTAAAAATAAAAACATCAAAAATTCGTTTTATTTTCTTTAATAATGCAATATTTTACCTAGGCATTTGGGCAGGGGGTAGCGCCAGGTTCCGTCCATCTGACATACTGTTGACGAGTTTCCTTCGAGAACCATACCCTCTCTGCACCGGAATATAATAGACGCTCCTAACAACGTGCCTCCCTCGATGCCCTCCAACCAACCATTGTACAGGTGACCAGGGTGTCCGCAGTTCACCTCTGAAATTTATTAAAAGCGGAAAAAATAAGAATAAAAATTTTAATTATAAAGCAGACTATGCTAACCAGAAGCTTAGCAAGTACGTGACTTTAAAAGAAGATCAAAATTTTGAGGCCACTCACCTGTCAGGCACGATCCAGAGGTGCATTTGACAGTTTTAGCCGGAGGCAGGCACTTGGTCTTATCGATATCTTCTGGTTTGCATATCTGCACCTCTGCATTCAGAAGAAATAGGCATTTAAAAGAGATATAATTGAGCATAAGACAGCAAGAGCGGAACTAGAGGCTAGTTTAACTTGGCACTCACGTTTGCAGGCCGGCGGCTCTCCAGACCACTGGCGGTCGGGGCCGCAACGTCTGGTCGAGTCACCGATCAAGCGGAACCCCTGTTTGCACTCATAGCTGACCACTGAGTTGTAGGCGCAAGAAGTGTAAATTGCCTTGCCATTGGTGGGGTTTTCGGGCGTCGGACATTGCACCGCTGGTGAACAAGAAAAACATGGGGTACCTTCAGTGAAAGGGTTCTCATAAGAACCGCCCACTTGTCCAATCACGCAGGTTTTGCATTCTTTTGCTTGACTTACAATTATGAATTTTAGGGAAAAATAGAATGCTCGTCCTGCTTCCGATCAATTTCCAAGAGGTGGCCAAAAAATTAACTTGGCAAATACTCACGAACACACATCGGCACCTCTTTTGGGTACCAACTCCCGTCATTCTGACACACTCTTTCAGGTCGACCACCTTGCAGCTCGTACCCAACAGCACAGTGGTAGGATATTCTGCAGCTGTATGTATAACAATCGCCCTCAATCCACCCATTTTCAGTTCCTAAAGGTGGGCCACACGTTCTTGCTAAAACACACAAAAATCAATTTAATTTTGAATTTATATACTTTCTCATCAATTATTACGATCGCATGTGATGTCCGGTCCAAACCAGGTGGCGTTTCTGTCCAGGTTTAAACACTTGGCGTGCGGAAATCCAGTGGTCGCATAACCAGGTTGGCAATGGTACTGCAGGGTAGTGTCCACAGCAAAGGACAGTTGGTCTACTGGAGCCGTGTGTCTGGCAAATTCAATTCTAGGCGCCTCACCACAAAACACTGACAATTAAATTAAAGAATAAATTTGAGCTTTTGGTTTTCTCTTCAATTTTTTAAGTAATCTTTTAAAATATAAATTATAATTAACAATTATACATATTTTGTAATTTTTTGTCATGATTTCAACAATTTAATAAATAATTTTTAGAAACCACAATTATGAGATGAAATTATATTTTTTACTTTCGAATTTTTACTTATAATTGCTATATCTATTTTTTTTTTTTTTTTTTTTTTTTAATAGAAACAACCGGAGCCAGCAATATGTCTTTATGTATCAGATATTTAGGCAATATATTCATTCTCAATCCCATTCTTATTGTTAGCTCTTGAAAATTGTAAACCATTCATTTTAGAGCAATGATTCTATTTATATGAGGCAGTTCTTTGAAAAATTTAATTTATATTAAATGATTGTAAAGTGGAGTATTTTTTTATTATCTATAATTCATTTTTCCTGTACATAGCTCTGTTTATTTTATTAATTTGCAATTTTTTTTAATTTATTCTAGAGAATATTATATTTTCAAGTACCAGTCTCCTTGCTACAAATGGGGGCCTCCCCTGACCATTGTCCGTCTGCTTGGCATGTTCGCTCCTGCAGCCCGACCAAGTTCCACTCGTCCTGGCAAGTGTAGATTGCCCGTTCGCCAAACAGACGTCCTGTTATTCTGACAAAGCCCATAGACGGCGGTCCCACCTCGTCGCACTCCCTGTCCGGCTTGATGCAGGACATGCCGCAAGCGCCATCGCACAGGCATTTCTTCTTTTTGCTCTTGCAGTCTTCATCCGACGAACATTTCCGCAGGCATTTCTGGTTCTGATAACCGGAGTTGATTGATATAGATTTGCTCCTAAAAAAATTATAAAAAAAAAGTTTTCCTACATAGAGCTCAGCCTGCTCCTCATCTCGGGGACATAGTGACGATGGCGAGTTCCTTGGGTTTTTGTAGATGCGCGGTTCATCGGCTTCTTGGGTCACATCTTCCTCGTCCGAATTTATAATCTGGCTACTGACCTTATCAGCGAGAGACTCTGCAAATTGTTTACATCTTAGATTAAGTTCTCTCTTATTTCAATATTTCTTAATCTCTATATAAAAATAAAAAATATAATAGCTTCGAGAATTAAAAAATCGGTCTATTACAAGGCAGATTTCTTTTTCTAAATTGACTTGATTTATTGACAGTTTAGGCTCTGCTGGATAAACGTCTGAGGAAGATTCCGCCAACAAAGCGTAATGCAGGGTTATACGAATCAGAGATGCTGCAATTATCCCATTGTGCTCCTTGAATGAAGCATCAACCATTAATACGCCAAGGTCAGAAAATTTTTAATGAGTGATCAAATAAAAGGATCCTTTCTTCTTACATAATCGCAACCAACAACCTCAACGGCTGATGATTGAATGGTTTACTGCGTTTGTATATCCCGGAAATTTGAAATTAAAACAATTATTTAATTTAAAAATAATAATATACAATCAATTAAACTTATCAGAAGACTTACTTTAAATAAGTGGGTGAAAAATATATAGAAGGGAAAAGTCGTTGGATAAAATGAACTTGCCATACAAGCAAGCAGTATGTTAACAAATCATAAAGCGCCAAATGGGGTTGGTCGGGACTAATTACCTGTAACGCTTAGTAGGCAGAAAGTGAAAACAAACAATGTAACGAGCGAGATCTGCTTCATTGTCCGCTTAGAGACATGCCTCCGATTCGCATACTGCTGCTCGCGAGAAACGTAGCGCACAACGAAAGCCGTTCGCGACGGCTGCAGCTCCCCTAAAGTGAACCTATCCATCTTTCTCGACGCTCTTTCGGTTCCCCTTGCCATTCGATACAGGGAGATTTTCATCACGCGCTTTTGGTTCCATTAACAAGGGACTTCAATTATGCTCTTGCAACAGTAGGGGTCACACGTACAAACCGCCTATATAATATTATTATTATACCACACTCCACCGACGGACGGTTGCTCAAGATATTTTTTTTTATGAATGAAATCTGAAGAGATTTTAACAGTTTGCAGTTTATTGATGATTTATATCAAAAATATTTAAAGAGCAGTCTGCACTGCTCACTCTGTTCTTACCTAAAAGAAGGTACTTGGCAGGACAAGAGACGCGGTTGCCGTAAACTCGATCGTTTCTGCGACTCGGCGAGACACGCCGTCGTCCGTCCCACTGCAAAATTCAGACCTTATTAACTCCCATCGTGAAGAAAGCTCGTGCGACAGTAATACAATAAAGTTTGCAAAAGTTCTTTGACAGTGACGTATTAAGATATCAATTGGTGGAAAACAAATATATATATATAAATGTCCAAATTTCAAAATAGTTGAAGGCAATAATAAAGATCAGAGCGCATCACATTTTGCAATAATATGTGTAAAGTCAAGTAAATACGAGTTTCAAATAAGAAAATAGTCTACAATGATAATATATATGTTCGGTAGAATTATATAGTGAGGTAATAACTTGTAAAACCAATCCTGCAAAAAGTTTTAAGATATAAAATTGTTTATAATATAATCATATAATGATTGGCAAATATAATGAAGCATATAATTATATTGAATGAAGAGATTATATAATATATATATGTAACAAATAAACAATACTACTTAAATCACCTCTGTCGTCAGTCGGGGCAAAATCTTGGGAGCTGGCCACCTGAGCAAAGATCCTGGGATGCTGCTTTGGAAATTCGATGGCAATTATGTTCATTGCATTTTATTCAATTTCAAACAGAACCTCGTACCGTCAAATCAATTGATCCGAGAGTTGTAAGGATTTTTTAAAGGAACAAAACGTTCTACAGCTAACATCAGGTTAATAGGCAGATTTGCAGTTTATTTTTTTGTCTGAATCAGAATATTTACGTACTCTAGCAAAACCATATAGGAGGCAAAAGGATAAAGCAAGCAGCTAGAATAAGGTAAGAAGTATGCCACAAATCAACTCCATGTATATTACAAAGGATAAAAGCAATGTGGAATGTTTTGGAATTCACAGTATGCCTTTTAACCAACCGTTTAGTGCTGCAAAAGGAAAATATAACGATAAAAAAGAAGCTGCTCCAGACAAAGATTAAAACGATCTAAAAAGTAAAATATGTGTTCACAGAAAAAACAGGTTACGCGCAAGAGGGGTCAAGAAAACTTACCTCTTATGAGCAAAAAAAAATTAACCCTCGCCGATGTTAACAGCACACATAAATTAAGTTTACTTTTTTAATGGAGTTCAAATTTAAAGATCAAAATATAGCAATTAAAGAGAGATCAGGCTATGAAATGTGCGAGAATTTTTTTGACTCCATCTGGAAAAAACGACAAATTACAAATAGAGTTCATAATTTGCAATAATAACACAGAGTAAATGCATTTTCAAACGAATTATCATATATTTATCATTAAGTTGAACCTAAGCATGTATTACAATGTTTACCTACTTGCATACACAAATCTTCATCTTCAATCAAACAACCGACCGGCAATGATAATCAAGTTTATAATAGTCGCATCGTAATCCACAAATAGACAGAGAGGTTCCGAAAATGCTACACAATCAGTAAGAACCAAGAATACAAACTTGTGTTTGTGTTCACGCGCGCGAGAAAAAAAAACGAGCTTAAGTGTACAAAATTCCCTCTCTCAGGTTTCATGATAAAAAATAATTTCTTTTACTTTCCACTTGTTTGTCCATCGGCAATCATTTGCACATATTTGCGTGGTCACTTGTTGATGGGCTTGAAATAGGCGATTAGTGTTCCCCCGGGACACAAGGAACGCAGCCCGCGCTTCGGAGCCGCACATTTTGCAGATTCCACGTGTGGCAAAGTAAAAAGGTCAAGAAATAATCATACTCGACGCACACATGAGAGTCGCATATATATGTAGAGGTTATTATGGTCTACCAGTAAGTAAGTTTGATACCATAACTGCATATATAGTGGTTATATAAGTGAACCAAAGTGTAGAGCATGAAACCTGCCATTAACCAAAGAATTATATATGTATTGTACGTATATTATATATTCATATCGCAATACCAAAGAAATTATCGAGAATAATAAGAATAAAAACGTGAATAATTACGAAATGTCAAAAGCAATGATCATATTATATATCGAGACGATAATTTATGACTGCTGTCAATCTAACTCCATTCCAGTTTCAGTTGGCAGTATTCTGGCTTGTTCTGAAAAAGCAAAATTAAGTTACACACTATCAAGACAACACTGTGGATGCGTGAATTTTAGCCAAATGAAGAGGCTTTTGGCTCAGCTCGTCAGTGATAAATAGTAAAATAATGCTAGAGGAGGTCCCCTGAAAAAATTTCACTACTAATACACGCATACACAAGTGAGTGAGAGAGATAGAGAGCAAAAGACAAATTCATTGGTTTTGATTCATGGCGACCGAATAGAAACTGAACCAAAAGTAAATAAACCATCGCATTGATCAAAACAAAGAAACAGCTTTACTCACTTTTAGTTTTCTGGTCCTTGGGGCTGTCCCCCGTAGCCTCCGTAGGCTGGGTAGCCACCGTAAGACTGGTTGGGCATTCCCGACGGAGGTTGACCTTGGCCTCCGTAGTAGTTAGGGTAGCTGTACTGATAAGCCTGGCCGCCCGGCATCTGCGCTCCGGCCGGCGCACCAGCAGGTGGACCTCCTGGCTGCTGACCGGGACCTCCCTGCTCCTGTATCAAAAAACCCAAAAGTTAAATCCACTCTCAACATTTAACCCTTGCAACTCAAAATACCTTAGCTTTCATTTGAGTTTCTATAGCCTCAGCCTCCTTGATTTTGCCGATGGACCTGTAATACTCGGCCCACTGCAGGCTGTAATCCGGCTGGCCGTTGGCCGCCACCGGCTGCGGAGTTCCTTGCTGCGGGGGCATGCCCTGTGCGGCAGGTGGCTGCATAGCCTGGTCGAAGACAAGTCCCTCCTAAGAATAGAAAATTATAGATTGAAGTTAGTCACTCTCGCCAATAAAACAATCGACTTTCACTATAGATCAACCGGCTTTTTACTTTCGGAAACAAAATTTTTTTTGCTTCGTCAAAAAAAAAATGATACCTTTTGAGCTTTAGCCTGCTGCTCGATCATTTCAGCCTCACGACCCATGCCTAGAGAGCGGTAGTATTCCGCCCACTGCATGCTGTAATCTGGCTGGCCAGTCTGGGGGTTTACCTGGATGCCATTGTTGGGGTCGCCTTGTCCACTGTTTTGCCACTGCTGGTAGCCACCTCCCCAGCCTCCTTGGTTAAACTGCTGCTGTTGTCTGGAAAATTAAATAGTCTCCATGTTAATTCTTTTGATTTCTAAATTTTAATTCAAAACTTTAGAAAAAAATTTTATTTTGAATTTTGCTGAGAATTTTGTCGCGTGCTTTGTTCCATTTTTTTTACATTATAAGATTATCAGAATTAATTGAATTTTATGCTTTTTTTAAATTTAAAAATAATAAATATTAAAATTTGCAATATTTTCGAAATAGAAATTAATCATATTGTTTATTTTTCACTAATCAAGTCATGCCAAAATTAAATGAAAAATATTCCAACAATCAAATACATATTTTCATTTACTGGAGTTATATACTTCCTTGAAGTAATTTAATTAAATGATATAGTCATTAAGAAACTTACCCTCCAACTGGATAGGAAGTTGATGGGGGTGCATTTCCGCTGACGACTGTGGGGGTCTAATTGAAAGAAAATTTTAAAACTTTTACCACAAAAATCATGAATATCGTACAATGCCAATTTTGTCTGTCATCATGCGCTTTGCACTCTCAATCTGCTCAGCACTTCCTTTGACGATGAAGAGCTTCTCGTTAGGATTGGGTGGGGGTCGTCGATCCAGTTCGCAGTGAGCTCCAGTCTGGTGGTTAATTTGCTTGATGGTTTCACCTCCTCGTCCGATGATGATGCCACACTTGTTGGCAGGAACTGACAGAGTGACTTCGTGTTTGTCCATTTGACCCGGGCCACCGCCTCTCCTGTCCCAATTGTTGCCAAAACCGTTTCTGTCCCCAGGGCCACCATTTTCCCTGCCACCAGGTTTGCCTCGTCCCCTTCCCCCATCATTGTCTCGTCTCTGCTAGGCAAAGTGATATTTTGAATAAGATTTTATAAATTCGTAAAGAGTAGAATTCTTACAGAGACGCTGTCAATCAATTCTTCTATCCTCTGTTTGGCCTCTGCAACTTGACTTGGAGAGCCAGACAGAATGCAACGCCTGTCGCCTGGTCCGTCTTCCCTGCCTTGATGGAACTGCACCCTGGCTCCAGTTTCGCTCTGGATTTTCTTTATCATGTCACCACCTTTGCCTATGACAACACCAACAGCAGCTTTGGGAACTGCCACCTCTGTTTGGTCGCCTCCGCCGCCACCACCAAAGCCACCGGGTCCACCACGGAAACCCCCTCCGCCTCCTCCTCCCCTATTGAACTGATAAAAATTTTGATAAAAAAACATCAACAAAAAATTATTCCTTCAATTGTACCTGTTGTTCTTTGTCCGAAATAAGATCATAAACTAGCTGCTTTGCGTACTGAAAAATTAGATAAAAGTATTAAAATCAATACTTCGCAATGTTGATTAAGTTATTACTTCAATGGTCTGTGGATCGCCTGTGATTCTCAAAGCCTTTTCCATCTCAGTTTCAGGGCCGTCCTGAATGATGACCAACTTAGCTCCAGATTTCTCTTGCAACTGCTTGATAGTCTCTCCTCCTTTGCCAATAACAAGACCAACTTTGTTCCCGGGCACCATCATTTCAACCTGAAATCCCTTATTGAAGAAAATCCCAAGGTAATCAACAAAACCATACCGAGTTCTGTCCACCCCCCATGTGTCCTCCGCCACCTCCACCACGTCCTTCTCCTCCACTACCACTGCTCCCACCTCCACGGCTCTCGAAGGCATCAAATCCTGGTAGTTCACCTTCTTTGGTTCCTCTCTGATTTATTATGCCCATTATCATGTCACGAGCACGGCTAAAATTTCAAATTTGTTAAGAAAATTTTCAGGATATAAACAAAATGAATGGCACAAAACAGGATTATGAATTTTTTTCCTTACGTTATAGCATCCCTGGTGCCAGTTATAGTGCAGACTCTGTCATTCATTCCATGGCTGTCCGAGGCCATTTGGATTTTGCAGCCTGCCTCATTTTGCAGCCTTGTTATTTGTTCGCCTCCACGTCCTATTACTGTTGGCATATATCATTTAAGAATCAAGATAAATGAGCTTGCTAGCGGCACTCACTCAGGCCGACCATCTTGTCAGGCACCCTAATGTCTTCAGTGACGACTCCTCCCATTCCTGGTCTCATACCTGGGGTGCCTGCCATGTTTGGTGGTTGCCTCAAGGACGAGTAGTCGTTGATGTTGCCTGCCGGCTTCTTTGCTTCGGGTTCTTCTTTTAACAGATAAGAAAGAGGAAAATTATTGAAAACAAGTCTAGGAATGTGTAGTGATGAGGCAGCTTAAATAATTAAAAAGCCTAACTATTAAACTCTTAAAGCCTAACCTGGCTCAGTATCAGTATAACTTCACCAGTTTAAATATCAAATTCAGGGTTGAGCTCACCCGCCCTCAACCCTGCAGTGCGCGCCAAACCTACAAGAATTGTGCTCAAACTGACACAGTCCATCAAATGGACAGCCAGACGTTTTAACTTTTATTTTGTTAAAACAAAATTTGAACACAATAATAATTAATAATTATTGAATTTCTTATAGAACTTAGAGGTATGAATGGAAGTATTACAATTTTTTTCCCGAGACCAATTTAAAAAAACTTTTCCTTAGCAAAATTATAACTCTCCAACTGAAATTTGAGAAGCTGGCAATGGACTCACTCTCAATATTAAATAATTTATCGCATTTTACTTGTTTAATATATTATAAAGACTATTAGACGTGTTGACATAAAATAAACAAAATGAATATTGAAATACGTTTTCAGTAACAAATATGTAGAAAAAAAAGGGAAAAACAGGCTTTCCAGAAAAAAAAGTTTAAATGAGGTTTGAAAATTAATTCAAATAAATGCTACTATTTCAATAATTTAGCTCAATTAACAATAAGATAATTTGATCAAAATTTCAAAATTATAGTTAATGACATAATCTAAAAAGTCACTTGCAATTTGAGAAAATAAACTCAGAAAATTATGTGCCTATAAAAATGAAATTAAATAGCAAAATACAATAATTTAATATTGAAAATTTAAAATGAATAAAACGGCTAAATTGTAAATTTAATTTGCATTAGCCACTGCATGATCTATAATTACACCGAGCCAAGCAACCAAAGCTAACAATGATTGTCCACGCATCAATAGGTACAAGCGGAGGCTTGATTTTAAAACTTCTTGATTAAAATGTTAAAATGAACTTGATCCTCGATTTCAAAAGAGAATTGTGTTACCTGTCCAGTCCATGCCTGAACCTGGGCCGTCCTCAAGAGGCCTTTTTTGTCCTGTGTGTTCTCCGCTGCCGGGGTTGATCTTAGCAGCAATCTGAAAAGATAATTCCAGTCAAAACAACAGTGCTCACGTGACTGGCAGGTCAGATCTCTAGCGAACCAGAAAAACATCTCGAGATCACAAGCCGACGGTGCTCACGAACAAGAAAGCTAGAAGTGCACCGCCCAAGGTTATGTTTGTGTTATTTCTGTTCCGCTCGAGCTCGGATCGGGCCGAAAATTAACAAATTAACGAGCTTTTCGGTTACACTTGCCGATTCAAGGCCAAAGTGAACAGTCAGAAGAGGAAAGTACGCGATTTTGGGAGAAAATGCTTCCCGAACGGGACCATTGAACTCAGGCACCGAAGCGGCATCGGTGGAAGGAGGCCCGCTTCCGAGCTCGGATTTTGGCTCGAATTTCAGCGTTTCGGGACTCAAAAGACTCACCAAACGAGCACGGTGCAATGCTTCGGCAAAGGCAACGTTACTATTTGAAGATTGTGGCGGAGCTACCGCTGAATAATCACTCATTATGAACCATGCAGCACAAGTAGTGAAAAATGGCGCAACCCAAAACTGTCATGGACGCAGAAGTAAAGCGATTTTGTTGTTTGCGGGGTCGCTGCAGCACGAACAAGGCAGGCATCAAGCCGAGCGCCGAGAGATTGCCGAGCCGAGCGGCGAGAACAGGCAAACCTGCTTCGGAAACGGCCGCAGTGAGGCGCTGCCGTCGCTCCACTTGACAAAGGTGATTAGACACCGCAAAAAAATATCGATGACCACGCCATTCGTTTTTCCGCCCGTTTTTAGTCAGGGAAAAATAAAAAATAGCCAATAACTGTCCAGGCCGCGAAGCAAGAATTAACTCTTAAAATATAATAAAGCGATTATTATTTAGGAACGTGTATTTTATATAAAAAAATTTAGAACTTCAACTAAAATCCTAAGGCCGCATCAATTTTTAATTGTTATGTTTATTTGTTCAATGTAGAATTAAATATATAAAATATTTGAAACAATGTAAAAACCTTGTTAGTGCGAAACAAACTTGTGAGGCATTATACAGAGTTGCAGAAAATCTCTCTGTTAGCTTTTACTTTTACTGAAATAGTTTTGTTATAAGAAATAAAATAATCTATTTTTAATCAAATTTTGATAGATTCAGCAAAATTGAAAAGAAACATTTAACTTAGAAATTTATCACAATCATTTCATTTGCCAATTTCATCGTTGTATAATTGTTTAAGGCAGAAAATAAGAATTTGTTTTTTTAATATATGCTCAATTATTTGACTATAAAAATTTTAAATTACATTTATTTTATTCATTATAAAATATTATCAAAATATAGATAGTAAAAAATTGATGTTTTATAATTCATTTCTAGAAAGTTGAAAAGAAACCAAAACTAGTCAGAGTTTCTGGAAAGAAATGAATTAATTTTAAATTAATTTTTAACAAAATTTCGCACTTAAAGATTACTTTCATCCTGTCATCTCATTCACACATTATCTTTTAATTTGAATTCTTGACTACTAAATTCGTGCAAAAAAAAAATGTTTTTTAACGAAATAATAAATCAGGTTATGACTATGACATAGTTTGAGTAAAACAAATAATATAGATTTTTTAATGCTTGTTATATTCTTTATTTGGCGCATAGTGTTTAAAAATTGCATAGTATAATTTTTGTATATAATAAAATTTCAGAAAGTCCACACAATTTTGACATAAGACTTGCATCATGTATTAACAACGAATAAAACGGTAAAGCATAATAATAAACATATATATTTACAAACAAAATTGGTAAAAGTGTTGCTCGTTGTCAGTATACTTTCACCAAAAAAGTTAAAGAATGATTAATTTCTTGATTGTCACTAATTTAATACAAAATAAAATCCGAACGCGCTGCGAGCACTGGCACAGAAATTACATTGGCACACATGAGAGTTGGTCACTTTATTTGATTGATTGGCTTTTGGAGTCAGCGGTGGTTGCCCACTTCAATGACCACCCCTCCAGTCCTTGGTGGCGACTCAACCTGGTAGTGTCTCAAGTAAGAGGGGGTGGCGCGGCTGCTTTTGGTCACAGTGGTGGTCTCGGTCGACTGCACTGTCTGGGTGGCCTGGGCGCCGTTCATCCCTCGGGGGGAGGCCACCCTCTTCTTGGAGAAACTTTGCACCGTGTTGGTCACCGAAGGTCGGATGGGGTCGTCGGTGCTGGAGGAGAAGCGGTGGGTCTCCGTGTAGTCGCCGTTGGCCGAAGTGTTGCGGAAGGACGAGGAAGGGGACAAGAGGTTGTTGGAGGGGCGGCGGGCAGGTCGCACCCCAGGCGCCAGGTCGCTGCGGAAGGAGCTGCTGTAGGTCACTCGGCCGGGACGGTCGGCCGGAGATTCGGACGTGTCCTGGCCGTGCAGCGTCCGGTAGAGTTCAGGCGCGCGGTCCAGAAGACCTTTCATGAAAAGCTTCTTTTTTGACTCAACAGTCTCCTCCTGTAGACAGAAAGTTAAATTTTAGTTTTGATATTATTTTTAATAGGGCAAAAAGAGAAAAAAAGTGAATAATTTAAGGAAGAAACAAAAATTGCTCATTTTTCAGCAGTACTTAAATGAAATTAAAAGATTGCTTTAAAGTTTCCCTTCCTTAAAATTCTGTTTATGTAATTTAGAACTAAACTTTTTAAGAAGGGTCTCAAGAAGGGTAATAAAAAATAAATAAAAATGAAACTGAAATTATAATCTGTCTTATAATCTATTATCAAAAATTTAGCCATTTTTAAAAATGGGAATTTTTAATTAGGTTTGGTTTATTTAATTTTAGCTTTGCTGTTGTTATTTCCCAAATCAAATTTCATTTTGTCTTTGTAAGAAACTTCAAATTATTTTCAGAGTTCCATAGATCAACAAACCATTTGTTTAGTGTTTTTTTTTTTGCCATCTTTGAGATTGAACTACAAATTTATTTTAAAATTAAAAAATTATATTTATCACATATTCAGTTTTAAACTAAACAATAAAATATTAATTATTTTCAACACTTTTGAAGTAATTTTTATCAGTTAGTATTTTTTTTTTTAAATAATAAAGGAAACTTTTTTAACCAAAAGATAAATTTTCTGATAGGAGACAAATAAATTAGTTGCAACGTACCGCTTGGACCTCCTCATGAATGTCTCTCTGGCTGCGGCTGATGCTGGAAATGATGCCGGGACTCTTGAGCTCGGGTCCATTTTCCTCGAGTTTGTGCAAATGCGGGTTGGAGCGGAAGTAGGCTGACGACTTATTGTTGTTGGCCGCGTTCTGCTGTTGGAACAGTCGGCGCGGCGCCGGCGCCTCCACCACGTTGAAGCTCTGGCTCCTGGCCAGGTTGGAGCGGTAGGTGCGCGCCGGTTTGGCGGGGCCGTTGACCGCTCCGTTGCTCATCGGCGGCGAACTCACCCTGTTCACGATGGACACATTGATCATGCTGCCGGCGCTCTTGAGCGGCTTCTGCGGCTGCGAGTTGTTCTTGGACGAGGACAGTTTTCGCGGCAGGGTCTGCGTCGAGTGCGGCGCCGACTCCTCTTGGTGCTGCAGACGACCTGTCGAGCGGCTGTACCGACCCAGCGTCGTTGTGTGCATCCGAGGCGGACTGTAATTATTTATAATTAATTAATTTTTGTCATTTATGTTAAGAAAACGCGCAAATTTTGACAGAACATTTTTCAAATAAAAATATAAAACTGCATTAAATCTAATCCGAAAATAAAACCATCAAAATTATGCTCTTTTGATCTTACCGTAAAATTTAAAAGAAAAAATTGCATTTTAAGAAACTTCAGATCATTTTTAATTCAATTGTTGTAAAACTTTTAGCAATTCCACTTCTGAATATTTTACCTCATAGAAAAATTAAATAGTTTGCGATTAGGAAATCAGAGGTGATTTTTCTGGCGAAATACACAAATAGACGCACTGATTGAGATTTCATTAAAAGTTTTTACGTTTTTAATTTTAATGCCATTTGGGTTTTTATGCAACTTTTCTATTCAAATGACAATTTCAATGAAAACGGTTGCTTGAAAAGAAAAAAAAGGAATTGTAGGTTTTGAAAAATAAAATGAGGATAACCTGATTTGGCACTCAGAAAGGGCTTTTAAAATTGGCCAAAAGTAAACCAAAGAAGATGGATCTTGTGGTAGCTCCTCTACATTATTATAGCAATTAGGTCATTAATGGCATCATATATTTAACTGTAAGAAAAATATCAATTAAAAATTAAATTTTAATTGAAAATTTCTATAAAAGATGTAATATGTGCCGATTAAAGAATGTAATATTTTTCTCACAAGAGAAATCAGGACGTAGAACGCGTGTGTGTGCGTAGGAATAAATATTTTCCAGGATCTGTGTCTCTCCTATAATCGCAATAACTGACCACACGACTTGGCAAGCGCCTAAACGGGTCACACAAGCGCGAAAGACCTTCTTGCGCTCGCGTGAGCGGGCGCGCCTTTAAAGGCGCGTCCGCCGCCACACGTGGGCCCTCACCTGTGGGTGCCTGCGCGCAGCTGCTGCAAGTTCCTGACCTCCTCGACGCCGTCCTGCGATCCGCGCCGCAGCTCCGACGTGCGGTGCGTGCGACGCGAACGCTCGCCCGGCGGCGTCACGCCGTCGTACTCTTTTTCCCTGCCGTAGATGCTGCCGCCGAACGGGTCCTCACCCAGGTAGTACCTGAAAACACAAACAATTACATTTATTTTTTGTCCTACATGCTTTTAAAAATAATCAAGAAATTTACTAAAATTGATTTAATATTAAAAAACCAAACATTCAGATTTGATTAACATTCATTGAAATGAATTCATTAAATGAAAATTGCATTTTTCTTTTTTTTACGAAAGGACTCAAAGGACAAAGTGATATTAAGCAATGTTAAGTATTAATAAGATTGGAAAATCAGAAAATAAATACAACAATAATTGAAAAATCTTATTTTTAGAATAAGTTTCAAAAATCAATATAGAATAGATGATTTGCTGAAAAACTGAATTTTATAGCACTTAAAATTGTGAAGTACATTTATTTATTTAGATTTTTGGGTCTAGAAATTTAATTCAAAATCATTTTTATTTAAAAAAATAGCCCGAAGCAAACAAAAGCTCTGGCCAGGTGCATGAACTTATTTAAAATGTAAAAGAATTAAGAATCCGAAAAATAAAAGGTTAAGAATTGCAAACGGAAAAATTATATTCCTCTTAAAATTGCTTTCTGTTGCGTTGGTTTTTGTTCTCAGCCATGTGATAGTAATATAAAAAAAGATAAAATTTCAGCCGTTAAATTGAAAGTTGGTAAATGTTTCAAAGGTTATTTTCAGCCTTTGTTTAAATCAAAACATTTAAATAATTTATTTGAGACTATTCTTATGTGCAAAATTTCAAATGCATTGATGAAATTTATTGCTTACTTGTAATAATAAAATTAGTACTTTATTAGCGATTTAAAATTCTCATGAAACTATTTCCATTTGCATTTTGTATTTTGTTTGTGTTCCCTTGGACAAAGTTACCCTGGAGTGAGCATATATAATACATAATCTATTTACAACTATAAAATGATAATATAACTCTTATATTATTTAAATTTAACATTTTAAATTACCAAATGAAATTGCACAGAAAAAAATTCAATTTGACGAGAAAACATTATTCTTACGGAATTGCAATTTTGAAAGAAGGTGAAAGAGAAAACGTACCTGCGCGGCTCCATATCGGAGCGGTAATGTTGCTGTCGGTGCTGCGGAGGCGACGAGTACCTCTGTCTGTGGCGCGGAGGGGGTCGGGGCCGCTCCTCCCCTTCGCTGCCGGTGCTGTAGTCGTTGGCCCTGCGTGGCTGCTGGTGGTGGTTGTGGTGGGTGGTGCTGGTGGTGGTGCTGTTGTTGGTCACCACCTTGGCGCTCGGCTTGTTTTTCTTGTCGCCGGAGCGCAGTTTACCGACGAGCCGCCGCAACGAGTCGCCGAAGGAGGAAAAGCTGCTCTTTTGTTGATGTTGTTGCTGCTGGTGGTGCTGGTCGGCAAAGCGCGTCTTCTGGTTCAGTTTGCGCTGCTGGTTGTGCAGGGGCGGCGACGGCGATGGGCTGCTGTGGCCGCGGCGCCGCTGGTGCTTGGGCGAGTAGTCGGGCGGCGGCTCGAGCTCCCGAGGACTCGAGTAGCGCCGCTCCAGCTTGGCCAGATTTTCCCTCGAGCGCAGCAGCTCGACGCTGCGGTGCCGGTCCAGACGCTGGTGCGTCCCTGAGTCCAACTGGCCGCGCGCCAGCTGTTGTCTGGCGGCGGAGGTCGTCGCCGTCCGACCCTTCCACGTCACTTGCTCTTCCTCGTACGACCGCAACTCCTGATAACAAAATTCAGAATTTTTACTGTTAATTTTCAAATTAAAATTTAGCATATTATTTAAATTAATTTTGATTAGCAGAAAATTCTTTGGTGAAAAATGCCTCCAGAATAGCTAAAAATTTCAGTTGAAATGGAATAAGAAATGATTTCTTTCACACTTTGGTTAACGCTGGGTTAATGGTCTGTACTCATCACAGCTAGCAAGCTTTTAATTGATTTGAACTAAAAAAAAAATCAAACTCTTACTAAAGAGAATTAAATTTATTATCATTTAATTTGGAAGCAGAAGTGACATTTTTGCTTATTCTCTTCAATTGAGAAAAATCAAAGAGAGTTAAAATAATAATAATCTTATCTTGCAAAAAAAACCATATTCGTGCAAAATAAAAAAATTAAGTGCATTAATTATAAATTTGGTAGTTATACACTTAATATCCTTTTTGACTGATTGTTTTGGAATAAACTCTTATTCAAAGCATTTATTTTCCCCATTAATATCAACATTTCACGCTGAACGCTGAATGCTGAATTTTCGTTAAATTAACTCTCACACATTTTCCCATCTTCATTATAGGGATCTACAGACTTCTCATCAACAAATTAGTACCTAATTTTTGCAATTCAAAATATATATCTCACTGCAACGATTCCATGAATAATTATGAATTGTTCCGTCAACAGGAAAAACCCTGCATGAGTTTCTACAATCTTTCTTGAAATTGCGTGATGTCATTTAAAAAACCAGGTGGCCTGTCGGAGACAATTAGAACGTTTTTGGAGTAAAATTGGCGGCGATGCACTCACGCACACGTCCAAATGAGATCGCGACCGCCATTATACTCCATATATGAAACGTTGAGGTTTACCTCATTAAATATTCCCTGCTATGATGCCAATATTTGTTCTTTTTTGGAGCAAACCTGTGTGTAGTATGAAAAACTTCTAAATCACCTATCTATAATTTTAGCACACGAGAAAGTGAGACAGATAAACTTTTATGTTTGCCATGAATCTAGCAAGGTTTTGAAATTTTTTAAAGCAAAGCCAGGTTAAGCTATAATGATATACATTTCAGGTTATAGAAAATCAGAGCCAGTTCCGAGTTTGACGCAGCATAATTTAAATAAATAGAAAGTTTGCAAAATTTTTATGTCTTGTGGATTGAAGTATGCAGTAAAATACGTAAAATTGCACAGATTTGTGAATTAATTGAAAATGTTACAGTTCTTTAAGTTATAGTTTCAAGAATGTTGGGTTGAGTTATATAATTATGCAATTTCAATATTTTCAATAGCTTTGATGTCAAGCAGGTTGCATAATGTTTAAAAAATAAGCAGCAATCTCGGAGACGAGATTTTGGCAACTTCAATCCGCAAATTATTTTCTGAGAAATCTTTATTTCATGATAAATTATAGCATTAAATTATAAATTTCAGCTTAACTAAAAAATTTAATAATCTTGTATCGTAAAATCAGTTCAAATATTTACAAGAAACTAAAAATAATTCACACAATTTTCAATTTTCCTAAGCTGGGTGTGATTGAGTTGATTAAAGATCCTTGTTTTGGTGCAAAAAGTTAACAAGGAGATTAAAATGCTCGCAATTTTTGAAAAGAGCTGCTTGAGTTGCAGACTGGATTAAAATTTTGTACAAAACCTCAACACTTGCTTTTGCTCGTCGAAGGTCTTCCTCCAGACTGATGCCACGAACATAATCAGGCAAAAACATAAAACTCCATTTTATAATTCAGCTTTTTATCGCCAACATGGTGACTGCGAATGCAAGCCCAAAAGCGGCGTTTTCATCGCTTGATGTATTTAATTTGCACGCGGCGGCGGCTGTGGCGCCCGACCCATAAAGTTTCGAGTGCCGATGCCCATAAAAGCATCAGAGCAAGAGATTTGTTGCGCGACAACTCTTTCGAAAGCACCTGCCGTTCTCTAAAATCTTCGCTTGCGCTTCACTTCTTCGAGTTGGCGTGCGTGACCTTGTGCGTGACGTAACGAGCAGAAAAGAGGAGGCGTCCGCGAGTAATGTCATGCAAACGCCCATCCCTGGACCGACCCGCGACTACCATGCTGCTATAATTATTGCCAACGAGCGCGGCCCACGCTCTCATTCAACCACGAGAGAGTCACCTTCGGCGATCCTCTTTTGAATTTTGCACGAATGGCAAAACACCTGTTCCGCACTCATCCCGGAACAACCCCGGTTCCGCAATTCTTGCCAATTGCGAAATCTCAGAGCGTCCGATTAAACAAAATACGCCTTTGTTCGCCAGAACGTGACGCAACCAGACTTTTTACGGCCGCTTTTTTATATGTTTTGCCCGTTTGTTTTGTACATGCTCAAATTGGTCCGGAAGATTGCGATCGGGCCGCGGGCCACTCTATTTGCGCCAAGTTACCATACTAGGAAGCAACCGACCGACGGTTTCTCTTCGCTTTTCACTCGCTTAAGGGAAAAATGCGCGCCGCCCGCGCGAGCGCTTGAGAAATCAATCGACTCCGGAACAAACAAGGAAAAGCAAGAAATAAAATTCCAATATGTACAACTTGTTGTGCGTAAAAAAGAAGAAGAAAGAATTAAGGACTGATGCAGTCAAATTAAATTTCTAAAATTTCCAGTCATCTTCCAATAATTGCCAAAAAAATCTTCTTTGGTATAAAGACGTTCTTAAAATATAGAATTCTATTCTATATCATAAAGAAAAATGTTTAAAATAATTCCAAAGAAGAAAACCGGGAAAATTTGCAACTGCTTCCAATATGAAAAAAGGTTAGTTTTCTAAATATTCAATTTCGTTATATTTTTGTCCTTAAAAAAAAGAAACATTTATTAAATTAAAAACAAAATTTAAAAAAAAAAATCGTAATGAAGGAAATTCAAATTTTTTAGCAAAAGGATTGAAGTGTTTAAAGTACCTGTTGAGGAGGCGAGACGGGCCTGGCAGAGTGGTTGCTGGTGTAGCCCATGACTGGAGAGGACGCGCGGCCAGCAGCAAGTGCGTGGCTCGGCGCGGCGGACAAGACTGGAGCTGGCGAGGCGGCCTGCTGCCTGCCGAGCTGCTGAGTGGGCGACGTCGTCGCGTTTGCTCTGTTGAGCGCCTGGACGAGGCTCGACACCCGCGGGCTCACGTTGTTCGAGGCCAGCGTCAGGGCGGGCGGACTCGGCCGACGCTCCGCCCACTCGGACACCCCCTGGACAGCAAAATTGCAAACGTAATTATTAGCACACAGCGATGACAAAGACACACTTTATTGATTCTGATTGAATAAAAAAAAACGCCTTATATATGAAAAAAATCACAACAAGAGATTTTACAATCAAATGTACTTGATTGTTTATAGAAATTATTTATTTGAATTTTTTTATATAATATGAAAATTATCAAAAGAGTTGGATTTATAACACCCTTTTTCAATTAAAAGTTTAGCTACGCAGCTAGCTATTATTTTATTAATTCAATTTCAATTTACGATAGAAACAGTAATGATTTTGAAATCTAAAACGATTAGAGCAAAAGCTATAAAATCTGAAGATATAGTGTAATTTTTTTATTGAACGCTTTGCTAAATCATAAATAAAATTGTGTTTTGGACTGACCAATGGACAATGGTAATTATTTTTGTATAAAATTCTATTTCCTTTATATTTAACTTCAATAATAACTTAAAAAGTAAGAAAATACCATATTAATGTGAAATTTGATAAATATGTTAAAATTTAATTAAAAAATAACAATTTTAAACTTGTTACTATTTAAAATAATTACATTCTAATATTTAAAAATACGATGAAATACTATTGCATTTGAGACTGACCTGGAAGAAATTGGCACTTCCGCCTCCACTGCTGCCCCTTTGCGTTTCCTCGACCTTGGTGCCGGCGGTGGTCGGCGGCATCACAGGAGGCGGCGGGAGCGGCACCTCTGGACTGCTGGACAGGAAGACCCTGGTCTTCTGTTCAGGTGGTGTGGGCGTGGTCCGCACGGGCCTCGACTTCATCGTCACGTTGATGAAGTTGGCCGCGGAGGGCACGGGGGGTTCATCAAGGGAACTCTTGGAGCTGCGCGAGTCGCTGCCAAAGTGGTGCTCCAGCCACTTGGACGTCTCCACCTTGCGCGTCTCCTCCTCGGCGTCCAAGTCCAGCGGACGCTTGGTCAGGGCGTCCTTGCGCGCCTGGGCGGCGGCCAGGGCCGCCTGCTGCTTTTCCGCCAGGGCGAAAGGCACGCCGGCCACGCCGACCTGCTGCCGTCGCGCCTTTTGCATTCTGGTTGACAGGCTTTCCCACTCGGGGTCAGCCAGACCCTCGGTGTTGCCCTCGACGTTCTCCGCCTGAAATTTTAATTAAAAATGAGTTTCGTACATTTTTCACCTCAATCCATTGATAATTTAAAATAATTTTTTTTTAAAATCTTTCAAACACAACCCTTGTGGTGAAAATTTTCATCAGGAATTTTTTCCGGTCGCTTCTAATGAATCAAAACGGCGAAAAAATATAAAATTACATTAATATGAGAATCTAAATTGTTTGTGCACAGTTAAAAGTTTTAGTCAGCTGGGGTCTAATTCTGTAAGATAGAATCGTCCCATTTCCATTTCTATTTCATTTTCCATTTGCTTACCCATTCCATTTCGTCGCCTTTTTCGATAACGACTTCTATTTCGCTGGCCATTCCATTTCCATTTCTATTTCGTTGTCAATTTTAATAATTGAGCCATATTTATATTTATATATATTTATTTATATTTAATTTAATTATTGCATATATTATGCGCTTACAGTAATTTTCAAATGATTTTCAATATACTCAAGTCAATAAAATGTATAAAAAATTATTTCAATAAGGCGTTGAGTCAAAAGTACCTCAGTGTGGGAGAAAATTGTGGTACCACAGTGTGGGAGCAAATTGTGGTACCACAGTGTGGGCGGAAATTGTGGTACCACAGTGTGGGCGGGAATTGTGGTACCACAGTGTGGGCAGGAATTGTGGTACCACAGTGTGGGAGCAAATTGTGGTACCACAGGGTGGGCGCAAATTGTGGTACCACAGGGTGGGCGGGAATTGTGGTACCACAGTGTGGGCGGGAATTGTGGTACCACAGTGTGGGCGGGAATTGTGGTACCACAGTGTGGGAGCAAATTGTGGTACCACAGGGTGGGCGCAAATTGTGGTACCACAGTGTGGGCGGAAATTGTGGTACCACAGGGTGGGCGCAAATTGTGGTACCACAGTGTGGGAGCAAATTGTGGTACCACAGTGTGGGCGGAAATTGTGGTACCACAGTGTGGGCGGGAATTGTGGTACCACAGTGTGGGCGGGAATTGTGGTACCACAGTGTGGGAGCAAATTGTGGTACCACAGTGTGGGAGCAAATTGTGGTACCACAGGGTGGGCGCAAATTGTGGTACCACAGTGTGGGCGGAAATTGTGGTACCACAGGGTGGGCGGGAATTGTGGTACCACAGTGTGGGCGGGAATTGTGGTACCACAGTGTGGGAGCAAATTGTGGTACCACAGTGTGGGCGGGAATTGTGGTACCACAGTGTGGGAGCAAATTGTGGTACCACAGGGTGGGCGCAAATTGTGGTACCACAGTGTGGGCGGAAATTGTGGTACCACAGGGTGGGCGCAAATTGTGGTACTACATTGTGGGAGCAAATTGTGTTACCAAAGTGTGGAATCAAATTGTGGTACCAAACGGCGCATGCGATGAATTAAATAATATAAAATTTGCTAATTTGCTAAAAAAAAATATTATAATTGTATTTCAATTCAACCAATTTTTAAGAAATTGATTTAATTAACTTCGTGAAAGGAAAAATTATCTTGATCCCCTCTAATTATGAGCCATAAAAAGATTCGATTAAGGACTTCTTATTGACATAGTCAAATCAAGTCCTTACAACAATGATATAAACAGATTTTGGCGATTTTTGGAAATTTTAATCACCATTGTTGAAAAGACTTGATTTGACTATGTCAATAAGGAGTCCTTAAAAGGGGGTGCGAGAGACATATAAGAATTATAAATATACATTTTCATTGAAAATTAAATAATTCATATAATTTTATCAACCTGAATATTAAAAACCATTCGAAGAGCACTGTAAGCATAGGGAATAATTAAATTAAATATAAATAAATAAATGGCTCAACTATTAAAATTGACGACGAAATAGAAATGGAAATGGATAGGCTGCGAAATAGAAGTCGTTATCAAAAAAGGCGACGAAATAGAATGGGTAAGCAAATGGAAAATGAAATAGAAATGGAAATGGAACGATTCTATCTTACAGAATTAGACCCCTGGTTTTTGAAAATTATTTTGTTTCAGGAAACCGGCAATAAATGAACCATATAATTTGTATATTCATAAAAAAGATGAATGATCAAAAGACATCATAAAATGAAAACATTTTCTTTCATTCTTGTCAATTTCGGTAAATTTTTAGTGTTGTGGCTTTATGCTAAAATTAACCGAAAACGCTATTTTAATCTATACTAGTCAATTTCAGATTTGTTATTCTGGCTAATAATTTGAAAAATCGGTGAATATTCTTTTACTTATTTAATTTAATTGAAGAATTTAAGTACAAATTAGCCAGTATCCATTTCATTGAATTTTGCATTTTTTGAAATAGAAATTAAAGAAATTACCAAAGTTTTAAAATAACATCAATTAAATGTAATTTTAAAGATTTGTTAAATTAGGTTTTTATGTTTATTTTTTTTATTCCATGGTAAATTCCCAAAACTAGGGTAAAATTATTTTGATCTTTTATGGAAAAAAGAAGCATTACATAATAGCTGTTTTAAATTTAAATAAAAATTAAGGTACTTTCTGTTCATCAAATATTTTTCTCTGCTTTTGTTTCAAACAAAATTATCATTGTTTACAAAAAGAAACATTTACATTTTCGTCATTTTAAAATTTAGTGTTAACGCACCTGATAACGCATTTGTTCGCCAATGACGCGTCCGCCGGTGCCGAGGTAGGTGACGAGCGCCTGTTCTTTGGTGTGCGCGAAGCGTTGGCTGCCTTGCGCGGCGTCGATTTCGCGCTCGTCCTCGCTGGCGCCGTCCTCGGGCAGGGCGTCGTCCTGCGTCTCCTCGTGCTCGGTGGTGCGTCGCGTCTCGGTGATGACGCCGCCCTGGTGCACGCGACTCAGCTCCTGCGCGTCATCAGTGTCGACGACGCGTCGCGTTGAGCGCGATTCGTGCACCAGCCGAGGCGCCGAAACCAACGCGCCAGCCTCTTCGGCCCTCCGCAGCACCGAACGCACGTCTTGTTGATTCTGAACAGCCGTCGAGTACGACTGGAAGCAAAAATTACATTTCTCATTAATTAACAATCATAAAATTTAAAATTTCAAAGACAAAAGAAGCCAATATATATTGTACTTTTATATCCATTCTTAACAACAGGTGATGTTTTATTTTGAATGCTACCTAAAATATTCAAATAATTGTTATAAAGTTGCTATATTTCCAAAATGAAATAGTTTCAGAAAAGAGGTTTCTTATATTTTAGCCATCTCATTGATTTTTTTTTCCATGGAAAATTTCCCTGCGTAATTAATTGTGTTTTAAGACATCAATCACAAGGGTGTAGTGCTGATGATTTTTGTGTGTGGCTGAATATGGACACGTCGATTTGTTCACTGGCAAAGTGGAATGCAGACAACAAAACCCACGCTCGTTTATGTCGCTGCTGCTTTTGATTTCTTGTTCGCCCTTTGTCACTTTGTAAAACGTCAAAGTCATCGAGATTTGATAATACACCTGAGTGATATTTTTGCGCCCAGTCGCTAATCAAACTAGAAAGAGCTGCGTCACTTTTGAAGGCCAAGTTCAAAAATCCTCGCAGATCATTTCCTTTTTCTCCATGCAAATAAATAAAATTTTGCTCTCAGTACTCCGTTGTTTGATAACTTTGTCACGAAACGAGAGAGAAAAAAAGAGGCGGAAGCGGCTCGTTAAGACAAATCTCAACCCGAAGGCCACGGGAACCAAATGAATTAAAATAATATGCGCTTGTTGCGAAAACGCCCGCTATTTGCTCTGGCGGCCTCCCACGCCTGTGCTCGCAAGACACGCGCTTTCAAATAAAGTTGCTGAAAAACAACGCCGGACAACCCATTCCGACAGGTTTGGGAAAATGCTCAGTCAACATCCGAGCATCACCTTGATCTTTCAATTAATTTATTTATCGTCTCCGGCGAACGGCGGGCGGTCCAATAAGAGAGCGAAATAAAATTTACCGAGTGTCCTGCTGCGACAAAGCATAAAAAATTCAATCACAGTAAAGAGATTTTCATGAGATATACAACAACCAGAGCGGAGATTCAAAGGACACGCATTTTATTGAAAAATTATCGGTTCATTATTATTTTTATTAAATGCCCCTTGCTGTTTATACAAATTATTGCCAGTTCTGCTTCGCACGTTGCATAGCTTGCAGGTTTTTGAGCGACCTGAACTTGTTCAATAATTTACGATTTGTTGGCAATAGCGTGAAAAATAAAAAATGAAATCTAGAAATTGCGTATACTTTTTATATAAAAGTTTTAATTTTTATTTTTGATACATTTAAAACATTTATGAAATTTATCATATTGTTATAATTTCCTCATTTTTGCAAATTATTGCAGAAGTACATATCGTTTTCCATCCATTCATTCTCAAGTAACAACTTTAATAATAAACTGAAAGCAAAAGTATTTTCTGTAAAACCGCGAAAACGAGATGTGAGAGGGAGTGTGTAATCTAGTCATCAAATTAACAAGAGTGAAAGAGGTGCATTATTTTATCGCGTTTGATTCTCTTTTGAGCCGCGCGCCAACAACCTTGATCCACTTCTGGAAATGCTCAAACCGTGCAGGTGCTTTGTGCTTGAAAAGTTCAACTTAGCAGAGTCTGACACCAAATAATGCAATTGGCATTTCGTGCCAGTCTCAATTTTCAAATCGATGCATTTGTAAAGGTTGCTTATTTGCATTCGCTGCTTTCGCTAATTATACGAATTGCAAAAAACATTATTTATCGCAACCGAAGACTAATTACAGTCCGGCCTGCATAATTAGTGAGGCGTAATCGATAATTAAAGATATGCATACGGAGATTGCTGCCGGCGGCGCGATCGATTTTCTTCCTTTTCGCATTCTTCACGCGGCGACACAAATAACGAAATGTACCGTAAAGAGAAAATAATTGTTGAGAATTAACGCAGGGAAAGTTACGCAAAAGAATAAGACGATAATTGCTCCAAGGGTGAGAATTAAAAAAAAATTCATCATCTCGGGTTGCGTCACTTCCTAAAAGCAGTTGTTGCGATAAAGAAGAAAAAATAAAATGCTGAGGGTTTCAGCGGAGAGAATCACGAATTTTATTGGCAAAGGTCAAGCCGGGCGGGGTCAGAAGCCAACGAAGAATGGAGGGATTTCGCAGAGATGCCGGCAAATTACAGCTAAGCCGGGATTAAAAGTGACGGCGGATCAAAGCCCAAGAAATCCCATTTTCCTGTTGCAAAACATAAATTTTCAATTAGCATCTATTTATTATTTTGCATTAAAGAAGAGTTATAGATGAAGGGAGGATGCCGTTAACAAATTTTAGAGAGACACCAACAGTTTCTGGGATAAAGCTAATTTTCATTTGGTTTTATTAATTGAATTTCCCGTAGAAAATTGAGAATTTTTATTTATTTCAGTTAAAAATCGCATTTTTCAAATTATTTTCACGCGTACGTTATTTATGAATGCTTGCATCAAAATATAAACAAACATAAAAATAACAATTAAAAACGTGCTTGTTTGTGTTATATATAATTATGTCACATTGTGTCACATGACTTAAATTTTAAAGAATATATAAAATAATAAATAAAATGTACTTTATACATTAAAAAATACCAAAAGTGCTAAAAAATACATTTTATTTTGTAAAAGTTTATTTTAAAACGTAATTATTTATGTTATTGACATTTAATTTACGGTCCACAAAATAAAGAAATCTTGTCATTTCCCTGCTGATTGTGAGACAGAAAATTGGAAAAGTTTTTCACTTCAGATGGTGAGTAATAATTTTAGAGCGTCGCGCTGCTTTTTTTCCGATTGCGACTGCAGCAGCAAAAACACTTTCAAATCGGGCTGCATTCCTGCAAAACAGGTTCCGCCAGCACTTCTTGGCTCTCTTGGCTTTGTTTCGTTTTGCTGCTCTTCTCGCCACCAGAAGCAGGACAAATAATATTTATTTATTTGCACCACATTTCAAAATTAATGGAGCAAACGAGCGAAATAAAATATTTGACCCCTTTCGATTGGAACAATCGAGATGACCTTTGGATTGATCTGACACATCCAGCCAATTATCTATAAATCCATATCGGCTGGATAACTTTTGTAAAAGGCCATCAGAGAGTGCAGATATGAAGGCGCCAACAACAGGTCTCTTTGCTGCTGGATTGCCTTACAGACTCAAAAGGCTCAAAAGGTGCCTCTCTGGCTCGATTGTTTTTGTTCTGCCTTTTATAATAACATTTAATAATTTCAGACGCCGACGATCGACTCTGTGTGTCCCGACCCGACGCCGGTAATAACATTTTCCATCATTACTTTTAATTACTTTTTTCATGCAATTGCGAACCAGGATCTTTAAATTTGACAACCCTGGCGAATAATCGAAAATACCACTTTAGCCGAGACCGCAAAGTGAGACTGCAAGTTTCTTTCAAAAATTACCTTTAATAGTTTTAATCCTTTTTGTCTAAGCTCATATTATATGGGTGGAGGCGAGATTTTTCTACGAGAGTAAGGAAGAGTCTCAAACTTGAAGCTGAACTTGGACTTCTGTGAGTCTATTTTACAAACAACCCACTATCTAGACTTCTTTTAGTTTTGAAATTAAATTTGAGGCAAATTGAAAGTGTTAAAACTAAATAATTAAATTTGGAATTTCGTACTTCAAAAAATATAAATATTCAGTGATTCGTTCAAATGATTATTTTTAATTTTTCGCACTAGCAAATAAAATTTAATTTAAAAAATGTTTGATAAAACACTTCGGTCAAAATTTCTACAGGGTTTTTGAGTGTCGGCCTCGGATTTCAGTCGAAATCTTTTGGTCAGATGAAACAAAATTAGAGGCGAAGTCAGCCCGCCGTGCCCAGCAGATATCAAGTTGTGGAAGGCCTCGTCTGCAAACTGCAAAAGCACTGCGAGTAATTTGAAAATTGTACTCGTTTTGATGAGAAATCGCATCTCTGTCTCTTTGATGGAAATATATAAATAAAAATGCAATTAATGTAATATTTGGGCCAAATTTCTCATCGGCAATTGTTTCTTCCTGGCCGCAATCGAGATCAGCGGCCGCGAGCAAAATTCTCGTCGATCAAAAACAGGACGCGGAATTAAATGCGTATATTTTTCTCTCTGTTTCTCTTTTATGGCTACCGTTTCGGCAATCGGAGAAATTGGAAGAAAACAAAACTAATTCGTGCGTGATTATGATAAAATAATGCCAGCAGAATTCGCTCCACATATTTAAGTGACACGATTAACTGTATAAAGAAGGTTTCATTAATTACGAGGAAAGTCATTTGGATTTTGTGTTGGACCTTTACGCAATGCATTCCTTTTAATTTTTCATTCCTTCACTGAACCAAAACACACAGTCGGCATTTACAGGCGATAAATTTTGTTTAGCTGACGAGCGTGGATTTTATTTTGGTGCCGTCTGCGTGATAACGGCGCTTTTGAATAATAATTAATTGATAAATATAAAATGTGCGTGCCGAATTGACAAAAGGGATATACAATTAAAAAAAAAATAAACAAGCGCAGTCTCTTTTCTACAAAAGGGGTACAAATTCGCTACAAGCTTTATATAATATTAATATTAATAAATATACGGCTGAGATGACACAGAAGAAAAGGAGTTGCATGACCTTGGCTGCTGTAAAAGCACAGCAGCAAAAAATTGTAGAAATACAAAATGAAATTTAATAATTCATCTCCTTATCGTCGGAGGGACAGCTTTTGTCGCGAGATTTAGCGTTGCTTTTAATCTCTTTTTTGTAGAAACACGGTTTGAATTACGTGCTAGGAAATTTGTCAACATCTCGGAACGGCCCGCATGATATAAAGCGAGCAATGAAAGTCGGCGACAAATTTGGAAAGTAGTAAATTTTCGGATTTAAAAACATTAAAAAGTACATCAAAAGAACCCCATGAATCAAGAGATTAGTGAGTTGTGACCTGAATAAAAAAAAAACCGGAACTGGCGTGTAGATTGTCCGGGTAATCCGTGGTGGAAAAATGACTTTTTTTTACTCACCGGCGCCGTCTGGAGGAAAATTCGAATCCGATAGGAATGCGAGCACTTGGGTTGCGACGACCTGACACAAAACAACCTGACGCTGCGCTGGCTCAGGGTCTGGTCGGAGCTGCGGTGAAGGGCCCGCAGAAGGAGTGGGGGATACGGGGCACCTCTCCACCCCATGTTCGATTGGACTCGTATGAAAATTATCATTTATCGTTTGCGCATAATAGCGAGCCTACATAACACAAAGACCGCTAACCGAGCCAGTTTTTACTCAAGAATAAAGTTACAATTTTTTTTACGAAGCATAATATCAATTATGAAATAACTATTTCACAAGAATATTGAATATTTACTTGAAGAAAAGAAATCTAACAGTTAATTTATGATTTTGTTTTTTCTCCATTGACTTGAATTGTGAAAAATAACACAATTTTTGAAGTATTTTATTAACAATTTAACAATAATTAATAATTAATAATGAATTTTTGGCATTCATTTAAAATTAAAAAATGGATATAAAAATTAATCGGAATAAATATAAAAAATTGAAAAAAATAAACGTAAAATAAACGGAAAAATAAATGGAAAAATCAATATAAGAATTTAAAAAAAGTTTTAAACGTGCATTTAAAATTTTTCACTCATTACAATAACTCCAGCCCCATTTTCTCCCATTTATAAAAATTGTTAACCCTTTTCCTGACAATTGCGACAGTTTCTGCTCAACTTGGAGCGGTAGACGGTTTTATTGGCACGTTAATATATTTAAACGGTCGCGCGACACCTCGAGGCAACTCGAACGCAACTGGTAAATGACTCAGTCAGAGCAGATTATGAAAATTATAACCACCGATAATCACGCAATAATTACACAAACCGGCAAACGGTGTACATTTATTTCAACACGGTGCCCAATTTGGAATCCGCTCTTTATTTATTGCCTCTTTATTTGCGCGCAAAAAAAAAGAGGTCGCAGACAAAAAGCAGCAGCGAATGAGTCACGACGAATCAAGTTTTGGCTTCTTTTTTTTCGGCGCGTACGCAAATCGGCTTCTTTTCTTCCCGCTGCGTTCGAATTACAATCGAACCGGCAACGACACAGAGGACCCCAATATGAAAAGAGCGTCAGAGATCCTTGAGGCAGCGAATCCTGAGTAATTGAATTAAACGCGAATTTGCGTCAAGCAAAAAAAAAAGATAATAAAAAGAACCTCGTGAGGGTCGAGGTCACTCAAAAAAAGAGGCATTGACCAAATTGCGGTCCAAATTAAGCCACGAGGTTTTCTAAATAATTGAAATATATTTTTGGGTAAAGTGTAAAAATTCCAAATATTTTAAATCTTTTTTCAAACCATTCACGTTGGAGCTTCATTGAAAGAAAAATAAATAAAAAAGCCGCTCGCAGCAGGTTCTGAATTTCTTTGAGCGGTAATTTTTGCCGCCGCACAAAAACCGCTCTTTGTGCAGTGTCACGTTAATAAATTTCAAGAAATAATAATTCGGCAATGAATCAAAGGGCGGTATGACGCAATTTCCTTCTCTCTCTTTTGATTTCACTACTTATATGATCGTTTAATTTAAAATTATTTCTTTCGTGATGTGAAAAGACATAAGCTTTTTACTGCTCTGCTGTGATAAGACCAGATTTTTCCTTTTCTCAGAAAAGAAAAAGTTGTGTGGCCGAGAACAGGAAGAGAAATATAATAAAATTCCGGACGCCGCACCTTTCCAAGAGCAATTACTTGTCCTATACCAAAATATGCGGCCAGAAACAAAAGAGGTGCGCGAGATTGATTCTTGTAATCAATTTTGGAGGCCTTTATAATTTTACCTTTTTCACGCCTGGCAAAAAGAACCGTTGCCTCTTTCTTGTCTTGCTTATCTCGCGCAGCCTCCGGCCTTTGAATGGATATCGCTCTCTTGAGCACCCACCACATCAAAATCGACACTTCGTCCTTCAATTCTCACGCCGGAATCCAAATTATGGGCCATTTATCATAAAATGAGCATACAATAAAGGGATTTTGAATTAATACATCTCTGCGGCATCCATCAATTTGATTAATAACAGGATTTGTAAATATTGTAAAATATTTCTAAAATAATTACATGTTTTATCGTTTTTATACAGTCTTTACTCCTTACATATATAAATGTATTTTTTATCATAAATAAAATTTTATAAATGTTTTAACATGTCAATACCTTTTGTGTAAAAAAAATATTTAGTCTAATGACTTTTATGTACGCTTGGACTTTGAAAATGGTTTTTAATGTATTGAAAAATGAAGTCAAAGAATTTTATTTTTAATTAAGGGTAATTATAAAAATTTCAACAAAACACTTTCGAATAATGAGAAGGGACAAAATTAATAATCATTTTTATGACAGGTCTCTAACGCTTGCAAATTAATTACAATTTAAAAAAATGATTGATGAATGGAATTAAAGAGGGCAAGAAGTGAATTTTTACCGAAACCGTTACGTCTATCAAATTGATATGACCATCCAAATTAAGCAGCTTCAATTTCAGTTCATTTTTGTTTTTTTTTCTCCGATGACTTCATACATAAGTTGGACAAAAGTGCGCCTGCAGCACTTTGCCAAAGTCGCATTCGCAGAAGATAGAAAGGCGGAAAGTTTGTTGGATAAAATCGCGCGAGAGCAGCTCGTGGCCGTCCCTACGTTTATTGCATTCGAGTGAGTGCATGCAAGTGTTTATTGTGTATAGTAAATATGGACGAGCTTGGAAACAATCGCAATTATAATTGGAGCCGATTTGCCGCGGATCGAAAATTCCTTTCCCATTGAGGCTGCAGCGATTTATTGTGACGCAGAAAACGACCAGGAAATGTAATAAAGCGATCGCTCGCTCGCTCACTCGCTCTCCGACCGCGCGACTTTACTACTGCTTTGATAATTTATGGATCGAAGGCACTTTATTCTTCATGCACAGCTCTGAATTCAATAATTAACAGTTAAATGGTCGCGACTGAAAGTATACTCGCATAAATTTCAACCCAGTTGATAATATTTTCGCTCCATTCATTTGACAATCGGAAGCAACAATCATTGCGCAACGTTATAATATTTTCACTCCAAATTGGCCAATTTGTTCTTTGCGGTTGCAGCTGGGAAGAAGCGTTTTTCGAGCGGTGCCGTTTTTTTACAACCGCGGCACGTCATTTTAGATGATGATCGTTTTGTTACAATCTGAAAGGGAATCGATCCAGGCGCCAGTTTTCTTTCACATGTTTACAAAAACACTCTTGGTTTTCACACGGATATCCTTAATAAAAGTGTAAAACAATAAATAATTAGCTAATTATTCACTCAATAAAAATTAAAAATATATGATGTGAAGACCTCCCTGCTGAGAATGTACATACATTCAATATTTTGATTAAAATGCAAAAAAAGTATCATTTTATGAAAAGATGTTTATATTATAAAATTGTGATTGAAAATATTATAATAAAATTTGAGGCCAACGACCCCAAATATATTGTGAACTACAAGAAATTTTTAATGGACATAATTGATTAAAGCTAATTTTTCCAAAATTAATAGATAATTTACTTCTTTAATTAATTCATGAATGGGAAAATTACACTGAATAAAGAAATTATAATAAACTAATTATAGTCCAGCTCATCCTTAATTCGTAAAAATTTACTTTTGTTGATCATGCAATAAAATTTTGTTAAAGACAATGAAACTTATTATTTATATACTGTATTCAATTCAATTAATTAACATCAATATATTGTGCCTAAATAATTAATTTGCGCTCAGAGGATTTACCAAAAGAATTATTTGCAGCACTTAAAATTTTGGGAGGCAAATAATAACATGTATATTATATTATTTTACAAATTGTTATGAATCTCAAAAGAGAAAGACACTGAATCGCATCAATTCCGCAGGTCAAGGAATGGTTTTGAACTCCCAAATTAGATAATGGATTACTCTCTCTCACTCCAACCTAATATTCGCCTGGCATTGGTTGCATAACAACCTGGGAAAGTGTGAAGTTGTGTGATCGCGATCGCCCGGAGGTGGCCGTGTTTTTGACGGTAGCTTATGGATCTGAACCAGCACCTGCAAATGACTCTTTTTCGAGATACTTTCGAAACTCGAAATTTATTTGCACACTCGTCCGTCTTGTGTGGGAAATAAGGCCACCACTTCTTCTTTATAAACGTGTCGCCAATTTCACAGCCGCAATTCGCCTCGGTAGAATGCATATTATACAAATTTCCAATTTGAGTTCATTGACGAGTTTATTTTCATTATCTGCGATCGCTGCAATGGAGATGCAGAGGATGATGATGTGTGCTTTCTAATTAAAGAAATGACTTCAGCGCGCGGCTGCCGAGAATGAAAAGGAGAATATAACGAATATCCATTTATTCCTTCTCGCAATATGCGCCTTATCATCATCACTTCGGAGCTTAATGGCCTCTTTGTTTACGTCACGAAAAAGAGCGGCAAAAAGCGTGCGTGGGGAATCCGAGAGAAATATTACTGCGCACGGCGCATTAAGTGTGATATTCCATGACGGCCTGCACATTCACATTATTATTGAAATGTGGCGAAAAAAAGTTCAAATTATCAGGAAGTAATTAATACAGATAAATGTCTTCCTGTCAGCTCGGACATTCAAGGACTTAAAAAAATTGTTACTTTTTCTAATTAAATAATTTATTTTTCTTTTACTCTAAAATATTACTTTTTTTAATAGTCCATTATTTTTTGCAATTTTAAATATTACACTTTACAACAATCTGCTTTGAATGAAAATTAAAAAAGGGTTCCTACCTGTTCGGAGAGGTCGCCCAGGGTTTGCAGCTGCTCCGTTTCGCGGATGTGTTTCTGCTGCTCATTGCTGTGCACAGTTCGTTCGCGCACTTCGCGCACCAGACCGTCTCCTTCGAGGGGCAGAGCGACCCACCCTTCGCCAGGAGGCTCGTCTCCTGTCGTTTTGTGCTGGAGGAAAAAGGAAATTTTCACGTTTTGTTGGAGTTGGGAGTTTTTATCACTAACCTCTGTGTGCTGGTGCTCCTGTTTCTCCGTGTCCTCCGTGGTGTTTGTGGACACCAAGGGTCCCGAGTCTACCACCACTTTGCCATCTTCCAGCACAAGCTGCCGCTTGACCCGAGTCTCAATCTGCCGGGTTGTGGTCAGCTCCGTTTTCTTCTTCGTCACCCATTCCTCTGTAGAAACAGACAAAAAACAGTTTTTAGTTTGGTTAAAATTAAATTTTTAATGTAAGCTTTTAAGCATTTTATTATAATTTTCTTGCAAACATGTATTTTTTCCTGGTTTTGGCTTCGTTGGGTTACAATGTTGGATTAAGAAAAATAAACTATTTAGCTTCCATAGTGATTCATTATAGGAAAATTTAATTAATTTTTTGTTGTAAAAAAAACATTGAGAAATATAAACTTTGGTGTGAACAATTTGAGATTTGAGATGATTTCAAATTATTTTAAATGAGGCCAATGTAAATATAACGAGTGTTAAATTAAATTAGGAACAATGCAACCTTTTCGTCCTTTTTTTTAAGCCTCTCATTTTTCAATTCTGCGTTAAATAACAGTTTTTAACATTAATTTACTGCCTTAATTTAAATTGGATCTTTACAGATCTAATTAAATTTGATGCTTTTGTTCTTCCAAAAGCAATATAAAGAATTCAAAAAATATTTGATACACTTTACATTGTCACGTTTTATTCATATAGTTTTGATAGTGAAAAATCTCTCGTTCTTGACTTTGAACTTGACTGAAATTTTTACTGCGAGCTCGACCCGGAGGTTTAATTTTTTGCTCCCTTTGCTTGACGTGCACGCGGCGGCTAACGAGGCAAAATAATATTTGCTCTGCGCGGCGCAAACATTTCGTTTTATTTGCTTGATGAACGAGGAGTGTTTCGAGAGGCTGCACTTTGTTTTGCAGCGGCGAACAAAGCGCAGGAATTCCTCTGCTTGCTTGTATGATCGCGGGTATATGCGCTGTTCGCTGCTGCTGTGCTTGTAATAAAGTACAAGCTTCTCGAATTCCAAAGTGCCGAGCCAGTTTAAATGCGCTACGGCATTATATAAATCCGGCTGGGGCTCATTAAATAATTCTGCACGATCTCTCAAAACGAGATTAAATAAAATTAAGAGAGCGCGGTTGGAAATTGAATTTGTTTGTGCACAGCTATAGAGTGGAAATTTTTCTTGTTTAAAAATTAGCTTAATTTTATATGCATTTTTCATGATTTGTATTTTTCTAAGCAAAGAATATAATTTTCTTTGGAAAAAACTGAACTTGTATAACTCAAAATGTCATAAGATTCATACATTTTTTTATTATTATTTCCTGCAGCTTCCTTAAAATAATTAATAATACAAGTTGATTTTATTATTCCTCTTAATTTTTGCAATAGAAAAAAATGATCTCCACAACTTTCTATGTTGGTTTTTGGTGTCACGCGAGGAAATGTACGTAATATGCAAAATGCTGATATGAGTCACAAGAACAAAAATAGTAGAGTCGTCCGTCAATCGACATGGATCAAGCGCTGAGTGAGTGATGAATTTTCTCACCGCAAAGTCCGCTACATGGACGGGCGGCGCGCGATCGAATTTCTTCGCTCTCGCGCCGCACGGGGGTCATCTCTTCTTTTCTTTCTTCTTCTTCGCGCTGAGAAAGGAAAACCAGCTCAGCAACTAAGTCAGCACTAACTTCGTTTGTGACACTCTAAGCTGATCCAATTTGAATTTATAATGCCTGCGTTCAATTTTACAAGATAAAAAAAAAAGAAATAAAAACAGCTATCGGCCATCAATATACGCACGACCAGGAAGCGGTTTATTTTGTTACTTTATGGCAGCAAAAGTCTGCATACTTAATGATTTTATATATTCGGCAGCGCCGCGAGCTTTGCGCTCTTTTCAGATTTATTTTGTTTCGATCGTTTTGACCTTGGGCGGTTTAATGCGAGTTTCATTAATGAGAGATCAGCCAGAAAAATCGTGAAAAAACGCGCTTTTTAATTGGATCGCCCGATCAGAGATTATCTTTCTTTAATGCGGAGGCCTTTTAAGGAGAAATTTTTGGTGCAATTAAAAATAAAGCTGTGTTTGTGTACATTTGTCACCGCGAAAGTTGCGGTACACTTCTTCTGTTAGTTGCCAATTTTTTTTTGCCGTCGCAGTCTGGCAAAGGAACGGGATTTTCATTTGTTGGTTTTTCCTCTTGACAAAACTTTCTTTGCTTTTTTTCTCACAGCAGCCAAGCGAACGGAACGGTCACGACGATACACAATTCATTACATTATTTCCCGCCGAAAATTTTTTAATACTTTCACTCGACTTTTCGACTAAAAATAAGGCACCAAGGTCACAACAAAGAAAGGTCGAGCGTTTTGTGTAAATAAGAGAGGACGATCTGAAGACGATACTTTATTCGAGCGAAAACGATCACGTTTGTTTTTCTGCGGTTTCCACGCGTGAGACACCATTAAATGTAGCAAACTCGCGCCGACGAGGAGCCGTTTGTTATATTCGAAAAGCAAACGTGATGAAACGCACACAAATCCAAGGCAAAAAATGTCAACCTCATTTGGCGCTCGGCGAGACAATAGATTAATTATTCATGAAGGATGCAAATCATTTTCAATTCCAGGCGCGTTCGACGAGTGACGCAAGCAAATAAAAACACACTGATTGGACAATGCTTTGTCACTCGTTGTCAGCAGGCATAAAAACAAAACGGAGAATCGATTGAATAAGTTCGACTGAATTGATTTTGAGTTCAGGTAGAAGATGGACAAATTTGAAAACAGATCATGTTAAGTTGAAATGGATAAAAAAAATTGGGGTAGGAAGGATGATAAAATAAAAAAGAATAAAAAATGCGGCGATTTTATTTACAGGATTTAATGGGAATTTATTTTTGGAAAATATTTCACTTAAATTCTCTGGAACCTTGAAAAACTCTAAATTTTTTGTTACTTTGATTAAAAGTGTATAATTTCTGAAAAGATAAAAGGCAGAATTGTCTAAAGAAAATAATAACAAATTATAGTTTTCGATATTTATATTTTGGTGGAAACTTTTAAGTTGAAATTTGCCTCTTTTAGCACCTCACTTGGATCATTATTAAGCAGCCATCATGGAAATGTCACCAATCTATAAAATTTGGAGAAATTGAAAACTGGTTTTGCTCTCACAACAAAAGACTTTCTGTCAAGAATAACAAATAAATAACCCCTCTGCAAGGCAGAATTTGTGATAAATGATGAGAGCAAAAACTAAATCAACCGAGGTTCACTGCGGCGGATGGGCATGTTTTTTTTTTAGAAAATTAAGCAATTTTAAATAAAAGAAGCAAAAATATAATTTTTATTTTATTATGAGCTCTTTTATTTTGGATTTTAAAATGTTGAGGTTGGGATAAAGTTTTAGTTTTTTTTTAATCCGATTTGTAGAAAAAAGATTTTAAATTTTCCGATGGATTATTTAAAACTGACTGCAGCTGCATGGGCGGGCGAATTTCAAAGCTGCGAGATCAAATGATGGGTTTCGAGTGTCGACGAATTTGCTGTCGGAGCAGGAATTGCCGAGAGCGAGAGAGCAATTTGGTACAAATTCTTCGCTCTCAACCGATAATTTAGCTTGGCGGCGAGCACGAAATAAATTTATTACGTATACACTTTGTGTGCAAAATCAAAGAGGGGAAAATGAGCCGGGCAGACGTTCGTTTAGCGGCAATAATTCGCGGCCTTGAGACTTGATTTGCGTTCCGTATATCCAAAAATAAACAGTGAATTTGTGCTCGCGCGGCGCCGGCCTATGCAGAAGAGTTGCGATGCGTTTTAGTTGGCGTGAAATCGCGATTTCGCGCACACAAACAAACCAAATTGCCGCGAGATGACGACGCCACAAATCACAAAACCGGTCGCAATTACTCGTGCGTTTTAATTAATTCCACTAAACGTCAATTTTCACGGCGAAACCTCTCTTTTTGTTTTGGTTTGTGTTGCCAAATTTTCTCTTCAAATCCAGCAAAAGTGTCGATTTCTTTTGTTGGCGCAGCAGATAAGATCTCGCATAAAGAACGCCTTATCAAGATACAGCGGAGAAAGAAAATTATAATCATCTCAAGCACGCCCCGTAACCGTAACTATCTTTCTGCCATTTACTCTCTCGTGACGAGCGCCAAAACAAAACAGTGCGAGACGCAGCAATTCGTGCAGCCCTTTTCACTTTGCACCTTCATAATTTTTGAGCATGTTTGTGAAATTTTACATCGAGCAAAATCTGTGTGCCAAAATAAAAAGCGCGCGGAAGACCAAGGTTGCGGATCAAATAAATGACCCCTAAAATGAACATTAATTTGTGATATTGCTTGGACATTTTCCAGCAAGGTCGATGTGCGACCTGGAAGCTGCCTTATAAGGACTGGCCACATGTTTTGCACTGAAATAGTTTAGCAAAGCAGCTTGATCTCTCAATGCACAATTATGAAATACACTCAAGACTACTGATTCATATGTTTTAATTTATACTAAATTATTCGTTGAATAAAATTAGAATATTTTAAATGATCTTGATAAATACAAAAAATATTTATTTTAAAGGTTAAGTTAAATTTTGCAAAAAAAGTTGAATATTTTCAATTGCAAAATTTACGCACTTTTTTCAATATAAAAAAAATGATTGAAACATATTTTAAAAATAAAAAAGGTAACAGAAAATTTGGACTCACCTTCCTTGGTGGTGGCAACGACGTCTCCGTCAGCCTGTGAACATGAGGACGAGGAGCTATTAGAGATGATATGACAGGGCCAAGCTATCCTAGCGGGTTGGCGGTTGACGCGCGCCGACTTTTCGTACAGAAAGGGTTGCGTCGACGCCGAAGACGAGGTGGATCGCGACTTAAGTGACGTTGGCGGCGTCGCGGCCGCCGCCGTCGGCGCCTCCTCGGCCGCCCTGATTAGAATTACGACCATCTCATGCTCGCCGCACCAAAGCACATGCACGACTGCCGAGGCCCCTGGTGCTGGCGCGGCGCCCGAGAGCGGAGGGGAGGCAGCCGCAGGTTGAACCGATCGCGACCTGACGCCCCCTCTCCACCCGCGGATGGACCCATTAACTTTGGTTTTTAGCACCCAAGATTGGAAATGAAGTTAATAAAAACCAGACATTCTTCTTGAGGTGAGTTCAGAATTAGATAAAATTTGATTTTTCTTTCTTTACAGATTGAATTTCTTTCCGCATGTGTGGTCTGCACTTTTTGTCAGGTCGGAAATTTACCTTTCTGCACCGTGGAAATAATTAAAAAGCAATTGCAGTTTAATTTTGCACCCAAGGCTTTTTTTGTCTCTATAAAATACAGAGACGGTTTTACGATCTTTTTGCACATTTTCCACCCTTTCCTCGTTCATCCTTTACGAGTTCTAGGAAAATATGCTTACGAGCAATTATTCGATTTTGGAAAGCACAAAAAAGACTGGTGGGACCGACAAGAGAGAGAAATTAATTGCCGGTTGAAAGCGAAGAAAAGAGCCGAAAATAAAATGCCTCCCACATGGAGGATGATGGCTTTAGGAGGTTTCGTACCCGCGCGCGGCTCCTTTCTTGTCAGAGACGTACCTGGAAAAAGGAACAAACAACACAAAAACAGAAAAGATCGACTGCCTTTCCGGTATATTCGATCGAAATAACACTCTCCGTCTCAACCGCAAAGTTGGAATGAGACGGTACTTTTTTTTAATATCCAGATTATTTGTTGACCACTATTTGGTTTCTTTTACAACTCTGTAACAAATTTTGCTGAAGACACAATAAGCTATATTTATAAATAATTATTTGCTTTTTTTAATTTTTATAATAATATAGGATTAAATGAATTATCTCATTTATTATGAATATTAAAAATTCATTCAAGCTCTGGCACATAGCTGGACTTTTCCAAAGAAGTTGATTAACGATTTTCCTTTTCACTTAAATTTTCTCCTTCTCCACCCCCCAACACGATCATAATTCATCTCTAAATGAGACAAGACCTGTCAGGCTATCAGCAGCATTATATTCCATTTAAAAATAGGGTCTTTTTGTTTATTGTTATATACGTGTCTCTGCCGTGGCAGTTGCGAGAAGCATTCAATGTGTGCGTCTTCATCTCGACGGCGAGTGAGGTCGCCTTTATTTCATTCCAACGCATTTGATTTCACGTTTGACTATGAATTGAAAAGAAGAAGCATAGAAAAAAATCCAACCGAGAAAAGGTTGCGCTCGTCATCTTTTTCCATTGGACGGTTGCTGGACACTCGGAGGAATACATAACTTGAGAAGGGGCGGTGAGGTTGGGCCGCACGGACTGTGATGATATCCATGTGATAGTGTCAAATTTCATTAACACAGGCAGAGCAAAAAAGAGCGTGTGTGCACCTGCAACGGCGCCCCCGCGACACGGCCGAAGGTTTTATCTCGCAAAAAAAATCTGTTCAAATTTTGTACGGCTAATTGAGACAATGTGGCATTCGCCGTTAGGCACAAAAAGAGCCCTACGAGTCCAGCGGGAGTTCTCTGGAAAACAAACCGAGTGAATCAAAAGCGAATGAAGACGTCGACGTGTGCTTTTTGCAGTCAGCCACCCAAGACAAACAATCATGCTACGGACAAAGTTGAAAATCATCTCTCTCCGCACGAGGATGTTGAAAAATCGCCTCATCGTGGGGTATAAATTCAATAACAACTGGAATAAAATCAGTTCAAAACGTCAAGCTTATATATTTTTTGATGAATGGTTGATAAAATAAAATTACTTTATACCAAGCATATGGCAAAACCATTGTGAGTTTGAATGCATCTGTAGGAGAGCGTGAAAAATGTTTCCTAACTCGTAAGAAAGGATTTGCAAAGATCGGTGAGCTAACCGGAGCAAAAAGAAAAGAGCTAATAGCGCGTCAAAATGCACGGATGTAAATTTCCTCCGAAGAATAATCAAAGGATGCATGCTTTCGAATTGACGCATGTAAAATTTTCCTCGCATATTTTCCATTTCGGGCTGCTTTCTCTCAAAAATTCGGTCGAAATTTGGTGACAATGAAGTGATAAAAAATAATTAATCACAAGCTCATTGGGAATTAACATCGCAGGCGTGCGAAATCCGCCCATACATGTATTGACTGGTGCTAAACGAAAACAATAAACCTTGCAAAAAAGGAGCTCATAATCCAAACAAAGATGAAAGTGAGAAGATACGCCTGGCTTGTTAATAATAAAGTGCGCGCTGCGCATAAATTACAATTTATTATTAATTTTATATTAAAAGACTTCCTCTTGTTGTTCTCGGTCACTTTTTTTACAACACGCTCGATGAAATAATTAGAGACGTTTAATATTTTCCCTTTCCGTTGCGGCGGCGGCGGAAGCAAAATTTGTGTCAGCATTTATACCAGCAAAGGTCGTCGTCGCGCACGTTCAAATTCCCACGCAGACGAAATAATAAAGTCTCTTTTACATAACAACACACAGAGGGAATGCGCGCGCGAGAGGCGATAAAAATGCTGTTGTGTAGGTGCCTGTTGAAAGTTAAAAATAAATAAACAAAATGCGAGGAAAACGTGCCTTTCACGCTCTTCAGAAAAGCAGTCCCTTTAAATTGAGTGATAATTGGCTTTATTATTGGTGCACGTGGGAACTTGTGATTCAATTGGTTCAAAAATGTTTCACGCCTCTTTGTGAATGAAAAGGGAATGCAACTGCTTATTAGATAAAAAATTTGGTTACTTTAATAAAGAGGTTCCCATATCAGGACCGTCTGCAGACAAGCCTTGGCCTTCAATTATTTGTATTAATGTAGTTAACTTAAACACTTTCCTCCATAGTATTAAATTATTTATTTAAAAAATTAATTAATATAAATTTTATTTTTATTACACAGACTTCTCACATTTGAGCAATCAATAGAATTATAATAATTTTTTATACTTTATTTTAAATCCTAGAACTGAATATGTGAACAAGAGCAAAAAAATCTTGTAAAAAGGGTTTGCAGCTTTTTAGAAAATCGTTCACATTTCTGACTATAATATCGTTTAGGTCTTTTATTTATCTTCTAATACCGTTTTAAAAGCTGAAACCTCTATTGTTTACTTTAAATCATCTCTCGAGATGCACAATTAATATCCCTGCTCTTTTTGAGCAGCATCACACATGCAGGTAGAGACACACATTTATTTCGTCACATTTCCCGCATTTCATTGTCAAGGCAGACAAAAAATAACAGCTTGTCATGCAAAAGAGAGGAAAATAAGCTGCAGCACGAGTCTCATTCTCCGTGAATAAATTACGACAAACACAAAATAAAGTTGAACGACGAAAGAGAGATAAAAAAATTATGAACCGTTAGGCGGAGCGAGATTTGCGGAAACGGTTTTCTAATTCACGCCGGCGGCGAGCACAAAGTGACAAAATTTTAAGAACAAATAGAGAAGACGAGGCGAGGCGCAGTGTGTAACCGTTTTCCGTTCTGTTGTGATCAAAAGGAGCTCTGGAACTGGAATTAAAAAGGTATAAATTCCAGTAAAAATCACAAGTCTGTCTCGACGTTTTGATGGGTGGTCAACTTTTTCAATCAAATTCCATGTGAGCAACATTGTTGTTGCTCTCTCGGACGCGGCGCATTCCTCTTTTTTTAGGTTTTATATATTCTCGAGGCTAATTAATTTCTGGACATTTGCGCGTCGTGTGAGATCGAATTTAGAGACGAGCGGAGAAACAATTTCCAAGTCGAGTACGTTTTCTTGGAAGGAAAATGCTGGGAGAGAAAAACGCCGAACGCCGAGAGAGAAGTCCAACTTGAGAGTTTGCTCGCTCCGCTAATTAGCAAACATGACTCGAGATAAACATCTTCCCCCTTTTTCTAATCAGCGCTCACTTTGTGTAACTACAAATAAATGCGATCATACAATTATTTACAAATCGACAGCCGCGCTAGGAAAAAACGCGGGTTTCCCACAGACCAATCGACGCGAGGTGGACGATGAAATTTATTGCACCTTGTAATGCACGCGCGATAAAAAGTATTGCGAATGGGTGCTCGTTTCGTTCATTGATCTTTTTTGTATGTATTATATAAAATGCTTCAATGTACATCAATCGATTATCTTTGATTATGCCGACAATTCATTAAGATTAACGAATATTTTTATTTTTCTGTAAAACTTAAAATTAAAAACTGATTTTTTTTTTGCATTTTCTTAATTGTAGCCTAAAATTAAATGCCAAATTGTGATAGGAAGTTCGTTTGGTGAAATTTTTAAGCAACTTTACAAGAGGATCTATATCACAAAATGTAACAGGTCATCTGTGTTTGATACGCTGAGTTTAATTAAAACCTTATTATTTTTATATTGCTGGAATTTAAATGTTCACGTTTTTTTGTTCAATTGTTTTTGAAATTTATATTTAAAAATATTTTTATTTATTTAAGTTGATTTAAAAACAAAATGAAAGATGAAATTATTTAGTTTTTATATTTAATCAATAAATGCCATTTTTCTATTATCAATTTTTATAATCTTTGGAGTTCTGCAGCCAGGAGAAAAATTTCCATTTCATAACTTGAGGCTTTGAAAATTGGAGGGATAAATTACTCAATCCAACCACACTGTTGACTTTTCAAATTTGAAAGTTTTGTTCTGAAATGATTCCAAACACGTTAAGTTTGTCCTTTGTTGTATTTAATAATCATGATGGCTGAGAGGTCAAAGGAAGCGGGTCTGAAAATGCTACATGAGTTTGATAAAAAGATAACACGCTCGAGCAGTTTCTCGTTCGGGGCCTCGATGCAAAGTCATCGGCGGCAGACGAGACCTTTTTAGCATTCGCCGCTTGACACGCCACGCATTTCGATGTTTTTCTGCAGTTGCCGCACGCAGAAGGCCATGTGATTCGTCGCATCTTCTTCGCGAGAGGAATGCAAAGCGTAATTTTGCGGAGGAGAGAGACGTGCAGAAATTTCGGGCCCGCTAATTTCGGAGGGCGATAAAAGTGAAAAAGCAGGAATTTGTTTTACGGCTCGTTTCGCAAGCTCTTTGTCAGTCACATAAATTACCAACAAGCGACACCTGCGAAAACACGATGTAAAAATCAACTTTTATTACCTGGCCCAGGAGAGGCGAGGGAGAGAGATTCGCGCAATTCGTGAGAATCCCGCCAGACAGAAAACAAAACTCAAGGGCAATTTTATAGTTTCAAGAACAGCTTCGGCCTCTCTGGTGGAAAATCAAGTTAAACAATGAGTTTAATACAAGCGGAACAATGAATAAATCGACGTGCTTTATTAATTGCACCGCTCTCCGTTTGTTTGCAAACGCACACCCTCATCGATGTTGTAAAAGAACAATGAGAGCGAGATATAAAAAGGTCAAACGTTTCGCTCGCAGAGACGCACCTTTGCTCGGTGCAAAAACAATCTCAGCCTGATTGTGAGTACCTAGAGTTGAAAGGGCAGATAATTGAATTAAGCAGAGCAATAAATAGCACACCGTTGGAGCAAAATAAGAAATCATAAGAAAGGTTGTTGTGACGAAACATTACGCTCTCATAATGAAATTACGGAAGAAGTCAATGGTCGCCACAGCAGGATTGTGAAACGCAATGTGCTTGTCCACAAAATTATGTTTTTCTCAGAAGCGGCCACTCGACCCGTAGATTAAATAGCCATTACAAAACCTAGTTTTTTTATGTTCGGAATGGCTTTTTTAAATAAGAATTATTATCTCAGAAGTATAACGGAATAAGTATATATAATATGCTCTTATTAATCATTAAAAGATTTGAGCTTTTAAATATCTTATTTATATTTACAAGTTAGCAGAAGACAATTTTTTTTTATTTTTTATATCAATTAAAAAAATTATTTTTGTTTTTAAGCTTTTAATACTCAAAAAGTTTATTTTATTTTACTAAAAGTATAATTTGTGCTGTTATTTCATTGGTGCTGTTTGGGCTCTACTTCATTTTTCAAACCGAATTATGTTTTCCAAAAATATAAATTAAAATCACCACTGCTATTAAATTAATATGTCCCATGAAATAGAAGTCCTCATTCAATTTTTCTATTGTACGTCCTCAAGAATTATTTATTGAAAATATAATATAATAAATCACTCATAGCCTTAATCTCATTTAACTACGCTTCTTAATTACCCAATTACTAAAAAAGTGAAGTTAACAATCTCACCATGCTTCGGCTAAGGTTGGGGGTTGCTTCGAACTGGCGCACCGAAATCACCCCTCCGCCTTGTGGGCTGAAAGCTGCAGACTCGACGGCGGCCGCCATCTCTGCAAGAAAGCCAGAGGAAAATATAATTACAAAGAGGTTTATATAAATTATAAATACAAAGTGGAAAGTTGTGCAGGTGCGCTCTCAACAAGTGCAGCAGAAGAATTTCATCGTCTTTGTTATGCAAGTGAGGCAACTTTTGTTTGGGTTTAAAAGGAAAGATGAGGTGGATTTCTTTGTTCTCTTCAAACACGCTGAGCAGCGGCTTAGTTGAAAGGAAGAGCAAAATCTTGAGCACTTTATCTCTTTCACTGGAGCCGGAGCAGATGAAAAATTGCTCTGTGCTATTTGGTTTGCACTAACGCTGCAGAGAATGCTGGCGATTTTAACGAGTGGACAACGCATTTCAGATTCCAATACCTACATTTATTATTTGTCGTCTTCAATAAAAGTAAATAAAATTAGTTTCCTTGTTCTTATTTTGCATAAAACTAAACAGTGAGCGATAAAGAGAATTACAATACATTAAAATAAATCTTTTGTTTAAAATTTTCCGAAATTTTCTAAAATTGCCAGGCGTTCAAATCTTTCCGGACGGCGCACGACTCTCTGGTCCGAATAAGCATGCAGATTTTGCGAGCAATCAAAGTGATATGAAGAGTCGTAAGGCGAGTATTCAGCATCCATAGCGTGCTGGTGTGTGTTATTGGAAGGAGCGGCGTGGAGAAAGTGTTGCTCGTTGTTTGCTTGTATCGGAAGGCCGAACAGAGCAGCTCCTTATTGTTTATAAAAGGTTGCGTCACCCGGCACTGGCAAACATCTGCTCGACCTTTGCTCAGGTCGCCGTCCGAATCGAGCGTCTGACCCTTGAGTCGCTTTTTCTAGCGCACCCCGACGGCGAAAATGACCGTCCGAGGGGCGAAGTTGCGCCGGCAGTCAGGGAAAAGGGCCCTGCCGGTCCGGTTGGCAGTTGTGGACACGCAAGGTCGCTGCTTGCGAAACAACACGCAGGTGCCACCTTCATCAGGTGACTCGTCTCTTTGTGTCTTTTCCAACAACATGTCGATGGGAAAAACGCGAATCAATAGCAATAATTAGAAATAATAAAAACTTGCTGCGCTTGCTTGGCGCAACGCTTGCGATAAATTGTTGCCAATGAATGCAGGAAACATCAAGTTAGATAAATTAATATATAAAATTGATGGCCAATTTGTAATTTGAATAAAAATTAATAGGTTGAAACGGTAAAAATTTAATGGCTCTTTTGAAAATATATCATACGTAAAAACTAAAAAAAAAATCACGACTCTAGCAAAATTTTGTTGTATTCCTCTGTTTTAAGGTATGATTTATTAATACCCATAGTAAACCCATCGGCGCGAATATTAATTAAACTCTGCAGAGAGGCGAGCAACGTTTCATTTTAAAGAGTTGACAGTGTTTTAATATATAAATTTTGCTACTCCTCCTTTAAATTTTAATTAACAGAATTTCGCCACAACTTCGTGACCAGTTTTGAGTCGATTACAAAAAGTGTTTCCACAAACCAGGCTTTTCATCAAGTTTGAAGATAATTATTTCAATGTGAAAAATGGCTTGGGAAAGAAATGCGGTGGAAAAGCAGAGCTTGAAGAGATAAGAACTGCGTACAGGGAAAAGGCCGCGTTTGGGCTGTGCCACTTTTGCTACTTCTTCTTCGACAAAGCGGCGTTTTGTTACATTGCACATTGTTTTCAAACATGCAATAAACTCTATAAGCGGTATAGGCACGCCCGTAGCTGTACATTTGTTCAATGTTTGATTTTATTATATATTTATTTCTGTAAATAAATTGTGGAATGTGAGAAAACAATATAAGGGTGTGATTCCGATTTGATTAAAATGAACCCGAGTCGGAATTTTGAGCTTCATACTTCAACGTTGAGCTTAAACTAAGGCAATTAATAACGATTTCATTGGCGCGACTTAAAAGGAAGCGCAGCTTTTCGGTCCAGGAAATAAAATATAATGCGCGCGTCTCCAGTTAAACAAATTGACCGCAGCGAAAGTTCTTTCCAGTGTATTTGGGCGGAGTTTCAAGGGCAATCAGGAGAGTAAAAGGTAAATTATTCAGAAGATGATCACCTGAAAATGGAGCCCTAATAAATTTATGGGCGCGTTCAGAGAGGAAATAAATTTTAATACTCTACAAAGCATACAGAGTGCAGTATAAACCATAAAAACACCAACGTTTTACACGCAGAAAAAAAAACTGGGGTTTGATTTATTGGATTTGGAGAGCACACGCCGCTATAATCGTTTGAAGCAAATTAATCGTGGGCACAAAGGAGAGATGGATTTATTACTCAAAAAGGTTATTTGGTAATCCCTAATTTGGGAATAACAAAGTAAAAATTCAGCAAAAAAATAATTATTAAAGACGCCCATTTTTGTAAGCATGGACTACATGGCGATTGATTTTAACAATAAATTAATTATTAATTTTATGTATCTTTTAAATTAATTAGATTAATAAATAATGGAAGCTTTTAATGAAAGAAAACCACGCCTGAATTATAGGAGACGCACATCAGAGAGAAACGGTAAAATTAAGGTGCAGGACTCACGCTGAGATCAACCTGCTCTAAGACGTACTGAAAGATGATCAGCATCAGTTAGACCATAATCTTTGCAAGTAGATCGCCGAGTTTGAATTTTTCACTTGTCACTTTTTTATTACAAGAGGTCAGGCATAAGCAATAAACGTCCTGAACGAAGAATTTTATTTTTAAAATATTTTTTAATAAGTGGCAAAAATAATATCTTAGATATAGAAATATAAAGGAAATTATAAATTCTCTCTGTGTTGCAAATTGAGTGAAAAGTAAGTCATTCGCCTCGTTTCTCCACCCATTGAATTGCGTTGTCGATCAATTCCGCGTGGGTTTTGGTCGGATTTCAAAGTGACACGATCTTAAGCCCACTCGCAGAAACCTTGAGCCCAATAAGGGCAGCTCTTGATTGCTAAAAAAATTTAAAAATTGTCTCACATTTTCATATCAAAAGGTTTTCTAATTAAAAATAAAGAAATATTTTTCTCTTCTAAAAAAGGACGATTTAAAAATTGTCTCTATAGTCCGAGAACATAAAGGTATAATGAACCTTGCTGCGGAATTCTTCCCTCTTTCTAATACCCTGAGTAACACCCACGAAGACCCTGAGTGAGAGCAGACCTGTGCTACCAAAGAACGGCGACGCACACCCAGCAGAGCACCTACGTATTTATCAGAGAGCTCGCCAAATAGGGACCAAAAAGCCTTCATACTCTTTATTATTGCGGATAAAAGCTAAAAGTATTCAATATTTGTTTGCGAAAGCTTTGGTTCTTCGTGGAAAAGAAATTGGCACCGCATTGATACCCGACCCTGATTCTTCCTTTTAAGTCTTCGACCCTGAATCAATCATCGTCGTTTTTATTTGCTGCAAGTAAATATGTATAAAAAATAAACGCTTGCTTGTTTGCTGCAACAGAAAGTGTTTTTCCATATGAAAATTCGGTTGAACGCACGTTTGATTATCTCGTTTCGAAAACGGCGTTCGTATATAAACCGAGCGCAGTGCAAGTTTCCAAAACGGAGCGGCGGCAGCTCGCTCTTAAACAGAGTGTGCCGCCCTTAAAAGGAAACAGCTCGATCGAGCAAATAAAAGGTCGTGCGTAAGTCACTCTTGGTTGCCTCACTTTTCCTCTCGCAAACAAGTTTCGCAAATCTCGACTTGCTAAGCTCAAAATATCGTGCCCATTTTAAAAATTCGACAAAAAATTCACAGTGAATGAATCCGAAAAAGGTCAACCCTTGTCAACCACCTTGGCAAAGACCAATAAACTCTTTTGAATCCAATAATTTAGATATAATTTAATTAAAAATGATAAATATATGTTTTCGTACCTGCAGATGAAAATGATGTCCGGCGTGGAGAATCAGAAAAATCCCATGGAAAAACGCCTGCCGTGGCACAAGAGACAAAAAAGCGACTGCCTGCCCTGAAAGCGCTGGTTCAGGAGCGCCAGCACAAGAACACGTGGTCCAGCAGGGCGGGAGGGAGGCCGCGATCGTGGGGAGGGCAACAGGCTTGCACAAGTCGCCTGCCCACGCGGTTTTTCTGTTTCCACAAATATAGATTTTTCTTAAAAATGAAGAGCATTTTCTAAGAAAACGGGGAAAATATTTTAGACGGGCTTTTCGGAACAATTTAAGTACTTGAAACGCACATACAAGAAAGATGACGTGATGCGGCTAACTGACGTCACCACCGGATTTACAAGAACAGAGGCGGCGCAAAATGTGTCAAATTAGCATCTTCACCGAGCGGGGACCTACATGCAAATTTTCTTATTTCAGAACGAGCGGGGGTAGTCTAAAAATAAGTTTTATCATATAATTTTGTTAACTTTTTAGAATGGCTTTTAAATTTCAAATTTAATTTGGAATAAAATGCCCAATAATAATGTATGGTATGGCGTAAAGAACAAATTTATTTAATATTTTCCGCACGTCAAATTTGTGCATTGTTTTTTTTTTTTTATTAATATGATTCACCTGGCATGCTAAAGGTCGTTGGCTTAACGAACGGCCCAGCAGGTCCGACCTTTATTCAGGTGCGCTATTCCCATTAGAAATGGGTGAGGCTTCAATAGATAAAGAACAATGGCTTTCAATAAAACGTTAGTGTCTCTGGATGCGAGCTTTTCTGTGAAAAGTTTAAGTCACAAATAATTAGATAATTACATAATTTACTTTAAAAATATAGTGAAACTCATCAGAACATAATTTAGGCCATGTGATTTTGCACCTAGTTATGCTATAAATAACTGAAAACCAATTGATCCAAAGGGCCGGTGAAATAAATTAAGCTAACAATTAAACTAATTGAAAATGTTCATAATAATTTTTTTTTGCAATTTATTGAAAAATTATTTAAGGTTTCAACAATTATGGTCTCGATTATAATAGAAAATAGTAATATGGCATCAAACATTACATTTTTCATTCCTGCTCACCTTGATTATGGAGGACATTCAAATAAAAAATCAGGAATTGTTATCGTAAGTAGGGAGTTAAGAAGCTTCGTTTTAAGCTCTGCTTCAGCTGAACAACATTTTAGCAACGCAAGTCTTGGTGCATAAACTGGAAGGAGGCTGAGGAACACAATTAGACTGTTGTAAGGTCCTTCAACTTGGCAACCAAATTCAAATGTCTTCAACTTCTGCAAGGCATGCCCATGGACCAGTTTGACCAACAAATGTGCAAATGATATAGAAGATATTATGTTTAAATTGTTCACATGAAAGTACTTTAGATTAGGAGCCAACAGAATGTGGAATATTAATTCGGATGGAAAGGTGCTGAAGACACTAATGAACTGGAAACTTTCCATGCGACTGAAATGGCTTTCATTTACAAGTGCACTGGATTTTTCAACCTCAGATAGGTCCAAGTTTACTAATAAGAGACTGAGTTTTTTCAGTCGAGGGCAGAGAGAAAAAAGTACAAAGGGATCCACATTTACAGTTCGTTCTGGACATGAATTAATGGTCAGTTCCTCAAGGCGACTACCACAGTCAGAGAGCACTTCTGACAGATTTACAAAACTCACCACCTTATGCAAGTGTAGCACTCTCAGGTGGTGTAGACAGTCTAGACTGCTAAAACTTTTGAAGAAAAGAGGCTCGTCGATTCTTAAGTTTACTAAAGACGGAACGAGTTTGAAGTCAAAAAAGCCTTTAGTTCTTAGAGTCTCTAAGTTTAAAGTTCCCCCTCCAGAGCAAAATTTAAGAACTCCATGGCGTATTGTGTCATCTGTATTGTCCGAACAGCAAATTCTCAACAGTGGTAGGTGTATGAGGCATTCAAACATCATGCGACTCTGCTCAAACTGCTTCAACTGTAAACCAATAAAAAATATTTCAGTTGTTTGTATCTCACAAAAAAATATAAATAAATCATAGAAAATTACAAATAGTATTTTAATCTATATAAATTTTCAATACATTAATAATCTCACCTCCAATGACTCATTAGTTGAGCTCGAATAGTGGTCCCAGTTGATTTTAAGTATTTCTAGCTTCTGCAGGGTAAACAAACTCTTGAGCAGGTTAAAAGTGACGAAGTCGATAGCAAAGCAAAGAGTTTGAAGGTTGGGAAATGTTTCTGCAATTGTTGCCATAGAATTCTCATCCATAATATACCATCCTAATTCGATATGCATGAGCTTGGGAAATTTGAGCAGGAAAGGCACATATTGGAATATGAACAAATTAATTTGTTCGATGCTTTGATCATATAAGCTCCTCACTATTGCTCCATCTTCGTCTCGAGTTAAAATGGCCACCTTCCGAGAGTCGGCAACCCTAACTAAATTTGGGCACCGCTCAATAAGCATTTCCCACACTTGACAATCACGGGGATAATCTGAGGTTTTGCATTGAGAGAACACGATGAAGTCGAATTCCTTAATAGACGCATCGAGGAGGCGGTTAAGCAACTCAAAAATCCAGAGTCTCATTTCCTGACTAAGCAGCTTGTCACATTCCCCTTGGGACTCCAGGTATTTCAAAATATCAAGCCGCAGGGATGGCGCTACATAAATATTAAGATAAATTAATAATTGATTGAATATTATGATAGGGGTTTTAACTTACACAAGTGCTGATATGGAACTGCAGAAGTCTTCACTGAAGCACTGTTTCTTATTGTCATTAGAGAAAGTTCCTTCAGGGGCCGTAAATTTCGCATTATTGACCTCTTGCAACCAACTTCAAAAAATTGCTCCATGATAACCTCCATGAGTTGCTCCAACTGCTCCATCGCGTCCATCTCCAAAGGAAGCCTAGATTCCCTCTGTTAAAAAATTGAACTTTTCTTAAACTCTTCCACACTCTATCACATGGCATCTTGAAATGAAAAATAGCAAAGTTTATAAAAAAAAATACGAATTAAAAGTGAATAATTTAAAAATTGAAACTTATGTATATTTAATATTTTAGATAATTATTATATTATGTTTACATTTTGTTATGAGCCTACAAAATTGTATTATGATTACATTATACATAATGCTATTCTTACATCTTGTCTTAGTAGCCACAAAACAGACCGACGACCGACCGGCAGGCAGGGAATTATCAAATAAAACCCTTCAGGATGCAACGTATGTAAGCAAGGACAGAACACCAAAGAATAAAATACAATCGCAAATAAAACTATAAGTAGTGGCTATGGCTATCTGCCTCTGCTCTGCTCCTTTACCCAGCCTCTTGATTTTGATGTTAAATTGTGGCTGTGCTTCTCTCTTCTGTTAATCTGTAGCAAGAGGAAGTTCTTGATCTGTAGCCATCTGTAGCACATGTGTTTGTTGTTTTTTGTACAAAAGGAGGAAGGGCTACTTCAGTCCGCGCCAGGATCGCGCAAGCGTAGAAAAATTAAGATTCCATCAGGCGGCAAAAACAACTACAAAATAAATATAATAATTATATTATATGAATAAAAATAAATATTAAAGTTTATTTTGCATAATTTGTTACTTTATTTATTTTGAATAAAAAACTGAATGGTTTCTCCTAAAATTTTTTTATTTAAAAACATCTTAATGTTCTTTTCAATTTTTTATTGCATTCTTATATTGTAATTAGGTGGTTTAAAGAACTTAATTATTTAAAACACCTTGATTTATTATTTGGTCAGTTTTTAATTACCTGTTTATTTTGTTTCTAAATACACAAATAATATCCAAAATAATAATATTGATAATATTCAAATTCAAATACACAGCCAGATATCTCACATCACCACTTCTCTAAATAATTATGACATAAATCCATGCTCTCTGCACACCTCTGCGCTGCACACTTAACTTGACAAACAATGCAATTTTATGCTCCAAAACAATACAAACGATATTTAAAAACTTAGATTTTCAATTATATTTGCATCAATAGAGTTAACCCTCCAATTCTTCGTCCTGATCAAAAGGACCTTCGAAGTCAAATTCCGAAAGTGTTATATTTGGCAACAAAGAGTCCGAAAGCTGATTTGCAAATTCTCTCGAGGCTGAAGAACATGTTAGCAGTTTAAGTTTTGGAGCATAACTGGGAAGGAGACAGAGGAACCTAATAAGCTCAGGCTGCACTTGTTCACTTTGGCACCCAAATTGGAATATTCTGAACATCTGCAAAATGTGCCCTTTGACCAGGAGGTCAGACAAATAGATAAGTGAGTCAGGTACTATAGATAGATCATTGTACACACAAAAATGCTCAATATTTGGAGCAGAAAGTATATAAAATATTAACTTAGAGGGAAAACTGTCAGACGAACTATGAAATTCAAAACTCGTCATGCGATTGAAATTACTTTGATTTACAGACGCACTTGATGTTTCAACATTTGCAATACTTATATTCATATTAAAATCAAGTTTTCTAAGTTGAGGGCAGAGTGAAAATATCTCAAAAGGGTCCACTCTTTCTGCATGACTAGTAGAAAATATAGTAAGTTCCTCTAGTTGACTGCCACAATAGGAAAGCACTTCAATCACAAAAAGACCTTTAACGCAACTCAAGTGCAGCACTCTAAGATTGAACAGGTTTGAAAAGTCATAAACAAAAATATTAACAGGCTCCTCGAATCTTAAATTAATTAGCGAGGGGACGAGTCTAAAGTCAAATGCGCCCACTATCTTTGCAGTCTCCAAGTACAATGCTGGCTGTGCAAGGCCTTGGAAAGAATGAAGGTCAAACACGCCGGCACGTATGGTGTCAACAGAATTGTCCGAACAACAGACTCGCAAGAGTGGTAGGTGCCTCAGACACTCCTGCATCAAACGCGACTGCTCAAAACGCTTGATCTGAAAAATAAATTTTGTGAACAAAAGAAATTATAAAAATTAAATATTACCTCAAATGATTTCGAAAGAGATGATTTATACTCCCAGTTGACTTTTAAAATTTCCAGTCTCTGTAGGGTGAATAAACTTCTAAGCAGATCAAAAGATGCTGCTTCGATAGCAATGGAGAGTGATCGAAGATTAGGAAAGTTTTTAGCAATTTGAGCCATGCATTCCTCGTCACAAATGTACCATCCAAGTTCGATGTGCTCCAGCATGGGTAATTTTATCAGGAAAGGTAGTACATCATTCAGGTGGAAGTTGCAAAAGCCTTCATTGCTTTCGTACTCGCCGTCCTCAATCATATCTTCTTTAATTAAGGCTAACTTTCGAGAATCAGCAACTCTTTCCAAATTCGGACACTTTTCAACTAGCATTTGCCAAACGTTTTTGTCCAGCAGGTACTCTGAAGATTCAAATTGAGAAAATAAGATAAAGTCGAAATCTCTCACAGATGCGTCCAAGAGGCGGTTCAGTATTTCAAATATCCAGCCTTTCAATTCGGGGCTGATCGGCTTGTCAAACTCTCCTTGGGACTCCAAGTACTTCAAAATATCAATCCGCAGGGATGGCGCTATGATAAATAATAAATTCACTTTCACTACTATAATTTATAATTTGATATTTATCAAAACTTACACAGGTTTCGATAAAGTACTGTAGAAGATTGAATGCAAGAACACACGTTTCTTATCCTTTCCAGGGCAAGTTCTCTCAGTGGTCGTAAATTTCGTGCTTCAGATCTCTTAGCTTTCGCAATAAGCGTAAGTTCTTCTGCATCCAGTTGTCTGAAAAGTTACATACAATTTAAAATTTTTTAAATGAGGTTCGTTAAAAATTTATCTTTATTTTTTTTTTTTTAATTGACCATTCACAAGAATTAAATTCATAACTTACGACATGATCAAAAATAAAGTGCGACGAGATCAGCACACAAAAAATAACTTTTCTAGGGCAGTTTCTTTATTTGGCAAATGATAACTGCCAAAGCGGGACACGCTGAAGACCAGATAAGCTTTAACTGCCCTGAATGATAGTAAAATTTAAAAGGTCCTCCTGTTGATTTTCGTTTCGATTCTCATTGTCTCATTGTCAATCATATGGGAAGAAGGGGCGTTACTTGTTTTTGCATGCGAGGATTTCTGTCTGCTGTGGCGCGAAACTGTGAACGAGCAAGGCAATCTTCCTCAATTTTTAATTTTAAAATTTAGTTGACTCAATAAGATCTGGCTGTATGGTAACTCACCAAAGCCATAAAACAACAACAGCAAGCAACTCGCTACATGCAGCATTGCATAAATATTTATATTTTCATCATTTTCATTATATATATTTCATATAATTATAGGAGCTGCTTTTTTCCAAATCTAAAAAACTTGATGTTTTAAATGTGCTTTGCTCATTAGTGCATGATAAAATATAATTTAATAATTTAATGAATAAATCTAATAATTATGTCTTCACATAATTATGATAATTATACCATGTCAACTGGCAATGATCTGTTCAATTGAGTTTTTTTTTAAATTTTACATAAGCAGTGGCTGTAGAATTTACGTTAAAAGGACTCAGTATCAGTAAATTAGAAAAAAAACATTATTTTTAAATTTGTGTACATCGCGCCAATGGCGGAACCTTAATGTAGAAACGTTTGTATTTGGATCGGATCGGAATCAATCACTACTATAATGTCTATAATAATTATTTCTCTTCTCGCTCTTTGGCGCTTTTCTCCGAAGAAGAAGTTGTTGAAATGTACGCTGAATGTTTTGGCGGCGCTAGCGGTTGGTCCTGGGCAACGGGCAACGTCCTTTGTGACAAATTCAAAACAAAAATCGTGGTTAAACATACTTTGCAGGAATTATACTCCTGCTGTGTTATTATGTAAAATGTAAAAAATGCTAGTGTTAAACCAGATTAACTTGGATACCACATAATTGAAATTAAGGTATGTTCCATTAATTGACTATACAAGTTTTAAGTTAAAATCCAGGACAATTAAGAATGGGTTTGTTATTATTTTATAAAATGTTTTGGAAAAGCGAAATTTATTAAAATTCTCCTGATTTTCCAATGTTTTGTCAAGTAGGATAAGATGCTCCAAAATTTAAATTAAAAATAAGTGAATTAATTTCAGAAAATTAGAAATTAATTTCGACTTTCGACTGATGAAAATAAATCTCGAAATTACATAATATTTGTTTCGGTCTTGCGCGTAGAGATGGCGTTATGCGTACGTCTCGGCGGACGTGCGACGTGCGGGAACATTAAATTTGGCGGTTTTTCCCCCAATGGCTGCCTGTTTATTTACGTTTCGAACGAAAACTTTTGCAGCAAAATTTCTCACAAAAGCCGGGAGTTCCTCGATAGGAAAAGGTACGAAGAAAGACTGAAAGTGCCTCTGAACCGATTTCCAATTTGATTTTCCATCAGTTTTGTAGAGAAATAATCAAACCGACTGTAAATTCATGGGCGATTCTCCACCACCAAGGAAGACCAGAAGGTCTTCAGTAAGTAGATTATTTGTCTAGAGAATGGAAAATACTTACAGACGGACTGTATTTTAGATTTTGAAAGGTAGTAGCAGGGCTCCTTTGCAAAATTTGGAAGATAACGAAGGCTACGATGAGGACAGAACGACTATTACAAGAACGGCAACTTTTAAACGCCGAGTGAGTTTTTCGTCCACAAATAAAGTGCAGTAAGTTTAAATTTTTTATTTTAAATGCCATGTACAATAACAATTATAATTATTTTAATTTTTAGGGAATTTTGTCATGAGGCTGATGAAATATGGGGAGAAAGATACGAAAAGCCGATGCTTCCTGAAGCAAGAACACAGTCGTATGTGTCAGAAATTTAATGTTTTAAATTATTATTAATTTATTTTCTTGATCATTAGGGACCCAACGAATCTTCAAACAAGCCACAGTTTTCAGAGTTTAATGACTGGTGAAATTAAGAGTGCCCCATCAAGCCTTCAAGTGCGAAACGAAATACAGTTCACCTACTCGGAATCTGTCATGAAAGTTCGGGCAAGCCAGCCTACTGCAGCAGCAACAGCAGATGATTTAGACGACGAGATGGAACTCACTTCGACAAACCTGCCTGTGTTTTCGCAGGAGTCGCAAACCTCTCAGGCCGCATCCCAAGTGACTGTCATTGATTGTCAAGCCCCAGTTGCAATCGACAAAGAGAATTTTACTCATGCGTTGAATAAAACAACCATGAGCACTGTGAACATGTCAATGGACCCTGGGAGCTCTTTAACAGAGGACGCCAGCTACCTGAATTCACCAGGCTTTAACAAAACGCACCTCACCCTGAATGACGAAGATGATTTGCAAGAGGCTGATGACCTTTTGGATATTTTTGGTCCGCCCAAGCAGAACCTTCTGGAGAAATCCGCGAAACCAATGAACAAAACTGCAAATGAATCACTTTTCATGGACATCACCTCGTTTGGCCAAGCAGGTAAAATACTCATATTAATTTAGGCTTCATTAAATCTTAAGCTAATTTTATGTTCAGATAAATTGGCTCATGAAGAGGAGGAGGAAGAAAAAACAGAAGACTTGGCCAAACTAATGTCCTCTCGGCTCAACGCCACATGCAAGACGTTGTTGGACATGGAGGAAGACAACACCAATGACATTCTGAAGGACGACGTTCTTCAGTCTGGCTCCTCAATGGACACGGAGGAACTTGTGCCAACAGAGTCCATTTCCAGTCTTTCCAAGCACTGCAGGTCTTTGAGCTTCAGCCAGACGGCCCCAATGGACACATCTGTGGCTCCGACTAATGTTACCTGTGCGGCCATGGAGATGACAATGGGCCCAAGCAACGCCTCCAACACGCAAATGGAGATGACCATGGCAGCCCCAAGTTTTGCAAAGGAGTTGCAAGCAAGCCAACAGCACACCTCGGTTTCCATGAACAAGACTCTGGCGCAGCCCCTGGAAATGAGTTTTGACGAAGAGCCCGTCTTTCAAGGGAGCCAAAAGTTCAGCCAAGATTTGACTCAGTCCCAGCCTCATAAACATGACATTACAAATTATCAGGTGGAGGACCTTAGTTTTGAAGAAACCCAAGGAAATTGGAATTTTGCTACAAAATCGAACGGTAGCTGAATTTACTTTGATCTTAATAGACCTAATTTTAAAAATATTTTATTTTCAGCCAACAAGTCTTCACTGTCCCCGAACAGAACACAGAGCAAAAATTTAGAGGATGAGCCAATCACACCGCCAAGGAGCTTATCAGATTTTGAAAATGAGCCAAAACCTCCTGCCAGCAACCTGTGGGAGGAAAAACTTACGTCTCCGTTGATGCCTGAGGACAGCATCGTTCTAGACACAACCAAAGCCTCCATGCTAAACAAAACTTTTGATGTTCAATCGTCGAGGCTGCCAGCAAGCTCGATAATGGACAGCACCAACCTCAGTGTCCCGGACGAAACCCTGAGTGACTCAGTCTTCATATCTGGTGAAGTCCAATGCACAAATACAGAAGTGAACTCTAAAGACAATATAGAAACTATTCGGACCGTGAAAACCAGGATGGTTGACAAAATTCATGACGAGTCCTTCCGAACTGAAAACACTAAAATTGTAGACACACCAAAAGGTGAGACAAGTGGTGACGCTGTGCACTACTCGCAGACCGAGGACATTGGCGACATCTTGGTTGGTGAAACTGGACACGTTTCCGTCAATCTGAGGTGTGTCGAGAGGTCTGGAATGATTTCTCCGGAGCTTCTTCCCAGCAAGCAGGTCAACTTGTCCAGTGACCAAGAACTTCTGCTTTCGCCAAATAATAAAGCTACAATTGTCACTCGGCAGAGTCCAGATAAAGGTTATCAGCGGCCAAGGAGCATGATGGAAAGGCAGTCTGTGAGTTTGGCAACATCTCCGATTTGTCGCAACTTCAACGCCCCACTTGATGTGCCCAGCCTTACTTTGACAAAGCCAACTCCACCTGAGGAACAGGTGGACTCCCCTGAAACCACCGTTTCCTTTGACAAACAACTCCAGAAGTCGCGTCGCCACACCGTTGAGCATTCGCCCATCAAGAAAGTTTGCTACGACTCTGCCCTAAAAAAAGCATGTTCGTCTAAAGAGCTTGGCAAGTCAGAGAGTACCGTGTCACAAAGAAACATGTCATTGGGCCTATTGGACTTTGAGGAATCAATGAAGGTGACGGACGACCTCAATTGTTCCAAGAAGAGCGAAATGGACTTTTCAAGGCGCAGTGAATTCGACACTTCAAAAATGAGCATCTCCTTTTTGCCCAAGGAGTTTGCCAATCAAAGTCAGCAGGCCGTCGGCAGGAATGCTTTTGATGAGTTTGAAGAAATGGTGTCTTCGAAGAAAAGCACCAAGTTGGACGAGATTAGCAAGAAAATGGACCAAATTTTGTCTTGGTACAAAAGCAGAAAAGAGGAACGGGAAAAGGCCACTCAAAGAAATGAGCCAGAGAATGAAGCTCCGGCCGAGGAAATGGAGGTTGAGGTCCAAGCAGATGTTGTGGACGCTCCCTTGACTCCTATTGCGTCAAAGCTCAAGGAAATGAGTCGGAAGTAGGTTTTGTTTTTTATTTATTGTATACGTAGTTTTAATTGTTTCCTTTAAGGACTGAGAGATGTTGGAGGTTTGTAGCTGATGAGGTTTACGGAATGGAGTTGTCTATCCTCAATGATACTATGAAGATGGTTGTCTCTTTAGACGAAGAGGACACTGTCAAAAAGATCTCCCTGACTCCTATCAAGCCAAGTAAGTTTTATCTCCGATAGTGATGCAATTTGATTTTTGAAATTTATTTTTTTCAATTTAGGTGTTGTTGAAGAATTTGTGCACAAAATTTTCATGCAAGGGGTCAGTGTTCCCGAGATGATGACCAGATGCAAAACGAAAAATGATGTACCGTCTCTCCTCCGAGAAATGCATTCCAAATTGGTCAAATTCACCCATCTGATGCTCACAGTACAAAAAGCCAGCTCAACCAGTGTCTTGTCTTACCAAGGCACAAGGTGAATTATATTGATTTATTATAAATTTTCCCTCTATTGTTTTTTTTTCAGGATTCATTTTCGATGCTACAGTATGAAATTAATTGTAGCTATTGAAGTTTCTGTTGATTTTGCCAAATGGGATAGAATTACAGAAGAAGACATTGAAGTTTGTACATTTGTGGGCACTCTGGAGTAAGTTTAAAATAAACCTGAGTACTAGGAAGGAAATTTATAAAAAAAAAAATTACAGGTGCAAGGAAATTCCAAGTCTTGTGGCGTATGAGAGGAAGAATGAAAGCTTCCTTCCAAAATACATTAAAACCATTGAAAATTTGATCAGAACAAAAGAAAAATTTGCGTAGATCTTAGCATTGATAACATGCCTTCTTATTAGCTTTACTTCAAATTATAAAAATCTTTGTACATATATGGATATGAGTGAAGTGTTTAAATTTAATGCATTATTTAAAACTATTAGATACATGTAATTCATTGGAAACATTGTTATTTTTAATTTTATTATCAACAATGTATAAAAACTTTAAAATAAAGCAAATAAAAATTTTGCAAAGCAAAGCAATTGCAGATTCTTTTAAATAAATATTTTCTAGACAAGCTATCACAACAAAATGGTTGGTTTCCAACAGTTTATATATTTTTTTTGATTATACTTTTTCAGTGCACACAATGCTACCAAGGAAATTGCTTTTGAGGGAACTCATCACATTACGAAGGTTCTCCACTCAGGCTGCATCCTACGATGTGATTGTAGTTGGAGGCGGCCATGCTGGAACTGAGGCATGTGCAGCAGCAGCTAGAAAAGGCAAACGAACTCTTCTTGTAACCCATAAGAAATCAACCATAGGTATGTAAATTATAATATACGACGAAGAATAAAAAATGAACTATTGAACAAAATTTTTCATGGGTCATAGGTGAAATGTCTTGTAACCCATCATTTGGTGGCATTGGCAAAGGCCACTTGATGAGGGAGGTTGATGCACTAGACGGAGTTTGTGGGCGAATATGTGATCTCTCTGGAATTCACTATAAGGTAAAATGAAATAAATAATAATAAAGTGAAAATTATTTAAGGTAATATTAACAGAATTTAAATTTAGGTTCTTAATACAAGAAAAGGTCCAGCAGTTTGGGGTCCGAGAGCGCAGATTGATCGGGGGCTGTACAAGAGGCACATGCAAAATGAAATTTTCAACCACACGCCGAACCTGGAAATAGTTGAAGCATCTGTGGAGGATCTTTTAATTCATGAAAATGGTCACTGTGCTGGAGTAATGTTGGGCAAGTTTTACAACTAAAAATTCTTTTTTTTTTTGTTCACTGAATTAATCTTAACAAACCTGAGTTTTTCATTCTTATAGAGAGTGGAGCTAAAATAAACAGCAAAGCTGTGGTCATCACGACTGGAACTTTTCTCAATGGCCAGATCAACATTGGTCTTGATGTGCGGCCTGCTGGTAGGATGGGAGACCAGCCATCTATTGGTCTGGCAGAAACGCTCAAAAGGCTAAATTTCAGAATAGCTGTCCTCAAAACAGGTATACACATCATTGACTTTTTTTATTTTCTGGCGATGCTTATTTAATAACGTTATCATTTGCAGGAACACCACCACGAATATATAAAAATTCCATAGATTTTAGTGTCTGTGAAATTCACAAGGCTGACATGCCACCCATGCCATTTTCTTACATCAATAAGGAAGTTTGGATAAAAGTAAATATTTTTTTTAACTAAAAAAATCACAATTCTTAATAATAATCTGATTGCAGCCCGAAGACCAGGAGCTATGCTACCTCACAGAAACTACGCCTGGAGTAGAAAAAATTGTAAGGGAGAATTTGCATGTAAATCGACATGTGACAGAAGAAATAACAGGTCCCAGATACTGTCCGTCCATCGAGTCAAAAATTTTAAGGTATAAAAGATTAATTAATAAATACTTTCCTTTTTATAGAATTTTTTTAAATCAGATTTGGAAATCGAGCGCATCAAATTTGGTTGGAGCCAGAGGGTCTTGACTCGGATCTTATTTATCCAGCGGGCTTGTCTTGCACTTTGCCAGAGGACCTGCAAGTCCAACTAGTTCACCAAGTCAAAGGTTTAGAAAACGCTGTGATTGCCAGGCCAGGTAAAAAGGCGCTCATTTTCAGTTTTTGAAAGAAAATATCACAGTCTGAATAAATAAGGTTATGGAGTTCAATATGATTTTGTTGACCCTCGAGAATTGCGACCATCATTGGAAACGAAGAAAATTCCTGGACTGTACTTGGCTGGGCAAATCAATGGGACGACTGGATACGAGGAAGCTGCGGCGCAAGGTATCATTGTAGGGATCAACGCTGCGTTGCAAGTGAGATTTTTAAAATTAAATAATCATGCAGGAAATTTACTTAGGTTTTTTTTCAGGTAGAAGGACGGGATCCAATGTTAGTCAGCAGAACAGAGGGCTACATCGGAGTCCTGATCGACGACCTGACCACCCAGGGCACCAATGAACCTTACAGAATGTTCACAAGCAGGGCAGAGTTCCGTGTGTACCTGAGACCTGATAATGCTGATATCAGATTAACACAGAAAGGTGCAGAATTATATTCTAGAGAAAAATTGGGTTACATTAATATTTTTTGTAGGCTACGACGCTGGAGTTGTTTCTAAAAAGAGGCTTGAAATTTTGCATCAAATTCAGAGGGAAATGGAATTTTGTGAAGAGGTATTGCGATCGACGGTCCTACCAGCGCAGAGGTGGAAACCTCTTTTAAATTTGCAATCCAGAAAAACTTTGGCCAAAAGGTTGAACTTTTCACTTTTATCTTTCATTACTTTTATTGAAATACTTATTTCCTTAATTTAGTGCCTATGACTTAATAGCTGATTCAAGTTCGAAGGCAACCATTTCTCATTTAAGACAGCTTTTGCCAAAGGAGCTGGAGTGCCTTGATGGTACAGAGTCGGTTTGGCAAAGAGTTACAATAGGCTCCATTTACAAGTACTTTGAAGAAGAGCAAGCGCTGGAGATTGAGGCCATTAAAAAGGAGCAAGCCCTCGTCATTCCAAGGAATTTTGATTACAAAACGTAATAATTAATAAATCAACATAATGTAAAATTACCACATAACATGTTTCTAGGCCCAAGCTAAATATTTCTAATGAAGACCGAGAGAAACTCATTATTTACCAACCTCAAACGGCAAGAATTCATTTCAATTTTTCTTTTTAATTAGCTAATATGAAAAAATTACAGATTGCAGCTGCAAGTAGAATATCTGGGGTGACACCATCTGCTGTCTTGAACCTTATGAACTGTGTTAAATTTTCGACACAGACGAATACGACAGGAGAGCTGTGTTAATAAAAGTTAAAGATATCAGCTTCCTGTTTTTATTTCGTTTATTTAATCATCATGAATTATAAAACCATTACTCATTACAACGTCAAATTTTATTACAAAAATATTTTTTGTACGGGAGGGAGATTTCTTTGTGATACAAAAATAGCTTTATTGGCCTTTAGCAGTGGCAAATAAATTACCTGTAGAAAGCAAATGTGTGCTCTAGTGCTACAAATTATGTTCATAAATACCTACAGAGGAACCTTATTTCATTATCTTACATTTGTTCACACATGCCTGTAGTGTAAAATTATTATTAAATACATTTATTTTGTCACGCAGATTTTAGACTTCATGCAAAGTGTGTATTTACAGTCAAATACAAATCAAAACTCATTTCACAGAAAAATACTGCATCGTTAGACATCGTCAGTCTTCTCAAAAACTAAACATTACTCCTCGTTGATAATCTCAAGTTTTTAACTGTTTGGCACTGTGAAGCTTCTTCTCGGAGGCTAACAGGTCGTCTCAAGAGGCACATGGTCACCGTTGGCTTTGGAGATGGGACTGCTGGTGGTGTCGGCGGCCGTTGTCGAAGGAGGACCCTGAGAGGTTTGGGACATGGGGTTGGCGGCGGCCTGAGGTTGATTCTGCCGACGGCCGCACCACCACATCCGCTTGACGGCTGCCCACACCTGAGGCTGGCATCCGACCACGATGAAGATGAACACCCCTTGTAGCGCGTTGATCAGGTCAGTGATGTACCAGAGGTACGAGGGTCCACCCACAAACCAGGAGACGATGTCGGCCAACCAGGTCACCCCCATCACCACAACCAACTTAAGGCACACATTGCCCAGCGTTGTTCTGAAACAAAAATGACAAAAGTTTAAATTTTGTAACAATTAAGAAACCAGAAAAATTTGAGATTTAATTGTTCCTTTTTTTGAATTGAGACTTTTTATTTTTAAATTTTGAATATTTTAGTTATTGTAAATTTTAAATTGATTTTACGTGACAAGATGCTAAGCAAAACTACATATGCATGCTTTGGTTTTCTTTGTCGACCGGCTACTAATTTCACGCATCACCGGCTCAGCACAAATTGAAATTCAATATTTCGCTGCTATATGCATCTGCGGTCGTCACGTGTATACAGCCGGCTCTATTTTGTGGGAATGAAATTTCATTTTCATTGGCTCGATGGCTAATGTGTTTTTGCAAAAGAATCGCTTTTGAAACGAGCATTCTCTCGCCGGCGACAAAAAGTGTGGAAAATCGGCGCGGTGGCGTTGACTTTGCCGACCATTGTGTTTCATTTTGGTGCTCACTGGAGCACTCTTAGGTGTTGCCATGCTCCAACGAAGCGGTCCTCAACAAGGCAACAAAACTCGAGGCGAAACACAATGCAGGCACATTTACACGCCGACCGTTCGTCTTTTCGGCCCAAACTTTGTCATTGATTCCTGAAAACTGTATAAAAAAAATTGAGACTGCTTTTGATACGCTAAATTTGACAGTTGGATAACATTGAATCAGATTAACTGTTTCATTTAAATTTTTTATTAACAAAAAATGTGACCGTCTTATCAGAAAAGACCTAAATACCAGAGCACATGGCAAAAACATTTTAGCGAAAGTTAGTTATCAGCAGTATTGAGAAAGTAAGTGACAAAACATACTCTACATGGAGTAAGCGTAAGCTAAATTTTTGTTTAAATATTTGTTCCATTTTACTTTAAATTTAAAAATTCCACTAATTTTCATTATGAATTTTGAGATAAACCATTTCATAAAATTTAGAATTTGAGATTTTACCAATTAAAAATAAATGAAGCGAGAGAAAGACGACGATTTGTTCGAAGCGGCCAGTTACTTTAGACTTTAACACAATAATAAGCGCGCCGGTCATTTCCTGGACAAAATAAACGTGAATGCTGCTGCGCCAGCAGGGAAAGTAGGTCTGCTGCAAAGAGAAGAAGAATGGGAAAGAGAGAGAGAGATGGGCATTGAGCGCAAGCAACAATTACACCAGTTTAATTCTCAAAAGCATGGAATAAAACGCAAGAGAAGTTCTTCTGCTCAAAGCGTTTTACAACCTATACGCCTTAATAAAATCTGAAAGCTTGCAATTTTCTAAAATTCAACTCACCTTTCAGTGGAACTGTGCGATCCGCCGCCAGTCTTGACGCCCTCACGGCGCCACAATCCGCAGGTCAGCTCGCGGGTTGTTGCAGCAAAAAGCACAAAGTTCAGCAGAAGCAGAACGCCCACGGGTCCGTAGAAAAAGGCAAATATGTCCAGGTCACCTAGAAATTGAAACGAAACGGTTCTTTTAATAATTAATTTCTTTTAAAACCAAAAGGAGTAAAAAGAAAAATTTTTTGCGAAAGTTATTTTGTGAAATATATTATAAATAAAAATGTATTTTTCTAGTTGTAAAATAAAATGCTGAAAATGAGATCCACGTGCAATTCAGCTCTCCTTTCTTTATACATTCATATTCAGCGAATTGCACAAAGGGAGGAGCGGCAACAAACAATGAACAGCTTTCGCATTTTCACAAATGGCCAGACAGACACGCAGACAGCACTTTTCATTAATTTTCATCATACACGCGGTGGCAGCGCAGGCGAAAATAAATCGCGCATGAAAATAATGAGCGAGGGCTGCGCGCGTTCGGCAACAACTCATTTATTGCGCAGAGATTATTCAGGGTATTGAGTTACCCTGAGTGAGTCGAGTTCTAGCTCTCTCGGTGCGATGACTTTTCACAAAGGGCCTCCTCATCTTCTGCACAGCGGGATTATTTTTGCCGTGTGTCTCCGCCCGCGCGCTTTTTTGCAACAGCAGCAGCTTTATTTTTAATCGCGCACACACGTCTATTGTAACAGGTTTTAGATTGCGAAAAAAGGAAAGAGAGAAAAACTGTCACGATTTTGCCTTGTGAGGAAGGTTTATCAGACGAAGAATAACAAAAGTTTTATAAAACGTCATTTTCCTTAATTTGATGTCCACTTTTAGTTGCTATATCTAATAATTTTCAATATTTTGATATTTTGAGCAAAAAGAAAAGCAATCTTTTTATGAAATTGATTAAGTTTCTTGGTATGTTTTAAAGAGAAAATTCTCAATAATTGCAGATTCAAAAAGATTTCTATTATAGATTTTGTTTATTTTACGTTGAAGGTTTCTTTCAATTCTTCTGAATACCAAGTTTTGAATTTAAAATAATTTTTTTTACCGTGAACTTGGTGAGCTTTTTCATCTTTTCTTCCTCTTACGTTTAAGTTTCGCAATATATGTGTCAAGGAAGTTTTCATGAATATTTATGAAAAGTTGAGCTATTTGCTCTCTTGGCCTGCGAGAGTTGTTTGCTCCAGAGACGCGTACGAAGCTGAAAATAAATTCAACTCGCTGCACATGAGTGATGAAAAGTTGCAGTGCAGATGCGCGCAGTTTGAAATATGAATCACACTTTTTTTCTGCCGCAAGTGCAGCTGCATTAATTCAAACGCTCTGCATGTGCAATTCAAATTCCAACGCGGCTCTCCATTCATAATTGCAGCTGGAATTGGAAAAAAGAGTTTCCGACGAATTTGTACGAGTTCTTTCAAATATTCGCACTTTTGCGGTCGCGTTTGGTTATAATTTCGGATTTTCGTTCACTTCCTGTTACTCAGTTTTCATAATATAAGCGAACATATGGACGTTTATGAAGTGACATGTGGATCGTCTCGAGTTCTAAGAAACCAACAGAGTTTTTGGAAGATTCATATAGCTGTTTATTTTGTCACGAATATACATTTGAGATATTCTAATAAATGCAAATATTGTTATCTCTGCCCGGTGTATAATTACCAAAGCTTTTAAAGGTAATTAGCAAAATATAATTTCGGCAACAAGCGGAAGTTGTTCTTTTCGGAGGCCGTATAAAATTAATTGGGCTTCCTCTGCGCGGAATTGCAAAGACCGTAATAATTGCCAGCCTCGCCTCGATAAAGGTGCGATAAAAGCAGAGAGAAAAAGTTTTTGCTACTCTTTTCTGTGCGTGTGCTGCGAAGCACATGTTTGCTGCAGTAACGGACGCAATGTGGAACAGCAATTTTAATCCAGCTGCCTATTTGATGTTGGCCATCCGTCCGTCCATTAGCCGAGCAGCGCTAATAAAGTGCCGTTATTGATGCAGCGGCTCGGAAATGTGCACTAATTCACTCTCAATACGTCGCGCTCTCGTTTCGGCCCATCGGTGCGCCCAATATGCTGCTAGAAAAATGTAATATATTATGTACAATAATGGGGACACGCACACGTGTGCGAGAGGGGATATTCCCTGTTTGTCTCCCGTGGCTTTTGGAAAATTCATGTTCATCCCCAAAGCTCCACACGGTCTCGTAAACATTGCAGACATTTCTTTAATGCTATAGGGATAGGCATGGGAGCTTCATTTTTATATCTTATTGGAGGATAAAAGAGAGAAAAAAACGTTTTGTGTAAGACTGTAAGTTATTATTCATTCCAACATTCCGTATAACAGTCCTGATTCCAAAGATAAGATTTAAAATTATTTTATATTGAATTTAGCGGTAATATTTCAACTTTCGCTAATAGTGATGAGCTGCAGATTATTATATTTAATATTTCAACTTTGTTAAAATAAGCAAGTATGATGGAAATTTAATTTTTTATTTATGAAAGAATTATTGTTGTGAATAAATTATATTGCAAACAACAATGATTTACAATTAGATGAAATAAGCAAGAAGTAATAAAAGTATTAATTATATAATTAAAATAACAGAAATAATATGAATTTAATTAAAAATAATAAATAAAAAAACTAATGATAATATTTATAAATTAAAAAATTATTTTATTTATATTATAACCTTTATTTTACTTAAGGCAACTTGCGTAACAAAGGTTGATTTTTATGTTCCTCAAACAAGCAAGCTTCTTATTTGAATGAGAAAAGTTTCCCTTCTGGCCTCTGACCTGTGCTTTTTTTAACAAAGAAAGGGTTGAAGGAGTTATTTTGTATACGATTCTGAATGAACAAAAGGCGAGGAGACACGCTGCGTTTGTCCTTCTAGAAGCGCATAGAAAATAATTGTTTCCCTAAAAGGGTGCCAGTTAATCATCCCGGCCGACCGTCTCCAGTCTGGTCTGGAAGAGAAATATTTGATCGGCGGCAGCGAGCAATTTTCACGCCCCGGCAGGGTGTTTCCGACGTTTGGAAGGGTTTCAAAAATGTATACGCGTTATAAAAGAATTAGGGTTTGGGATGAGACACCACTTTCATTAAGGCCTCTCAGGTTTATCAAATCGAACATATTGAAAGCGAAACCATCAGAGGTCATAATCATCGTCTAATTCTCGAGTGGTGCCGCCGCTTTTTGGAATTCCTCAGGAGGCAGGTGTGTTTTTACAACGGCCGCATCACCTGCTCCCTTTGTAGGTTGTACCTTTGCGACGAGAGAAGAAGGCGTAAAACGGGAGAGCAGTTTAGAAAGATGACCGCACGCGAGCGAGAGATGAAATGAAAAATTCGGATGCTGCGCGCTCACCTGCCCAACCAACATCTGCCCCGCACAATTATATCCACTTTTGTGCTCAGGGCAGCCTCCTCTCTAGCTCGCTATCAACAATAAATAATAATAATGGGCGCAAAATATTTTCTGCCTGGCAGCATTTGTTCAATGAGTTGCGCAAGAAAAGCGACATCCTGTGCGCTCCGAATTTGCTTTGGATATTATTTATTGGAAATTTCCTGTGGCGGCACATTTTTCACCCCGGCCAAAAGCGAGAAATCAAGAGCACGTCACACACCCGCCCTCAGCTGGACAAAATCTGCTCCTTTCAATTCGGACAAATAACAATGAAAGAGAGATAAACTCCTATCAGATTTTCCTGTAAATTTATAAAATTTTTGTGAAGGCGATTGACACGTCTTATGAAAGCAGGGCCGTTATATTGAAATTACATCAAGAAATATAATTTAGGTTATGGGAGATAAAAACTGAATAAAGGTCTTTAAAAATTTCTTAAATTTGGTAAACTTGGAAGTGTTTCAAAATTAATAAATAATTAAGTTGTGTTATTTATTTATATGTATAATCATTATTATAAATTTACCAAAAAACATAAATTCAAAGCGCTTACTAAAAAATGTATGATCCATTGACGTGCGTTTACAATTAAATTCAACTCTAATTATCGTTTGAGGATGTCCTCCTTCTCACAGAGAAATCTTTCAAAGATGAGTAATAATGGCGCAACCTACATGCCTGATGAGGAAAATGTGCTATATTTTCACTTTCTGCAGAAAACTTTCTCTGTATGAATGCAGAAAATCGCATAGAATATTTTCTCAATTGCAGATAATTTTGCTAAATTTCAATTTTATTCGCATTTTATTATAATTATATAAATTTTATGTGCGTTATGCAAAACGTCTCCGTCTCGCTGATTGAATGTTATGTCATACATGAAAGGTCTATTATGGTTTTAATTGACCCTGATGCTCATTACTGGCTGTCTCTTGATCGTAATGCAAATAACATGACCTTTCTCTCAAGTAAATTGCCGCAGGCACAGAGCAAACGATTCAGCTGAAAGGCGAGATGGCAGCTGTTGGCGAGGGCGGATTTTTTTATTATATTTTCCGCTGAAATTGTGATACATAAAAAAAGCCGGTCAGTTGCGCAGAAAGTTGAAACCGGAGCCGAGGCGTTTAATGGCTTTTCAGCACGTAGCTCGCCGAGAGACGTCTCTCTTTCATTTACATCTCATGCAATCGCAAGAAAGATGACTATCTAGCTCCGTCCGTGGACTGCGCGAATCTCCAGCAGTGTGCAAGAGAAGAAGAAGTACTTCTAAGCGAAAATTGGGGCACCAGACGGGCGTCTCCGGGCAATATAATTATAAGTGCGCATTATAATTACCGCTCGGCCTCAAGGACCCGCGCTTACTTGCACAAATTACTACATTATGCATGAACTGTAATTTAAGTTCACTGACCAATCGTTTAAAATATTCATAAAAATATTCAATAAAATAAAAGTTGAGTACAAACTGGGCATCTGTGATTTTTTCGTTTTTAAATTTCTTAGTTATGTTTAACATTGGATATTAATTTTTTTTAATAAGCTTGGAAATTTGCTAAGCTCTTATAAATTTGTCTCTTTCAAGCATAAAAAACAAACATCTGGCTGTGGAAACTTTTAATTATTAATTATTGAATTTTCTTGAACGAATCTACTACTTAGTTGAAATATATTTCAAATAATTAAAGCTGCCATTTAATTGGTCAAGAGTATCCAATTAATTAGAGAATGACCTCCTCCGCACTTGTTTGAAACATAAATAACGCTTTTAAACTGTTGCTTAAACTTTATCCTTCAATTGAGACATAATGCTTGTATATAATTTTTTCTGTTCCAAAGAACAAGAATATTTCTGTTGTTGTAGAAAGAAATATGTCCAGTTTGTTTTATTTTATTTTTAGAAAAACTCTCATTTCTGTGATGCGAGACTGAAACAAAAACTTCTGTTAATTTTAGCACTGGAAAGTTGTCAAAAATTGAACAGCACAAAAAACACATATTTCGTAAGCAGTTGCGTTTGTTCCTATTTAGCACTTATTTCACTTTCATGTTAAATGTTGTGGCAAGGTGAATCTGTTATATATTTTTTACAAAAAATAAATAAATCAATTGATTTTTCCAACATTTATGTCAAAGTAGGAAAATTCCACATTTGCAGAATAAATTGTATGTTAATCACATGCTAATAGTATATACATGCATGTGCGCGTACTTTCTGCTCCAGTAAAGGCAGTTGTCCTACTACCACTTTTAATAATCATGCAACTTCCGCGTGTGTACGTTTGTCTCACAATTGAATATTTCTGCGAACACGTCTGCATACTTTCCCACGCGTGCGGACGGCCGCTTCAGCATTCAAAGATATAAAAGCGTGGTCTCCGTTTTGAAACAACAGTGGCCAGATTATCATAATTTTATGGTCATACCGCTCATTATCATTCGACGCGGCGCAACCAGAATGACTGGGTCGCGCGCAATTGTTGGGGTTTTTGTGTCGCGCTGATGGAAAAAAAAGACTCTTCTATACGCGCAACATTATTATATTAATTCAGGTGTGGGGAAAAAGAATTTGCCTGTGTGCGTGAGCGACGTGCGATCGAGAGAGAACAACACCCGCGCGGGTACGTGATAAAATTTTGACCTCAGGTGAACCGAGGTGATAACAACGCCCCATGCCATGTGCTGCCGAGAAACTCTTTCGTGCTCCGTCAATTTTAAACTCGGGATTTTATATTTCATGAAAATTTTGGATAAAATTTATTCTAAAGATCATGAATATAAATTAAGAAACTAAAAAGATCAACTTTCAGCAAATTTTAACAAAAATTGTACAATGTTGACGAAACAATTGAAAAAATAAATTTTAAATATCTTAAAATTCAACTCAACTGCCCTACAAATTCAAAAAAGCAAAAATGCATCAGACGTTTTTACAAAAAAAAAAAAAAAAAAAAAAAAATCAATTGTTCTTTATTCTAGTATTTGTAAAAATTTAATAAATTAAATCTAAATTTATCCAATTTTTATGGTAAAAACTGTACTTACCATAGAACCAGCATCGTTTTTCGCCGAATCTGGGTCTGAGAAGGGTCTTGGCCATGTCCTCGTCGACGGGCAGCAAGTCCAGCGTGAGAGCGGCACAGGTGATCACAAGAGGAAAGCCCCATGCGTAAAGTGAGAAGGCGCGGTACCTGAACCGCTCTTGACCAGGATCTGTGCTCACAGGCCGCAGGTCCCTGCGCACAAATTCGACAAGGGGGAATTAGTTCAGAAACATTCCTTTGACATTTTTTTTATCCGGCAGGAGAAATTTGATATTTTTTTTCAACTTTCTTTCTTTCTTTCGCTCCGTGCGTTTTTACAAGAGGAGGATTCAGAGTGAAGAGAGTTGGTTCGAATTCAATTATTTACGGTGCAGAGATGGCAGATAAAAATAGGGTGCACGCTGCATGTTCTGGTTCAGTTCTCTCAACTTCAAACAAAGGCGGCTCAAGAGTGTTCCGTTTTTCAAATCACGCTCAATGCATCGAATGTACATTTATAGTATGTGGGATAATAAATAATGGTGGCGAGCATCAGCGTGTTTGTTTATTCGGAATAGCTAGGCAGGCCTCGCACAAAGAGCAGCACCAAATAACAGTTCCATGCGCGCAGGATAAATAAAGCACCAACAATTGATGCCGCGGGAGAGGTTCTGATTTGGTATTTTTGAGCGGCGTTGGAAACCAAATGAATTTATACAGAATGGCTCAAGGATTTCCCTTGTGAGGAGACGAGAATCATTATTTAGTGCAGGGCATTTGATTATAATAATAATGCACTTGTGGCCTGATCAATGAAACCAAAGATGTGATTTTTTATAGCCGTTTTTCTCAAGGTTTTAAAATTATATTAATATTATTACAATGTTATTGTTTATATGTTTTTTAATGTTATTAAATTATTTTATTTCACTTATTTTCATATTTGTATTAATTTTTTATTTATATAATTAAAATAAATTTATCTATTTAATTTCATTTAAATGATATTAATCAATAAACAAATACTTTTTTCAATTACTTCAAGGTAATGGTATACATAATTTGTAGAGAGATATGAAAATTTCTTAACCTAATTTAAAAATTTGAAAGTGATAATATCGCATGTTCTGTTTCACTGTGAATTACTTCAAATTTTATTCTTAAATAATAAATATAAATATAAAATATAAATAAATATAATATAGATCATGATTCTTTTGAAAGCAGTGACTGAGATAAACATCACCCTAATTGGAAAATGCATCAAACGCAGCGTTGCGACATGTAAGTGGCTTTCTTTCAATGAATGGTGATGATGAGAGTGCCAAGAGGAGTTTTACTACCGCACACTTGAGTGCATTACCTTCTCTCAAAGAAAGATGACGAATGTGACTGGGGATTCCCGCTCTCAAATGCACTTATTTCATGCATGTCGCGGGTTAAAACTTTCTCTCTCCTTGCCTGCTGCGGCCTTCACCTTCTTCATTCATATATGGGGAAGCTCTGAGCCCGTATTAAGAACAATAATTTATATACTTAAGGCGGATGTCCCTCCTTTTCATTACAATTAAACAATAGGAGGACTGGATCTAAATGTGTATGTGTGTCGTTTGCGAAATGCTAGAGTTAATTTTAATAAATTGTAAACTAGAGCGGAAATTCCTCGTCGAGGAGCAGGTTTTCGTCTATAATAACCGAAAAAAAACCAGATGACCTTGCCAGCCGGAAAGGAGTTGTAATGGTAAATTATATAAAAATTTTAATCTCACCTGAACGTCCACCAAATGTTGAAGCACATCGCGTTGAGCCAGAAAAAGGCGGCCAAGAAGAAGAAATGCATCAGCACGGCTGCAACAAAAAGTTGTTTTTTAATGTTTTCGTCCATGGCTATTAAATACGGAACCCCTATAATTATGAACACGGCGAATTTCGACCTTAAAATAGCTCTTATTTCATATTAGGAAGTACTTTTTATGCCTCCATCGCCAGGGTGCCGCGTGAAGCACTCTCGTTTTCACACGGCAATTTTTTTTCCTTCGAAATAAACAACGCGGCTGTTTTTTTTTTTTATAATGTACAAAACGCAGATTTTTTTAGTATAGCAAAAATTTAATTGAGACTTGCAGAGAGGCAGCTGAGGCGCGCAGCTGCTCTTCGGGGAGCACGTGCGTGATGGAGATAAAATTTTGCGCTGCCCAAATTATGCAAATGATCATTCCACTTAATGACTCGCCAATTCAATTTGTCACCCGGAGCAAATGTTATCATAGGGGTGATGCAATGAGCATTGAGTATGTTCGAACGACTGATTCAGAGGGGCAAGGTCCGCACAAATAATTGATCGTTAATAAATAAAATAAAGTCATTTAACATAATATAAATATTACATTCGGATATAAACTTTTGTAATTCATGTCGAGTAAAATTAATTTTGTTTTTATTCCAACGAAAGGCGTTCCCGTGTAATGCTGACGTCGTTCTCGATTTTCCATTGTGATTTGATAGGAATAATAGGAAAGCATTTTCATGGCGCGGTGCACAGCAGCGATATTATTTTGCTGAAGGGCGAAGCTTCTCTCTCTAATGATGATAATGACAATCGTGCAAGTCTATCTGCACCGACTAATCTCTCTTCCTATTATACAAAACCGTATGTAATATAATTTCAGGGCAAAATATCACATCAGGGAAAAACGAGGCTTTCGATTCTGACGAAGGAATTAAAGTCATGCCGGTTTGCGTGCTGAATAAATTTTCATGATCGCCATCCGACGAATTGTTATTACAAAACGCAGCCTTCACGAAGCGCTCCGAGGAATGTGTGCGGTTTTTCATAAAAAGCGGGAGGAATAATAACATATATACGGGCGAATTGTGAATATCAGAGATCATCATTTTGCGTTGATAAAATAAATATTGGCGTATTTTTTATTTTAAAGAAAATAAAACAAAATATCACAAAAATTCTGTTGATTTTCATTTCATATTTGTAAAATAAACGCGGAAATTACTGTGAATATTCTTATGCGAAATTAAATTCGCAAGGGAAACTCATTTTAACGGCGGCGTATGTAATTTTAAAGTCATGAGGCGCGCTTGTTTGTACGGCAGGTATACAGATGTTTTTCAAAAGTGTGTCAACGACCAGGAAAGAAGAGCAACGCACATGAACTTGCGCGTCTGAAGAACAAAACAAACTTTACAACCGCAATTATCAACGCCTAAATGAGGTTTCACGCTGAAGTAAAAGGATTAAATGAGCTTAATTATTTTCTCAAATAACAAAGAGCTGTTCTGAATTTTCACAAATGATGAAATATGGGCAAAATAATATGAATTAAAATTAGTTTGAAACGTAGGATTTTCTTGTCACTAAAAAAATCAAAACTGATAAAAACAGACGTTTAGAATTAAAATTATAAAATATACTATTAAATATAAAATAATAAATCTCGGTTAAATCATTAAAAAGTGCTCAGAAAATTGTATTCAAGTTTTTGCGTTTTTGCTCTAATAGAGAAATTGAACTAATGGAGATAATTAATTAATTTTCATCACCTTTTCTTTAAATCTAATTTCGTAAAATTGAACTTGAATTAAAACGAATTAGGAAAAACGGCACAATTAAATTTAACAATCTGCTTTTAAGTTCAAATTTTTTCCCCAATCAAAACTAATTGAGGTATGATTTGAGCCCTAATTGAAACCAATTTTCACTCTCCATAGGTCTTACCCATTATAGTGCAAGCCTCAGGCGCCCTCTCGGAAATGGAGCGTCCGGAGAACTGGACGACGGCGAGCAGGACGTCGGCGACGAGGAGACAGGCGACGTGACACGTCTGGCAGCGCCAGTGCAGAGCGTGGTGCGCCTTGGGCAGGAGGAAGCTGGTGGCCAGGGTGGCGGCCAAGAAGAAGGCCGAGATGGCCAGTCCGGCCGGGTACAGGGTCAGTCTGATGTCGCCCTCGTGGACGTCGTCCAGCGGCCGTATGTCAGGCACCAGCGTCTCTCCGGCGCACGTGAGCACGGACACAAGGCTCGGACGCTCGAGGACCCTCTCGAGACAATAATCGGCGGCCAGCAGCGGCCTGGCCGGCGGCGGCGCCAATTGCAGCGCCGTCCCGTTTAACTGGTCGGCGACGGAGCCCTCGAGTTCGCCGGCGAGGACGTAGGTGCTCTTGGCGTGACACACCGGGAAGCCGGTGGCGGTGGCCACCGAGTTGAGGGCGTCGTCCGAACCGAAGCGCGTCGTGTGGACGCAGGCGGCCTCCTCCTCCGAGTAGGCGGCGTTCTTGCCGCAGCACTTGCGGACGCCATCCACCCTGGCAGGGGCGCCGCACACCAGCGCCGTCTGCCTGTCCACGCAGAAGTCGTCCGGCGCGAAAATGGGCGGCTCGTCCGACTCGTGGTTCAGCAGGGACAGCGACAACACCTCATTGTTCTCGAGTAAAACGAACTGCGGGTAGTCAAGGCTGGACGTGTGCTGCACGGGCGGGACGCCGTCCGAGCACACGGGGCGCCGGTTCGGCTTGACTTGGACGTCGTCCGGAGACTTGTTCATGAAGCCGCCGTTGGGGCCGACGGCGAAGATCTGCGGAATCCAGTCGTCCTGGTACAAGTCCGGTTTGCAGGTCGAGTCGTCCTGCAGGTACTGTCCGGCGGGACAACACTTGTGCAGCCGCAGCCCCCGTCCCGGGGGGACGACGACGGCGAGCGCCGTCAACACAAGCAGCAGGCGCCGCATCCTCGCTCTCTCGCATGGACACTCAACTGTAAAACGCAAAACCGACTGAACTGGATGGCGGAGCATCCGTGCCTGCGTCCAAGCCTTCCACTTCTCCCACTAGCCAACCCGCCGCCTTCCCCTCCTTTTCCCTCCGACGGCGGCGTTGCCGCGCCAACAGCAGCCGTCCCTGCAGCATCATCGTGCCTGCCTTTTGCTCATTGTTGTGTAAAATGACACACACACTACCATACGCCGTGTTTAACACGATCCTGTTGTTCCACTAATCATATTCCCATTGTCACTTGTTTTCACTGACACTCGATCAAGTCGGAAAAATTATGAACTGGCCCGAGAACATCCAGTTCATTTATTTTTATTTTTTAATATTAATCAAGTTTCATTTTACAAAAGACTTACTTTCAAAAAGTGTGTAAAACACACTTTTTTTGAACCCAATAAACAAATTTCTGAAACTAAAACAATTTAGAATTTGATAATAATAAAAATTGTAAATTTAAGTTATTTGTTTTAAATTATTATTTTTATAGCACGCCAGTATTGAAAGAGAATTAAAATTTAATTGCAATCATTAAAAAAAAAAAAAAATTTATAATGACATTATTTTCTTCTATATTTAGCATTTTTATTCTTCTCAAATATTTTTTATTTATTCTAGCAACAAAAAGTTTTGGCTTTCTTATGGATAATTCGCCTTTTTTGAGTTTTTTTTTTTTAACTCTCTGAGTGCATTTCATTTTCTGGCCCATTTAAATTCCCATTTTTCATGAAAATACAGTTGAAATTCCGATTCACTGCAGCTCCATCTCCTTTAAGAAATTCCGGATAAGGTGAATGAGCCCCTGAGCTGAAAGGAATATTTGTGCGGATGCCCTGGTCATGTGAATTGTGTATAATGTTGCATTTTACAGACGCTTTTTTTACAAAGGCGGCATGTGAAAAACACATTTCATTTGAAAAGCATGCCGCTGCTTTTATAAATGCATCGCAGGCATAGGTAAAAAGAATTTTTGCTTTGCCAGGGGAGAGCGAGATTCAAGTGGCGAGGAGGCGCTTCGAGGGGGGTTCCGAGGCAAATTATTACTTTATAGCCTTCACACAAGCAGTTAGCACAAAAAAACTGAACAGGCCGAGACGAAAGCGAAATTATTTGAGGGACTTTTCCCTCATTTCAGCTGCTGTCGGCTTTCTTCCCTTTTCTTAAAAAAAAAAGTGAAAATGTAACGGCCTCCCAGACTGTTGCACAACACGACGGGCGCACATCAATATGGATCTGTCAATGCAGATTAAATGTTTCCGATCGGGTGACGACGAGAGCGCAGGATTTGCTGGAAAAGAGCAAAATTGGCATCATCTGGATCCGAGCGTTGAAATCTCCGGCTGCTGAGGGGTGAAATTTTATTATTATGATTCTGGTTTTGAAAGAAATTGTAAGACTCTCCCCTTCAGTCTTGACCGACCACCGCATCTGTTGCCCTCCCCAGGTATAAAGATAATGGTACAGTAATTGTCGCGGAAAAGCTACGAGCGGCCTTTGAATATTATCCTTCATTGTATTCAATCTTTTATAAAATACCATCTTGGTAGTGACCAGCATGGCGCACTCACAACTGCAGATTATATGAAACTTTTTACAAAAGTGGCCGTTTTATTAAGAATTAACAATTTTTTCACTCTATTTTTAAAAAGAATTTTGATTCCAGATGTATTAAAGAAAAAGGAAAAATCAAATTAGCACAAATTGAAATAGTTGTTTTAAATAAAAAAGAAAAAGCGCGATTTAAAGGAAAAATTTCTCTTGATCTCGGAAGTTTGAGCAAGTGCGGCTGCGATGTGAATATTTCCATGAATACATATTTATTATTCGATTTTCCCTGCTCTATTTTAATAAAGGTTATTAATTATTTATGTTTCTTGCTTAGAAGTAAGTCAAGTAAAATTAAAACATCTGCTTAATGTGAATGAATGAAATTTAATTTTTAATTTTCAAGATGAAGTATTGAGTTGAATATTGCCAATCCAGGCCAGGTTCCAGGTTTCTCCCGGCTTTTGTACAAAAATGTTCGCGATGTACAATAATTCAATGGGTGGATTCGAAAAATGCGCATCAAATCAATAAATATTTAAATTTTCTGGATCATCTATGTCTACGACCATATCACGTTGAACACACCGGTTCTCGTCCGATCACCGAAGTTAAGCAACGTTGAGTGCAGTCAGTACTTGGATGGGTGACCGCCTGGGAACACTGCATGTTGTAGGCGCGATCTTTTTTATTTTTTTTTTCATAACATAAGTTACTGTATGAAGTTTTACTGTATTAAAATAGTGGAAAATAATAGGAAAACCGAATAATAAATATTCACAACGCAGCCGCACTTGCTCAAACTTCCGAGATCAAGAGAAAATTTTTCCTTTAAAATAAATCACGCTTTTTCTTTTTATTTAAAACAACTTCATAACTATTTCAATTTGTGCTAATTTGAACAAACTGTCAATTTAACGCTAATAATATTAAATAAATTGATTCTTGATTTTTGGTTTATTTTAGCTGATTTGAATTCAACACCAAAAAAGATTGCTTTGAAACAATTTTAATAGAAATTTCGGATAAAGCAAATATTTCTGAATAATCCTCGGGTATAAACAGCGTAAATAGAAAACAATTTTTATTTTATTTATTGGTCAATACAAACAATTTTTGAATTGGAAAAACTTATGGCGAATCTAATGCACTCCAGATGCTGAATCTAATAAAGAATGCTGACAAAATCAAATACATATTCAATCAGGATGAAGAGGTTTGATCGATATGAAAAAAGTACCCATGTTCTGGGGCATGTTGGTGAGTTTGTTGTCGGCCAAGTCGATTCTGTTTTCAGATTATGCAGTGTAAAAAAAGCTTGTCCAATTTAAGCCACTGGACCCCAGTCAGGAGCTTCACGGTGGTTGGAAATTTTCCATCCTAAAATTTAGCAAACAGTAATCAATATTATTTATTGCTTCATTTCTAGGGATAAAAATTACAACAAAATTTTTTTGCTGCAGCAAAAGCACAAAAGTTCATGTTGCATGAGCGGATGGTCCCTACAGAGGACAGCAATTGCTGGCAATAACGCGCGAGTTCGACAGAATTCCGACGTCACCATGGCAACGGGCAACAGCATCTCGAGCGAAACGATCTCTGTGCTGGAGCCGTGGAAATACAAACCCTGCACGCACCGGCGAAAACGGTCCTGCGCGCTACGCACTTATTCACCCACCGGCCCAGTGTGTTTTGTGAGGAGCGAGTTAGGGCGCGACTGCAGCCACGGCACCAACGGGACACCCAAAGAAAGATAAGCTCCTCGGAAACGGGCCATGTCTTCGCTGTTTCCGTAAGTCTTTTGCAATTCCACGCCCCAGCACGAGTGCGAATTTCCATCCCAAAGATAGACTTGTCCTTACATTCACACAATATTTAGGCGCGAAAAGGGTTGAAAGCGAAATTTTTTGGAAATGTATTCTTCCGCAGGTTCATCTGCACAATTAAAAATTGGCCAAAACGTTTCTGAATAATTTAAATTTTCACCTTTTTTTATCTAATATAATAATTTAAGTCTAATTTTCCGTAATTTTCAATTCAAAATCTCCAAAAAGTATAATTTTAATAATTAATCAATGCAAATTAATGATAATATTTGCCACATACATATTTGATTAAATCTTTTAATTTTCATGCAAAATTTTTCTACAGTACTTGAAACCCGGGGGCGCACTTTTGTCCTGGTCGTCTTCATTCTTTTTGTGTTTTTACTTCTTCTGCCCGCCTGTTTCTCACGAGGCTGCTGCAGCGCTCAATATTGACCGAAAAGTCGAAAAGTGTGCTCTGCTCTCCCCGTAATGAGAGTCGCCGGGTATATAAGGGAGTCACTCTCAGAAATATTTAAATGAAAAAAGCTTGGCGACAGCACACCATGCGACTCTTCCTCATCCCTCTCTCATAATCTCTGAGCGGGCGACTTTATTGCTCGACACACCCTTACTTGCTCACCCTCGCCCCAGCATTTTATGCACCATAAATGTTTACCTTTCGCCTTGCACTTGTACCATACTCAATCACCGAGGGAGTCTACACTGATCATTAGTGATAAAATAATTGGCCTCGTTACCCGTCCCATTGGTTTAATAATTAGCTAATTTTCTATTAAAATTTTTTAACTATATTAATGAAAAATTCTCAAAAAAAAAAGATTAATCGCTTTTCATTTAGAATTTATATAAAAACTGGTAAATTATTGTGTACTGTCACATAAACTGGAATAATGTGTTATTCATAAGGCCACTTATACATTAATAATATAACAATAAATTATATAATGTTATTGCATTTAATTTGTATCCCAATTATGCATCATATTTTTATTATGTTACTCATATTTTTATTTATTTAACAAAATAACTATTTATGCATTTATTTTTTAAAAAAATAAATGCAGGGAAACTAGTGACTTTAATGGGAAAATAGGAATGCAGTCGATGTTTCTTTTCTGTAAGACAATATGAAAAACTGAAAAAAGCCGAGGAAAGCCGAATTCAAACAGCACCATAATAATATATTTGTTACATTGACTGCTTCAAATCTTTTTCCACCACAATTTTTTTTTAATAAAAGTCAAAAGTTGTAGCGGGAAGAAATTGCATAGGTGGCTGCTGCCGAAGTATCAAATTTCAAACGGTACTGTGTGGGTGTTTTCCCGACGACATTCCAGCTAGAAATCGCCTTAATGCTGGGGGAGCGAGCAGTGCACTCTCATTTTTTCTCTCTAGAGTTTTGGAAGAAGGGCCAAGAAGTCCCCCTTTCGCCGACCCATCTCGTTATGCAGCGTGCGGGGCGCAGTGTTTATCCTCTCTTTTAGTATTATTTCTATTTTTATGTGCAGCACGGCCGGCGGCGCGCGAGATTGATTTATTATTTCAACAAGTAGAGCCGCTGTGCTAAAAGGCGCTGTCCCTCCTCACTTTCGTCATCGGCTCCTAATTGCCATGGGAAAACTTCGGCCCGAATTTCTTAATTTTCGTGGGTGGAGCAGTTTCGGATTTTTTTTCTGCATCGCCTGGTGCGCTCAAGTGGGAAAATCGAAGCACCAAGATTAAATTTTTGATGACGGCAAACAGCTGGCGGCTCCGGCCTATTTATTATTTTATGGAGTGTTTTCTGCCCAGGCCTGAAAGAGTGACATGCTCGGCGGAGCTAATAACTCCTCTTTACAAATCGCAGCAGCTTCTTCATATATTAATTGATAAAAAATTTAAATATCTCGCCTCTCTGAAAAGAACCATGCGTCCCATGTGATGAAATACATAGCCATCCATAAATTGCTCAAGGCTTTCTCAAGTGTTTCTTTCAATTTTAAACAACAAATCTGGCAGAACAATTTATCGATTGAATACGATGACTCGTCAGTTGAACTGGAAATTTATAAAGAGCATTGCTGGAAGGGCACAGTGTGTCCTTTCTGCTCGTGGTATTTGTCAAAGTGTCACAGCAAATATTAAGTACCGAGAATTTTCATGACCTTCTCCGAGATTAAAAATTAGACTGGAGAGGAGAAAAAATTAGCCCATTTTAAATTTAAAAATTGCCAAGTAACGTTGCGTTTTTTTGGCATAGGTGGTCCGGTCACTTGCATAATCAGGAACAAACTGACCCGCAAGAAATTGAGCAATTAGAATGTCGCTAATTTCAGGAGCTTGCGTGCTAACAAAGCCGCCGGCGCACACTTCAATCAACGGCATTGGTTTTGCAAGATGTTCTCTTTTAGATCAGCAACCAGTTGGTTTATGATTTTTAAAATTACTAATTTTAAATTAGTTTTTAACTGAAATCCTCTTACCATGCAGCTGTTTTAATGTTTGAAGTTGACCAGATAAAAAAAGGAGAAAAATATGAATCTATGGTAATAATTACATTTTTAATTAATTATTTTTACTTTTCATATTGCAATTATACAAAATGAAACATTGTACCTTGTTGAAAAAATGTGATCGCAGAGTGAAAAAACTATGTAACTATTTTTCAGATTGATATTGTCAATTACAAATTAAATCTAAATCAGCATATAATGTGGTTTCTTTTTTACTGTCATAAAAATTACTAAATTGCTTAATGTTGTAATTCTTATTATTTTTTTATTTTACATTTACAATATGAAAATATTATTCATTTTTATTTCAAAGCTTCTTAAGTCATAGACAGACAACGAATTTTCTATTAATTTTTGTGGTGTGTTTGACGCAGTTTGACGATTTCGTGTTATCCATTTGAACAATAGAAACTAGATCTGCCTAGTTGTTTTTTCACTTCATCATTTTAATTTTGAGTAGCTGCATTGTTAATTCTAGTGATTGGCACCCAGAGACCCAGAACGTTTTTACTCTAGATGTTAACCAAATATTTTAATTTTTAAATTTAGTAAAATGGATTTTGTACAAAAAAAATAATTATTTTGGAGATTCAATTGCAAAAAAAAAAAAAAAAAACTAGTAGATTTAAATCAAAGAAATTATTATTCAGAGATTATCACTCAAATATTTTTTTAGGTCATAATTGTTAAGACTGATTATTAGCTATTGAAATTATTTAGATTTATAAGGAGGCATTACTTAAACAAAATGTGAATTTCTTTTTCATATAAAAAGTTTATTTTGATCTGTAATAAAGCATTTTTTGTACATAAAATTGTGGTGATGATGTAAGATGGTCAACAAAGATGAGTGCAGAGTATGCAATGCTGTATCACAAAGATTGAGAATTCCTCAGTGGTGAGAAACTTTTAGTAGCGGCGGCTGTTGTACTGGTTGCTGTACTGGTTGCTGTACTGGTTGTTGTAGCCGTTGCTCTGGACGTAGCTGGTGGCGGGGGCGGCAGCGTAGACAGGGGCGGCCACGACAGGTTTGTAGGCGGCCACGATGGGCTTGTAGGCGGCCACGACAGGCTTGGCGACGTAGACGGGCTTGGCGACGACGGCGGGCGCGGCGTGGACGGCGTGTCCGGAGCGGATGACCTCGGCGATGAAGCCGCTCTTGCCGTCCACGTGGTACTTGACGGTGCGGATGGTGCCGTCGGGCTCGACCAGGCTGTACTCGCCCTGGGTCAGGTCACCCTTGCGGGACTCCTTGTGCGAGTGGATGTCCTTGGTGTGGTCGTCGTGCACGGCGTACTCGAAGGCGTACTCAGCAGGGGCGTACTGCTCTTCATAGGCCAGGGCGGGGGCGGCCTGGTATCCTCCGTACTGAGCCAGGCTCAAGGGAGCGGCGACCAGCAGGAGGGAGGTGATGAGCTGAATAAATATAATTTTATTAATTAAATTGTAATTTGCAGTATTTTCTATGTTCATTTAAATTTCGAAGGTAAATGAAAATTGATTGAATCTTTAAATTGAGTTGACTAGAAAAACAATATATTGAGATGTTGAAAGAATGATGTTTTTTGGGACTATTGATAGGAAAAAGAAATTTAACGGTTCCTAAAAAAATCCTCCTGTTCCTTGCGTAAATGCAAATAATTAAAAAATATTTTTAGCTGCAAAATATTTGTAATTTTAAATGAATATTGTAAATATCTAAAAAATTGAAATACCTTGAAGGCCATGTTGGTTGTGCTTGCTTGGGAGGTTTGGGTGAGTTTGATGTCTGCCCTGCGACGCAGAACCCTTTTATAGGTAGGTCTCAAATGATAGTGGGGCGGATGTGAATTGGCTAAGGGAATGTCGATCGGAAGGCAAAGATCTCAAGCAGCATTCGGCGTTTTATTTCCTAACCCACCTGCTCTGGCCTGAGAGTTGCGTTGGCTGTGTCAACCTGATCCGGCAAAAGGTGAAAGTTACGTAATATTGCCGGAAGGGTCAGTTTCGTGAACGGGAGCAAGTCGAGTTTTTTGTACCATATGAGACACATAGCATTCAATAAAAATATCACAATCTCATTTCCCGTACGTTATTGAACAGTAGAAATATAAAAATAAAATTTATCGTGATTTGAATTTAAATTCGGCTTTTCCTCGATGGGCTTTTGTAATTTTTTTATTGTTTAAGAAATAGCCTGCTTTACATTTTTTCACGGAAAATTGTAACTTGGAAAGAAAAATAATTTTTGAAAAACGATTTATTTTTGTACTAATTCTTGTCAAAATGATTTCACAGCTCATGAATTATGACTGTAGCCCGCAGCCGAAACATGTAGAGCAGGATATTGTTTTTTCTTAAACAATAAAAAACTCACAAAAACCTATCGAGGAAAATCCAAATTTAAATTCAAATCGCTATGAATCAACCCTCGATCGTGAACTTCTACTACAAAAATAAAATTTATATTGAAGAATTTTTTTTAGATCAAATTTGAATTGAATAAATATATTTAGTCAAATAAGAGCATTAAATTTTTTCTACGAAATTTATACTTTTGCCCTAAATTTTATTCATATATTACTTAACGTGGATTGCGTGTGTTCGCGCTCGATTTGCTGCAATTATATTATATTAATGGCTCTCTCGCCGCGCAGAGCGTCGACCCAAGGGCAAGAAAGTGGCAGCTGAGTGGGTCGTTGTCTTTTGCACTTAATTTGGTTCAAGTTCTGGGAAGAAACACTCCGCCCCAATTAGCCTATTGGGTCACTGCTCGTCTCCGCCAAATTCGGTTAATCACCTTATGCTGTGCACTTCCGCGCCGCAAGCGTCCGTATTTACCCTTGCAAATCCCATAAGGCTGCATATCATGAGCACGGCTGAAAAGCTTCTTTTGTAAAGCTTCTCGAAAAATGGCACATAAATTTGCAAGGCGGTGTGTAATGAAAGAAAGTGAAAGCTAAACAAACTTGTTGCACGTGTATGGATATGCGTTTTTTTATGCTCATTGGAAATATATAATTTTTTTATTAATATTGTTGCTTATTGTCCACATTGTTACAATCGAATTGCTTACGTCATTCAATTCAAGTATTGAAAAAAAAATGTTTGGGAAAAAAAGAAATTGTTAGACAATACAACACCACTACAAGCAAGAAAGATAACCATTTAAAAATTCTGAAAACTATAAAACAAAAGCTATTTATTTTTCATCAATAACGAGTTTTTTTTTAAAAATATCCAAATTACTTTACCGAAGTAATTAAAAATAAAAAAATTAAATTATCCACTCGAGTAAGGTCACATTCTTGGGAGGAAAACTTGTCTAATTAATGTAAATATTAGTTCTGCTGAGCTTTAATTTGAATTCCTCTGTAAAGTCTAGTTCCAAGTACGCATTTAAATTCAACTTCACGCGTGTTTGCTCGTTCCTTACATTTTTTGCTAGATTTCTATTCCATTGTGAGTCCGTCTCACTCTCTCAGTGCAGACGCTGGAGACGCGTTAATTTTAAATGAGGAGAGCACTTTGGATGAGATTTTCCTTTGAGCCCCGCAAGTAATTCTCGCTCACACAGCACATTCATTAAAACTTGCCTATGTATATTTGATATCAACGTATGCACGTCCTTTCTTTCTCTGCTGCTGCCTTTTCAAGGGCTTCTTTTCTCCTCCCGAAATAGAGTGGTCGTTGGCTTCCACACTACACCTTTATTTTCATTCGCACTCTCTGTGTAGTTGCTGGCGAGCGAGGACAGCTCCAAGAATGACCTGCCAGGTATGCAGACGGAGGGACGCCGCTGACGAACAGGTTGCCTACGCTCCAAAATGCAAGAGACCGCCTATCCTGCTGACCACCTCAAAGCCCTAGGTGAGTCCAATATTAATCATAATTTTGAAAAAAAAAAATTACTTTTAAATTATTCTCTCTTATTAAAATTAATTTTAATATGTTTTATGAAGTTTTTTATAAGTAGTTTTTTTATAAGTTAAAATATTTAATAATTATTAAATAAAATAAAATAAAATACATTTAAAACCTCTCTAAACACAGAATAGTTTTGAAAAGTTTTTATTTACCAAAAATGATGGTTATTGTTTGCATACATATTATTATTTTAATTTGTCCACAAAAGCTCACAATAAATAATAAAATGTTTAAAAAAATAGTTTTTGTTGGCTATGGAGAATTTTTTTTATAAAAATGATTCCTAATATATACTCAATATTACAATTTAGAGATCAATAACCCTGAAAAATAATTTCGTTAAATTTTATTACACCTAATGGTAGTTTGATAGTTATTCCATACAAATATGAGCTATGTTCTTGGAAAAAGAAAAATATTCAATATTTTAGAAAGATTCTAGGGTAAAACTGGGAAAATGACTGTATATTGTTCAGAACATTCTCAGGAAATTTCATTTTTGTCAAAAAGAGTTAAATAAAATCCACTATTTTATTTATTATTAAATTTTTTTTTCAATGAGCTTCTTAGTTTCAATTTCAACTAATTAAAAAAAACCTTCATGATTCATAATTGAAATAATTCAAAAATTTTCTACAAACCTCTTTCCTCTAGTTATTAATTTTTTTAATACTCCATATCAGTCACCACTGTAGATTTTTATCACTTGAACATCTGTCACGCGCATCACTTTTTACTCAAATGCGAGAGTGAGTAAAGAGACCGTTCGGGTCATTTTATGTTCCGTCCTGCGGGAATTTTTTATCATAAGGGCGTCATATGTCATGCCATAAAATGAGAGACCCTGTCTTCTTCTACCCGTGTAATCATATTATAAGCCCTCAACCCCAATCATCATGCAAATGGCAACAAAATTACCCACATAAAACCAGAAAGGCGAAGAGACTTTGCTTGACGCACGATTCTGCTGTTTCCACCGCACACAGCAAAAAGTTTACGCACCATAAAACCGTTTTTATGGACCATTATTTTGGCGAAATGCAAATCTGCTTTTTCGTGACCAAGACATTCGATATATTCAATATATGGAAACAAAAGCATGCGGGTGGATTTGAAATGGAGGGAAATTATTTTTACTAAATATTTTTCCTCTTCGCTTCCTCGGATCGAATGTCTCCGGAGGCTGATTTGTATATTTATTAATATTCGACTGGCGCTCACGTGACGCGTGAATTCCCTGCTAACGAATTGATAGGATTAATGCCGGCATGCCAAATTTCCGCCGCGCTCGCACGTATTGGATTTCTCAAAACTCCGCGACGCCACTCCAAGCATAATAATGCGTCCGAATTCAATTTTAATAATTTATTAATTTCGCTTCCAATCGACTCACCGCAAGAGACAAGATTTGGAGGCAATTTAAGTTCAATTAAAACATGAAAATAAAGTTGTTTATTATAATTTTGTTTGACAATTGGAGAGCAGGTTGGCTACCTGCTTTAGTTGAAAATAATAGGGTCTATCATTACGTAAAATTACACCAATGGCCTGCAGGAGAGCGAAATTATTATTGTTGCGCCACGGCGGCTTTGTTTCATGTCCATGTCACCGCTGCACGACTCTCCTTTTGCTCGTTATTGAAATGAGGAGACGTGAAAGGAAATGGTGAAACATCTGTTTAGGTGCTTTTTTCATTCTTCTCCATTATTTTTATTTCTAAGCTTTTTTCTTATTTTGTTCTCAGCCAATATGTTATTGACAATATTGAACAAATTGCACTTTTTTTTATAGATTTAATTAACAAATAAAATATTAAATTTTAACAAAATTAAAAAACAATATCAAAAAATTCGTTAATTTATATTTTTTAAGGATTAAGGAGAAGCTTATGTTTTAGTTAAATCAGTGCATTGTTTGATTGTTGCCGATCGTTGTATGTACTCTACTGGTACTCTCAAGTCAAATCTGGTCTTTTTCATAGTTTATGTGTATCAAAAAGGTCAAGCAAGCCCGTCATTTCTCTTCGCCATAATTTTAAACGCTTTTTTATGAAGAATTTATAGTGAAATTTACCGTGCCATTTCTTATTGTTAGCATTAGATCTTCCTTAAACACATTTTTTTTTTAACTTTTTATTTATTTGGTATTAATTTTTACATTTTTACTTTATTATTTGTTAACTGTTTCTGTCTATTTTCCAAAAAGAAAAATAATAATCGAACTAATTGCAGCGGTAAATTTGAGGTTATTAATATAATAAATATTTACGATGCATTTCTATTTTCATCTTTGTCATGGAAATTGTGCGTGAGTGACCAAGGCAGTCGGGCGCGGTTTTATGGGGCCGGAGCTTTTACACATAATTTCCACATTTTTATCCCTCAGTCAGTGCACAGTGACGAAAACGCTTCCCCGAAAGAAAAAGCGGCACGTGATGCACTGAGGTGAGCAACAAATGGGGCTCGTGTGTTTACGTGCATACTCAGCACATACTTTATTCCGAAGTGATTGACGAGAGCGCGTGGTGGTGCCCGCGGTGCCGCCGAACTCTTCTCTCCAACGCACTCTCTCGCGCATTCGCTCCGCAGCCACTCCGCCGACCGGACGGACTTGGTCTCGAGTACGTCGAGAGTGCCAATTTATGACAAACCAGGTGTGCGAAAATCGCGAGAGGTACATCAGACAACCACTCGATCGGTCCTCGTGAGTATGTCAGCACTTCTAAAAGTGGGCTCCAATTTGACAACAAAAAGTCAATTTATTTAATTAATTACAATTTTTATTTTTATATTTTAATTGTTTTCAAAATTATTTTTATTTTACTATATTGATCTTGTACAGAGAAATAACATCATAGATTTGTAAATATATTATTTAATTAATATTTAAAATAATAATTTATTATTAAATTTCTTAGTTTAAATGCGTAGTTTATTAGGTTCAAAATTGAAAACAACTTTGCCTTGGATAAGAATTACTCCAAATTAAATGAAAAAATTAAACTCTTTTTAAACTAAATAATTTTGATGGTTGGAATCCTAGTGGTTTAACCATTATTTTAAGTCGGTGTGTTTTAATTAATTCAAATTTTCAATCAAATTAAATGCACTTATGACCATTGAAATTTGTGTGGCCTCCGGATTAAAAACTTGACTGATGCATTTATAACGAAACTAAATAGGCTTATTGGACGCGTCAAAGTGCAAAGTCTTCGTATGTAGATTAAATTTGCTTGTACAGCACACATGCAAGAGGCGCAAACAACTGCCGTTATAGCCGGCGGTGCGCTTAAAATAAAAAATTTTCCGTTTTCAAATTCCGATTTGGGGAAATTGTTCGCAGAGGCGATGGCTTCGTGTCGTCTGATCGCGCCGGGGGCGCAGGAGGTGGTCATTTTGCCACAGCACTGCTGGCTGCCGCCCCTCAGGAAGAAGCCGATGCACCAGGAAGTTGGCACCAAACTCCGCCGGCTCTGGCTCAGGGTGCTTCTTCTCGCGCCCTACTTCATGCTGGTCATCAGTTGCATTCAGGTATGTTTTTTTTACAATCCTGGTCAAACCAGCCAAAATTGTTAGTTTATTTTTGCTTTTGATTTACCTAAAATTTAGTATTTTCTTATTTAAGTTAATTTTATATATTTTATTTTAACTCTTTTTATTCGCTCTTGTTCGGCAATCAGAATTTAAGATTAAGGCCGATTTTTGTTTGAAACGTACAAATCGGTGCTTCAACCCCTGCTGCACCCGTGGCAATGACACTTGGGACTATTTTTGGCCCCTTTGAAAGAGATATGCATGCACTGGGAGCTTTTACTCCAGATTTGAGTCCCAGACGCGCAACCAGACGAGTTGTCCTTGCTTTAAAAATAAACAATCTGAAAAGAGTGGGCGAGATTAATTAAAATTTATAAATGGCAGCAAAGTTTCCTTTTATAGCAAATAATAGAGTCTCTGTTTAGAATAGAAACTAGCAAATTAGCCTTTTTCAATAAATTATTTTTATTGGCCTTTTGATTACAATGGGCAGCTTTTCTATAAAAGGATAAGATTAAAAGAGCTTACGGTCGCAGGTGAACTTTAGAAACTGCAATTGTATTTATACTTGCAGCAAGTTTCACCTCTCGCCCGATCCGCAGGGGAAAAGCTTCAGATTAGCCGCCGTGAGCAACTCACGAACATATACCTCACTCGCCCCAGATAAATTTATTTGACTTCTCTCGCCGCGTGCTGCGTTAAAAATGCATCGAATACGTCCCACACCGCACGTACCTCCACACTCGCCACGTTTGCTTACTTAGGATGCCTCCCTAGTATAATCGCGCGAGCAAAGGAAAATATTAAAATAATCAACAAAATGTCATTCTTGCCCCATCACTACACAAACTAAAAAAGCTTATAAGCGTACGGGGAAAGTAAAATTTTAGAATAAATTTATAATATTATAAAATAATGTTTTAAAAGTAAATAAAGGTTTTTATTAACATTAACAATTACAACCCTGACATCAAACTGTTATTGGAATGATAAGCGGAAAAATGGTGGACAATCAGTTAAAAATTAGCAAAGCTGAAGTGTGTATAGCATATTATTTTTGAAGGCAAAACTTAGGCTTGAAGTGCAAGATTTTGAGCAAAAATACAATTTAAAATATACATGCTGCTTCTTTTTTTATAAAATTTATTTATTTTAGGCTGGACAAATTAATGAAGCAGTAAATTTACAAACGGTTTATTTGAGATTGTTACAATCTGATTGTAATATTGGTAATATTAAATTTAATGCTCCTTATTTATTCATTTATTCTTTACTCTCCATTATTTATGTTAAACATTAAATTCTTACAATTATTATATAATTCTTGATTAAGTACCATTTCAGATTTAAGCAGTGAATGAAAATAATTTTTCTCAATATGTACTAGATTGCTGGGTTAGATAAATAGAATGTTAGGTGGAAAAATATATTTTATCAATTTAAAAAAAAAAAAAAAAAAAAAAATAGGAAGACAAAATAATTATAATATGCAAAAATGTTTGAAAATATATAAAATTAAAAGAAAAGAAATAAAATAATGGTTAATTTATTTAAAAAAGGATTTATCTAAAACTTTTACTAAAACCTTATTGCAGATAAAATTTTGATACTTGCACATTTAAAATTAAATAACTTTGTATACTGTTTAAAAATAATAATTACTCAAATATATATAATTGCTTTTATCAGTAGCACTTCCATATAAAATTTCATCCTCATGAATATTCCGTTCTGCAACAAACGAGCGCGATTTGCATAATTAATATTTGCATATTGGTGCAATCAATCGCGACCGTGCAGCCCGTCGAGGAGGAGGCCAATTACAATTGCGCCGTTTTGCAGTGGTGCCCGCCGGCTGAAAACGGAACGCCCAAACGGCGCTGTCAAATTTAAATTCCACGCTCATTATGTGGACGTATGTATGCGCGATGCACAACATCGTAAATAAATATCCACCATTGACGAATCAGTCACTCGGCGGCTATTAATACATGCAGCGGAGCATCAATATGCACGCCGGCGCTGCCCAAACAAACAAACCTGCCGAGTCCTTTATGGCGGACGTCGAGAGTCGCGCCGCACAAGTTGAGAAGTTAACTTGCGACAAAACCCACACTTGCGGAGAAAAGATGTCTCAACGTTTTACTTTCAGTCGCTCCATATTAAATGAAGTTATTGAAAGCGAAAAGCATGGAATATTAAATTTATTTAAACTGCATGTTGTAAATAAATTGAAGAACGCACAAACTAAATACGCATGAAAAATGAAAATGAGTAAAAAAAATATGATCCCAAAAAGCATCATGCGATCTGCTGGATATAATTATTGAAGATTTTTTTCACAAATTGTTAATATTTTGGATGGACACAAGCAACCCTGTTGGTTTGTAAGCAGACAAAAAATTATTGTCCTTTTTATTTTTACCATTTTTTAATTAAGCCCAGTATTCAGTTTTTTTCAAGCTTATTAAGTGCTGTAGAATTGAACTGCGTGATTGGGATTATTAATAGTGCCTGGCAATAGGGCTGAGCCTCTGTCTGTCAACTCTGAGTAATAAATAATAATAGACTCATCATCATAATAATTATTATTCCCTGTACAACTTCCGCTTCAGACCGACCGTGACGGTAAAAAGAAAAAGGTTTGTCATTTTAATTGATATGATGTTAAATAAAATGCACTTTTTAATTATTTGAACAGATTTTGTAAAATTTAAGAGCAATAAAAACAGTTTTGGTTTATACGGTTTATACCAGAAAATTTGTTTCAACCACGCCCGACGCAGTCCCACGATTTGTAAAACAATTGAAGTATGGCTGATATGATGATAGACCTTTGCAGACATTAAAAGGGTTTATAGGCGCGAGTGAATAGAGGGACGGACTTTGTGTTTGGGGAGATCTGTCCGATGCAATTTATATTTTTATATGCTTGGCTGCGCGCAGTCTGGGCATCACCCATCTAGGGGCTAATGAAAAAGTACACGGCCGTGATGTTTGGGTGTGAACACAGAATATAATCCCATTAGAGTTAGTTGCACCAGACTGTAGTAATTCCGTTATCCGCGAGACCAGATTTGATGAATTAGAAAAATAACAAAAACTTTCTCCTAAAAGTGCATAATTGTGTCCACTTCCAATTTATAGACCATCAAAGTGCACTGTCAATTTTATAATAATTTATTTCTTTCCATTAACCTTTAAAATTCTTTCTCAAAGCTTAATTTATCTTCGGAACAAAAGTTTCATTCTCGGCATCATTTCGGATTACAATGAGGGTTTTATTCTAAGGCTTGTCAGTCACCTTATAATGGCTGTGACCTTTGCCTCAAAGGTCAACCGCTAGGCAGCGTCTAATTTTTTGTATTTTGCAGCATTACTCCTATCTCATTCTAGAGATATTAATTTCCACTCACGGTATGTGAAGTCGAAAGACAAAAAAAGCAGCGGATCAAACTCGCGGTTCATATCCATCCGTTCTTTGCGGTTGACCAAGGCTGGGGATTTTGCGGAGGCTTTTCAAAACCGCAAGTCACTCTCGTGCATGCACGGGTAAATTATATATTGTGCCGATGGATTTGTAATCAAATTCACGGTGACACACATTATGCATTGTGCGCGATTCGCGGCGTTCACCGCTGCGATTTCAGGGACTACTTATTTGCGCGCGATTTTTTTATGCTCTGCTCCTTCCCCTTGAAAAGTGTGCAATGTACTTTTGGAAGGTACTAATTCAGTTATATGAAAATGAACCTACAAAGTTGTTTGAAATATAAATTAGGAATTGAAAAAAAAATTTCAATTACAAAAATGCAGAAAAAAGTTTCTGCAAAATGAGATGATAATTAATCAATCTAAAAAAATACGCTTTAAAATTCTTGTCTTAAATACAACAAATTTTGTTAAATGTATTCGAGCAGTTTGCATAAATGATATAAAATTAATTATCTGAATTGAATTAACAAAAGTTGATTTTTGTTGGCTAATTTTATTTTTAATATAAATTTGTGCAGATTTCGGTGGCTTTAGTGGGCAGTGTGCATGGAGACGCGCAAAGGTGGATGCAGGAGGCCCTGGTGTTTGACCCGCAGCGACGGCAGGAGGTCTGGCGCTTCCTGAGCTACGTGCTGCTGCACCAGGGCGCGGCGCACGCCGCCCTCAACATTGTGATCCAATTAGTGCTGGCCGTCCCCCTCGAGCGCGAGCAGAAGTGGCTGCGAACGGCCTTTGTGTATTTTGGCGGAGGATTAGCCGGTTAGTGCATGATTCGCCAACATTTCTCTTTCTAGGCCAAGCCGATTTTTTTCTTTCACCTTTTTGCAAACAACAAATAGTACTGCTTTTTTTCTGTGAGGCTTCCTCTCGTTAGAAGTGGATAATGGATGATTTAATTTCGCAGGTTCTTTGAGCACGTCGGTTCTGGCGCCGGAACTGTTTTTGGTGGGCGCCTCCGCTGGCGTCTATGCCCTTTTGACCTCACAGCTGGCCAATATTATACTTGTGAGTAAAAAAATTTTTCAAATAACATGTAAAAGTCATTTTATTTCTCACGGCTCTGATAAAATAAATTACAAGATATGTAGAAGTGAGATTTTCTGGTCATATTTAATTTTTAATTACCGCTATACATAGAAAGGAGAAATGAATTAATAATTAGTTAATAAATGCTGTGAAATTATTTGTTGAAATATTGTTCAATACAATTTTTTACAACAGATACTCAAGTTAGATTAGATGGTAATAAGAAGGAAATAATTTTTGATCTACTCATAAGATCAAACCTATCAACTACAAATTTCAATTTGACATAATTTAACCTTATAATTTAATAAAATCAATTTGTAAATTATTTTAAAAACATAATTTGTTTTCAGTAAATACGAAAGATCTCTTTAATTTATTTTTGATTTAATTTCACTTTTGATTATCGTTACAAAAAACAGATGTTTGACCACTTTTAGAACAAAAATATTTCCCTTCAGGATTTCATTTCTTACTGACCAGTATGGGAAATTCGCGAAAACTATTATTTTAATCTTGCGTAATAACCCTACTTTTGTCGTTGTCAAACTTGCTTACCTCACAATTATTCGTGTATGAATAAATACACAAAAGATTAAAAAATTTTGATAATTTAAAGAGATAAAAAGTGAATTTTTAAAGGATTTAGTTGCAAAGAATTTATTGTTTTTTGTAGGAAAATGGAAAAGTAAAAGAAAAATTTGTATTCTTTCTAAAAACAAAGCGAATTCCGGTGATTAAAAATTGAATTTCATGGTTCAAAATCACGACTTAAGTAAGATCATTTAAAATTGTTTAATTAATTCATAGTACGTAAAAAAAAAATAGCGAAAAAATTTGCAGGGATATACAATTAAAACGCACAAAAAATATGCTTGGATGAAAATGCTTATGTTTGTGCTTTCACAAAGAAAAGAAAATTGAAAAAATTCAATTTCTCCTTTGATTCCCTTTTGTGAGCTTCATAAGCAGTTACCTCATCTCATCTCATAAAAAATATAATATATTTTCTTTCTTTTTCAGAACTTTCCAACCCTCAAGTACCGGTTGGCCCGGGCGTTCGCCGTGTGCGTGCTGTGCCTGGCGGACGTTGCATTTTCTTTGTACCACCACTTCCTCCTCAACAACACATGTCCGCGCGTCGGCTGGGCCGCGCACACCGGCGGGGCCGTCGTGGGCCTCCTGGTGGGCCTGCTGGTCTTCACCGAGCCGGACACGCCGCTCGGCCAGCCGGCCACTTTGCCGCTGGGGGCCGCCGCGCCCAAGGCGGCCGACAGGAAGGCCCTGACGGCGGCCATCAGATGCGGCGCGGCCGCCTCTTTGGCCGTCCTTCTCACGGCCGCCGTCGCAGTCAACCTCTGGCGGCCCAACTGAGACTGACAAGACTCGAGTGAAACAAAAAATAAGCCAGTGCTTTCAAACTGAAAAGTGATTTACCATTTTTTTTTTAATTTTTTTTATGTATGTATTGTGCTGGAGTCGTGTCAATTTGTTGAAAGACAGTTTTGTAACTCTCGCGTGCATATCAAGAAGTGTCTTTTGATCCCAAAGGGCAAGTCACCACCATCTACACACACAAACACTCTACGCAGAGAGTCTCGGGAAAGAGACGATAAAATTATAATAAAGTTTGCACATTTTTTATGTTAGGGACACTCACAATCAGCTGACGATGGAGAGCAAAGTTCAACCTTCGACATAACGGTCAATCGCGTTGAGAGCTTTAAATTTACAAATTCGTTTAGCCCGCTCAAAGCCACACTTGATCAAAATTTATTGCTTTGTGCGCCAACACCTCTGTCAGCCTTTTCACCTTTGATAACACGTTATAGGCATTTAGGAGAAAGAGATTTCCTGACTAATTCCATGGCTTCCATTTCCTTTATTTTGAATCTTATGTAAGAAATGCACCGATACGTAACTAGATTTATAAACAAAGCAAAGACTTATGTAACAATAATGGACAATTAGATACACCGTCTACGCCAAATGATTCTGTTGCTTATTCTTGCATTTTGTAGCAAATGAATTAAATAATTAATAAAATTTATGTCTGGTATGCATTAGGATGTAAATGTCCAGTGTAGAATAGTTATATAATTATTACACACCTATTAAAATTTTATAGTAGACCTTTTGCCTTTTCCAAATAAAATAAAATACAATAAAATAGTACAATTATTGAGAATTGAGAACAAGTCCAATTTGAAAAGGAGTATTAATATTACCCAAACCAAAATATTGTAACCAATGTGCATTCTTGTTTTTATAATGAAAACAATTGTTTTTTTATCATTCAATTATCACATTGATTAAAGATTATTTTTATTTTCTTAATATTGGAGGTGCAGTTAAAATGGAAATCACAATGTAATTTCCAATAAGTGTATTTGTTGCTCTTATAGAGCATGATATATGCTGCAAAATAGATTGTAAAAATTGTTGGAAAGAAATCAAAATTTATAAGAATGGTTTCTGATTTTGCACTGTTTATGGTAAATTTGATATTTGATTGCGAGTTTTGCTGATTGTTTAAATGGATATGAAAATAAAATATATAATTATATATGTCAAGACTGCATTTTATTTGATTTTTTGTGGAAGAGACCTTCGATAATTATGAAATTAAGGAAAATCAAATTATTATGGAAAAAATAAATAAATGAATTTATGAGAAAAATTATCAGCATTGAGAGTTTAACAAAAGACGACTTATAAAACTTACATAACCTGCCACTTAGGCTGTGCCGTCGAACATAGAAGGAGAGCAGGCTGCGGATTTTGCTGCTCCTTCTCTTCCTCCTTCACAATCAGCTGGCACTGCTGGCAGTTTCTTGTAGATTGTGTCGGGGAAGAACCGTAAACTTTGGAGTGGAATGAGTTTTCGCGAATTTCAGAAGTTTGGAGCCACCGAGACGCGACCCAAGCAAGTGTCTTTTGTGGCTTTGTCGGATGCTGCTCGTCTGAAGTTGGAAATTCCCTTCCAACTCTACGGTCTCTACGTGAAAAACTGAGTTGAAGAACTGAAGCAGCCAAAGGAATTGATCAACGCCTGTGGACGCTGCGGACGAAAACAAGAAAACAACAGCAGGAGTTCAGGTAGGAGAGAGAAATTCTGAGAAAATAAAGATGTTTACAATTTAAAGAGTAGTTTTAAACAGATAAAAATCTAAATTGCTACTTGAACTTTTAGTTTAAATTTTATGGTTGTTGTTGGCTTAAGAAAAATCAATTGTTTTTTTTTATTTTTTTTATTGCAGTTATGCACCATCTGTTTATTTTCCCATACGATTACAAATATTATTTCCTGGCGCTGATTAAAATCTGGCAAAAATCTCTCGGACCCCGTTTTGCAATCCCGTCAAACGCTCTACACTACGTTTTTATTATTGTAGTATAATATATTGCGCGCGCTCTTTAATTTCTTCTTATCGCTAGTAGCAAAGAGATTTTCGTCTCATATTTATTAAAAATAAGCGTGTATAGGCCTTTTTGTGTGGAAAAAGGTCAAAATGATGACTAAAAACTTTAGATACAGCAGATAGAGTGTAATTTCGCGGCTACACTACGCATCTAAATGCCATATTTGCGTGAGATTCTTATTTATTCATCCTCCTCTCCTCTCTCTACACGTAATTATTAATTTGCCCTTTAATTTTATTACACTTTAGTATCACTTCCTAACATTATAACAAAATATTCTAATATTTCAACACATGCCTTTTCTTCTTCATTCACAATTCGTTTTAGACAACAAGGTTTATTTTCGTGATATAATTTTTATAATTCCAGCTCCAAACAACAATCATTGCCAGCAAAACCATAAATATCTATAGAAAATTCCCCTCCCAAAACCCGTTCATTTGCAAATCACCGAAAAGTGCGTGGGGCTTTTAATCAAATTCAGAAATTTTAGTTATTTGTGTGCGTAATTTTAGTCGCACTCCATCCTGTGAGTATCAAATTTTAGCAAAAATTCGGCGTGTGCTTCCAAGAAATCAATTTTCGACCACAAATTCGTCTGATCCGACTGTGGTTAACAATGGCTCGCATTTTTTGTTTTTTAAATTATGCATAATTATCAGGGTCGATTGTTGAACACTTCGCTGGGGGTGGATTTTGAGTTACATCTGCTAAATATATTGGTCGGTAGCACCCATCCTCACCTCTTCGATAAAATCCATAAAGTCTCTTTCTATACACTTTAAAAATTTCCAATTCGCCCAAAAAGATTTTGCCAGAACATTTTCGCGCCAAACTTTCTCAAACAATTTTCTATTCGGTTTTGGAAAGGCGATTAATAAAGCAATTTCTTGCGAAATCGCACAAAAGTTTTACCATGTTGACATGGAGCACCGTTTCCATTTTCATAGTTAATAAAGTGGACATCAACAAAAAATATAAATTTAAAGTCTGAAGTATCAAGATACTTCAACATTTTTTTAAGAAAAAAAAAATAGCTTTGGAAGTGAAATTCTGCTTTTTTCATTACTTGTAACTTGTAGCCTTTCCAATTTAGATGGGGCTAAGATAATAATTCAAAATTACAATTTTCACAAATGATAAAACATTAACAATATTTATGTAAGAATTAAAATATGAAAATCATATTTTTTTTTCATAAATTTTGCGATATCCACTTTAGAACACTCTTGTTAGGCCAATAAAGTAATTCATATTTATTTTGGCGGGAAAAGCGCCCGGCAAATTCTGTTGGGACTATTTCGACAAAGCTTGATGGTCTCTCGTTGTAAGTCGGTCGTTTGTTCACTTTTTGCCAAAGTAGGAGCCGTCGTAGGAAGACTGGTGGTCCTCTTTGGGCGGGTCGGGGGCCGCACAGGAGCACATGCAGTTGGTGTTGGGGTCCGGGTGGTCCCGGTTGCAACTCCACTCGCAGCCTGGCTCGCCTTCGCAGATCTGCTTGTCGTCGTTGACGACGGCGTCGGCGGCGCCGCCGGTCGCCGGCAGAGGCGTCGTCGTCGTCGTCGAGCGCACGCGGCGCCGGATTTCTCGACCGCGCTCGCCGCCGGAGCTCGCCACCTGCCAAAGCACGCACTTAATTACATTGTATAAATTTGCATGCGCACGTCCTGTGACACAAACATGCCCCAACCACTCGACGTGCGCGCGTTTACGAGACACGGGCGCCGAGCGAGAGAGGCGCAAACGATGCATTATTCATGCGCATAAATAACGTTCAAGCCGCAAACTCGATTTTGCAAATTTTATTTAAAACCCACGTGAAACGTATTTAAATAAATTTCCAATTACTAGCAGGATTCAATTTTTAACCAATTTGCGTTTTTTTTTAACTTGGTGATTAAATTTATGTCATTAATTTTTTTTATTTATTTATAATAATTTTAAAAAAATGGCTGTTTGTTACATTTTTCAAAACATAAGTGCAATTTTAAGTTTTAACTTCTGTTTCACCATTAATATGCCACATTTTCCCCATGATGGTGTAAATCAAATGAAGCAACAACAAAAATTAATGCCCTGTTTATGCATTGTGTGTTGCCAAATAATAACGAAACAAAAATTTAAGAAGAAATAAAAAAAATTGTTCCAAAGTCATCAAATTTTAGTGTTAGATAATATAAAGAAATCTAATAAAAAATATTTATTAAACACTGTAATTTTCTACTATGAATGAATGAAGGCATTATTTATTGTACACCGTTGGGTGTGCTACTATGAAAAAACATTCAAAATTGTTTTAAATTAAAAACAAAACTTGGAGATCGAGATCAGAACGTGCGTTAAAATGAAGCAGTAAAATTGCTGACGTTCCTTATTCCTTGTGTTGAAATTAGAACCTCGATTGTCTAATAATTTTAACACTTTCATTTTAATAATAAAAAAATCCTATCAATAACGTATTTTTGCTTTCAAAATTAAAATAGATCCGGCAACGTCATCTTTGCCTAGATTAATATATTGGCGCAAAATTGCGATTTTCTTGACCATGGCCAATTAAACCAAATTTTTATAGTGTTTAAAAATCCAATATATTGTATCTAATTTGCATAAATAGATTCAAACAAATTACACGTATTTGTTTGTTTGTTGGGGAGTCTATCAAATTTGGTGATATCTTTATTAGAGGACAGTTGTTATTGCCATTTATCTAATTTTATATCCATTTCGTGCCCAACTGGCCGCGGAAAAAGCTTTATCTCTGCACAAAAGTGATAAATTGGTGTTTTATCGCCATAGTAATAAATAATCGCCTGTTTTTATGGAGACAAACGGAGAGCGGCGTGATTCGGAAGCATTAATTTATATCTGGTTTTATTCGACGGGGCATAAAAAATGAGTGGGACCCGTGTTTTTGCGCCTCTCTTGGGTATGTGCGGTGGCCAGTGGCCGGCCGGCGCTAAATTGGATGGGCACATTGAATTTAAGTATTCATGCGTGCGTCGTGTGAGCAGCAGCGAGTGACCTGGTGCTCGTTAAACTTGCATGCTTATTGTATTAGATCGGCCAAAGGGTTAATGGGCTTGATTAAATTTTCAGAGGCTGCTGCGAGGGCCACATGGGATTTCGTTCGCTGCTTTCATTTTTTGTTGTGTTTGTTTGCACGCCGGAAATGACTGCCAGCAGTGGAGGAGATGAGAGCAAAAGAGAGACACTGTGGGGCGCGCCACGGGGCAAAAGGAGCAGTCGAAAGGGTGCAAATCGGCTCAGCAGCTCCTCTGACCTAAATTAAAATGCACTCCGACGCCACCGGTCGCTACGTGCATCTCTCGCAAAAGTAGGTTCATCGCATAATCAAGTGGCAGCCCAATGAAACGGAATTTATATTGCCCTCATTTAACTACATTTCAAAAGCTCTCACAAAATTTAAAAAGGGTTACATGGGATTTTTTAATCTTCATTTTCAACAAAATATTTTTAGTTGAGGAAAGATTTTCTTTAAAATTTCATGATTTCAAGATTAGTTCAAGACAAAAGTTAAACTATAATCAAAATAAAATGTTTCCGAGTTAAGAAAAATTGATTTTGAAGAACCTCTGTTAAAATTTTATAATCAAATAAAAATTTACTGTAAAGTTTATGTAAATTTAATATGATTTGGGAAACAACATGAAATTAGTTTTATTTTAAGTTAATTAATTTTTTGTTGTTTGCTGTGATGAAAAACTACTCAAACAATTTTTATTTCAAAATTGAAAAATAAAAACACGATTATAAATCAGGATAATCCTGCTAGGTATTTCAAGAAAAATATGTTTTCAAATTTGTAGAAAAATAGAATGCTTTGATTTCCATGTTAAATAAAATTGTTGTGATAATTTATAACAAAACTTTTAATTAAAAACGAAAATTTAATGCAAGAATCTTTTCTGAGAATTGTCGCAATTTATTTTCCCCATTGACAATCAAAAGTAGCGATTAATCTAAATGCTGAAAAGCAAAGGGTGCCGATTGGGGTCCAATTCTAGGGATACTCACAACTGTGAAAAAGAGCAAGGCGAAGAGGAGCCGAGAAGTCATGGCGGGCGCTCCGAAGCGACTGAACTGACTAACGGGTCCAGAGTCGGAGTCTGCGCCCCCGCCAACGCTCCCTCCGCACCCCCGCCTCCGTCGGCGGCCGCCTCCGCCGCCCACCCACCCACCCACGTCACCCTCACCTTTCGTTGGCGCTTGCGGGTTCAATAAAGATCCTTCTGCACATTGATCGGCCCAGCGCAGCTCAATGAAATAAATCACAAGAGTCGTGGGCGAGCGAGCGAGAGAGCGCGCGTGCCCCATTTCGCGATTCGGGATCGGGAGCGAGCGCAGACCACGCTGCTTTCGCAAACAATGGCGAAATTCGGTGCTTCCCGGTCGATTCTCCCCGTCCGTCATTGATCTTTTGAATCGGCGGCCCACCTAGAACAAGGAGAAAGAAAATGCAACCTTCTGCGTTGCGTTTTTTATTTTGCAAAAACAAGTTTTATTTGAGTTTAGCTTATAGATGAGAAGTTCCAAAATGCAAAAGACAAAGTTTGAAAAAAGTAAAATTCTGAACAGATTTTTTATAGAAATTCAAAATTTTAGATTGAATACGTTAAAAGTATCTAATGTTTGCAGAGCAATGCCACTTACATAATATTACTTTAAGAAAAATCCATTTTTCAATTCTAATCGTGTGGCACTATTTTAAGACAAATATTGTAATTTACAATTGTGTAAGCATTTAATGTTATAAAAATAATAGTAAATTTATTTTATCTTTTTATTTTTATAGAAATATATGAATTATTTAATTTTTATTAATATTTATCTTATTTCCTTTATTTAGTTAGTGTAATTTTATATTATCCCATTTACATCATGCACATTATTACGTCTAATTAAATTTTAAAATTTAAAAATTAATGGATAAGTAAAGGTTTTTGATATTTTATTAGTATTGATGAATGTTCTTTCATATAAAATATGGCTTTGTATGCTGGTTTGATATACTCTCTTTAAGAATAATTTGATTTATTTTAAATAATTATATTTTAAAATTCTCTGTTAATTGAGAAGCGAAAAAATAATTATTTGAATTTTTAGCCATGGTCTGAAAATCTTGAGATCTTTTTTTTAATTTGGTTTGGGGAAAATAATCTTGAAATATCTTGAAAACTTATAGCAAATTTCTGTGGCTTTTTAGAAATTTGACGTAAAATTTAAATGAAATAAATGTATTTTGAGAGCAAAGATTATTCTAATTTAAGAACGATTCTTTGTAAATCACTGGAATAAAATCAGGGTTAAAAATGTTTGTTTTTTTTTTTCAATAAAAATCAATACTCGCCTGACAACAGAACTTATACTATTTAAAAAAAAAACTAAATTTCCAAAATAAAGACATTCACACAATTCACTATATTTTTACCATTTATTTTCACTGTGTTAAAAGATTGATTATTAAAACAAGATTTGTGACAGAACCCCACTCTATTTTCTTCTACTGTTTTTTTTTCGGTTGAATACTAATTTTGATACAGTAAAAAATTGCAAAGCTTAATAAAGATTGTTCATTTATCAAATTTATACTAAACTTTTACTTTAATTTTTCTCTTTACAAGGAAAATACATTCCAAAGAAAAGAGCAGAGAAAGAAAAAAAGAAAGATTCGTTGTTGTTCCTTTGGCAGATTTTGCGTGGGGGCAGCGTTGACAGGCGAAACAATCAATTCGCAAAATGAGCAGAGCCTTTCTGCCTCTCTCTCTGCTGCGGAGTGTTGTTTTTCTGTGGGCGCTGCTCCTTATCTCTGCTCTTGCGTCATTAAGATTATCATTTCGTGCTCCCATTTGTGCCAAAGTGTATCCGCCGCCGCCGCCGTTGTCGTCAGTAATCCATTACTGTGCAGGCATGCGCCCCCTTTCTCCCCCGAGCGGTGCTTGGAAGGGCCAGTTTTATTTGCACCCACTCGGGGACTTGCGAGCGAGATAGAAAGAGGAGCCTGGCTTTTAAATATACATGGGCAGTTTCCCTCTTTAATGCAATAGCTGGCGAGAGAGAGAGCTGAGTAAAGAAAGATGACATTTATTCAATACCGCCTCCGGAGCGGCACGACCCGAAGGCCCAAGCAGACACCCGAGCGCACAAAGCCTAGCCAGAGGCTCAAAAGTCAAAGTTGTATTAAAAAACTTGAGGCTTTTGTCTCAAAGGCCGATCCGGCAGCTTTATTAGAAAATCCGATCTCTCTTTCTCTCTGTTCCACGCATGCACGATTCTGCTGAAAAACGTCGGCAAACTTTTGAGGTTCACATCTCAAAACTTTCGCCCCAACCCTGTGTATAAAATTTTATACACATGCCGTTGTTGGCAACTTTTGGATGAGCTGCTCGGTGTGTATTCCCCACACCCTCATAACCTCCCTTTGGGCGGCACAAAAACTTTAAATTTGCATATGTGCGTACCTAAAATTAGGAGAATAGCAGCTGACTCTAATTTTCATAATTAGGAATTATTTGCCTCCTGCTGCCGAGATTTGCGAGCTGCCCTGTTTTAAGCACAGGATGGAATTATGTCATATTTGAGAGACATAGAAATGATTTTAGAGGTTACAAGGCAAGCAAACAGAAATAATTGACAACCTAACCTGTTTAAAAGCTAAATTTTCCCATGCTTGGAATCATATTTTGATGTGTATTAAAATAGTTCAACAAAACGTTTTTCTAGTTATCTCATTTCATTAATAACGCCACTCTTAAAAAAACCCCGATTAATTTTGGAAATTTAGTAAATAATAACATATTGTTTTTAAGTTCCATTGATAACTTTGACCTGTATTTTAACTGCCTAATTGAAAAAATTTGCATTGTTTTTTTTAATATGTATGAATAAGTTATATATTAATTTATAAAATTATTTAAATTTAAAATCACAACATTTAATCGTTTAACAATTTTATAAAATTTATAATCATTTTTTTTTTAATGTTTTTTATTATTTTAAATTTTATTTTTAAATAGGCTTTTAGTTTTCAAACCGACTTCATTTTTGATTATAAGGTCAAAAAGATTATTTAATCAATAATAATTGCGGCACACCATTACCAAGAAATGAATGAAACTTAATGATAAATCATGATAGCTTATTTGGGTATTATGAACCATTCATGTATTATTTAATGAAATTTTAAAACATAATAATTTGCCATGCTTTTAAAATTTCCTTGTAAAAGACTGCCGATAAAGAAAATGAAGGGCTAAGATTTTTAAGTTATTTTGTTCGTCTGATACATTGTCTGTAAACAATTGAAATTGTTTATTATTATTATTGAGTTTAATTATTGCGTTGGATTAGAGTGGAGGGAAAAAATAAGGGCACCTCATCACATCCGTTGACGCTCGATCCACAGTGTGCAAAGTGCGTTCTTCTCTGGCGGGCGTAAAAAATTATTTCCATTGGAACCAAATGTAGCGCAGCATTTGTGTTATCTTAAGAGATCGTTATTCTCACTTTCCTCGAAATGGGCCATAACATCTCTCGCCGGCGAATGTGCTCTCGATTCCGAGCGCGCGGTGAATGTAACATGTATATTTTCTGCCGGCGCGAAAAATAAGCACATATTTTCCAGGCTGGCATAAAAAGCAGGAGAAGATGGGAGAAAAGTGATACGCGGCGCTATTAAAAAGAGAAAAATGAGCTTTTTTATTTTTTTTATTCCGCTACTCGTTAAAAGCAATTTTCCACGGCGTTCTTTATTATATTGCGCTGCACATTATTCCGTCGAAAAAATTGGATTCCGCATGCAAAGCGTGCGTGCAATAAAAGTAATCCACATTTTTTTTTTTAGAATGAAAATATATGGCTACCGAGAATGAAAAACACGCTTCCTTACTCTCTAATGTAGTACACGCGCCTGAAAATTTGGCTGACAGGCCAAGAGATAAAAAAAAAACTGTGATTTATGTTCACAAATTTTCAGAGTGCACGTCAGCAAAAAGTTTTCAAGTTGTCAGCCGAATTTTATCGCTTCGCTAAGTATACAATTAAAAGTGAAACAAAATCAACTCAAGAGATTTTGTTGGAGCCTCTTTGAAACTTATGAACTAATACTGGAATGCCACCCATTACACAATACTTCTTGCTGTTCTACATTATTTTTTTTTCTTTTAGTTCGGTTGGATCATGATGAAAGTGACTTAAATTTATCCTTATCAGGTACTTACATTAAATTCAATGCAAATGCACCATTTTGAGTGAAGATGTACAAAAAAAAGCCTCAGGTCTGTCAAGTACAAAATCATAACTGATTGTGAGAAAGAGAAAATAGGGACTTACTGTTGAGATATATTGGAATTTTTTCTTATGATTTTGAGTGAGATCATTTTGAAGAACGATCATATGAATGTAAAAGCTATAGCTAAAAATGAATGAGTTTTTTTTTCACACACAAAATTTGCCTCGCAGGAGAAATTCGATTTTTCTTGAGCTGAGAAAAATGAAGCTGGAAGATTGTATTATTGAATTGACAATGAGAAGCGTCATCAGAGGTTTGCGCCAGATGCGATTTTTCTCCAATGTTAAAGAATGCTATATCTGTTTGAACTGCTGTAACTTTTGAAACAGTTGTGTTTATGTAAAGTTTGAATATTTTTAGAACCAGACATCAAAATTAATGACATTTCTTTAGTGATCGAACAGAGAATTTCAAGCCAGAAATGTGGATTTGTTTACTTTCAAAAATTGTCTTATCCCTAATACAAAAAAATAAATAAAGACAAAAATAAAGGGAAAAAAGCAAAAATAATTTAATAAATTACTGAAAGGAAGCACTTCTTGAGAGCAGAATAATTTCTGAACATTTAAAGCCAGCAATTATTTTGTCTATTTTCATAAAAATTAAAATTTTTGCCAAGCATAATGATTCAGGGGACATTTTGATTGATTTTAATTAGAAAAGAGACTGTTTAAATGAAATATTTTCACACTGATATTGATTTTGTCCAAACGTTAATCAAACAAGACAATATTTACTTTTTAATTATTAAAATAGCCAAGGTCAACAGTTTAAACTGATGGAATTGAAATGGGAGAAAAATCGTCTCCAGCGCCAATCGCTGACTGCGCATCTCTCGTCTGTTGAACATCTCTAATATACAAAGTGTGGGGAAGCATGTATGAAAATTGGCATGACACAGTTTGATTGATTGATGGGGGTGTTCAGCAGTAAAGGGGTTGGCACTCGACGCCCAGTTCGGTGCACTTGCACTCGCGGCATTGATCCGACAGCTCCGAAATGATTCTGCCCACTCGGTACATTCTTCCGTAAATGTTGCAGCCGGCCAGTTTGAGCATGCCCGCGATCGAGTTGGGCTCCTTGGGCCGCACGGGCCGCGGCCGCGGCAACCGGTGGGCCGGTGGCGGCGTCATGGTCGGCGGCACGGTCGCCGTGCCCGCCCCCGCAGCCCCCGCCGCCCCTTCCGGCGCCGGGTCGAACAGGAATTTGAAAACGCTGTCCAGCGAAAATTCGTCCTTGGCCACCTTGGTGTCCGCCGCCGGCAGACTCGCGTTCACGTCCGCCCTTTTCTGCATGTCGCCGATGTCGTTACCTGCGAAAAAGCAAAATGCAAATATTGTGTGAAGCAAGCTAATTAGTTCAAGTGAGTAAGATGTTGATGTGAGATATGTCTTTAAAACGCCAGTTTCGGCAAATTGGATTTTCTTTTGTTTGAGCTAACAATAAGTCTCCAGTAGTGTTTTTTACAGGGATCACATTAATTAATTAAAAAATGATGAAACAAAAAGTAAAACCTGTATAGATGCACAAACAATAATATAAATGTTTAATATTTTTTTAGTATTTATTTTTTAATACAGTGATTAATTTTTTTAATTAAGTTTATTTATTTTTAGTACGCATTTTGATTTACGTATAGTTTTAGCTTACTATTTTTTTTGTTATCAGTCGATGTTATTTAATTTTTAATGCTTAACTTAAATCACATAAAAAGAAAGATTTAATGTTGTGGTTTAAAAAATGCCTGAGATGCCTGAGTACATTACGTTTTTATATCCATTGTAATATATTTAAAGATAATGTCAAGATTTGCAATTTATTTTTAAAATTACCAGCATGAATTGGTATTAGGTGGATTGGATCCAACATAAAAAATAAATTAAGTAAATAAGGCAAAAAAACAACAATCCAGTCTTAATAAAAATTATAAAATGAGAAAAGTGACGATTTGCGAAAGCGCATCTCAGTTCAACAACCCTAATTAGGCACATAGTGTATGCTTTTGATGGAAAATTTAAAGCAGTCAGCCATTCATATTGAACAAATATTTGGTCGGGGCCTTTTGATACCGCGCTCTGAAATGCACAAGCCACAGCAGCGCGCGTTCTTATTAAAATTTGTTTCAATGCAAAACGAAATCCGCAGGCATTTTAATTGGTTCAACTCGCGCTGCCGGGCTTACAGATTTTTATCCCAAGTTCCACATCAAAGCCGGCGGAGCGGCATTAAATATGCCTTTAATCTTGCGCTTTTGACCCGATAGCGCAGCAGCCAGCTCTGGATTAAAGACCGAGCCTAAAAGTGGAAAGATAGGCCACCCTTTGAACCGGCGAGCAGTGCGAGTTGCCTACATCTGTTCCAACCAACGCATCGCAGAGTGGTTTTTATGTACAAATAAACGGGTGGCGCGGAAGAGAGCACTTTTAAAAAGAAGTTGTTGGCTCCGACAACTTATTTAATAGGAGATTGCGGCCTTCGCTTTTAGCCCAGATATTTCGCCCGGGTAGATAATTCAATCCTCTCCAAACCAAGCAGGCCCCGCAGAATTTCAAATAGAAATGTTGAAGGGAGATATGCTATCAGCGAATTGCGCTTGACTTGCTTTTCTCCAACTGTTAATTTTGAATGGGCGGGTTCATTTCAAAACGTCTCTGCCCTGACGATGAGCAGTCAACCCTCAAAATTGTTATAAAAGGTAAGATTTCACCAGATCTAAACCATTTCCCCATTGTTAATCCTAATTAAACAAATTTTATAACAGATTGATTACTGAATAGAAATAAATTTGGTATCAATTAGTGTTGGAAGAATATTCTAGTAAAGTAAAGTGAATTTCAGCAGACACGAATGGAAGTCAATCATAGCTTAATGTTATCTTTAAGAAAAAGTTTGTCACATGAAAATAAATAGCTTGTTTTTCGTTTGTTGTAGTCAAAAGACACATAAAAGATTTCAATTTTTAAACTGATACAATCGGACTTAAAAAAGAAATGTTTAAAAAGTAAATAATAAAAATAAACTTTTAATAAAGTGAAATTATAATAAAATAAAAATTAGCTCATTTAGTTCTTTTTTATAGTGTGGGTTCACGCGGTAGCCGATCTCTTTTGATGTCGGGCGTTTTAGCAGACCTAAGCTAGTTGTGATACCCTCTCATTTTTCCAACTCATTTTTTTCATGTATGACTTGAGTAGAATAAACAATAATAATAATAATGTAAGATAATTTTATATAAGTAAAAAAATTTATTTTGAAAGATTATTAGTTTTTTAATTCTTTAGACGCTTTTATAAAGTGAAGATGACTTATTTAAATCTAATTTTGACCATTATTTATTACGTTAAACCCCCTAAAGCTTTCTCTTTTAATGTTAATACCATATTAATTCTCACCTCTGATCAATTTCATGCATTCAACCTCCTCGTGGCAAAGCACAGTGCCGTGGTCGCACTTGCACACCTCGCAGGGTCCTGGAGACGCGAGCAGGTCGCCGTGTTTGACCTGACGGCCGTCGGGGGTGGTGCAAGGTTTCGGCCCTGTGTTCAGGGCCACCCTGATGTGGGACGCGAGAGGCACGTCTTTGGTGGTGGAGGCGATCGACTCGGCCGTGTGCGAGTCCATTTCGAACTCAGGGACTGAGGTCGTGATGGAAATCAGTTGGGGAATCGAGGTCAAAATTTCGTTCGGGGTTTGACTGCTGCTCTCGTCAGTCGGCAGAGGTTGGCGCGGTAAAAATCCGCCTGAATAAATCGGGTTAATTAATCTCCGCGGGCTTGATTATTTTATTTTATGCGCTCTCGAGGGGAGCTTATGGCTTACCAACTAGCGACGAAGGAGGAGAGAACCGCTTCGGAGGAATTGCTCCCACGACGGGCACTCCTGATCCGCCAAATTGCGTGCTCGACTCGTTTGCGTTGAAATCCACTGAGCTCATTTTCTTCTCAATTACCGCGTCCTCGGGCAAAAAGGGAATCATCCTGTTAACATGCAAATCATTTTTAACACAATTTCTTCAAAAAATATTCAATAATAACAAAGATAAAAAGGTGCACAATTTTTCTTCAATAATGAACTGTAATTTAAAAAAAAAAAATTATTTCGATTTCCTATGGTTCATGTCGGTAAGTCGCTTAAATTAAAAAGGTAAACTGATTGTTTTAAAAAGAATCCTATTCTTAAAATCTTTTTAAAGATTTCTAAAAAATTTCTACATTGAAAAATAAAACAAATTTTATTATTAATTCATATTTTTTGTGTAAAATAATACCAATTTTATAAAAAATATTTTTGAAATTAACTTTTTTATGGCACTTAAAATTTGTAAGAAAATTGATCTTTTCCTTTTAAATTTGACTTAAATATTTAATTAAAATGTTGTAATTACGTAATATTGGGCAAAGAGGGCGGAAGGGCCTCTCCGTATTCGTTTTCCAAGGTGGTGTCTTCGTTGTTCTTCGCGCTGAGGAGAACTTCGATGAGCGGCGGGTAAGTGGTCCTGGTGGTGGTGGAGGTCGCGGCCGCCGCCTCCTTGTGCATCATCTCGAGCAGTTCCATGGTCGTCTCGTCCAGCTCGTCCAACACGTCCACCCTGTCACTGATGAACGGAGACGCCGTGGACAACACCACGGTCTGCGCAGTAGTGGTTTTCAAGGGTGGAGGGGTGGAAGTGGTCGGAGCCGCCGTGGTTGACGGCGGGTCGGGCTGTCTGACGAGAATCTCGAGTTTGAAGGGTTCGGCGGGTTCCATCAGGGTGGTCGTGATTTCAGGGGCTTCGCTCGTCGTCGTCTCGTAAATCTCGGTGGTCTCGTCCATCCTTGACTCGGCCTGGTCTCCGGCAGGACTCTCCGTCGTCACCACGTCCTCTATTCTTCTGCTCTCCAAAATCTCCTCGTTCTTCAGAATTTCCGCACTTTCGCTTTCAATGCGTCTCAAAATTTCTACGAATGGCGTGCTCCTCATGGTTGTTGAATCGGCCGACTCGTTTTTCGTCATTTCACGGTGTTTCCTCAAATCGATGGCATTCAGCGAGTTCAGACTTCGCACGCCGTCAGACAGCTGGAAAGTTTAATTTGCATTAAAAACTTTTGCCGTACAAAATCGATCTTACTTGGAGGAATATTGAAGAGTTTCCTGAACTCCGCTCTTGGTAAAGTGGCTCCGTCATGATTTTGCCTGTTTTGAAATCAAATGTTAAAATTCAAACAATTTGTGGAAAAAAAATCTCAGATTTTACTGCAGTTGTATTGCACCGGACAGCACTTTCCCTTGGCGAAAACCGGCTCGCAGCCCAGCAAGGGTGGCGCACACTCGAGTTTGACGCAGCGCACAACTCCTCGCAGACAATAGCAGTGCTCGCAGTTTTTCGCCAAAACGCGCACTTGCATTCCGTCCTTGTGATGGCTTCCCTCCACCATGCAGCCGTTCGGTCTCAGAGGAACTGGGGTCGTCGACGTGACAGCTTTTTGATTTGGAGCTAAAAGGAGATTAGTTTTTATTTGCTGAAAGGAAAGCCCTCTCATTTTCCCGCCTAATTTACTTAATCCCTGGGGAAATCAGTCCTGAATGCTAAATCACTAAATTCGCAAATTAATACTTCTGGTCATTGACACTAACGGATTTAATACACCAAAGTGTTAAATTTTTTATTCCGAAAGTTAATTAAATTTCCTGACCGACGTAAAATCTTTTAACCTGGGGTTCATCAGAATAAAGTAAGTTATGAAATTTTGTCTACTCTTTCACGATCAAGAGCAAAAATTATTAGCAGAGTGTGCCTTTAAAGTTTAATTCCGCGGGTAGCAGGTGGGAAATGGAAGTTTGTGATCTACTGGAAGATAAATTTCTGCGGTTTGGTGGTATCTTATAGGATCTAGATATATAGAGAGGCAATTTGTCTCACAGCAGTCGTAGCTGACGGGGCAGCAGGTGAGCGCTCTGTACTTGGGAGTGCATCCTTCGAGAGGCATTTCGCACCGCGGCTTGACACACTGTTGTTTCCCACGCACACAGTAGCAGTATTCACACAAAGTTGAGGAACTCATGGCTGAGCCCTCGGCGTAGCGAGTCCCATTCACCACGCAGCCCACTGCAATACACGCGTTTTTTTACATCAATCTTGTGCGGAAAATTTATTGCCAGAAGCTCACCTCCGTCCTCGGCTGTCAGATTCGCAGCTTCCAAATCCTCGGATCCGTCGCGCCTCTCGATCTGCAGCGCCGTCTCACCAACGTGCTCTTCTGCACAATGGAAACATATAAATATATATAAAATGAGAAATGAAATAAAAAACCTCTCAAGCACGACGTGAAAATGTGATAGAATTATTTTTGTTATTTTGTTTTATATACATGATTTCTAAAATTAAATTACGAAAAATAAAAGTTATAAAGGTTTCTGTCTACAATAATGTAAAAATAACTTGAGAACTGTAAGAAAATCAGTGATAATAGCAAAAAATTCAATGTTTTTTCAAATAAAAATTTAAAGAACTAAGAATTATACATTAAAGTTGAGAACAAAATGAAGCAAAAAAAAATGAGAGAAATAATTAGTTCTATTTAACAGTCAAGTGCTTCAAGTGATAAAGCAAGTCAAGTTTTGTCCATATCCTCCAAAAAATTAGATTAAATGAAATGAAATAAATTTTATATAATTTGAAAACTAAGTTTATAGAAAATCATAAAAAATTCTGCAGTGCGCAATTTTCATATTTTTAAAATAAGGCTGATTTTTTTCTTTTTTTGGAAGTTTTAAAGATATAGAACGCTTTTTTCCAAATTTGAACCTGTGGCCAAAAAAGTGAAGTTTGAGAGTTTTGAGATTAAAATGGTGTGTACATCAAGTGCCTTCAGCTTAATACAAAGTAAGGCAAACGCAAGCAAGACTTGCAGTCTCATAAATCACTCATTCCTGTCTGGTTTGACAGGCTATAGTGACGATAATGGATCTTGCAGCAACCTCTTCGCGTGCTCTTCCGAGAACAAATTGTGAGCAATCTCGTTTTCTTAATTCTCCGTGATTTCATTGCATCTTTCACTTGTAATTGCCGCTTCGCCTGAAACGCGCGTTTCTGTTTTTCAAAACTGGTCGCGCGGTTCGATAAAAATGAAAAGCCCAACTTTTTGATGCAGAGATCGGGCAGTGTTTTTTTTTTCTCGTCAGTCAATAAAAAAAACACAGGGCGAGTTCATCATTTGTTACAATTTGTTGGGGGTTGGTGCTGCAAAAATATAAATCAGAGAGCGAAAGACCATTTTTTTATGACAGAGTGGGAGAGAGAGAGGCTGATGATGAAAAATATGGTGCTCTCTGCTTGTGATATATCTGGACTGCGGCGGTGGCAAAAAAAAAAGAGGAAAAAATAGATTGTGCAGTGCGCTGACCATCATCGTTATGTCAGCCACCGGCTGTGTAAAGATGATCTGCCAGACAGCCTGGCTCTCTCTCTCTCTCTTTCTCTGGCAGTGGCAGACGGGCAGGTCGCACCGTCTGCGGCCTAGTTAATATGCCAATTACTTCTTCGTCAGCACTTGCTCATTAGATGCAACAAAATGCCACACACGTGAGTGCACTGAGAAAATTGGTTAATTCACAAACTTGATTCCAGTTCTTAAATTAAAGTTCCATCCATAAAAATAATTTCCATTAAAAATCACATTAATTATTTGAAACACACTATAATAATGCCACGTTACTTTAAAATATTCTTGCGTATTTTATTTTACGTTGGAATTGATTTGGTTGAACTTGGAAATGTTTTGATCAGATTTACGAGGTCTTGGGAACAATCGATTGCCATGCGAGGCTTATTGAATTTTCAGCCTGAGCGAATCCATCGTCAAGTGGGGTCATCCAAGTGGCAAATATTGGCGGAAAACATTACACGTGAGAAGCTGATCGAACACAAATTCCATTCCACCTCAGTGATGCCAAGTTGACTGAGAAGATTTTTTTCAAAACGTCTTATTGTATTGCTCTAAGAAATCAAAACATGAATTCTCTGGAACATCACTTTTGTTTTTTCTTTTATTTTATGATAAAATTATATAACTTTGGATTCTTCCATCACAATATAAAATTTAAACTCAATTAATTAATTAATTCTTCACCACATGCGGAAATCGTCAGTAAAAACGAAAATTTATTTATTTTTACTCATTGTCAGGGGATTTTTGAATGAAAAAAGTAATATTTCAAAATGGCTCACCGCAAATAAGTTTTTGGCAACATTCCTCTCGTTTGTGCACCAAGACGCAGCCTTTTGGTGGTGGCACGGGAAGTTCTGGGCAAACCTGGAGGCGACAGATGGGGGCTCCGCCTTGCGGTCCACACTGACAGGATAGGCACTTTTCTCCTGTAGGCACATCCGAACCGGCGGGGAACGTTTTCCCTTCGTAGTGGCACGTCTGACCAGAAACTGGAAAAGTCAGAGATGAATTAAAATTTAAAAATTGAAATGTGTTCCTGAGATTTTCATGTAATTATTTCACTTTTTTATTCTTTAAAAATCGATTCTTTAAATGTTTTATTTGAAACCTAAAGAAGTCAAGAGTTGAGAAAAATGTGCATTTCGTGTAATTAGAAGTTCTCTATATTTCTCTCAATGTTCCGGTTTATTGTAATTTTTTCATTCTGAATCATTAGAACAAAAATTTGAATGCTTCAAGGCGAAAAGTTTGACAGCTCAATTCGTCGAAAAAATTCTGATCGGCCATATTGCCATTTCCGCTGCGAGCAGTTATTAAAAGTCAGCGAGGCTTACTGCTGCAAATCCGCCGCCTGTGAAGGACAAAAGTACCTCCAGCAGCAAATGAAAAACGAAAAAGGCTTCAAAGAAAAAAAGCGGGGCGGATGTGAAAAATCCGGCGTGCTTTGATTTCCATATTTGTTGGTTCAGCGAGCATTTTCCAGGCCTTGCATGCGCAGCAGCGAAGCCAAAAAATAAATAAATACAACATCCCTCTTTGGTGTTTTACATTTTGTTCAAAATCGTATGTTAAAAAACTATGTACTGGATAGTCTAAATACATCATATTACCAGAATATTACAAAGTCGAACGCAATTGGAAGTTTAAATTACGAATTTCAGCTTTTTCTGTACACTTTTTGTATTTCTTGCTGTTTCTAAAAGAAAGTAAAAGTGAGTAGTTACTAAATATGGAAGTTCATAAAGCCCAGCTACATAATTTAAAGGATTAAATATGTTTCTAAACGCAATACCTCAACATTCATTAGGAAAAAATCATTCATAAAATTATGTGCATTTAAAATCAAAGTTCTCAATTTGCTGAATCACAGGGAGAAACTGTAAGATGGATTTTCCTTTGTGCCAATTTTTTTATAGTTCAAAAGATACTTAAATTATTCAAATTTAACAAGCCCAGCAAATTCCACCAATTAATCGGCTGCTTCTTTTTCCACTGCTGAAAATCAATTTTTTTTACACAACATGATATGAAAAATAATAAATTCACGGTTTTATGAAACTTCTTAAAAAAATATTGCGCGAGAAAAATCATGTTGATTAAGCTTTTATGTGGGCAAATCTGTTTGCAAAAGCACTCTTATTCTGCAAAAAGGGAAAAGATTTGTCTATTTTCTTTTACCAAGTATTTGACGCAAATGTCTGTAAAAAATAGAGAACAATAATTATAAAAGAATCAATTGAAAAAACTAATTTAAATCTTGCTTCTTCAGACAGAAACAAAATAATGATCGGATGAAAAATAGTGTGGATGTGAACAAGTGAATTGAAGTAAATTAATTATTCAGATGAAATGTGTCGAATGATCTCTTTGGACTTTGCTCTCACCTCTGAGGGCCTCTTGCGCATCATATATATTATTTCATTGTGCGGCAGACGACGGCGCTTTTTTGTATATATTTGATTTTATATACGTAATTAAAGTTCAACGAATCCGCAGAATCTGAAAATATATATAAAAATTCGGCTCGGACATGTGCGGATTAATTGGCTAGAATTTCTGGGCCGTTTTATTTGATCGTGGCGACGGCATTCCGCGTTTTCATTGATATTTTCCCACGCCGCGGGATTATGAATGAGGGCCGCGAGCATAATTTGGTATGTCTGCAGCGAAATTCTCTCTCGCTCTTTGCACAGACGAGAGCTTCTTCTTTTTTTATTTTTTGCGATCGCACAGGTGTGTGTCGGTTATTAGATCTTCACGAGCTCGTTTTCTTTCCCCGCAGACCGACCGACAACTTGTGCTGCTGACAAATCTGTTGTTTGGCTAAAAGCGGCCGAAATAAATCAAGTCTGAGAAAATAATGTGGCGCGCCAGACCGTTCGGAGCCTCACCTGCGGTATTCAAATTAACAGCGAGCGCTCCGATCCGATGAGACGTGCTGCTTTTTTTGCATCAATTAATACGTACAAGTTGTACAGAGACGGCTTCAAAATAACGTCCTCTTTTATTCAAGCCGCCGATGTACGATGGGAATAGGGCTTAAACAAGTGCATTTTTAATACAAAAAAGGAGGCAGTATAATACATGATTTCATGTGAATTTTCAAAAATTATTTTTTTAATAAAATATTTAAAAATTATTATATTTAATATAATAAATTAGCATTTCATAAAATTTAACCATTTTATCCTATAAAAAACCTTTTTAAATCGCGCAATAGGACGATAAATAATCCATAGTTTTCAATTCTCTTTTTTTAATGTGCGATGTTATCAAAAGTCAAATTCAAATCTGGCCTTTTTGTCAAATGAAATTCTTGAACAATTAATAATATGAGAGGTAAATAAGATTAAAAAAATTGATTCAAGTTTTATGAGAATTTTTTACAGGATAAGCTAAGATTCATACAATTTTGATTTTTTTTCTTGTCAAGTTCTACATACAGGATAATTTTTCTGTTAAAAAATTAATTAACTATCTGAATAATTCCTTTAATAATAAAATCTTCATCGCTTCGCAAATTGAATGTTGCTTTAACGTTGTCTGAAATTTTGCGGCTTTTAAAAGGGGAAAAGATCAACAGGCATGTGACGTTGCTCTCAGGTCTTGGAAAGTGCCTTGTTCTCGCGAACGCGTTACCAAATTTTTTCCCCTTTAACTTATACGACTTATACAAAAGAAGCCGAATTCGGCGCGAGTGCATTACTGGGAAATGTAAAAGTGCGAAAAAAGCAGATGAGCACATCTGGAGGAGCGTGCTCTGCTCGCATAGGAACAGGTGTGTCTCGAGATTTTTCGCCAGAATCTTTGCGCAAAAAAAGTTCGCGGGCCGCCACACAACGCATCTTTTGAAATGGATTTGAAAGCTCTGTGATGTCTTCATTTGAAAAAAAAAAATGAAAAAACTGCGTTTTATTTCTTAATTTTGGTGGTTTAGTTGTTTGATTGATTTCAATTAACTACCTTAGACAAGTTATTTGTTTCAATTAAAAATGATTTTTTTTTCACTTTTTAAATTTATTAAAGAATGACATCTCCAATCATGGAATTCACTTATTTCTTTTTTCATTTTCAGCCTTGTGTTGCTAAAATTTCAAATTAAATGTGATATATTATTCAATATTGTTTATTCAAATAAAAAAAATGCTAATACAGAGCTTAATTGAAAAATGCTATTTATTATATAAAATTTATATTGTGACTCGCAAATCATGACAAAAAAAATTAAAGTAAAATATTATTTACAGATGTAGAAATTCTTTAAAAAAAGTAAAAAGGCCAAAACAAATTTTCCCAGCACATTGAGAATCAGGTTTGTTGCGCACCCTGCTCTTTCTTTATGATTACAAAACTGCTCCCCTCCAGCACATCATGATCTTTCTGAGAATCGAAACCAATTTCTGGCCGATTACACAAATATTAAGCAGAGCTCCCTTTGCTCACCACTTATTAGGAGCCGTAATAAATCTAATCCTCCTCGAGCCTTTTCCCATCCAAAGAAAGAAGGAAAAAGAACGGTGGACTATCGAGCCGCGGCACGAGGAAGGATGCTTTTTGTATTATTGAATAAGTTTATTGACCCTTAGGGCCGGGGGATGGATGCACACATCATGCACTCGGCCTTTCTTGAACTCGCCGCCTCTACTTATGGTCGTTGCTCCGGCACTCGCTCTCAATTATTCACTTTCATTAATTACATTGCCTCGACTTGCAGTGCAAAATTATTTTCCAAGGTTTTCCTTCCACTTTTTGCAACGGCGCAGGAAGTGACAGGTAGATTGATAATGGACTCCAGCGATGCAGGATTTTTTTCATTCATTGCTGAGCTAGAGCTTTTAACGTTCAAGTTTTACGTCATTATTTGTGGTTTTCGAATAATAAAATTAATGTTTCTTTAACTCTTAAGATAAACGGCTTTTTACATTTAAATTTAGCGATTGTTTTACAAATATAAAAATTTGTATTAAGTTTGAATTTTGATTTGGTTCTTAAGAAAAGAAAGATAACTTTTAATCGTTCCAATACAGAATTATTTCATTCTCATCAATAATATTTAAAAATAGAAAATTTTCTTCTAATAAAAATTTATTATTTTATGAATTAAATAAATGTTCAAATTTTAGTTTTGAAAATGACAATGATTGGTTAATTTATTTTTTTTTTGTCCACAATTCCATTGGCCGTTGTGTTGAGATTAATTCATTAGTGTTAGCCAAATTTTTCCTTAGAAATAACAAATGAAATAAAAAATAAATAAAATTCTAATGATTATTTATTTCAATTTTGAAAATTGCAATGCAAATTCTGGTCGTTTTCTCTCAAAGATGAACTTGAACGACACGTTTTATTTAATGTCGACACTAGGATGTCGAACCGGAAAGGGCACTGGTGTGTGTGCGCGCGACCTTTGGAGGGGCACCGTGACCCCGCTCCACCAATACGCGGATCGAAATGCTTTCTCACAAGACTCCTCTGCGCGCCATGAAATATTGATAGATTTTTACATTCGTAAAAAGTGACGTTTCTTTGTGAATGCGTGCGCGCGCGAAGTGTTATGCCTCTCGTAATAATAATAATAATAACAACACTCCTCGTAATATTATTTTCTGCTTTTGCTGCCCCGTTACCAGCAAGATATGACAATGAACAGGATTTCCCAAAGCAGTTCTTCTCCTCACGCACTCAAAGTAAAGAAGTGTTTTTCAGGTGAGGATAACAAATTGCCTGCGACTATGTATAAAATCAATTCTACCAAATTTATGGCGCATTTTAACACACTGCACTTTGGCTAGGCCGCTCGAGAGGTGAGCAATTTGCCATAATTTACCAACAACGCTCATTGAATAAACGGAATAAATTGAATAAACTCAACATAAACTCAGCAATGCCGTCGGTACTCATCAAAATATATTATACTTATTCAATTTAAATCAAAAAGTTTCCTTTTCAGATAAATGTATTTATATAAAATTCATATAAATTGATCATG